TAATATATTATTAAAAATTTCTTTTTAATACCTTAATTTTTACTTTAAACTTTTAAAAAATTAAGATATTATTAAAATCTTAATTATTACTTATATTATATATACCTACTATAAATACTAGATATTTATTATTATTATTATAAATATTAAAGCTACTCTAAACTTTATTATTATTATTAAATTTAAGCTATAAGAGTAACTACTCCTTAAGTTTACTAAATTTTATAATATATTCTTATTAAAAAAAGCTAAGTACCTACTATCTTACTAATTTAATAATTATAAGATTAAATTACTACCTAAAAAAATCCTATCTTTTAGAAGCCTATATAATATATCCTAAGATAAATTAAAAATTCTAAAAAAATAGATTAAAAAAAATTTAAAAAAAGATTTTATTTATTTTAATTTTTTTCTTACTATATTCTTTATTTTATTTATAAAGAAATTTAGAGAAAGCTTATAATTCTATATAAATTACTAAGCTTTAAATATAATTATTATAAAAGATTATTATTTATTACTATTAATAAAAGAGATATTAAATAATTTAAAAAAAATAAAATATTTCTTAAAAATTAATATTATCTCTATTTTTAATAATCTATAAATTAAAAAAGAATAAAAATATCTTATTATTTTTTAAACTTAATTAAACTTATTTAAATTTTTAATAATATTATTTAAACTTACTAAAGCTTTAATATTATTCTAAAGATTTATTAATAAAGCCCTATATAATTATCTAGATATTTTTTATATTATATATCTAGATAATATTCTAATTTATAACTAAACTTATATTAAATATATTTATTATATTTAATAAATATTAAAATACTTATAAGTAATAAAACTTTATATTAAATTTAATAAATATAAATTCTTTATATATAAGATAAAGTTCCTAGAATTAATTATAAGTAAAGATAACTTCTAAATAAATCTTAATAAAGTAAAAATAATTACTAAATAAGAAATATTAATTTATTTAATTAATATTTAAGCCTTTATTAACTTTAGAAACTTTTATTATTAATTTATTTATAATTTTTTAAAAATTATTAAACTATTAGTTAATCTAATTAAGAAAAATATTAACTTTAACTAGATATTTATCTATTAAGAAATATTTAAATAATTAAAAGCTATTTTTATAAATACTTTAATATTAAAATTTTTTAATTAATTAAAAAATATAATTCTAGAAATTAATATCTCTAATTATATATTTATTAGAATATTATTATAATATAATAATAAAAATATATTATATTTTATTATATTTTTTTCTAAAAAATATTTTATAATAGAATATAATTATAAGATTTATAATAAAAAATTATTAATTATTATTTATTATTTTAAAAAATAATATTTTAAATTAAAAAAAATTTTATTACTTATAAAGATTATTATAAATTATTAAAATTTAGAATATTTTATATTAATTAAGCTATTAAATTATTAATAAGTTTACTAGTCTAAATTTTTATTAAAATTTAATTTCTAAATATATTATTACTCTAAAAAGTTAGGTATTAAGCTTAATATACTAACTAAGAGATTAGAAAATCTACTTAAGAAAGAAAATAAATAATTCTTTTACTAGAATTAGACTATCCTAAAATTTAAAAACTTACTACTTAAGACTACTATTAATTTAAGATTAAATATTAATAACTAATATTAAGTATACTTTATTAAATAACTTATTATTAATAAACTAATCTCTCTATTACTAATATTATAATTATTATTTAATAAAGCTTATTTATAAGATAAAAAGCTTTAATTTATTTTAAATATTTTAAAAAATAATTTATTAAAATACTTTAATATTATACTAGTTAATTATAAATATACTAGTTTATACTTAAAATATTAAGATTAATTTTATATATTTAATTATAATAAGATAAAAGCTAAAATATTAAGATTTTATTATAAAAATCCTATTACTAGATATTCTAAAAAAATTAAAATATATAAATTAATATTATATAAATATTTCTAGCTTAGAATTTATAAATATATTAATTAATAAATCTAGAATTATTATTTTTATTACTAAATTATTCTTTCTTAAAAAATAAAATAAAAAATATTAAAGTCTTTATTAATTTTTAAATATATTTAATAAGATATAAGTATAAATTTTATTATATATTTATTATTAAGTAATAATTATAATATTATTTTAATTATAATTAATTATTTAATAAAAATAAAGTACTTTCTCTCCTATACTAGAATAATTAATACTAAAGAAGTAATTAATTTATATCTTAAATATATTTAGAAATTCTATAATATCTCTAAAATAATTATATTAAATTATAAAGTCTAGTTTATTATTATTTTTTAGAAATACTTAATATTCTATTTAAAAATTTATAATCTATTATTTATTATTTATTATTTTAAGATTAATAATTAAATTAAATATATTAATATTATTTTAAAATAATACTTATAAGTATATATATTATATTTATAAAATAATTAATTTAAATAATTATTAATAATTAAGTTTATTATTAATTTTATTTACTTTAAGTTTATAAAAGTATTATTATTTATAATTAATTATAAATTTTACTTAATATTAAGATTTAAATTAAGTTATTTTATTATTTATTTTATTAAGAAAAATATTAAGAAATTTATTAATATTATATATAAGATTTATAAATTTATTTATATTAAAATTTTATTTATTTAAATTTATTATAAAATATAAGCTAATTATTAAAAATAATTTATATATTATTATATTATAAAATAAGAAGTCTAGTTATATATTTATAATATTTAAATATTTTATTTATAAAAAAAATTAGACTAGAAAAATTTTAAATTATATTATATTAAAAAAATTATTAATTTATATATTTATAAATTTAAATTATTTAAAAATATAAAAATCTATTTTATATTTAATATATTTTTATTTTATTTTATTATTAATAATTCTTTATTTAATTAATATCCTAATTTATTACTATCTATTAAAGTAAAAGAATTAAAAAAATAAAAAATTAAAAAAGTCCTTAATTTTTAATAAATTTATTAAAATTATAATAAATTTAAATTATAATATATTATTAAATAAATTAAATATAATAAATTAATTAAAAAATTTATTAAATATTTAAAAAATACCTACTAATTAATAAATAATTACTACTTTTATTATTCTAAAAAACTCTAGCTAATTTCTTCCTAGTCTTAATAGAGCTTAATCCTAAGGAGGGAGATACTATTATAGTATAAAATTATAGTACCTATCTAGTTAGATTCTACCTTAACTATCTACTCTTATTCCTATATTTAAGCTATATTATCCTTAATCCTATTATAGCTCTTTAAGCTATGTCCTGTCTATTACCTAATACCTACTATTCTGCTGTTCTGTCTGGTTAGCTCCTAGTCAATGAATATCTGAATCCGACTCTGCCCCCTGACATAAAGGAAGGTATAGTAAATTGGGAATATTAGAATATTTATTAGGAATAACTTTAGTTATTATTTTAATTAAATTATAAAAATTTTTTACTATTTTTATATTATATTATTATCTAGGTAGGGTAATATAATACTAGATAATCTAAGTTCCCTATCTAATTAGGTAAAGATCTCTAGTACAGGGATTTTATAAAAGTTTTCAAGGTTTATAAAGTATAAATAGAACCTTAAGGAGGGCTTATAACCTTATAAGAGGTTATTAAATTATAATAGTAGAATATTAACTAAAATAAATTATATTAGGTCTAACTAGGAGAGAGAGAGATGCTTGGAAGAAGCATGAAGATCTAGAAAGAAACAGTGGCCTAAATACACAGAGTCACATGACACACGTGTTGCTATTCACTTAATGGCAGTGACATTGGTATTCACTAAATCCAGTACTCCAACAGTTTCTATCTGCAGCCTCCACAAGCTGTTAGCGTACTTACACCAAATATTTTGGACCCCCTGGTCGCAGTGCCTGGTATCTTGGGGTGAAAATGCCTGTTTTCTCATCAACAGTCAGATAGTTAGATATTTATTTGAACCTAAACGTTTCTAAGGGGTCTGTTCTAGCTTTTAGCAGGGGTCGCAAGGCTATTTTAGGCATGGTCCATTATTTACCCCCAAATCGTCTGATAGTTAATTAAAGAATCCTGACATATCTGTTTGTAAATATCATCCTCATCCACGGTCAGATTTTGGTCAGCACTACCTAATTTGTGTTCGGGTAGAACCTGGCACGGATATGGTGCATTATTATTGGCTATGAAGAGTCGCAGCAACCCGAAAGCGTTTCCGTTACCCACTTGTCATACGAAATAGGGATCCTACTCCGTACTCCGTAGAAAGGTAATTTGAGTATGTACGGAGTACATTACTTAGGTAGGTTGTACCTCCTCCCTACGAGTAGGTACCCTAGTGCTATTTCAGTACGTCCAATCATGCAGCTATACCCACGTATTCGGCATCGGCATTTCACTTTTTCCCGCTTGTCTTAACTTAGGTAGGCTATTATTATATACCTAGATTGGCTGACCGCTGCATGCCTCCTATTGATCATGACGTGGGTGCCCGCACGTATGAATACTCAACTTCCCCCATCTCTGTCGCCGTGCACTCAACCGGGAATACAGCCCAATGCACTCATATACATATATCTCCCATCTTCTATCAGATACATTTGAATTTTAAGCGATCACAAGAATAAATCCATGCCATTGACTTCGACTTTTATTGAGGTCCTCAATCTGCGAACATATTTCCCTGCAAAGGTATGCCAGGTGTTCTTCCAAGATAATGCATTATTTCCAATAAATGGCTATAGAACTTGACCGGGGACCTTGAACTCCCCAAAGTCCGAGGGATCGGTAGACAAAGGACAGACGTGTCGGTATATAAACGGGAAAAGAAGCCACCTGCCAGCATTTATACAAACTTTCGCATAAGAACCCGAGTACCGAGCACTGGAGCGTTATTAAACCGGGGACATGTCAGAGACGCCGAAAAGACGCAGGTTTTTACCTGAGCCCATCGAAGTGTCATCACGCAGCTCGAAGAATAATCATACTGACCCACCTGCAAAACAACACTCGCACCCCAAAAACTTAAGTTCCCAATCTCCCGAATCAGACCTCAACAGGTATCCGAGGCCATGGCTCGACAATACTGCCTTTCCACGATCGAAAGGACAAAGTCACTTTCCAGGCACCTCACAAAGCCTCATCGAAGACACGCCAGTAGGCGGTATGGGAGAAATGAAACCTCAAAGAGAACCACAGGACGTGAAGGACCGTCATTTGGCGCCAAGGCTGCTTCAGACCACCCCAATGACCTTAAAAGACGAGCTGAAACAAGACGGCCCGAGGAAATTCACACCTCAGTTAATGGAAACAGCAAGGCACTCCTTTCGCCGGGGACGAAAGGCGTTTACCATTGATAGCTCGCCAGAGTTAGAAACACGAGACCTGGATCTTCCGCACACTCATACCGACACATCTATTGACGTACCGCTGGACAGTACCCATGGCATCCATGAATCACGATTCTCATACTCGAGCCTTCTTCGTCGTCAGGAGTCCAGGAGGCATTCTTTCCGTGTCCCCGATCTCCCTGCGATCCCTTCAAGCTGTAGTGAGGGTTCGGATGAATCGAATATACCAAACCCCGGTTTTAGTCCGTTGTCTGTTCCGTCTCATGTGCCGGAAAGACGCCAAAATACCAACAAACGCCAAGGGTTTGCTCATGATCGGCGCCTTGCAGACTACGTTTCCCCCCTTCCGGTCCATCCCTCGGAGAATCAACTAAAGGAGCAAGCTTTGGCAGCTTTCCCAAACGAGCAAGTTTACCAGCCCGTTCATCACTTTGCGATAGATAGGGAAGAAGAAGACTGGACCTATGGGGAAGATAATGTTCTACGCTACGAAAGGCCAGAGCTTAGAGCCTCTCGACGTGCGTCATCTACAGATCTTCACTGGGAACTGGAGTACTTGCGCAGGCACAAGGAGAAGGTTGGAGCGAGAGATCGTTACACACCGGGAATGAGAGGGGCACGCTTTTCAAGCGCAGCTCGTCGAGCTTCTAGAAGCATTGACAAATTCGCAACCTCCAATGAGAAACGGGACAGGGACCGTGAGTTGACAAGGCTGAAACGCACCAGCCCACCAATGCTTGGAGACGATCTCGTCTTTCCCCAAAGTTCGACACCACAGACAACGATTTGCGAAGAAACCCACCCCGTTGGTTCTAATGAGTGTCGGTATATATTCCCTGGATTCCCTGGCCTCTGGAGTGCGGACCCTCATCATTCTACTAAACATGATGCCGGTGGCCTTTGGATGGGAACCTGCAAAATTGAGAGGAGTAGCGCACATTCTGGCGATTCTTTGTTGCCAGGTATAGTTACTCCTATACATGATATTCCAGGAGATACCTGGAAATGCCCGAATGGAATTTCTGCCGTCAGACATTCAAATCAGCACCTTACAGTTCGGACAAAAGGTTCCCACATTACTTCCAGTCAAAATGAGGGCTGCGAACCTGAATTTAATGACGGATTTGTTACTCAAATTTATAATTATTTGTCGCTAGGATATCCGAGTGTTGCCCGCTACTATGACTATGAACTTAGTAAAGTGTCGGGCGTCCCAATAGCAGCGTTAAGAGGTAATGATCTGAACACCGACGCGAAAGGCCATGTGGGCGTTCAAGACACAACAAATGATGATGCGGCAAATGGTGCGTGTATGCGTTGGGTGGCTTTACGGTTGTATATCCGTGAATGGGTTCGTCAGCAACCTGGTATGGTTGATTCGGCTAGTTACCATGATACTTGGGGTGTGCGCGAACGCAAGGGAAGCTGGGCATTTTAAAATAAATGTCTATTGGAAGCCTCCAAATGCTATAGACTAAGCAGATTACGATTATTAAATTGCTGGACAATGAAGTTTTAGAACCATTGTAAACGATGTGGAATCTCCACATTATTCTCTGTACCCTTGGGTTCTAATTTTGTCAGAGATGATCCGCTGCGAAACTCATTTATTGGGCTTGACAGCGGTTATACTATTGATGGCTAAATCTGTAGTATATTATCTGACTGAATATCGAGTATATGTAGGTTATTATTATTTGCTTTCCTTTTCCTCGAGGTCATCAGGTCGACCTAAAACATTCCCTCTTTGAACTCTCTCATGCACAATACCAGGAAATATTTTTTGTTCAAGTAGTCCATCCGATCCAGTGGCGGCTATTCCACTCAGCTTATCGTCATATGCTGAAGTATTAGATTCACCCGATGGTGTATGCGCTTGCGGCAAAGCCGACTGGTCTATAGAAGCCGAAGGGTCTTCCTTGATAGAATTTGAGAGCATAGGAAAATGTTGGGATGCATTCATATTTGATCGGAGGGCATGGCCAATTGGCTGATTTAGATTCTCCGGTGCGGCTACAACGGCCAGTAAGAATTATTGAATTCCCTAATTTAGCGTCGTTCAATACTCACCATGCGTTTCTGGAGACGACGTCTGTGTCGAGAGAGATGGCGCTCCAGAACAGTCCGCACTAATTGAACCACCAGAGGCTGCTGTGATAGAGTATCGCTCAATCCTAAAATATGGTTGCCAGGAATTAATTGGTGCTCGTGAGGACACAAGGCTTATGAAGGCCTCATTAAGAGCGAAAGTGGAATGAGCGGCAAACCTACAATGCTAACTCTCCAACTAGCGTTTCATGTCGGAATGCTTCACGAATGTCAGGGACATTGCTTTTGGCAACATTGTTGCCAGCAACTCCAGCCACAGAGCAATTAGATCCGAGCCATCTTTCCTTTAAAGATAGCTCAAACCCACTTTGCTCTACAGAATTTTTGGCCAGCTCGCACATATCCACAGCGCTAAATTTATATATTTGTGCAGCCACAGAATATTCCTCGATCAGTGGTTCCTTTGTGAAAGCGAACTGTAGAGGATCGTCGGTGGATAACGAGATATTTAGGCCGCGTCTGAAGAAATGAGCACATGGATTTTTGTCGTACGTTAGAAATAGTGCGTTATTGCTCAGTGGTGACATTGCAATGCCAATTTGCTCCAGGTAGAATAGATATTGCAGCAAAGGAACTTTCCTAAGCAGAATTCCGTGACTGATACTGTGACAGCACAGAAATCCCACAGCAAGGTGGTCGGGGTCTCCTGCCTCACCACAATGTGGTCTGAGGACGAAAGTATTGAAACCACGAAGCTGGCGCCAATAGTTAAGGGAAGCTATATTTGCAAACATAAAATAAATCCAGTAGCTGTAAGGTGGGTTTTGCTTCGTATTCCATTCCCTTGGGATGGGATATTTTCTATAGAGACGGCGCTCTGCCTTGCTCTCATCATCAACGCTATCAAACCCAACCACGCGTTGTAGGAATATGTGCAGCTTTGGGTGGCTGTTGGGATCTTTGGTGACCTCAAATAACGGTTGGAAAACATTCGTGATTACCTGTTCGAAATTTTCCATCATGCCACTAGATTTGTACACATCGTATAGTCGAGGCACCTGGATAAGCCAACGAACATTTGGCGAGAACAATTTGTTGTCGACTACCCAGGCCGCAAGCTTGTCCCATTCTTGAATTGACCTGCCGTATATCGAGATGCGCCACTCAACCATCTGATATTTGCTGGATTCTAGATCTGAGATGACTTCCTTCGTTATCTCCGCCAAATAACGCCCTTTGATATAGTTGTCCGTTTTCAAGAATATCTCTCGAAGGCGAGATTCTCCAACGGGGTTGTATTTGAGGTTGAATTTGTCAAATCGATGGAAAGAATCCGTGTGTGCCTGTCGTGAGATTAGTATAAATGCCATACAGCTAGAAAACTCGCAACGTACATGCATATCAAGCGTATCAATACTCAGATCGTAAGCTGTGAGATTGATACTCTCAAAAACTTCTTTAAGTGTTAGATGCTTACCGTCCCTAAACAGAACTACCTCATCCGGTGATTTTTTCATTTTGCTTTTGATAAAACGCAGGAGGTGTTTTTGGTTCATACAGGCTGAGTGATGAACGTGCGTGTCAACTTTTCGGACGTTATAAAAGTCTCTGTGGGGAACTTTCTTGCTGTCGGCTATCTCCTGATATTCATTCAACAGCGTATATAGCTGAAATTTGCCCTCTAGATAAGAAAGACGTTTGAACGAGAAGCTCTTTGCAGGCCCGTCTGTTGAAACATCGATAACTTCATCTAGATCCATATAGAATTCTCTCAGGGAGGGAACTCGGAGGAGAGGCTGCCCCAATGCAGCAGCATCATCGTTTTTATAAACCTGGTACACACTACTCTCATCTAACTTGAACATCCAGTCAGACTCTTGGGGGAGAGGCATGCACCCAGCCATCTCGAAATCTTCACCGATATCTTCCCCCATCTTTCTTTTCTTCTGTTCTTCACGGGAGTGATCATTAAGCTTGGCGCTTTCCTTGTCTTTTCCCCAGGCTGGTTCTGGGGGTGGTGGATAAATGTTCCACTCAGGACGATTATTCGGGTTGTCCTCGAAGGATTGAAGAGAAAGTTTGATATATTTCGTTCTTAAATCCAGCAACCCTCGTATTTTGCGGCATATAGTATTCAGCTCCGATGTGAGCGCGTTGCTATCCGATGTCGCATTTATCAAGCCCTGACCAGTCCCCGACATATCACCATCATAGTGCATGCTTTCTGCTAGCAAGGGATGACTAGGTTCTTTAGAGATCGGGATATGCATCGGATTGATATTGGCACCAAGATGGTTACTCGCCGGAATGTTCGAATGATGCTGATAGAAAAGCTTTGCTTCGGTGTGACTCATTGACTTTTCATACGCATAATCATAAGTAGGTGTTTTCAATTGCCTGTCCCTTGGGAGGATGTCGTTTGCCGCGGGAGGGAGTCCCGCGTGGCCGGGTTCGTTTTGATCCATTTTGCTATGCAATTCCCAGGTGTCTTCTGGGAGAGAACTGGGGGATCTACGTCAATTAGTAGGTAACCAAACGGCTTTTGAGCTTGCGCTGGCCACGCTTTAGAGGATGGAAATGAAAAGCATAGAGGTATAAATGGAGGCTTTCCTGGTTAACAGGGAATGGAAAACTTTCTAGTAGGTCCAGAATTTCGGTGGGTATTGGTGAAGGACGAAGAAGAAGAAGAAGAAGAAGAAGAAGAATAATAATACTAATGGCCTTCACCGGGGAAAAGATTAATACTAGTTAGGTTGTGGAGAGTTTAGTTTTTAGGCTCACGCCTAGTGTGTTCTCAAATCATGTGATTGAATGATACCTTACAGTCTTTCAATTGCTGTTCTCTATATTAGAGATGGAGGACAGACAATTCCTAGGTAATGATGTAGCAATTGGTGTATCATGGCTCGTGTTTAGAGAAGAATGTTATGAATTTACTAGAAGCACTTACTCGCGTGTATATTAGCTAGTTAGTTAACTTTGGCGTAGTATCCAGTAAAGGATCATTTTTAGCTAGCTAACTAACTAACTAGTGTACTCCGTACTAACTAATATGACCCGTACTCCAGACTGGTCTGAGGAGTCTTGGGCCTACTTAGAGCTTCTTGATTATCCGAATAGAGAGTGTTATTTTGAAGCTCTGATATGATCTAATATTAAAATGCCAGCTTTTGCAAATACCATTTTAGTCTAAAGGAGATCTTACAAGATATTTCAAGTATTATTTGCTTAAATGAACTTTTAAAAAGGTAAAGAAGCGAATACTAAATATGTGCCCCATTATACCGCCTGCATTAATTGGTTTTCCCGAATCCCGGTAGCGCTTAGTGTGACGTACTTGGGTTTCCGTACAAACGAGCCTCCTTCAGGACAACAACAACAATCCTCTAGGCAGCAGTTCGAAATCACAAGGTTTTTTTTCTTCTCCCTTCCTTGATCGTCTCAATTAATTTTCTGAAGGGTAAGAGCGAAGGAATTGCACTTGAACGGCCCTTTTCAAGTCTACCCATCTATCTATTCAATAATTCAGTCAAAAGGTGGGAAAGATGAGAACTATCCCCTGCACTACCACAGTTTCAACACCGGCTTAGCTTGGTCATTTCCCTTGTTACGACCAGTAACTAACAGACAATTATCTCGCAGACACCAATTGTTGTGCTCTATATTATCCACACCTACGGTGCTATTGGATATGGCAACTCTTAATCTGTCAACCAACGGGCCCTCAATAACGAAGAGCTATCAGTCGGTAGTCAACTCGTCCGTCTCAGGGTCTGCGACTTCCGCAAAGTGGGCGCTTTTTTCAGTTTCTACGCCTCTGTTGAGCGCCTTCCAACAAGACGCTGGTAACAAAGAGAGTGTTCTTAAGGTGCAAGATACAGGAGGTAGGTCCTCAACTTGCTGTTACTCAAGATATGGGCTGATTGAATATCTTTAGAGGGCGAACTTGTGGATCTTCTCGACGAATTTTCCGAAGGGAAGATACAATTTGCTTTTGTTAAGGTCACCGACACCAACACAGGACTCCCGAAAAACGTTCTCATCGGATGGTGTGGAGAAGGGGTTCCTGAGCGTACAAAGGGGTATTTTACCAGCCACTTATCTACAGTTTCAAGGTTTTTACATGTAAGTGGTCCTCAAATCCAAGCTCGGCCGTGACATTTTGTGCTAATTTTTGGACTGGTAGGGCTATCATGTCCAAATCACTGCTCGTTCAGATAGGGATTTGACGGCAGAAGGTATTATCCAGAAAGTCGGCGATGCTTCTGGTGCCAAGTATACTTCGGGCACTGACCAGACAACTGTCTCCGCACCCAAGCCCCCGGTTTCAAGTAAACCTGTTTTCAATCCCCTTCGAACCGGCGGAGTCAATGCATCCGCACCAGCACCAATTCCACTGAGAATGAAGCCAGGAGATGATGACGGCTGGGGCCCCGATGCGCCACCAGTCATGCGGACAAACCTCGAAAAGGTTCAACCTGCATACCAGCCGACCAAGGTTAACATGCGCGAACTCAAGTCGGAGAAGCAACCTGAAATAGATGTGGCCCGTAGCCATTCAGATGAAACTTCAGAGGTTGTGGTTAAGGGCGGATATCAACCGATTGGTAAAGTAGATATTGCTGCCATTAGGAGACAAGCACGCGAAGCAGGAAACTTGAAGGATGATCGCCCCGAACCCGTGAAGGGCGCTTATGAACCGGTGGGTAAGGTTGATATTGCTGCAATCCGTGCTAGAGCACAAAAGCCAGACGACCTTCCAGGGGCAACTACGGGTAGTGCCCCTCTATCAGAAAGTACTCCGGAGACCCTGAACGAAGCTGAACCATCCACTCGTCCTATCTTACCTAGTCACTCGGGACGATTGACCAGTCTACCAAAACCAAAGGTCTCGAACAAATTGGGCGGTGGCTCGACATTCTTGGGAACAAAGCCCCCTCTTCCCAATGATAACTCTGCAAAGGCATCTCCATCTGTACAGGTTGGCAGTGCGAGCAGGACATTTGCTGACCAAGGAGGTAAAACCCCCGCGCAACTTTGGGCAGAACGGAAGGCAAGGGAGCGTGGTCAAGAGTCTAATGTTGGTGTACCGCCACTTAACCCGACACCACCTGTTGTTCAAAGCCAACATAGTGGGAGCGGGGAATGGAAAAGCTCCTATAGTGGAAAGACTTGGGCACCAGTTCAGACTACACATACTGGAAAGTCTGTAGGGAGCAGTTCTAATCAGGCTGCGGATTTCACTGCCAATGACATTCAACATGCAGAGCCGGATATTCCCCAGCAAAGCGTTAACACTATCCGTGACCAGCTCCTACAGGTGCAGCCGAAGGATTCTGCTGATGAGAACTTTGCTGACACCTTGGCCCCCTCGCCTCTCCACGGGTCCTTGGCACAATCAATTGAACCAGAGACTTTTCAAGAACCGGAAGTTCACGAAGTCCTTCCACCTCGCCCTCAACCACCTCGGTCTCCAACACCGCCCAGCCCAGTACGTGACGTTTCACCGATTCGTGTTGCAATGCCTGTTGGAAGCGGAACCGCCGATATTGAAGATGAACATGATGCACCACTGACAGCTACACACGTTGAAAGCTCCCAGCAAGAACTGCTAAGTGATAAAGATCTTATCGAGGCGCCGGCTGTTAGCTCAGCGGCATCCCAATCCATTGGTGGCGGTAGTTTCCCAGCGGATGGTATTAAGGCCCTCGTGCAGTATGAATACGAAAAAGCTGAGGATAACGAGATTGACCTGAGAGAGGGAGAATACGTGACTGAAATTGAAATGGTTGACAAAGATTGGTGGCTGGGTCTCAATACTCGAGGAGAGAGGGGCCTCTTTCCAAGCAACTACGTCGAACTTGTCAAAGATGATCCACACAGCCACCCTGAATCCGATGCGCAGACGCGTACGGTGGAGGCGATTGCTCCTGAACCTACTCCAGAGCACCAGCCCGAACCCGAATCCGAACCGGCTCCAAGCTCTGGCAATAGGCCGACTGCGAAAGCTTTGTATGATTATGAAGCTGCTGAAGATAACGAACTTAGTTTCCCTGAGGGGGCTGAAATTAAAAATATCGTAAGTGCTCAAACCCCTCCGGGGCCAACCTTTCACATCAGTTCGCTACATACTCCTCTCCGGTTTTCTCGGCATTCGTGTTTCCGTCTCTTAATTGACTAGGAATGGCTTTACTGATCATTCTACTATTTAGGAATTTCCTGATGATGACTGGTGGCTTGGTGAATACCGTGGTAATTCTGGACTTTTCCCAGCGAACTACGTGCAGCTCGAGGGCCAATAAATAGGCGTGTGTTATTACCCATGTATTCGTGACTTACTTATTTACTTCCCACATCAAGAGTAAATCGCGCACCGAACCTTAAGCTGTCTGTCTGTTATTTGAAAGCTGTTTATAACTTTTCTCTTCTGAACATTATTCAATGCTTTGTATATAAAATAACAATCAGTTTTCTTATCAGCGCCAGTAAATCTTAAGAGACGGGTTTGCTCAGGAGCTCTTCGAAGTGTCAGAGCCAGTAAATATATAGATATGGTTAAGATACAGGATGCAGTCAGTGCGTGTCCCGAAGGTCCAATCACATGACCGCGCGATGGGAACTCGGCAGTAACTGACCTCGTACTCCGTACCCCAGGCAACAAACAGCAGAGCATGTTTTACAAGTGAAATTCTTCCTAGTATGATTCTTATTCCCACCACAGGCGACAATCACGAATCGGTTTAACTATTGAATTACTGGGGATAAGATTTTTATTTGTGTGACAATTTCGACCTATCCCTCCAACCCGAATACTTCCTCGCCTTCGAATTTAAGGATACATCCGCGACGTGCAGAGCACCAAGGAGAGCTGTTTACCCAAACCCATTGTTCGAGGAAAATGGCCTCCCTAGGAGAAGATTTGTTGGTGACCGTCAACAAGCTGCAAGACTTGGTTTTCAATACCATTGGAAATGACTCTCTGGATTTACCGCAAATCGTAAGTTTATCTGGTGTGGATGATGCTCAATTTAGCTCTGCTGACTTTGTTTTAGGTTGTGGTTGGCTCTCAGTCATCCGGGAAATCGTCTGTACTTGAAAACATAGTTGGTAGAGATTTTCTACCTAGGGGAAGCGGCATTGTGACAAGACGGCCCCTGATTTTACAACTTATCAACATCCCTAGTGAGCGGCACGACAAACCCGAAGGCGATGAAGTTCACATTCCGCATACAGCTGCTAGTGTCGCTGGACAGTATGAATGGGCAGAGTTTCATCACGTTCCTGGTCGGAAGTTTGAAGACTTTGCCCTTGTTAAGCAGGAAATTGAAGCTGAGACTGCGAGAATAGCCGGAAGCAATAAAGGCATCAACCGACAACCCATTAACCTCAAGATATTTTCTCCTCACGTTCTCAATCTCACTATGGTTGATCTACCGGGCTTGACGAAAGTGCCCATTGGAGACCAACCCTCGGACATTGAAAAGCAAACTCGTGCGTTGATATTGGAATATATTGCGAAGCCCAACAGTATTATCCTAGCAGTCTCGCCTGCGAACGTTGATCTGGTCAATTCAGAAGCTCTTAAGCTTGCTCGCCAGGTAGATCCTATGGGACGAAGGACGATTGGTGTTTTGACAAAACTGGACCTCATGGATCATGGAACCAATGCTATGGATATCCTCTCCGGCCGCGTGTATCCATTGAAGCTTGGATTCATTGGAGTTGTCAATAGGTCCCAGCAAGATATTCAATCTGGAAAATCCCTTTCCGACGCTTTACACGCCGAACTTGACTTCTTTCGCCATCATCCTGCTTATCGGAATATGGCCAATCGATGTGGCACGCAATTTCTTGCGAAGACTTTGAATTCTACTTTAATGTCCCACATCAGAGACCGCCTCCCTGACATCAAAGCTCGCCTCAATACACTCATGGGTCAAACACAACAAGAGCTTGCTAGCTACGGAAATAAGCAGTTCAGCGGGAAAGAACATCGAGGTTCCTTGATATTGCAGCTCATGACGCGATTTGCATCTTCTTTCATATCTTCTATTGATGGAACGTCCTCTGAGATTTCTACTAAAGAACTGTGTGGAGGTGCTAGAATATATTACATTTTCAATTCCGTCTTCGGCAATTCCCTCGAGACAATTGATCCTACGCATAACTTGTCCGTCTCTGATATCCGAACGGCCATTCGCAACTCAACCGGTCCACGGCCCAGCCTTTTCGTTCCTGAACTTGCCTTTGATCTTCTTGTCAAACCCCAGATCAAATTGCTAGAGTCCCCTAGTCAAAGGTGTGTTGAGCTGGTTTACGAAGAGCTCATAAAAATATGCCACACATGCGGCTCCCAAGAACTTCTTCGCTTCCCACGACTCCAGGCAAAACTCATTGAGGTTGTGTCGGACCTCCTTCGTGAGAGACTAGGGCCTTGCTCAACTTACGTCGAGTCTTTGATTTCCATCCAACGCGCATATATAAATACGAACCATCCTAATTTCCTTGGCGCTGCAGCTGCAATGTCATCCGTCATTCAGAGCAAACAAGACCAGGAAAGAAAGGCTGCATTAGCGGAGGAGCGGAGAAAACGAGAGAAGAGACGGCTAAAAGAAACTGGCGGCCTGAATGGAGGCCAATCTGCCTACCCCGAAGAGGAAGAAGAGCAACAGGACTCAAAGACACAGAATTTGCCCCTCAGAGGCCAGTCTACCCGAGGCACCAGAAGCTTGTCTCCGCATGTTGGTAAGGTCCAGGAAAGTGGTATCGCAGCGACATTAAACGGTACACATCCGAATCCCCAAAACGCTTTTGGTACCGCAAATACCACTCGTGATTCCTTCTTAAATTACTTTTTCGGCAAAGATGGTGCGCAATCTACTCTGTCTGCTCCCTTACCGCCAAATCAGGGCAGGCAATCAATCCAGCACGAAGTTAATATTGCCCCTGCTACACGACGCACAGAGCTTCGCTCCCCGGTAATTGCTACAGAGGATTACACAGTAATGCCAGAATATAATGATATGAGCTCCGTGGTTAGTATTACACCCTCGACACATTTTCAAACACTATTAACATATTTGAAGTCACAGCCAAAAGACAATTCTGAACCCGAAATATCTGATCGGGAGCTCATGGAAACCGAGTTGATTCGTCGATTGATTTCTTCATATTTCAATATCGTTAGAGAGACCATTGCTGATCAAGTTCCTAAAGCTATCATGCACCTTCTTGTCAACCATAGCAAAGATGTTGTGCAAAATAGACTCGTTAGCGAGCTTTATAAAGAGGAGTTTTTTGCTGAACTTCTTTATGAGGATGATGGTATTAAAGCTGAAAGGGAAAAATGTGAGAGGCTATTAGAGACATATAAGGCAGCTGCAAAGATTGTGGGCGAGGTTCTATGATTCTTGTACCCATCTTTTTAGCCTCGTGATATGTTTCAGGCATACCTTGTTATTTAGATAACATCTGGTTTGTCTGTAACTATCCAAAGGTTATATTTTTGTGGATATCTTTATATCTTGTATTCTAGTATTATTCCTATTATGACCCTACGCAGCGTGAGGTACGGGAGAATAGATTAGTTTTGCTTATCGTGTGTATATAAGGTGTTTTTTTCTTAGCTATATATATCTAGAAGGTCTAAGATGAAAGGCACTTTATACTATGCGCAATTCTAAATCTAATAAATACTAGGACTGTCAGATGATATTATACACTAGACTTAATCCCTTTTCAGGGTTATTCTCCTCAGACGTGCACCCTCAAAACCGTACATTGCCCCTCCAACAAAAACAAGTATAGCGCCTATAAGGACTCCATGTGATAAAGCATTTCCGAATATATGTATTGACAACAGAAGAGAAACAAGTTTTCTAATGTTCAAAACAATCGTAACTGTCAAAGAAGATGACTTCGCAGAGAGAAGGTGGACCCCCCGGATACACCAATATTGTGTCAAGGCATTCAATATGAGGTAAAAGACCTGCACCGGAATGCGAGCGAATATGGATTGGAAAAACCAGGATTCCTGAAATGCCACAAGCAGGTAAGAAAGCCCACTTAGGATAGGGGTAGTAGCGGAGGTTACGCAGGGCTTCTCGGGCGCAATTGTGCCATCGGAAGTAAATATAGTGTGCAAATACCCAGCTTCGTTTACTGCAGGCACAACCCGAGAAAGTAAAGAAGGCGAGGAGTACAGGATACGCCATTGACCGAGGAGTTGGGGGAAAGTAGGTAGGAATAGCGGTAGAGAAAGTATGTGAGAGTAGAAGAGAGCCTCTTTCCAATGGCTCCTTCCATATGTCTCGTAAAGTTTATCTGCGTAGATTCCCTGAAATGCAGAAAGAACCATTGCCAGGGCAAGCATGGCGAACCCGGTCGAAGTTGTGGATAGTGTGGTGGTGGATTCGGCAATCCCGATGCTGATAGACTGGCCCTTAGCCTGCGCATCTGCCAGCGCCGACGTAACAACTCCTAATGTAAGCATCGCTACTGCGAGCATTTGGCCATGGGAATATCGTTTCGAGGCATGAAAACGACCAACAATCATCGACGCAACGGGGCCCCCAGACCTCACGATGATGTGGAGTGGAACTGAAATCTTGTATGCGAATGCCCAATTATTGAGAAGATTGACTGTAACGAAGAAAGCCGTATAGATAAACCATGACCTTAGGGGTATAGAGCGCGTGCTAATAAAAAATGACCGAGGGCCTGCCGACAGGGAAAGGAAGTTCGGGACCATAAAGAGCGCCGTCAGAATAAACTGAGCAAATGTTATCAAGGGGCCTGGTAGTCGCGAGTTAGAACTTTCGGACATTTAGACGTTCACGGTATGGGAAGCGACGAGGCATGATATGTATGTACCTGAACTTGGCTGGTCCCTGTTATTCAGTTAGCAAGGTAGTTCCCCATGTCTTTGAACTTTAGCGAGGCTTACTTGATAATTGCTTCAAGTGCAAATACCTTATTAAAGGAGTTAGTTGTAGTGGTTGCTGTCTTTTGACATGTACTTACCCACATTAGCACAGCAGCCTCCAAAGATTAGCGAGATCATCAGAAGAACACTCGTCCATTGAGAAAGAGTGGTTTGAGCTGCAGTCGCAACAATGCTAACCAGACTGGCGCGCAAAGGCTCTTCGAAGCCCTTTCCCTCGAGCATGTCCTTCTTCGAGCTCTGAGTTGGTAAAGAAGGCCGCCCTGGGACCACTACCTTGCCGTCGGAGGGTTGAATTGATACACGCCTAGCACCAAGTTCTGGCCAGTGACTTTTCCCAGTCGAAATGGCGCCATTTGCACTAAACCCAGCCTTTCTGGGTGACACGCTGTTAGACATATTGGAGTCTTTGACAAGGCGTTCTTAATGAAAGGATTGGTGGAGCAGGACACGTTGGAAAACGAGGACGACGCTTAGTCAAAAGGTGGTGGTTTCCCCGACGGAGAGTCCAGTGGCTGACCTCTTCAACCTCGGTAAAGTGACTTGTAGAGAGAAGTAGAGAAAAGGATAGCCATGAAGGTTATTATTGATAAGCCTTTGTTCGGATCTCTATTGATCATTAAGAGCAAAATATTGCGCAGAGTGGGATGGTACCTGGTTTTACTTGCTCGGGCTATTCAAAACAATACAAAAATACTTGGGACTATTGAAACTTCAAAAATCATCTACAATATCATCCTCACTCAAAAAAAGCTTCCCATCATCTTCCTGTCCAATCGAAGACATCCTGGCTTCAGCAATATTGGCAATCCTTTGACGTTTGGCACCTCTAACTCTTGCCAATGGCCCTTGATCGCTGCAAGATGATTCCAACATAGACCTTTCGTCTTCCTGCAGAACTTTGCCGTGCGTACGTGTCTCAATACCAGAAAAGCTAGTAATTCTCCTAACCTGCATTGATTCGGCTTCATCGCCCAAGAGCATAGCCATATATGGTAGTTGATAAAGTAATATATCCTTGCGCGATATCATTGTAATACCGGGGGGTTGCTTTACATCCGAAGAGGCCTGATCACTCTCCTTGTTTATATGTGGAGTTTTCCGGGACGTGAGGCGGCTGAGATCTGGTCTTCTTGAAGGATCAAGGAAAGTGCAGGTCCACATATCTATATAGCTTTGGATTTCCTCGACCTGTTGTAGAAGTCGGAACGTGGGAGGAGAAAACATTTTGTGGGAGTCACTCATACGCTTGGGATGGTCACCAAATGACATCTGCCTTTTCACCGGAGAAGGAAGAGCAAATAGCAGACCGCGTGCGGCAACTTGGTAACTGATATCATTCTGTCTTAGCAAGTCGATGGATGCACCAGGTTTGATGATGCCGGTTCCCAGTCCTGCTCGAAACCTACCATGGCCCTTCTGATCGGCACACAGCAAATCGCTGTCTGACAATGCCATTATGCATTCATCTAGACAGTCAGTAAATGAGGGCCCATAGCAGGATGGTACATAGTTCTCGTGTAAAGCGCTTATGAAAGACTGAGAATCGGTGCCTGTTTCATCCACAAGTTCATTGACAGAGACTTGAGAGGCCTCTGGTCGATTAAAACGAGCTAGATGATTTGGAGGTGGGGGTAATCGCAAAATTTCGGCATCAGCGACGGAGCTATCCCGCTTGTTGTAAACAATTTTGCCGACAGCATGAAATAGCCCTAAATTTGCCTCCCTTTGCGTTATTGCCTTTAATGTCTCCCTCTCTGAAGGTGTGAGAATCTTCCGTGTCCTAGATGATCTCATAGACTTGTTGGCACCCTTACTCCGAGAGGATTGGGTGTCATTATCAAGACAAATAAATTCCAAGGAAGCAATTGCATTCCGGATGTCTCCTATTTTAGAAATGCCTTCCAATAATGAAGGCACGGCAGCTTGTTTACGCTTAGAGCAGCCAGCATTCTTCTCCAGAACCAGGCTTAGAGCCTTGTACATGAACGACGGTGCGATGCTATTAAAGTCAATAATGGTTGTGCTAGGGTGATTATAAATTTCGTGACCAACTAGTCGGTAGACTGTTAGATTGTCCAAGGGGGCCGAGCCCGAAAATGTCTCCGAAACAATCATAACAATCGGCGATGCAGCTGGCTGACCGGCGTTAGCATGAGCATTCTTTGGCGTTGAAGGCGTAGACATAGAAATGTAGCGTAACAGAGATAGCCTGAATGCAGCCAAACTAGAGGCATTTCGCCCTGACCACGTCGGGAATTCTTCAACAAGAATGATACGTCGTTGAGAAGTGCGGGCTTTAGTTTGAATGATGTTCCGCGATTCGTTATCACCATCCAAATCAAGACTTCCGAAACCATTGCCCCGACTAAGAAATTCATCGAATTGGACGGCAAGAGAGACGTATCCTTTTGCAGTAAATTCCGGAATTAAAGGCGTTTTCCACTCCAAGATGTCGAATTGAAGCGAGTGCGATAGTAACGATATTGTAGTCGATTTTCCACACCCAGCGGGACCTCTAAGAATGAGCAATTTCTATGCTGGTTAGCAATGCAAATGGAAATCAATCAAGACAGGATATTCGCTCCGTTTTAAGGAGGGAAGGCAAGAAAAAGCAAGCATACATACTCTTCGGTTGCTTCCCGCAAGGGCATCATTTAGCCATCGCTCAACATCACACACCTTTCGTTTATGAACCGCCAATTCCTCTAAATTGATAGGAGCATATTTTTCTGCCCATGGCAGCTTGTCTTCCTTTGAAGCTTGGGGGGTAGTGAATTTGTTTTCCGGTGGCAGGACGAAGCGTCTGGTCGCGTTTATAGCCTTCTGCTGACTGCTTGCTGTGGGTGCTGGCCCGTTAGAACGGGGCTTTTTCTGAGGAGCAGATGGTGTGAGCTTTGACAAATTTTCATCTGTAAAGTGCTGAGTGAACAGTTCGTCAAACGAATCATAATCATCTTCGATTATGTCCTCGCAGCCATCCATATTTTCCTTTGTCGATCCCAAGGTCTGGGAGGGCCATCGCTGTCTTGGACCATGAAAGCCAAGAGATTTTTGGAGGATATCGAGGGCTGATGTATCGGATGGCGGTCGGGTATCGTAGTTAATTGTCATGGAAGACAGGATAGACCCAAGCGATAAAATAACTGAGGCGCTTAGAGCATGCTAACCTTGTTGAGAAGAGAACGGGATTAGTTGTGGAGCGGCTGGCTACCTAAGGCAGCTTACGGTTGGGTCCTCAGGCAACCCAGGTAGATACTTGTGCCTGCCTGCTATTCACATCCATGAAACTTATTTTCCCGGAAAGATGATGAAATAGACCATAGCTATTATAAGATATCGTTTTGCCACAGTCACTAAAATTGATAATCCTCAGTGTAAAAATTGTCTTTATGCAGTTATTAAGGGGGGTTGTAAATATATAGTTATTCGAACCCAACTGGGAGACTATATACCAGCTGAAATAATTACTCGGCGACCCTAGGGCAATGAATAAAAAGCATCCTGAATTATAATTCGAAGTGCTCGTAGCCCCATGTAAGCTGTTCCAGGAAATTCCCCAGGAACGAACTGTAAGCTTTCATGGTGAATTAAAGTGCCGTTATAGTTGACATAAAAGGTTCCGAAGAATATACAAATGATAAAAGTACAGACACTGAGGGCATATGTGCAATCAGCGCTTTATCTTCTTATCTGGGGTCACCAGCATTGAGAGACATTAGTATTCTAAGAACCTCCAAACACATCATAATAATAGTCATCAGTGAGTCCATCTCGTGAGGGAACAGCGGGGGCCTCCCCTGCGAATACTGCGTCGTCAAATCGAACATTCAACAAACGGATCTTAAGCCCGTAGTTACTGATCAGGTTGATCAACTTGCTGGTTTCTGCTGTGATGGGTTGCTGGTTGAGAAGCATGAGTAGACCATCAAGCCACTCCGATGCAATGCTTGGAGATTGAGGACGAAGACTTAAAAGAACAACCTCCCTTTGGGTTGTTCGGCTGGCGGATCGGATATGACCATTACTCTTATGGCCGTCACTTGAAATTGGGGACGAATGGGCGTAGCCGTGAATCGTAATTTTTGTAGATGAAACGTGTTGGGTCATGCTCTTGACGGTTGAAGCGGACGAGTCATCGGGAGGCGCCGATACATTGGAAACCACTGAAGACACGATGGATAGATCAACTGCCACAGCATTAGTTCCGAAATCGCCTTAGACCATTGCGGGATTGTCTTACTTTTCCCAGGAAGCACGTCGAGCTCTGGGCGCTTCATGTCTGCGGACTCAAAATCCCCAAAGTGTAGGAATCTTCGATTATGTGAAAGCTGGATAAACTTCCATTTGGAGCTTCCATCCACTATGGGCGCACTCTCGTTGGGGAACCAAGCACCCTGTAGTAGGCACCGGATTCTCTGCTCCTTGACAAACTGCAAGGCTTCATGCTGCAATTCTTCTCGTACTTGTCGCAAATGCTGCCCCCAAACGTCCTCGTACGTAAGCTCCAGCAACTCCATTTGTAGACTACGAAGCCGGCTATATTCAAAATCGCTTAACTCTTCTTCGACATCTTGCACGTCCTTCGTTCTTGCGGCACCCCCAACGACCGATTCAATGAGAATGCGCACCAGCTCAACGATCTTGTCGTAATCTTCTAGTTCAGCTCCTGTAGCTTTCCATAGACGAAAGAATGCATGCAAACCAGCAACATGTAATCGAGTCCAGTGTAAAAGAAGCGGCTTGAATATCTTGTCCAGATTAGACCGAGATTCTAATAGCAAATAGCTTTTGGTGTCTTCGACCTCCGATTTATCGACCTCGAAATGGTCGTATATAATTGATGTGACGGACAAGGACGCGCGGGCAATTGGGCAGCGCTGCAGCGTTGGCTTTGTAGATTGCTCCAGAAGCATCTTCTGAAATGCATCTTGATGGTTCCTGACAAAATCCGCTAAATCCATCATTCCCAGAAATCCCATGTCTTCGAACTGTACCACAGGGCTCTCTGTTTCGAACCCAAGTCGCCTCCACTTCTCCGGGTTGTGCTTTTTCGATCGCCGTACGTCATTGCTGGCCTCAGCTCCTTTGTCATTAGTGCTCGCTAGGTGAATGCCCTTCAATGCCCTTCGATGCTCAGGCTTTTCCAGGTCTAGGGGAATATCGCGCCATTTCCTCAAGAGAACCTTGGTAAGGGACTGAAATTCAATTAGCGGATGTGCATGATCCTGTAGTGCGGTGCCCTGCATAAGAGAATAAACTGCTTTGATAACCCCCAGATCCTGAAGTTTCTGGATAAATTTCGGCCATTCCAGCTCCGAATCATTTGTGATTGAATCGCGCATTAGGGAGTTTATCAATTGAAGAGCATTGGCGCACAGAGCGTGATCTGCGGAAGAGAGTCGGCTGACAAGCATTTCCAAAAACTGTGGATAAATAGCAATGGCAGGCTTTAGGGCGCGAAATCCGAAAGTACCATTTTGCGACAGACGACCGCCACCGGTGTAGGGATGAGATACGATGGACACCAGAATAGACATGGCACCTCGTAGGATGTTGACCAAGGGATGCATCACTATCAGCTCAACGATCTATCAATGACAAGACCATTGTATACGTTAGCGGGGCGATTTAATAGGATAAGTGGCTATTATTAAAGTAGCAGGGTAGTTGTGGTGCATACTCTCTCAACAAGTTCCTGGTCCACACATTCCCATCCCTTATCAACTTCCAACAACCTTGCGAAGCTGGTTAAGCTGTACGCCAATGTGTTTCCGCTCGCATGTAACGTCAGATAGCGCAGTCGGGTTAGTCCATCTTCTGCGATGAAAGTATCTGCGAATGAAGGATCACCAATGCTGTTCTGCAGCTTGAATACGGCCATTTTGCGCACCGCATCCTCATCGCTTCCTAGCCTTTCGACTAGTTCGGAGACGTCGTTGTCCATGGTCAAAAGCACTCGTCCTCTAGCCACGCAAATTGCAGACAGAATGCACTGGCAAGGTCCCTGGTCATGTAAGCGTCTTCTCGTTAAGCATTAAATTGTGAGAGAGTGTGGGAGAGAAAGGGCGAAACCCAAAAGCGCATGAGGGAGTGAAGTTGCCAAGAAGCCGCCGATATGGGACGGAGAGCTTGTGAGCTCGCCCTCGGCCAATAATAGCAATAATGCATGTACCTTACTAGGAGTATTGTAGTTAGAAATACCTAACTACACCCAGAATTGTACTAGTGCTGGAGACACTTTGAATCATTCAAGTGATAGATAGTCAGTTACATGAAACAAAAGCCCCATAGATTGTACTTTGATAAAGGGAAGGAGGAAATCAACCTTGGAGCTCTCCTCAACGAACGTTCTCCTTTACCATAATTTCCTCGATATAAGCGTGGCGCCAAACTTGGACGATCCGAATATTTATTCCGTCTCCTGATTCCACCATTTCTATCCCCTGAACTCTCTCACGTTTTCTTCATCCCAGGTACTCTTCTTGGCCTGTTCAATAGGATCAACGTATCATGTTAGATATATCCCCTGAGCAGAATGAGTTCATCGTCCCAAGTTCAAGCTTCAAGAAACGAAAGAGGGATTCAACCCAGACTGATCTTCCTAATTCGATAAACACGTAAGTCGACGATCTCGTGGCGTAGGACTTTTTTTCTTTTTTTGGATGAAAAAACTAATCTCCTTGGTGACTGCAAACAAGTATCAGAATTCTTCCATCACACTTTCATAGCTTGAATTCCTCCTTCCGTTTAAATTGTTCAGATCTATCGAAAGACAACGAAGAGTTTTCTCCGCACCTACAATGCCTTCCCCGAAAACGACGAGTCCTCCAGCAACCTTATCCTTACTCACAGCAACAACCCTCACAATCATTGCCGGTTTCTCATCAATCCCACCCCAATTCAGTACAAAATAAGCATTTACCCTCAGCACTTTGCATTCCTACGTCTGCGAATGTTTCATCGCCGCCAGTATCTCCCAAAACCCTAGTACCTCGCTATCCAGCCCAGCAAAATTTCTGCACATCCGCGTCAGTTCTACGCTCCTGCCACATATGTCATCGAAAACCAAATACGAGAGAGCTCGTCGAAGCCTATGCCGACTGCGATCTATGCAACCAGCGAACCTGCTATATCTGCCTCCGCCGGTGTGACGCTGTCGACTGTATTGGACTGGGCGATTTTGCAGATCAACAGCCGTGGGGGGGAGCGTTGGACCGAAGGCAAGAAGGAACAGATCAGAGTGAGCTGCAGACCCTCAGGCAATCCCGGAAGATATGCTCGTCTTGTGCTGTGGAGGGAATTACTGAAACTGGATTGGAAGTGGTGCGATGCCTAGACTGCGCTTACGAAAACCACCACTAGGGAATTTTTTTTTTTTTTAATTTTAAATACACGGCAGATGCGGCATCTGGACAGAACTTTTGATATCCTTGAGGTGCTGCGAGGGTTTGCGGCTCTCTTATGTCTTTTTACGGCACGAAATAATTTTAATGACAGCACTTAGACTATTTATTCTATAGCGTATTTTGCTTTGAAGCCAGACCACCTGATGAAAATATTTCTTGCATCTGCAGTCAACACCAACTGAGAAGAGTGACATAAAAAACTACAGGAAGTGTGTGAGCGGCTGAATTCCACATTATTTCAGCGAAACATCTATTGCGCTCCTGTTCACAAGCTGTCTTTTCTAAACTTATAGCAGGCTCGTAAAACCATTGCCTATGCAGCGAGCTTAGACGCCTAATATTTGCGCAGCCCGGTAGTCACGAATTATAATGAATTAAATAGTGTGCCGTAGTGTCCCCGAAGGCGAGGGGTAAAGCATGCGCTATGACATGCGGAAGCCTTCATGGGTCGACTTCCCTTTCTCCATCCTCCCATTGCCTCAGAAATGGCCATTAGAACTGCTCTAATGTAAAAGGTGACCATATAATAGATGCATGAGGATGACAAGGAGCTTTTGTTATAAATGTTGTATACAACAGGTGTCTGATACCCTCGGCCCTTAACGTCCAAACCTCATTTGTGCTCCAGCATAGTGCCACAGGCCTCTTAGAAACCCCTGGTACTCAACGGTATCGGCGTAACCAGTCATTCCATTATGATTGTCTCCCGTACAGAACATTTCGGTGAGTCGGATATGCCAGGGTGGATACCCATCAAGTTTCAAGAACGGCCCGAAGACTAGAAGGAGGTCCGGCTCCGGTTTGACCGAGACGGATGGTTGAGCGAAATCAATTTTGCCGCGTGCAGAGGAAGGTGAAACCTCTTGCGATGGCTGGGTGGTAATCTCGCTGATTTCCGCATCAACCAATTCCATGGTGATATCTTCTGGGGATAGTTTGCCGTTTTGGGACATCTCCGCGAGGGTCTTCGTCAGGTCAACGAAGGTCTCTCGGCCGTCAGTGGCAGATAAAAGGAGCACTGTCAGGGATTCGGGGTTGGATTTATGGCGAGAGTCTCTGCCAGGGGATTGCCCGTAGACAGAATGGTGGGGAGCGAAAAGCCGGAGGGCGGGTTGCTGGGAGGGGTTTCCGAAGTAAGAGGCCAACTTGTTCGTGATTACTTGGTGTAGGGTGGGAATGCATGATTTCAGAGCACCTAAAAAATATATCTCGTCAGCATCACGGTACAAAAGTTGTACATCATCTGTCAAATATTTCGATTTCTTTAATATTCGCAAGGCATACCACTCTTCTCATAAATGCTCAACGTTGGGATTCCAGCGCTCACACTCCAGGATGCAAGCTCTGCGACTTCATCCATCAGGATCGCCAGAGCGTCATCTTCATTCCTTATTGATAGAATAACACTGAGGTGTTCTGGCAACCGATCCAGACCTTTGACATCTTTTCGGATCAATTCCGGAGTTCGGTGGTGGTAGTAAACGATGGCCAAGATGCGGTCCACCACAGCATAGTAGCCCTGAATGAGTCGTACAGCAATGCCATAGATAATATGAAGGAAGGTGTATGTGATTTGATGTATCTGCGATTTCACGAATGTACGAATGGGCGTTTTCTTGGGAATCTTTTTGCGTCGCTGAAGCGGGCGACGTGGAAGTTCGGACGGGTTTGGCAGATATTGTTTCAGAATGTTCTCGCGGTCAGAAACGCTGAGCTTAGTTCCTCGACCTCGAGAATCATTTCTTAGCGCCTCCCTGTCCCGTTGCGAAAACATATCGACGTTATTACCCTGAAAGCGGGTAGCCAAAATTGAAGGAGGTTGTAGATGAGATGTGGATGCCTGAAGAAGGCGCGAGGTGGAGAGAATAAATCAGCCAAGAACTGGGTGTCCTGCGAAGCTCGGTCCGCAGTTATTATTACCTCCTCGGATAATATACGGAGTAGTAGTGTTTAGGTGTTATTTGCAGAAGCAAATACTCACTAGTTGCATTAGTATACCTGGAGGGGGTTTTTTTTTTTTTAATTGTATGGTTGTGGAAAAAATTGGTTCTATGTACTGTTGTACATACGTGGTTTCTATATATTTGGGCAAGGGCCTAATCATGTTGACGTTTCTTGACTTACGATGGCCACTCAAGGCCTTGACTACAAGGAACAATAAGGAGCTGTCAGAAGATTAAAATAAGCAAAAATGTCTAATATCCTTTTCACATACCTACAGGGTTTTGGATTACTTAGAATAGAGAAAGTGATGACTTGAAGATGCATTTATCTTTGGGTTTACAGTACTTATCACACAAATGTTATGTTTCCATAGTACTGCACTTATACCTACTAGTAAAGCAGGTAGTGCTTGATTTATGTACTATCGTATGATGGCATTAAAAACTCGAGTTACGGAGGGTAGATATTTAGTATAATATAACAGTATAACTAGATCTCTCTGTATAGGTAAATACAAAGTGGGCCGTCAATTGATGATGATCAGTCATTTCTAGTCTACAAAGTACAGAATGGGGCCTGCATGTTCTTAGAATACCTATACTATAAAAAAAAAAAACCTCCTATAAATACCACCTATCTACATAGGCTCGAGAAAGAATAATACAGGTAACCACCCTTCGCTCTTCTTAATGGTCGAATAGTATTAGTATTTAATGAAGAATGTGGAGCTACGGAGAAGCTTCCCAAGTGGAACCGACCTGACCTGACATGTTGACCATTCCAGTGATGCAACACGGACAAGGACAACAACTGGTCTGCCTGCTCCTGTCTATCTACCAGCTCACCACAGTTACAGCAAGCAGGATAACAATATATATATTCTAAAATCTTTGGTGTTACTTGTCGAGCCTCCATGCCACGAAATATTCCGCCCAGATGCCGGACAACGTGACAATGTCTTCTTCTCAACTGAGTGCCGCATCTCGATCATCTGTCTTCCCCCAGGGCCCTAGCTTCACGCTCGAGGACTTTTCTAGTCGCGACTTTATAGTGAAAGAATTTATCGAAGCTCTCTCCGACAGCGCAATCTGTAATCGCCGTTCTACGATCGGTCCTGCGACCGGAAACCAGCCCTTCGACCCGAAACCCCTCATTCGCACATTCGAGCATGCCCAGAGACGACTAGGTGAGCTTTCTGGCGACTTAGAAATCCGAGAAAATGAGCTATCGGCGGCAGTGCGCCGGGCGGAGGCACAACACTCTCAAAACCTCAATACCCTGGGTAAAAAGTTGAAACAGGCCATCGAGTCGTTCCAGCAATTGGACACCTCCCTTCATAGCACTGGGCTCCCCGGCGGAGACTACAATGGAGCGATGGGGAATATGGCAGTTGAAACAGGAAGAAAGTTAGAGGAACTAGATCGGCAGAGACGCAGAGCGCTCGATGCTCACTTCCTTCTTGAGTGTTGGGATGGGGTAAGCAACAGAGGCGAAATAACACTTTTGGAAAATCTACGGCGATCTGGATCGGGCGAAGCTAAAGTACGTTCGGCCCAAATTGCGCGACAATTGTTGAGGATTAGTCAAAGGCTGGACTCCAAGAGCTGGAGTGAATCCGGCGGCAGAAATAACGGGTCATATAAGAACGGGTCGGCATCTCCAAATGGAAATGCTGTTGACGGAAATAGCGGCTTCAGATTCAACACACGGGAGATTATCGAGAAATTCTCCGAGACGCTGGAAAAGGACCTGTTGAAGCAATTTGATGATTTCTACCGCAAGGCAAACTTCGAGGGCATGAAGGATTGTGCTACGGTGCTTCAGGATTTCAACAGCGGAGCGAGTGTTGTCGCACTATTCGTCAATCAACATCAGTTTTTCATTGATCGAAGTCAGCTGGTAACAGAGGAGGTTGGCGGGGACCCTGAATCATGGGATAAACTTGCCGACCCCGACGCCGAACCTCTGAAAGTTGAGCCTAGCCTTCAGTCATTAATCGACGAAGTGAGGGTCGTCGTACAGGAAGAGTCAGCGATAATAAAACGAGCGTTCCCTTACTATGAGCAGGTACTTGGCAAGTTCCTACAGCGGGTCTTTCAGCAATCTATCCAGCAAAGGCTTGAGATGGTCCTAGAGAAGGCAAATAGCGTCTCATCACTGGCTTTCCTCCGGTCTCTTCAGAGCTCTCGTAGCTCTGTCAGCACCCTAGTTGATGAGTTAAAAGCGCACGGGCTGACTGAGCACCCAGACGCCATTTCCTCGCAGACATCACTTGTTCTGGACCAGCAGCTGGAAGATTTATTCGTACCCTACTTTGTAGGCTCTTCCTATATTGAAAGAGAAAAGAAAACCCTCGAAGAGCTGTATACATCTCTATTATTCAAGTTCGCCACTTTTCATTCCCGCAGGAAGAAGGCCACAACGACTTTCATCTCATCCCTCTCAAAGTCCAGCAGTGAGCTTCTTGCATCTGCACGGGAGGCATATATGAGCCGTTTAGAGTCATCGGAGGTTTCTCATACTCAAAAACGGGTCTTACTTCAGGTGGCAGACCTGAAAGAATCTAATGATGTTCCAAAGCCAAATGACGTTAAATTCACGGAAGAAGACGGCCAGCCTAGCGTAGCCTACGCAAAGCGGATGCTTAAATGGCTCGCTGAAGCAGTCGGCAGAGGATTGGAGCTCAGCGTAAATAGTGAAACGCCAAAGGATATGCTTGCACTGCTGAATCTTCTCCTGTTTGCAATGGGGGAGGGATATATTGAGGTTTGTCTCGATGCTGCTCTAGAAGCGGCAGTAGCTCAAGAGTCGGGCAAGGCTGAGCCCGATTTTGCCTATCTTCCGGCGGTTCGTGTTTCTATAAGCATTGCGAACTTGATGGTAATGTGCATCAATACGCTGCTTATCCCTCTCGCGGCAGCCAGTGTTACTGTTCGTCGAGAAATGGAAAAGAAGACCAATTTGACAATAGTCCGCATCGAGGAGAAAATCAATACAATCGAACAAAAATTTATCGATATTACTCTAATGTGGGTGAACAAACTTCTCGCAGGTCAAAAGAAGAATGACTTTCGCCCTAAGGAGGGAGACAGCACAGCTTGGCTGGAGAAGCTGCAAACACCGGTGGGTTTCTTATTCCCGTTCCGTTCTACGATGGAGGCGTTGTACTAATTGGAGCCATAGACATGTGCATCTATCTGCGCTTTCTTAACCCGTGCCCACAATATTGCGGTGATGTCATTGCCATCTGGCGGTGCTAATCTACGCCAGGTGCTGACGGAAATAGCTCTTGGAACTCGTGCTAGCCTCCTTGAACATTTCAAGCGATTTGTTGTCAATGGTCCTGGTGGACTAATGGTCACGAAGGACATGACCCAGTACGCGGACATACTCAAATCATGGGATATAGATGAGCAAATAAAAGGGCCGTCAGGAGCCATGGACGTTCTTCTGGAAGTCGGCAGTCTCTTTGTTATAGGACCCGAGGCTCTGCGCGAAAGGGTATATGGCACTGGGAGCAGCAGCGGGGGAAGGTCTGGAAACAATGCCGCAACGACGTCAGGACGAGGCGCGGGAGGAGCTGGTCATGTTGAAGCTGGGCTTACTGCACAGGAGGTCAGAGCATATGTGTTCCGCAGGGAGGACTCCAACACAACTGCTATGCAGCATGTCCTTAATGTTCTATGATTGATGGAGGTTCGGGCCCTGTACCTATATGGTCATCTTTTTCACAACCTACGCAATGAGGAACGGATGGTACTATTTTTACCTTCGATGGACCTTTTCTCACATGGTATACTCAAGAAAAAAAAATTGACCCATTTAGGTTGGTAGAGAGCGAAGAAATCCGGAGAGGGTTCTACCTTTACAGTACCCTAGTACCTACACTCAGGAAGATTAGTACCTAATTTGTCTTTTATGACCAGAACCGTGCACGGTTGATCAGTGATTCGTATCGCCCACAGTCCTATTAATTGGCCATAGTTACTCCACCTACTTTGGTATACTATTTATTACTATTACTACTAACTAACTAGTTAGTTGGTTAGTTGAAACATGAGCATGGTTAGTAGTAAGACACATCTGGCATTTCTCCCGAGTTTCTTTCATCCTCTGCTTACGGAGTACAAAGGACGGTTACTACTAGTTCGAACTAGCCAAGTATAGTCATTATAGTGGTATCTACCTAGTTAGGTATTATTTCCCCTTTTCCTCGTCACATTCATTCTTCCTCGAATCACGACGCTCATTCCAGCATTTGATAAACAGGAGGAGACAAGTCGAATCCTCAAGTATACACCTTCAAAGCTCGATCGTTGGTTTAGAGGCAACAGAGTGTTTTGGGAAGAATCCCATTCCCTCTGCTTTTATATAGGTTGTCGACCCTGGGTTCCGAAAATAGGAAGCCGTGGCTCTCTTTCAGTCTTGACCAAGCCCAATAATGACGAACTTGGCCTATAGTTCAAGCTGGTTGGCGTCTGTGGGGATCTCCAACCCGTCCCCCTGATCTATCAACGGGTGATTTGTTGGTTGATTCCCACTATTAACTGCGCTACTGCGCTCGAATAGTCAATTATCGTCCACGGCTTGCCTTTTGGACCATTGAGCCTTGACCCCCACCACGTCAATGCTTTGGGAAATGGTGTCCACGAGGCACGAGCACCATGCCCCTTCATGGCCGTTGCACGGACGTTCCCCCTTTTATGGCTTCTCGAAGGGTTCGAATCCACCAAGTGAGTGTGGTACGGAGTAATGATGGCTTAATTCTCGATAACCAATCCGGGTTGTTTATTGTACCTTAAAGCCTCCGCTTTCTCTTGCTTTGAGGCGCAGAATTTCTATTTCTTGCCCGGTGGGATTCCCCAAAGGAAGAGCGCCAACTCCAAGTGTCGGACAACTCTCAAAAACTCCACACCCCCGGTGTATTTGGCCGTGCTTCTAAACCACAGCTTATTCTAGCTCGCAGTGCCTTATTACCTCGATCTCGAGACCCAATCCAACGATAATTGTCAAGGAGGAACGCTTTTTGGATAGCTGCGTGACGAACTTAAGATTCGAAGACCAGGTTCCGCAAGCTTGTACTAAATCCGTCGTACATCGATATTTTCAAGTCTTCAGTTCTGTGTCTTGAGTAGGCTCATGGATGACTCGATGTATGAAAGTTTCCGCTGGTTGGATGAGGATGCGGATCTCGACCTGAGCTTGGACAGTTACCAGACAGACGCCTTGAATTCTTCGCCGCGTTTAGGTCAAAGAAGGAGACCCTCTTTCAGAAGGACAGTATCATTCAATTCCGTCCACTTGTCTCGCAAATCGGCTTCCTTTATCTCCCACGCAAGGGATCCAACTTCATGCGGACAGAGTGAGCCTCCGTTATTCACTTTGTCCAACCTCATGAGCGGACGTTCTTCTTTCTCTCGGCCAACGAGTAGAAGCCAGCCTCGCCATATTTCCCAGTCATCTACTTCCAGCATTGATCCTGCTGCACAATATTTCCACGACCCAGAAGCCCGACTCAAACTAAGGGTTTACCTTGGCTCGCCACAGAAATTTGATGAAGCAGTCCAGTTTGGATTCCCATCCTTACAGGATAACGAGACCGTTGTAGCGGAGCAAACCCACCCTAAAACGGATTCACAAGGACGTGAGTTCACAGGTACATTCCTGGAAGACGATGATACCTCACTATACGATGAAAAAATTGAAGCTTTCCCGAACATTTCGCGACTTTCCTATGTCATGCAGAGTCATGGAGAAAAAGGAGAACCTGCCATTGCTGAAGATAGGACACAGTCTTGGATGTCTCTATCAAAGCCAAGATTTCAGCGACATCTAGACACACGTGAGATGACACTCAGGATGACACTGACAAGGCCCGACCTTCGAACCGATTCCTCTCCTCCATCCTCGGTGACAGATCCATTGAGACTGGCAGAGTTATCTCCCGTACACAACTACTCACATATTTGGGAATCAGAACTGGATGATGAAAGTCTAGTGAAGAAGATGTGGCGCAAGTTTCGCAGACGAAAGTATTGAAAAGCTGGCGAGAGCTTTTCTTTCTCCTGTTTCCTTTTTGTCCCCTCGTTGGTATCGATTACTAGGTAGGATTAGCTATATACCCCAATTCCATTGCTTTGAGACCACGACGAAGAAAAAAAAATAAAAAAAAAAAAAAACCGAATAACGATCAAGTACGTGCTTTCTTTAAAGACATGAAAATTCCTCTGAAGTAACCGTTGGAGAGTAGGGAGTATACCATGGATCTCCACAGATGTGATTGAGACGTGCTAAAGATGGAAATGGGCGGCTAATTCGCTCAGCCAGAAACACGTGATCAAGGAGCTCTTGTAGGCCACGCAGCTGCCTACGAGTCAAACTGTTGCGTGCGGTGCAGAGTCATCTAGGAACTTTTCTCTCCCTCGTATTACAATATTCTCATCTTCATATTATACCGCGTTCCGTTATTTATGCTATACATTGTTTAGTTTCCTGTCCCGGCACGAAGCCAGCATCCGTGTCACCGAGTTACCCGCTTCGACACGGTTTACTGTGAGACGCTTCGCAGGGCCGTAGGCTTTCAGTTTCTTCCTCTTTTCAATGTTTAATGCTTCACGGCCATGATATCCCGATGGCTTCAGCTTGTGAGCTGCCTGATAGTGGCGCTCTGCCTTACACCACCCAGCGTTGCGAAGAAGTCCGAACCTACCGTCAGCAACCCTTTTAAGCTCCCTCATGAGCCGCTGCTTATGTTCTATTTCGAGGATACCGATACTATTCTTATGAACTTGAGAAATGGAGATCTTATGCGCTCATTTGATGCTGGCGCGAGCTGGGGGACAATTGAAGATGAGGGTATGAAGAACGAGGTCGTGTCCGTCCACGAGCATCCCTACGACAAGAACAAAGCATACGCATTGGGCAGAGACCAACGGCACTGGATTACGACAGACCAGGCAAAAACCTGGAGGGCGTTCGAGGTTCCACATAGTCCGCATTACGCAGCCGGAGCAATGTCACCATTTTCCTTTCACGGGTGGGATTCCAGCAAGGTCATCGTTGAGACGAAGGAATGCCCGATGTGCAGTTTCAAAACATATTATACGACGGATGACTTCAAGTCGTTAAAACCACTGAAGGAAAGTGCTGCTGGATGTTCCTGGGCAGTTGGCCACTCCCATTTCGGGGCAGACGTGGAGCTCCCAAAGTACATCAACGACCGAACCCTTTGTGTGCTTCCCGGCTTAAAGAACCCCTCCAGCTATGCATACCGTCTCGTATACTCCGATGACTACTTTGCCACAGAGGGCACAGAAGTGAAGCTCCAGGACGGGCGTCCAGTATCTGGTGTTACTAATGTTGCTGCTGTGAAGAAATTCATGGTCGCCGCCGTGGAAGCCCAAGGGACTGCCGAACGCGCTTTGTATGTGACAATTGATACTGAGACATGGCATCGCGCGGAGTTTGATGGCCACAGGATTGAGGAGGATTCATACACTATCTTGGAGAGCACGAATTATAGTCTTCAAATTGATGTTCTGACACATCGTTCCAGCGGCATGGGGACGCTTTTTACGTCTAATTCGAATGGAACATATTTCACCCGCAACATCGACTACACTAATCGCGGCCCGAGAGGCTACGTCGACTTTGAAAAGATTGCCAATATCCAAGGGATTGTGCTGGTAAACACCGTGGATAACCCTGATGAGGTCCTTTCTGGCTCTAGAAAGAAGGTTGTCACGAAAATCAGTTTCGATGATGGGAGGACCTTTGAATCACTGAAGGTTGATAGCGAAACCCTCCATTTGCACTCGGTGACAGCATTCGCCAATCTTGGACGAGTCTTCTCGAGCCCAGCACCTGGGTTAGTAATGGGTGTCGGGAATACAGGAGACTATCTCAAAGAATATGCTAGTGGCAACCTTTACGTATCGGATGATGCGGGCTTGAACTGGCGCCTTGCTCGGAAAGGGCCACATAAGTACGAGTTTGGTGATCAAGGCGCTGTCTTGATGGCCATTAGCGACGACGGGAAGGCTAAGAAGATTGAATTCTCTATCGACCATGGAAAGGAATGGAAATCGGTAGATCTTCCACATAAGCTGTATCCTACGACAGTCACTACAACTCCCGATTCAACGAGTTTGAAATTCGTTTTAGTCGGATTTTCGGGGGAAATTGGCCAGGAACAATATGTAGTTTTCTCAATCGACTTCGCCGAGCTGCATGAGCGAAAATGTGAAGAGGGCGACTTTGATAAGGAATGGCCTGCCCGATTGGATAAGGACGGCAATCCCGACTGTCTCATGGGTCATAAGCAGTTTTATAGGCGCAGAAAAGCCAATGCAGACTGTTTTGTGGACGAGGAATTCAAAGATCCCGTGCCGGATTTTAGGTCGTGTACATGTACGGCTGAAGACTTTGAATGCGAATACAAACCTACTGAGGATGGCAAGAGTTGTGTTTTGCCCTCGAGTTTGCGCCCCCCGGAAGGGCAGTGCCAGGACCCCAGCGATACATATATGGGTCCATCCGGTTGGAGGCTCATTCCTGGCAACAAGTGTATCCGAGAAGGTGGAGAGAGCCTTGACAAGAACGTCGAGATACCCTGCAGGAACGTCACCGATCACCCGGGAGCTGGAAAGGAAATATTTTCCACCCCGAGCTCCATCAGCGCTAAAAAGCTCCCCTACTATTATTATATGGAACGCCAGACGACCAATCTTGGGGATGATGAGACCATCTTGGCGCTCAACACCGATAATCAATTGCTTGTTTCACATGACCACGGAAAAAGCTGGAAACAGGAGCTCAAAGACGAAACCATCGTGGCTATTGCTCCCCATCGTTATAACAGCGATATGGCTTACGTTCTTACCAATCGCGCTGAGGGTTTCTGGACCATCGATAGAGGACAAACTTTCAAGCCTTTCAAAACAAAAGCACCTCCATCCCGGGACAGACTCTACCCTCTGGGATTCCACCCGACTAAGAGAGACTGGCTACTTTGGATAGGTGCCGCAGATTGTGATACCAATGATTGTCACTCTGATCTCTATATAAGTAAGAATCGAGGAGAAGACTGGGAACTCGTCCTTCGCTACGTTCAAAAATGCGAATTTGAGAGCAGGGCTAGTAGACCAGATAGCGATTATCTTCTATTCTGTGAACAGTATGAAAAGGAGAACAAGAAAAACCGGCTGCAGCTTGTATATTCTACAGATGAGCAGTTCTCCAATTGGAAAGTTCACTATGAAGATGTTGCTCATTATGCTGCGAGGTCAGAATACATTGTGGTAGCCTCGCGAAATACCGAAACCGGAGCCTTGAGGGCTAGCATTAGTCTTGATGGCTTGACGTTTGCTGAGGTGAAATTTCCCTCTAATATTGACCCCTATCAGAATCTATACACCGTGCTTGACGCTACAACGCACGCCGTTTTCCTTTATGTTGAGCAAGGCAACGGGCCAGGTGCCGAATACGGCTCGCTGGTGAAGAGTAACAGCAATGGTACGACTTTTGTTCTTAGTCTCGATCGAGTGAACCAAAATACTAGGGGGTATGTCGATTTTGAGCGAATGGCCTCCTTGGAAGGTGTGATCGTTACAAACATCGTCAGCAACGTGGAAGAATTGCCAAGCGGCGCAGATAAAAAGATCAGGACGATGATCACTCATAATGATGGTGCACAGTGGTCACTCCTTCCTCCTCCGGCAAAGGATGCCGAAGGCAAGAGTTTTGACTGTTCTACGCCAAATGGTAAAGGCACTGATCAATGTGCGCTTCACCTTCACGGGTACACGGAGCGTAGGGACGAACGAGATACCTTCTCTTCTGGCTCAGCAATTGGTCTGATGATGGGGTTGGGCAATGTTGGCCCTCATCTAACTCGCGAGGACGCGGCTGATATTTTCATGACTCGAGACGGCGGAATTACCTGGATATCTGTCAAGAAAGGTAGATGGGTTTACGAGTATGGTGATGCTGGGTCAATAATTGTGATTGCTCCAGAGTCTAAGCCAACAAAATCCCTTTATTACACCACCGATGAAGGAGATAGTTGGCAGGAATATGAGTTCTCTGAGGTAGAATTGGAGGTACTCGATATCTCGACTGTACAATCGGATACCTCAAAAAATTTCCTCCTTTGGTGCAGGAAACCAGGATCTGAGAAGGAGCTCACCACAGTCAATGTTGATTTCAGTGGTCTTTATGCCACCTCATGCGAATTCGAAAGTGATGGCAGAGTTGGCAAGGACTACGAACTTTGGGAGCCAAAGCATCCCTTCCAAGATGACAATTGCCTATTCGGGCATGTTGAGCAGTACCGCCGCAAGAAACCCACCTCTAAATGCTGGAACAATTGGCGCGGACCTCGCTTGCATAGTATTGGCTCAAATTGTACCTGTTCCAGACAGGATTATGAATGGTAAGCTCTCCATAAAAATAAGAAATCTTTAGCTTTGTTTGGTATGTTGGTTCTAACAAGGAGATACCCAACAGTGACTATAATTTTGAGCCGCAGAGCGATGGCAGCTGTGCCCTCGTTCCTGGACTTGAGAAACAAGACGCTGCTGCCTATTGTAAGGCTAACCCCGATGCCATTGAGTATTGGGAGAAGACGGGGTACCGACGTATTCCCCAAACTACTTGCCAAGGTGGTAAGAATCTCGACCACCTTGAACGAAAGCCTTGCCCTGGTAAGCATGAGGAATTCGACAAGAAGCATGGTATAAGCGGCGTCGGGCTGTTCTTCGCCATTGTCACACCAATTACAGTGGCGGTAGCTGTTGGGTACTATGCCTTTACTAGATGGGATGGAAAGTTTGGTCAAATCCGTCTGGGGGAAACCCAAGCCACGTCCCAGGGTTTCCTATCTCGGGATTCCTTGCTAATCACTGTCCCGATCGCAATTGTCGCGGGCATTGTCGCCGTCGCAAAGACCCTCCCACTACTCGCTACAAGTCTATGGAGAAGTGTCAGTGGCTATGTCCATATTGGGCGTAATAGGGGTTACTCGCGGCCCTACTCATCACGAGCTTCATTCGCAGCTCGACGGGGTGATTACACCAGTGTTGTTGACGACGAAGACGAGCTTCTTGGCGTCGAAGAAGCAGAAGCCGAGGAGGACGACGAGTTATAATGGAATGGGCAACCCTTCCTTTACTGTTTTGACCAGATCTATATGTGCCATGAGTGTTTATGTAATTTATGAGCGCGCAGTACTTTGGACAACTTTGCTATTTTGTGTACGTGTAAAGCTCTCTTGCTTGGCGGGATCAAAATCCTAAACAGAGGGCGCAAGAATAACAATAGAGCTTCAGATCATTTTTCACCCAAACTTACATCTACTGGAGTACCTTAACCTTTAGTCACGTTCAAGAAATTGAAGATGTTTCAGGCAAGGAACATGTAAGAATTCCATGGACTAATCTGGCTTCCCCAGAATAAATTTTTTTTTTAATTTGACCAATACGAGCATTGCAACTCCCCAATGAGATACACATAGTAAGAAAACAACGGGGAAAAAAAAAAAAAAAAAAAAAAAAACCAAACTCAAGCCCAGCACGTACTCATTCATGCAGCCGGGGTCTACTACGCCTTTCGATCTCATTTATCGGGGAAAATCACCTGGGCCAAATGACTTCGGAAGCAGCTGCAAAATGAGCGTTAGTACTATAAGCAGGCACCTAGGTATGTAACCTGCATCTCTCCGCACCCAGACACACAAACAACACAAAGAAAGAAAGGAGTTAGAAATACCTCGCCCATAGTTATAATGGTATGATTTCCGTCCACGTCATACATGTATATCGGAAACGAGGGGAAAGTAAATTCGCTCATACTAAATGAACTGTTGTCAGCCCCAGGCCAGGCACCAGCCACACTTGGAAGATGTACATATATATATATATATATATATATGCAGGAAAGGGGTGAGGGGGTGGTTATGGGGTAACTGAGATCTGATACATGGGTACCTAGGTATAGAAAGGAGAAGGGAGGGAGGGAGGGAGGGAAAACATACAACTGTCTACACATGCCGCAAGGCGAGGCGGCAGGTTTGATATCCGTGGCGACAGCGATTGCTTTGAAGTGCTTGTGTCCGGCAACCTAGAGAAATAAGACGAAACATCAGTAGAGATAGAGAGATAGAGAGATCTTGGTGAGGGATTTTTTTTTTTTTTTTTTTTTTTTCCTTTTTGCTTCTTCTTTGCGTTGCCCATTTCGAGGCGAGAGATATCAGGAGAAAGCAAGGCAGCGAAGATAACACAGGGGAGGACCGGATCACATACAACAGCCGTCCCAAAGGCAACTCGCTCAGCGCATGTGCCAACAGGATATGAGGCATTTTCGACATTGGCCCCTGTAATGAACTCACCCGACTGGGTGAGAATACATGCTCCGACGCGAAAATTGGAATAGGGACCTAAGAAGATATTAGAGAGATTTCTACTGGCAAGGCCCAAGATAACCATGAATGATGACGATGTTAGATCCCGGACGATGAAGAAATATACAGATCTAATTCTATCCCCATTCCCCCCCCGCAGCAGGAATAGGGCAGGTATACTCACAATAAGCTGTATCCTTGGCGGCAATAGCTTTTGATGAGAGGGTTTTTAATTCCTCTGCGGAAACTGCGGTTGAGGGAAGTGACATGTTGTTTGTTGAATCCAAAAGGGTATCTCTATGTGAGAGGAAAGTGAGGTGCAGTCGAGATTGATAGATTAAAAGAAAATGGGTCCGGGAAACAAGAACAACAGCAGCTCAGCCCCACCAAATCCGTGATGGGTATCCAGACTAGTCGATTGGAATTCATATCCTCTTATGTACAGAAGTTTCTATTGGTGGGAAATCGCAGTTTGATTGGTTCTAAATAAGATGCAGAAAGGACACAAAAACTGTTGAACAGAAAAGAAGCCCTAGTATCCCCAATCTATAATATATATATATATATATGTGTGTATATGCAGATATAAATTAAAGACAAACTTTTGTCTGCGCCAATACCAGCTTGGTTTAACAAGAAACAAAATAGCAATGGAAATCTAACTCTAAAGAGGGTCCGTAGATAGGTATCGTTGGGGAAATGTGGTAAGAAGGGACATGATCGGGCAAACCAAAAAAAAAAAAAAAAAAAGGAAACCTCTTAAAACATAGAATTGGATGGATTATCAAAAGTAACTTCGTAACCCCTCATAAACTGTGAAGATGAAAGCAGAGCTGGGTGCAGAACGGGCACAGGTGATGCCGCAGCCTCGATACAAGCCCCTGATGCCTTGTTGTCGCCACAGATTTCTGCCAACACTCCAGAAGGTCTGCTGCTTGCCATTGCGTGATACGTGCGTGGTATCTTCTGTCTGCAACCGTGATTTGATTGTGTCAGCGGGATAGAATAGGAAATTATAGCTGATACCAGCCGCTGCTCCTGCAAGCATTTGCTGATGAAGAGCAAGCGGTGTGGGCTCGTTCTCTGGTGAAGTAGCTGGCGAAGCTATGGGCTGGTATGCTCGGAAAAGTGCTGACACCCCTTCGTATCCTCCAAACCAGGCGGCTCCTCCGCCAGTTTCACGGATTAGTGTTCCCATCTGGCCCCGCCAGAAACCTAAAATGCCATCTTGACGGAATACCGTGACAATAAGCTTCAAAGGTCCCGGTGCCCGGACATTAGAAACCTCGGAGTGAACTTGCATCCGGCACTTAATAAGCTCGATAGGAGTCAAAGCTAAGGACGTGATGGATCCAGAGGCAGCGCCACTTAATATCAAGACAGAGAAAGGCAAGGGCTCGTTAGAGGTGTAGTAGGTGGACTTGAGAATGTCCCGAATTAAACGGTAGCTGAAGAACAAGCAGCTGTTCTCCACCGCGGCGCCTGCCATTGGGGCGCTGATGCCGCGGTACAGGCCCCGTAGGCCCTCGGCCTGGAAAGACTGGCGGAAGCAGTCCAGTGGCCCATTATACCGGAGGGGCAGATGATCCGGCTGAGACTGAAGCCGTACTTTCACGGTGTCAAAAGGGTATTCAATGATTTTTCCTACCATTCCCGCGACCTAGTTCCAAGGTTAGCCACATACCCAACCTGACAGCACCCGGTATAATGAGGGACTCACAGATCCAAAGGCAACGTCTTTGAAGGCTTCCAAGCCTTGACTGGGCGGGAGTGTAGGAAGCTCCATGGAGATTTCATTGGTAAGTGTTAACCCATTTTCAGTAGCCGCCATAGGGGTAGAAGCAGGGAGGCACCGAAAGCCAATGTAGAGATAGTATAAGAAGAAAGAAAGAAGGGTTTAGATTGAATTTTATCCAGATGACATCGTATGGGGACTCGAGAGGTATTTAAGACGAGAGACAAGGGACTTGGTGAGGGGCGGTGTACTCCGTACCAACGAGGGGTTTGGAGTAGCCCAATCCACGCGTGGTAGCTTAGAAAACAAGGAGCATCGCTTGCAAGCTGCAAGCCCAAAGGCTGACGCGGGATATTGAGGACAGTGCGGTGGGGGCGCCTTTTTTCCCCTGATGGTTTGTTGCGATAGAGGTAATAATCTCAGGCGACCAGACCCGAAAGAATCCTCATTGACGAGTCATCCGGAGCCCGACCAGTTGTGTGTGGGACCGGGTTGGCACTTCTCCCGAGATCCGGTTATCTGATCGGTCTAAGATAACTTTTTCCTCAAAATTTCGAATCCCGCAAAAAGATTGAGATCCATCGTTCTCATCCGGTGTCTGGAGGATTCCATCAGGTTTCTTCCTCTCTTTTCTCCCCCCTTTTTTCTTCTTCTTATAGATACTATCGCTATGTCGTCCGTATCCTCTGCACCATCCGCTCCGGTGGTGAGGTCTGTCCGGAAAAATGGTAAAGAACTAACCACCCCCACTTTTTCTTCTCATGCCTTTTTTGGTGTTTTCTTGCTAATTTTTCGCCTGTTTCGGACCCGCAGGGAAAAACTGGCATGATACCAAGAAGCCGTTCCGCCCTACTGCAGGCTTGACCTCCTACACGAAGAGACTAGAAACGCGTAAGCACCAGGAAGCTGTTAAGGAACATGAAAAGGAATTGAAGGAAGAAAAGGAGGCGGAGAGACAGGTAAGGGATTTGGCTCTTGCGCCGTATCGGATATCGCAGTCCCTCCCGGCGTACTGACCACCTTGTCTAGGCCCGAATCCAGAAGATCAAAGAGCGCAGAGCAGCGAAAGAGGAGAAGGAGCGATACGAGAAGCTGGCAGAGAAGATGCATCACAAACGCGTTGAACGACTCAAGCGGAGGGAGAAGCGGAACAAGCTGCTCAACTCTTAAGTTTGAATTTCCTGTCCTGGATATCTCGTGGTCGCTTTTACTGCGTCTTGCGTTTGCACCATGCTATTCTGTACAACCATAGCAACGGCAATATGGCTTGGAAGTTAACGGCGTTTCAGGAGCTGGACTCTGTTTTGGATTACTGAATTCATCTTTCGACAAATTTCAATTTCATGTCTTTGAGGGTGTAAATCCCCTCCATATTACTAGAATTATTTTTTGTCTTTAAAAAAAAGGGATGATATTGATGATGAAGATGTGTGTGTGTACACGGTACCTACCTGGTAATGAGGGTAGCTGCCTGCTTGGGGAGAAATCCCGACTAAGGGACACTTGCACACATATACTTTAGATAGAGATTAGAATTCTACGATATTTAATTATAAGCTACCTAATAAACCAGAGAATTCAAGAATAGAAGTAAAGAATATCTACCTTCCCCTAAATTCTACCACATTCGACCATTGAGCTCCCCCCTACCGGGTAAACCAATAAATCTGACAGTTGGGGCCTGCAGATCCGGGGAGTTCTGCATCGCAACATCGCGTCCCCCTCAAACCGAGAAACTTCTCTCTTCCCTGAGGATGGTCTCCCATTAATCCCCTTGGGTTTATATAGACCTCCTCGTCTTCAACAGCATCTTATACCCCTCGCTTAGGAAATTTGTCCGGCAAGTTCGCGCATCCAACATGGAGCCTTCATTTCGACCAACCTTGCTCATAACAACCCCGTCATCGGACGAGATACCCTCTCTCACCCATGGATCTCCTGTCGCGGGAAACCAAACAAGCTCTACTCCCCAGTCTAACAGCCCAGGGAAGCCGTCTACAGGAGATGGAGGCGGTGAGTAGTGAACGTTGGAGAGGTCCTTGACGTACCAGTACAGACAAGGAAGTGATCGCTAAACCCGAGCAGACAATACTAAATCTAAACGGCGCCATAGACACATCAAAGATCGATCTCGCGACGGCCTTTTTCGACACAGAATGAATTCCGCCGGCTCTTCGACTGCGGGTCGAGGCCTACTGTCGGCATATCATGAACGGGATAACGATGACGCTGGCTTGCTTCGACCGATAACTGGGGAAACTACACGATCTCGCTGGGGGTCGGAACCGACAGCGATTGGGGCTGGAAGCAGGAGGGGGAGTTTATTTGATCTGGTCGAGGAGGACAAACAACTCGGATTAATCAAGCGACCGGAGGATATCCGGTCCATGGACGACTTGGTGCAAGTTAGGAACCAGCGAACCAAAGGAGAAGAGTAAAGTCTTATTCGAGCCTGTTCTCGTGTGGCCGGACTAGTCTAACTTTTGCGATTGATAGGTATCTCCGTTCTGCATTGTCGTTGATTGGAACGCTTGCGACGGATATCACCCGCAGGCTCGACTATACGTACTACGGCCTCTTGGAGAAGATCGCGGCGCTCAACGTGACGATATCCTCCTTCCAAGAACTGTCAGATTCTACGACCAAGCTCTTCCATGACTTTCAGCATGAGACGACTAGCTTGGAGCAAGATATCCGGAAACAAGTCACCGACCTCAAGGAGTTTCAGCCGCAGACGGAACGAATCGAGGCCTTGGAAGAACGGATGAGGGCCGGCAAAGCTAGGGCGGGGGCTCTCAGTAGTAGGCTTGAGGCGATGCGAGATGAGATCGAACAATGGGAGAAGAGGGAGCTGGAATCCCAGAAGCGGATCAACCAAAGTCTGCGCGTTTTCTGGGGGGTTATTGCTGCTGGGATACTTGCAATTGTGATTGCTGCGGTGATTCAGAATCGGCCGGTCGAAGAGCCATCAAGTCCAACATTACCTTTGAAAGCCGTGAGGTCGGCAAACCATCTTCCTTGGGCTCAGAAAGACGCCGCTGGGACTTCACACATCGAGCATGTACAATCTCCTGCATTATCTGATATTGATACCCGCCAAGGACCTACCGAGTATGACCGGCTGCGAATCTTCGACGAACTATGAAACAGCATGTTTCTTGTAACACCATGATACCCACTTTGTGCTCTGCTACTGTTTCTCTATGCTTTGTATATTGTCATTGCAGGGTACATTTATATATATAGTGCACTCGTTGACCGAGTTCCAGTAATAAATAATAATAATGCACATTCTATTTCCCAAATCAAGCGCCCTCGGCCTTTTTCTTCTTTTTATCCTCAACAATATCAATATTAGCCTCTGGAATCTGCTTCCCGTAGACCTCCTGCAACCACTCCTTGATATCCTCGCACACATCCCCCTGCACGGTAATCTCCTCAATCCCTGCCGCGGATTTAGTCACAGATGACCCAGTCGCAAATTTCTTCCCCAGATCCTTGGCGATCTTCTTATTCTCAAGCCCGTAAACCTCCAGGCCCGTCACGACACTGACATGTTTGCGCTTGTTCCGCTCAACCCGCTTGATAATGACCTTGGACGTAGCTCGTCGCTCTGCATCGCGCTCCGCGTCCCGTGCAGCCTTTGCTTCCTTCTTCGCAGCATCTTTGGCAGCGCGCTCCTGCACGGAAACCGAGAGGGTGGATAGGTTGGTACTGAGGGCTTCTAGATGAATGAGCGGGGAATCGTATGATTAGTTATCCATATTGGCCACGATAACATATGATGATGTCAATTGAGAAAAGAAAGCAAAGCAAAGAAGAAATACCGTCCGAGTATAGCCTTTGATATAGGTCTTGATTATTGTCTCTTAACCAATCCTGGCATTTTTTCGCGGTACCGCCGAACTCGCAGTACTATTGCATCGATTTATTAACATAACATGACATAACATGCCTTACTGTGGTTGGGACCTTGGTGGATTAGGTAGAATAGGATAGGATCAAAGGCTCGGTTCGTACCTCTGGGGGTAATGTACAAACTATACATTCCCAAAAAAAAAAAAAAAAAAAAAAAACAATTAATTCTCTGCACAGATACGCCCCCCCAAAACAAAACAGGGCCCCCCCCGCGATCAAGTTCAAGTACTCAACATACCTCCACAATACGCAACATGCCTAGCATGAGACTCGACGGGAGCAGACTGTGCAACTTCGGCCATATCTGATCGCTCTCCCTTGGTATTTCCACGGCGGGAGGAGAACAAAAGACAAGAGGAGAAAAACGACGTCGACTTCGGTCGTAATAAGCGCGCCTAAGCCCAGATATAGAGCGCTCCGAGGGATATTCCCAAGTTCCTGCTGAATTCGCTAGGTATACTTCAGATTAATCTGATGCGCATGCGCGGGGTTGGATTGGAGCTGGGACGAAAGAAACAGGTGCTTAGTCACCAGATATAGTCATGTGATGCGACACACTCTCCGGATTGATTCTTTTACTTGTAGTTGGAGGGGAATTTAGATTTGGATTCTAAATTAAGACTTTGGGGACTACTACCTATGCCCGGGTATTCTTACACTACGTAGTCGGTATAATATAAATCTTTCTAGTAAAAGGCCTGTTGATTAAAATTGTGAAAGTACCTCCGAGGTTTAACGGGCTCGTGTAACCTGTGAGAGCACAGACACCTGGGAGGGTTCTGTCTTGCGTTTTCGTAGATGATAGGTAGGAAGGACCTCACCGCTACCCTCACGATCACAGACTCCTAGGTCAAGCACCTCGCCTAGGAAAAAGGATCCCAGCACTGGGACTCCCCTCTTACCCCCGTATACTGTTTGTTAGTGTTCACCTAGTCCCTGGAGTCTAGAACTCCCCAGGAAATAAACTTCACTCTAACCCCGCCCGCAGCGCCTAGAAGGTCTGTGAGATGCCATATCTCTGCCTCCAACAAACGCACGCACGCAATACGGGGAATCGTACTTTGGCGGACGCTAAACAGGACATGACACCTGCGGAGATTATAGGGTATTATTGTTAGATGGGAGTGGAGAGTGGAGGTGGAAACTAGAAAGTAAGGTTCCGAGTCCCATCGAGGGGAATAAACTGACCCAACGCAAGATAAGTGTATATACTCCGCCAGAGATACCTATCTATAGTTCTACTGGAGTAGATACCTACCTACCTAGGTACCTGTTGTCATGCCACCCCTCCTTTCCCTGCCATGGTACTCCGTATTCAGTACCCTGGCACCGACTTAACATGCATACAATACATCCTACTTGACAACTTCCTGTCTTTACAGGAAGGTTGTAAAGTCGGTTGGATTTGCTGGGTTGGATAGAAAAGGGATTTACTACTATTCAAGTACTACCAGGTAGGTAGTTGGCTGAAAGTCAATGGATCCAGTTGAGAGAAGATATCTCTATACTTAAGAACCTACAGGAAGGCAATAGTTAGTTAACTACATCTAATGATCTTATTAATAGAATATGAATCTTAAATATTTGCCTCTCCAAAGTTATTCTGGATCAGCTCCGGGTTATTCCGAGATCCCTTTTTCTTCTAACCAACTACACTACCTAACTAGCCTGTTCATATCCAGTGCAATTGGCTCAATTTCAGTCCGAAGATCTAGACTTGAGAGACTTGGTACTGAACCCCGAAGAAAGGAAAAGACAGCCGTCGGATTCAGCTTCAAGATAAGCCAGAATTACTGAATCCGGACAGGAAAACGGGTATGAGGGGGTTATGATTCAAGTACCATGGGATGTCGATGGATAACAGTTGAGGATAGGTTGGAAGTTTCGGAATTTGTAGAATGTATAGCAGAGTAATGAGTATCGGAGTCTAGTTCTTTCCTGACGAGATGGTGGAGTTTGCAATTGTCCTGTAGGAATCTGGAGTTCCGTCCGCTAAGTTCAACTACACACCATCATTCCCTGTTCCCTCCCCTTCTCACTTTCAACAAAAGTTGGCTCCATCCATTCCTGACGTCCAACCTTCCTAATAATATTCCATCATCCTATCCTTTCTTCGTTCCCAGAAACTGCCTTCTTTTCGCTACGTTATCCCCCTCCCCTAGCCGTAAGAAATACGAAGCGATCCCCGATCCCCAATCCCTGATTCCCCCACCGAAACATATATATATACACACCCTTCATATCTTATCTTGCAAATACATTCATTCGTGACCGTTCCCGATCCTTTCGCTACCTTGGCGGGCGCCCTGACGTTCAGCATATAAACTCCCGGCTGATGGTGGCCCTGGGATTCGCATAGATGACCCGGATACCGTCGCTAGGATGACTGCCGTGCTTCCCTCCTCCCGAGAGGGCCATTCGTGCTTTTCTCCAGATCCCCTCCGATTCCCGACCACCCAGAGATATTTCCTAGGACACCCAGACGATGCCATGGATAAACCGATAGTGCATGATCTCCCGTCCAAGGAGTATCCCAGCCCGATCTCGTCCTCTGCGTCTTCTTCCATCCCACCCTCCCCGGATTTCACCCCAACTGCTGCAGATCCCTTCTTCCCGTCCACCCCGACGAGTTCGTTCTCTCTCAATGGCCAGGACGACCCAGCTGATGCGGAGATATTGTTACCCTGCTATGATAGAGATTTCCCTCACAGGGAAACGAGCACCCTGAGCGAAGTCTCCCTTGATTCGTTGACGGACCAGCAACGCTCTTCCCCCCAGACCCCTGCCGCCGATGACAGTTCCATTGAGGAGGAGCCGTCGCGGCATGTTGACTATCTGTCCCATGAGTGGAAAGAGGAGGATATTTGGGCTTCCTGGCGCTACGTGGTCGCTCGCAGGCGGATCTACGATAATGGCGTGCGGTTAGAGAACGCATCGTGGAGAACATGGGCAAAACTAAAACAAAACCTCGGCACAGTATCGCCAGAGGCTCTGAACTGGTACGTGTACCCATTATCCTTTCTTCTTTCTGGAGATATAAGACATGCCCTAACCCTTTGTAGGTTAAAAGACTGTGATGTAACATGGTTGTATGGCCCGTTGAAAGCTTCCACCGTGCGCGAGAAAGTGTTGAATGTCTCTCCTCCTCCCAGCTGCTCGGAGACGCCCACCCTAGATATGGATCGAAAATCAATCCTGAAAAAGCGAACAGCGTCGGAGACTATTCTACAACGTTCTCTGTCCCAGCACACTCTTCTGCAACATGCGGGTGCTATTCTCATGGCCCAAGAGGCCGAGCATTCTCGCAGTCGGCCCACATTTTCTAGCTATCCCTCTGATTTTGGCCCAATGGTCAATAAATCCTATTCCAACCCCCTCCAGACTCCGCTCGATGGGACAGCGACGAATACTTCGCTTTCAGGCGTCAGTTCGCCCAGCGAACAACGCCACATTCACTTCAATGATGAAGTGGTACAATGCATCGCGGTAGAGGCAAAAGAGGACGATGAATGGCCTAATGCATTGGGAGACGATTATGCATTGGGAGATGATTCATCCTCAGATGACGGTATCGTAATGAAACCAGGCCCCCTCGATGCTTCGGCCAGCGGGAGAAGCACTCCTCGTGGCAGCTTTAGCAGCGAAAACAAAACAATTGCCCCACTCCCATCTACTACGCTGAAGTATCGCGGCGATACTCCAGACCCCTTACCTAGCTCAATTATGAATCGTTGGTCCGGGTATCTTTCCGGATCCCGGTCATCATCTTCGTTTTCCCTCGAAACGATCCGGCCGTCTGACCGGTCTTCTAATGCTGCCTCTTTGGACGAGGATACTAATGATCTAGGGTTCGATTGGGACCCTACCAAAGATTTGGACCACTCCTACCGCCCATGGTTTGTGAACTCGACGGAGGAGGACGACGATCAGCTTGACCAGAACCATCAACTTGCGTCGATGGGATTTCCAACTTACGACGAGGCGGAACCCTTGAATACTAGCATTTTTGACAAAGTCGTTGATACTGTCAACACTGCGAAAGACATCGCCCACGTAATCTGGAACGTCGGTTGGCGGCGATAACGAAGGAAAAAAACAAGGCTGGCTAGCTTCTGGCTTTCACGACATACTGGCTCCATAATTATGAATATACGTATGCACCGGCGTTGCAGGAATATTTAATCTGCAATTTTTTATTTATTTATTGAGGTTTAGCGAGGACGGCAAAGGTATTTTATTTTTTTTATTGATATTTTTTAATGACCGGGTGGGAGGCTGTCTTGTTGGTCTGGAGTTGTTTGTGAGTCGGAGGTTATGGTGGTGGTTGCATTACGCGCGCCTTTGGTTTTAGAGGATTAGAACTTACGATGGGTTGTTGGTACAATATATAGGTAATGCTACTTGGAATGGAAGATTTTTACTACAATCTTTACAGTCCTCTCTTCCAAGCACCACCGATTGGGACTAAAAAAGAGGTGATATTCAGGCTTATGGGCTCTTTTGCTCCTGGTGCCTCTCCTGGGTTACTCAAGATGGTCTAATCGCGACTGCTTGCTTTGGATCGTGCTAACCTTCCTAGATCTCAGCTTGATTCTGTTCCTCCCCAGATCTTGGTTGTACTTACCCCCGAACAACTTAACTCCTAAGTTGGGGATACTTCTTAAACATGGAGGCGTCGGGCAGTGACCGCCTCTGCCTTTCCTCTCACAAGGCTTTGTATACATCCGAGAGTAACTACTCGCAAAGCCGTCATTAACTCCAATGCTCCATGCGCAGCCTCATTTACGGTTCTGGATCTTTATGATCCTGAGCACATTCGCCATCTCCCTTAGCTGCTATGTCCTTTATCGGGAATGGCATGGCTCTTCTGAGCCCGAACTGACAGACTGGAGCCTCAAACCAGATTCATTCACCTCTCCAGGCCGAAACGACACGGGTTGCTCCCATCTCCATGGGAAAATGGATAACATCCTAGTGGCGTTGAAGACAGGCACTACAGAAGCGCTGGAAAAAGTCCCCGTGCATCTCGAAACCACGCTCCGATGCCTACCACACTACGTCATCTTCTCGGACTACGAGGAGGAATTCGCCGGCGTACACACATATGACATCTTGCGAAGTGTCAGCGGCGAAACGAAACGCACGAACCCTGATTTCGGGATTTACAATCGGCTGCATACTCTTGGCCGTCGCGGACTGACCGCAGAGGATTGGACGGATGAGATGAATGGGCCATTTGGGAAACAGGGAAATCCGGGATGGAAGCTCGATAAATGGAAATTCGTGCCTATGATAGACGAAGCTCTGCAGATTCAGCCCGGGATTCAGTGGTATATGTTTGTGGAAGCGGATACATATGTCGTATGGTCGAATCTAGCAACGTGGCTGGCTCGATTCGACCCCGAGAAGCCTTATTATATTGGTTCTCCGATGCAGATTAGTGGTGAGGTGTTTGCTTACGGGGGATCGGGCATCGTGCTCTCTAATGCTGCTATGCGGCTGGTTTCCAGACATCGTGCCCGGCATTTTGACGACGTGGAACGGATGACTGCTGATAATTGGGCCGGAGACCATGTCCTCGGAAAGATCCTCTATGACTTGGGTGTGTCACTCGTTCGGTCATGGCCGATGCTGCTGCCGTCGAGTGTGTGGGAGTTTCCATATTTTGCTGAAGGACATAACCGGAATCCGTGGTGCTACCCGGCTGTTTCGTATCATCATATGAGCCCCGAGGATATCCAAAATATGTGGCTTTTTGAGCAACAGTGGTTTGGATTTGTAAGTGTCCCAGAGGTGGGACGGTGCATAAGACGAGAATGGCTGACCTTTGGTATGATCAAGGATAAACACGCAGTCCTCCTACATAGAGACGTTTTCAAAAACCTGATCCACGACGTAATCCTTTCGCACAGTGACGACTGGGACAATCTCTCGTCCGAGCATGTACGGGAGCCGGAGAAATCTACGGAAGTTCTCGGTTCTGCTGATGAGTGCGGACGGAAATGCGCCCTGACGACAGACTGTCTCCAGTTTTCGTTTGGGAGTGCTGGCTGTTGTGTCTCCAAACTTGTTGTTGGGGGAGTTCGTCGACCCGGGGTATATTCAGGTTGGATGACGCTACGGATCAAGGCGCTTTTGAGGAATGCAAAGGTTTGTTCTCAGATACAGTATGTTTAGTTCTTTTAGATTCCAAGAACAGTGAACCCCCAACAGGATATCAATATGGTATAATCCATGCATTAGCAAATATGAGAGATACTATTATGCCTTTACTGTATATATATATATAACGGGAGAAAGAAAAAAAGGGAAGGGGGGGAACAATCGTACAAGAACATAATTTCATAGAAAAGCCTCTAAAAATATATATGTATAGCCCGGGTTACTTTAAAAAATACTATGTACAATGCCGAAAACCAGTTAGGTATATGATGATTGACGAGCCAAATATCCAATCCAATATCCAACTCTCACAAGTGGGTATCATAAAGAGAACGAAAACAGAATCAAAATGAGGTTGCTGGGTGTCATGGTCATGGTCATGGTGATGGTGATGGCAATGGATGGGGATTAGCCGAGGGGAACTCGATCGACAATTGAACGATCCAGATGCGAGATAGATGGACTTTCTCTTCTTCTTTCTCATTAAAGGTTGGTAAGGTTGGTCAGTGTGGTGTGTTTTATTTTATGGCCAAGCCAAGCCAAGCCAAGCCAAGCCAAGCTAAGCTTCGGTTGATGCGTCGGCGAAATCGCGAAAGGTCTCGGGAAAGAAGCCCGGGGGAGGCCAGATATCCGCGATCGAAGGCGGATGCACTAATGGCTGAGAACCGGCGAGACGGTCCGGGTCGTGGCAGAACGCCTGGAAGGTGGAGTCGTCTAGGAAGCCGAAGTCCTTGAGGCTGGCTTCGCGGCCTGTTGCCCATTGGGTGGTATCTAGGTACGCGAGGTCTTTGAAGATGGCGTCAATGCCACCACTACTCACGCTGGAGTTGGAGTTGGAGTTGGCGGTGGAGGGTAGGTTTTTTGGGTTGCTGTCTGCGGAGCGGTCGTTGGTAACTGTGGTGGTGGTGGATGAAGTAGGACCGGACATCATGGCATTAGAGACGGAGGAGTCGGGGGTGGGAGGGTGAGGGTGAGGAGCAGGGGGAAGCATCGCGTCGAGGTCGCTTGCGGGGTCCGGTTTATCTACCGTGGCCGTCGCTCCGTCCAACTGAGACTGGAAGGACAACTCAATGGCGGATGGGTCGGCGTTTTCCATGGTGGTGTCCTTTGGTGTCATGTATTGCCCGTCGACTGGAATCGGGATGCCAAGGATAGAGGAGGTGTAGTCGGTATCGGTTAAATCGGGGGCGTTTTTTCTTGTCTGCGCGGGTACAGGAGGGTCATCGCTCAGACTTTGGGGTTCTGTCGCGGGTCTGGAGACGACGTTTTGGAAGGGGCTTTTGTGGAAGGCCATGTTGATTCCTCTCTCTACATCCTGGATTTGGAATGACCGAGAGGGAGATCGGGATGTATCCTTGGCGCGATACCATTGCTCGATACTGTTGACTAACGTACGATAAACCGGCCAGGTGGAGCTGAGCTCTGTCGTCCGCTGGACGAGGACGTCTGCCCAGCGTCCGAACGGAAAAATGTCACATTCGATCTTATTGCGAAGGGTGAACGCTTGCTGGGCGATAGTGCGCAAGGCGAATTCGAATATAGGCGGCAAGCTGCAGATCTTGAAGTTCTGCAAATGTTGGGAGATCATCGGAAGGGCCCGGAAGAGGAGTTTCTTTGCTCCCTCGGTTGCGGGCCGTTGAGAACGGTGGAAACCAAGTTCGTGAGGGGCGATTCGCAAGTAAAGCCATAATAGTGTGGCTACGTAGGTTAAACCTAGGTAGGTTTGATGTGGGAGCAACGCGGAGTGACGTTCGGGATAGATGCTCTCGGGCCCAATAAGACGACATCCCAGAGGTAGACGATCATCCCACTGCTTGAGCTCTAGGACCAGTTGGTGGGCGACGATGTGGGCGTTGGGTCCCGCTATGAAATCCCGAGCGATCTTGTTCAAGACGCTTGATAGTTCCACCAGCCTGTTGAAACAGCTGAGAGCGAGGAGAGGACCGCGACAGGGCGGATTCTTCCCTTGCGCAGCGCCCGTAGGTGGTAAGACATCAACCCAGGAATTCCACTCTTCCAAGCCGTCTTCATCTAATAAGCCGACTGTGGCCAGGTCCCGCGGGTGCATGCTTGGGCGTCGAGACATGCGGAATGATAACAAAGAGTCAACAACAAAGCATCCGAGGAAGACGGCTTTACCCTGTCTCAGTCCCTCGGATCTTCGGGGTTCCGTGGAGGTCCCGATGCCCATGGCAATAACCATGCGAACAGCTTGGCCACTGAGCATCCAAGCTGCGGTCCAGTCCTCAAGGCCAATGCTCACTAGAGTTAGCAGTAAAAGAGCTTGGACATGCCCGAGTTCGTACCGCTTCGTTTCGGTGGGGATCAGACTTTGGGCAATGGCATAATATTCCTTGGTTTTGGAAAGAACTCCCAGTATTCCGTCCTGAGAGTGGGATCGGGATAGCGATATGGTGTAACTAAGGAGCGCCCACAGAGCAGCATGGTCTCCCGATCCCGGAGAGAGATTTGCGACAGATAGAGGTGCATTGACGTAGAGATAGGAAGCTCGGAGGATGTTGTGCTTTGCGACGATTGGGAACCAGGAGTGGGTGACGGCAAAATAGGTATCAAGTAATTGAGAGGCCTGAGGAGGTAATTGCAGTGGCGGCGGCGGCTGCTGCTGCTGCAGCAACAGGCCATTCGGGGTTTGTAATATAGGCCGACTGTCTGCGGGGATTGATATTCGCGCTCTTTTGGCCCGTGGCGAAGCGGTTGGTTCGACTACGTGTGGGGCATCGTGCGACAGGGGTGTGGAGCTGCGGTCTATACGGAATCCCCATTCAGTTCCAGTATCTTGCAGGAAATGGTCATGGTCGTCGCGGGAGCGTTTGTGCGAGCCGTGTGCGGGGGAATGGGAGGCGGTTGACGACAGCATCTTCTCGAGCGCGCCATAGAGGCGGCTCGTTTTCCAGGACTCATGCAGGGTCTCTGATGCGCCGCCGTCAGCCCAGAGAGACACAATTCTCTTTCTCCGGCCAGCGGATTCGGCGGTGGTACCCAAGAGGTTGAGCATGGTATCTTCGAAGCCATCGATGTTGCAGATCGCCAGCGCCCAGAGCTTCTCCAAGCCGCGGACATATCCTTCGGGTAAGCCCCGTTTTTTGGCGTGGGGATCGTAGGAGCAGGGCTGGCCAGAAGCCTGACAGGCAGAACAAGAAGGACGCAGGCCGTCGCATTTGTCCTGGAGCGAGGATTTGTTAGAACATCCCTAGGAGATATAGGTATAGAGGGAAGGTACCTTTTTGCTTCGACACCTGTCGCAGGCTCTCGACACCCTCTTGCGTCGAGGGACTTTGAGATCGGAGCCCTCATCCATTGAGGGGATGTTTTATAGGGAGAATCGCATGCTATGTCAGGAAGAACAGGAGGGAAAGGGTCAATCACGAATTACCGAGTCGTCTCGTCGGGCCGAATTCGTGGGGGGGGGGGGAGGAATGTACTCCGTAGGGTGGGAGGTAAATTGGGTATAGTTATGTATAGTCGAGTCTCGACTAAGCGAGTGGAGTACCACTACTAGTACTAGTAGTGGTAGTAGTAAGAGGTGAAGATTGATCAAATCGGAGATTTAATCAGAAGGAAGACGGAAGAAGCAGCAGCAGCAGCAGCAGATAGAAGTTAGATGAGGCCAGTAAAGGAAAGAATATAGACCCAAGAGACAAATGGCCAGACCCATCCCGAGGCAGAGCGGAGAAAGCAGGGGGGCTTCTTAACGGGGACGGGGAATCTGAAGATGGTCTTTTGTACTAATTTGTAGATAATCCCACATATGATTTCTCTCCAAATACTTTATGATTCTCTCTCTTTATTTATTTATTATCATAAAGATTTAAATACTCAGGGATGGTAAAAAAAAAGGGACTCCGTACTACTAAGTATAGTCTAGATCTTCGTATTATATCAAGTACTGTATTGTATTATATCCAATAAAATTCTTCCGCTGAGATGAAAAAGTGCCGATTATCGGTGATTCCCCACCACGGGAATTTTTCCGAGCCCTCAACGGAACTGTCCGTTTTTTTTTTTTTTTTTTTAAATTGTTCGTTCCGTCGAGATGCTGAAGACAGGGGTTTTAAATAATAGAGAATATTATAGCATGGAGTCATCGATTCGAACCGGCATCCCGAGTCGGTATCTCTCTACTATTACGGATATACTGAGACTTCCATTACTGTCTAATTTTATGGATAAGGAAAAAAACCAACCGAGGTATCCTGGATAAGCTCTTTTCCGGAAAAGCGGTCATCCCTGGCAAAAAAAAAAACTCCCACAGCCCAAAGTTTTGGTCGACGAGACAGCTTGTCATACTCATCTGGATTCTGGGGTTGTCTACATGCCCCAGGGTTCGGACTTTCACTTCTCAGGCATGTTAAGATCTTTTAATCCTCATAGTTCCATCGTCCGCCCCTCTCTTGGTTTCTATAGCCAACCCATTCGCAGCATGACAGCTGCTATCCGTCATCCTTCCCTCCACCTCGTCCTCGGTCAACTACGCCTTTCGCTCTCTCCCAAGATTATGGCCGCAGGAACATGAAATTAGCATATCGCTCGCCCACCCCACTATTATTATTCACTTTCGAATACATCCTAAACCTCTATCCTGATAATTCTTTCTTTCTTGAACAGTTTATAAAACCCCTCAATTGTAGATAGGGATCCTCTTCCCCCGCTCTTTTTCTTTCTGTTCTCCCTTCCTAAGCTCAAGATGCCTCACCGTTCTGATACGGAACTGCTCCGGATGGTCGATCCGGATGCATCACTTGTCCTCGTGGGGATTCGAGGGTGTGGGAAACGGTCCTTGGGATTTGTCGCTGCCACAGCCTTGAAGCGCCGCTTTATCACCGAAGATCATTATTTCAAGGAAGTGACCGGTCTCTCGCGACATGAATACCTGCATCGATTCGGTGGCCAGGAGTTTCAACGGCGCGACATTGAGGTACTGAAGATGATGCTGGACAACCATCGTTCACGTTGTGTGATTGAGTGTGGGCTGGGAAGTCTGACCCGGCCCATCCAGGAACACCTCCGTCGGTATTCCGTAACCAACCCTGTGGTGTATATAGTGCGCGATATGGATCGCATTCAGAGTCTACTTGGCTTAGAAGACCAGTCCGTCAAATTACTGTCCGAAGGTGACCCCCTTCACCGAACCTGCTCCAATTTCGAATACTACAATGTCGAGGACCGCTCCAGCCTGTCCGCTCAGCTCGACGACGAAACCCAAGATCGTCGTTCGGTTGGCTACTCTTTCAAGCTGAAAGAGGTCAAGGAGGATTTCACCCGATTTGTTCGGTTTGTGACCGGGGCTGATGTAGGGAATTCTGGCTATGATTCCCCGTTTGTGCTGCTAGAGACCCCTCCAGAACTCCGGTCCTACACCCACGCTGTCCTCGTACGCTTGTCAGACCTTCTGGAGAACAGAGTCAACCTCCCCGAGCTCGAATCCGGCGGAGATGCTATCGAATTATGCGTCGACCAGTGGGGCCCAGGAATGGCGATAACCGTCAGCAAACAAGTCTCTCTCATCCGAAGAAACACCCACGTCCCGATCATTCTCTCCATCGACAACTTGGCATTGGGGAACCCAAACGGTGGATTTTGCTCCACCACTGGGCGTGACGTATACTTTGATATTGTCGAGCATGGTCTCCGTCTTGCGGTGGAATATTTGGTTGTGGACCTGAGCCCAAATCCCTCTTTGATCCACTTTGCCATTCGTAACCGTGGTATGACCAAGATTATCGGTCAGCGCACATTCGAATCGGCTTCCGGTGTCAACTGGGATGATGAGCGGTGTCTTTCGTGTTATCTGGAAGCAGAGAAGCTGGGCTGCCAGCTCGTCCGGATCCTTCGCGTGGCAACTGAGCGCGAGGATAATTCCGCGGTGGCCAAGTTCACCAACAAGATCCAGTCTATACCTGGCGAGCACCCGCCAATACTGGCATTCAATATCGGGGGGCTCGGGCGCACCTCCCAGGTGTTGAATTCGATTCTCACTTCCGTCTCGCATCCCGCGATCCAGCGCCCGGCCTATAATGGGAGAGATCCGCAGATCACCTCGCGCGATGCGGTCCAGGCCCTGTTTCAGAGCTACGCGTTGGATCCTCTACAATTTTACATTCTTGGGGGTAGTGTCGCCTACAGTCTTTCCCCTGTCATGTACAATGCTGCTTTCCGGCATTGTGGCATGAGCCATACCTACAGTATTCCCGAATCACCCACTCTTGCAGCATTAGACCGGCTGGGTCGGGATCCGCATTTCGGGGGTGCCAGTATTGTTCAGCCGTGGAGGGTGCAGGTGTCGCAGAAGCTTGCGGCGAAAAGCCGCCATGCGGAAGCCATCGGTGCTATCAATACAATTATGCCGCTGCGTGCGAGACCAGATGGGACAATGTTCCCCTTGCAAGAGCAAGCTAGCCGCCGCAACCAAGCTGGGCCGGTCCTGGGGTGGTATGGGGAGAATACGGATTGGGTGGGCATTATGACATGTATCAACCGGAACCTTTCCCCTCGCAATGCAATCAGCCCGCTGAAGACAACAGGCTTGGTTATTGGAGCAGGGGGCATGGCTCGTGCCGCTATCTACGCCATGCTCCGCCTGGGTTGTCGAAAGATCTTCGTGTACAACCGAACCTTGTCACGCGCGGAGAGCGTTGCTCGTCACTTTAACTCGTGGGCCGCTTCTCAGGTGGGAGCAGCCCAAGTGGTTTATGTCCTCAGGTCACTCCAGGACGAATGGCCTTCTGACGCTTGTCCACCATGTATGATTGCATCCTGTGTACCTGCAGACCCAGATCGAGATGAGCCGCCGGCAAACTTTGAGATGCCTCTGCAGTGGTTAGGAAGCCCAACGGGTGGTGTAGTACTTGAGGTAAGAACCTTCCTTGGCCGTTTTTATCATTATTGAATTATCCTCTGAACTGTGAATAGTTTGCATATAAACCATTGGACACACCGCTGCTTCGCCAGATGCGCCGCTTTCGTAGCGAGACTGGACGTCCATGGGTTCTCGTAGATGGGCTTGACAATGTCGCCGAACAAGCCATTGCCCAGTTTGAGCTACTAACTGGAAGGAAAGCACCACGACGGTTGATGACTCTGGAGGCACTCCGCAACTCCGTTGGGGAGAATGGGCCGTTTGACGAAAAGACCATCCGGGCTCGTCTGGACAGCGTGCAATAGTTTCCCCGTCTTCATTGCACACCTATAAACTGTATATAGTGCATAGACTAATCTGTATGAATAATATTATGCAATGGTGACTTTACCCTTGAGAGTAACCCTTAATATCCTTTCTTTTCTTCTCTTTCTTCTCTTTCTTATTTTTATTGTTATAGTTTCATCTCCGGTAAGGTCACGTGATCTTGCCGCGGAACAGGCGCCAGGATAAGTTGGACACCAAATGGTGGCAGTTCCCCTTCCCATGTACTGTATATATCCATATGCCCCTCACGCTGAAGATGGGCTCATCCATCATCAATTAAAACCTGAGATACGACATGGCCTCCAATCCCCGCAAGGCCTCTTCAGCCTCTGAAGCTGATTTCTTCGATATCCCCGACGAACCGATTCTCGCGATAGCCAAACGGCAACTAAGACGCATTCGGACCTGGGTTATCTTCTTGATCTTTTTCCTTTTCATCCTTTACCTCCGGCAGAAACCTGCGCCTACGCCGCGCAAGGATAAGGGATATATCAACTATGACTCCGTGGACTGGTCCCGCTACGCCTACAGCCAGTATGCGACCTCCAGCCCGTACCTATGCAACGCGCTCATGAACTTCGAAGCCCTGGAGCGACTCGGCAGTCGTGCACAGAGAATTCTCTTTTACCCGGATGATTGGGATGTGGTTGTGGAGAGTGACCGGGATAGGGATAGCCAGTTGCTGAATATGGCCAAAGACAAGTATAATGCTATGTTGATGCCGATTGAACTAGATATGATCAAGCCGGGTGCAGGTGTGTGATTTGACCCCCCCCCCTTCTTTCAGAACTTTTTTTTGAATGGCTTTGACTAATCAGAATCATGATGGTTACAGGGTCGGGTGAGACATGGGAGAAAAGTATTTCGAAACTGCTTGCATTTGGTGAGATCGAATTCGAACGCATTATCCATCTCGACTCCGATATCCTTCTTTACCAGAAAATTGATGAGCTATTTTTCCTCCCATCCACTACCGTTGCCATGCCGCGTGCATACTGGCTTCTACCGGAACAGAAACAGCTCTCCTCACTGCTGATGGTTATTGAGCCGTCGTACCGCGAATACAAAGCACTGATGGACGTTGCACTGGGCATGGAGACTGGCGGCGAGTCCAAGAAATACGACATGGAACTCCTAAACGAGTTCTACGGCGACTCGGCCCTGGTTCTTCCGCATAGACAGTATGCGTTGATATCAGGGGAATTCCGATCCCAGAACCACACGGCTTTCTTGGGTAATAGCATCGAAGAGTGGGATCCGGATCAAGTACTGGCGGATGCAAAGTTTGTGCACTTTTCAGACTGGCCGCTCCCGAAGCCTTGGGTAATGTGGCCGCATGAGATGCTGCGTGATATTCTCCCGAAATGCAAGTTCAAGCCCGGCACGGTGCACGAGAGTGGCTGTCGCGATCGGGATGTGTGGATGCAGATTTATGACGATTACCGTGTAAAGCGAAGGGTGAGTCTTTTTCTCTTTCTTATCTCTGACGGTACACCTTTATTGACATTGAATGAATAGGATGTTTGCAAGCTTCTCAGCTATCCCGCGCCTAACTGGCCTCTACCCGAGGAATCCGTTGAGTCTCCAGCCGAAGCTCCAAGTAAAGATGAGAGCGTGAATGCAGATGAAACCCCGCAAGCGTAGAAGTTTATCATAGGTTAGGCGTATATAGAGGCGTTCGGTTTTTTTTTTTCTTTTCTTTTTTTTTTTTTCAGTTTGGCAAGTGCCACAGAATAGCTGTACAGAACAAATAGAGTATATACTAATCAAACCTCATTTAACTAACTACCACCTGTTTGTTTTCATCAACTTATTATTATGATCGACTGTAAGCAGATACCTATCAGGATAGCTGAATACCCCATGGAATCCATAAATGATACACAACATGTCTAATTGCATATTGACTGTCGACCTAACCAGACTCACTTGTTAAACATACCAAGCACTGAGAGGAGGAGGAGGAGAGTTTAAGCTTTGGGGTATAGTTCTTTTCTCTCTTTCTTGCTTTCTTAAATAAAATAAAGTGATGAAATGTTGCCTGGAATCTTTATTCCATGAGCTAATCGCGTCATTGACAGGCGAGGCGATATACCATCAATCGAGCGTGGAATCATACCGAGCACGAGACAGCTTGCGCATCGGGCTCAATTCCTCTTGCCCCGCGGACTGGACTGTCGCAGGATCTGAATCTGGGATCTGAATCTGCGGTGAGTTTCCTCAGCTCTGATTCTCTCCTGCCGCGATTAAGCTCGAACTGAAAGCATTTTGCCGGTCTCGGGATTCCCTTTTCTGTTCCACACGCAGCCAGTCTCGGACGCTGATAATTGGGTATATATGATGACGACGATGAAACCGGTACGGCACGGGGATTTCATCTCCATGGCCGGAGAGGCTAGGCTAGGCTAAGCTGTGCTGTGCTGTGCTGCGCTGCAACAACTCACTCACCTCACGTACCCCCCCCCCATCCCATGCCCTGCCGACACCACTCCCGCACCCCTCGCCGCTCCATGGCCCGCGTAAACTCCTTGACGGTGTGGACCTCCAACAAGCCAGCTCGCAACCCGGTATCTTCTCGCGTCCTCCTGCTCTCCTCCAGTGCCTTTTTGGCATCTCCGCTCGTATCCAGATCCCCGCCTACTACCCGGAGCTCCGCAGGCCGATTCACAAGCTGGAAATCCTTATACCGTAGATTCCGAACAGCGCCCACCCAGGACTCCACGGCCGGTTTGTTGTCTGCCTCGACGTACATGATCCCGGGACATCCGCCGGACCTGAGCAGCGCGAAGCAGTTGTATGTTTCTGCGGCGCGTTTGAGAGCAGAGACTTTTTTGCGCGAGGTTATGTGGTGTGTGCGGATTAGGGCGTTGAATGGCATTTTCTTTTTTTTTTTTCGTTTTTGTCTTTGATGGCGTGGAAGTAAAGTAGGAAGAAGAAGAAGAAGTTGTTGTTTATGTATTGTTCACCGCCAACAAGACGAGATACATATGTACTCCGTAGAAGGAATGACATCATTGTATTTGTACTGTGTTTGACTTGATAAAAGGCGAATTTGAGAGATTACGTTGAGTCAATGAAGAAGATACATCCCTTCCTATTCTAACCCCCTAATTAAAAGTTCAACCCCATACCAACACAACCCCAAAACACTTCCCAGGATAATCGCAATCGCCGGAGGTACCTTGAACCAAGCATTCTCCGCATAAGTCACCGCCGCAACAACAACCCACCAAGGCTCCGTCCCCAGGCTTTGTCCATTGCTCGACTGAGGCGTCAAATACCCGATCTCCCAGAGCCGGTACACCGCCGTAAACACCAGCCCCACGGCAGTTGCATTGATTCCGCGAAGTAGATCAACCACCCATTTTCTCCGGCGGAGGACCCGCCAGAAGCTCTGCACGGCAACAGCAAGGGTGATTCCCGGTAAGAAGATCCCGAGAAATGCAAGGAAGGCACCAAAGATAGATGGGAACCGGGACTGGGAGCCTTGGATGGCGAGGGAGCCGAGGAAAACGGCAAAGTTGAAGTTGGGGCCCGGGAATGCTTGGATCAAAGCGAGGCCGATGAGGAAGTCTCGGCTGGAGACCCAGCCGGGGTCGACGACGTACGCGCGGAGAAGGGGGATGACCACGGGGCCACCGCCGAAGATCACGGTGCCAGCGAGGTACATGTTTGCGAACAGGTCGAGGGAAAGCGCGGGCACTTTGACCACGCCGCGGGCGACGAGGACGCCGATAAACGATGCTGTGGGTAGGCAGGGTTAGCTCGGTATGGATTATGGAATATGGGCAGGCTTTACCGAAGAAACCCACGGTTAGGATAATGCCAACTCTAATCCGAATGACATGATCCTGAGACGCTGCCTGCGGCGGATTTCCGAGAGGTAGAGGCTGCGAAACCTCCGCTGTGTGCCCTGGTCGTCTGGATCGCATGGCGTTACTTCCTGGATTAGAGGTGTGTGCATGATGGTTCTGTTCCTGTAGCTCCACTTCTGTAGCTGCGATGGGCCCTTGCTGAGCCTCCAGATGAATGTTTCTCTGCCTCCATCGGGCCTTCGCTTTCCGAACCCACAGACTGAGCCATCCGTCCCACACCACGGTCGTCAAACCGCCCACAACCATCAGAGCAGGGAAGTACCAAAGCGCATTGTAACAAAGCCCAGCACAGGCACCGAAGATGACCAGGATGCGCGTGAGTTTGTCTCGAATAGCCTTTTCTGCCAATTGCACCGCTGCCAGCGCAATGATCCCCACGGTTGAGGAATTCAGGCCAGATAGAAGCGCATATGTAGGATCCGGGAGGGTCTGATGGATATTCTGGACTCCGATGGAAAGCGCATACATGCCGATTGCCCCGGGAAGACTAGTAGTGTCAGTTTTTATTGTTAACATTGAGCTCTGAGTCAACGTTTACCTCCATAGGAGAAATACAAGCAGTGCAGGAAGGAACCCCGCATGTAACAGTGCTAGACAGAAGAGCATTTTGGTACTCCCTGGTCCGGGGAGAGCCTGGCAGATGGCAAAGAGCTCTTGGTACTACAAAGCCTAAGCCTTACGATCCTTTGCGTTATAGCGCGCGACGGACTGACCGTCTGCTCATCCACCCATTTCTCCTGTCCTCCTTTTCCCTCGACAAATTTGGCATGGAAGATCTGAAAGTGGACGGGAGGCCCTCCGAATGCCGTGAACCCGAGATACCAGGTCCGGGAAAAGACATCACTCAGCCGGTTGAGGAGACCCTTGTGCTCGGTTTCCACGGCATGGCGCTGAACGCGGCGGCGGTTGAGGGTGCGGAGAGAGGAGAGATAGCGGGGGAAAGGGGGTGGAAGCTGCATACTCTGCAACTTCACTCTGGATAGGATGAGGAAGGGATGATGTTGGAAATAGAACCCGAATGCATGGGTGAATTATAGCATGATAGTTCCAATCATACCTAGAGACGATCGGTTGTCGGGGGACTTTTGTGGGAAACAAGAGGGGGATTCAGGGTCCAAAAGCTTCGAGAAAAACCCGCGGAACGTGCAGAGACGGATTGGATGAGAAGTACGGATGATGTTGGTTATAGCGCAACCACTACTAAAATAGATCTATCCAGTATCTTGGGACTACTTTAACTGAATAAATCAATCACTCCATTAATTACACTACACTCCGTCCGAAAAGACGATGACTCTGGAAGCAGCAAGGTCCATATGCGGTTGGCTATATATATATTATAGACGGAGTTCTAACTAAGTAGTCAGTTAACTATGTACAAAAATATTCACCAGACTCCATGCTCAGCATTCATCTGCAAAACCTGACGCAACCACTTCTTCTGTATCATTCTACTCCTCGTCGATTATCCGTCACCTGTCTTAAACTCATGTTGAATCCGGGTCGTGGGTATTATGATGCCGCATCTCTTGGAGAGCCATCGAAATAGTAGACGCGGATCTCTTGCGCGCGTCGTTATACTCTCGGGTACTCTGTCCTCTTCGCTGCATAGCCTGGAACATTTGCACCATCACGTAGAACAGTGCCATGACCCCCGCAATTACCGAGTAAGCAATCACAGCACCAACGGGTGTGTCTGGGGAGCCAATTCCAGCCAAGCGCAATCCCAGACCCCCAGTGATAATACCCAAGATTATCATCCCGCGGCCGAGCCACCGGTGCATATACGCAAACGGACTCTTGCCACCTGTCTGGCGGAAATGCAGGTGTTGGAGTAGGCCCAACGCCGGCTGAAACAGGATCAGGATAGACATCACCACAAGGCCTAGGATAGGGTGTACGTCGTTGATGTTATTGTTGTCTATTCCGAGCTTGATGCCCAGCCCCATCCCTGCAACAGCCAAGAGCATGGTGAAGACCTGGAGCGGCGCATGGATCCTGGTCGCCACGTTACGAATGGGGAGGGTGTTGGCCAACGCAAAGGAGGGGAACAGGAGGACGAATGCAATACCCATGATGAATCCGTGTGCGATAAGCATGTCGTTACCCGCCCCTGAGTCGTCGGAGCTGGCAGTCGCTTTACTAGACGCGCCGTAGCTGAGGAATGGATTCGCAGATGTTGAGATCGCATTGGACAAGTCTACATTGGTAACCCCACAGCTGTCATGGATGCTAATCTCTTCGGAAACACTGTCAGAGTTCAGTGAGGATCCCTTCTTGTACGCAAATATCCAAGACGAAGTTGACGACGGCGCCGCACGGCACGTCTCGCACCGGACGTTGGCCGTCATTATCCCGTTCTGGACCCCGGACCCCGCAAGCAGAGTAATTTGATCTTCTGCATTATACTTGGGCATGACATGTCCCATTCCTACACGCGGTGAGAGGGTCACGTTCTGTGAAGACGCTGCTGTGTAGAGGAGGAATATGTTGGCCCCGGCCATCCGTGAGCCTTGACCGAGTCCAACCCATTGGTACGTGGTCGGGGCCTGAATCTGGAAGAGGATAGGGCCCGTCCCGGCCGAAGCAGACTCAGCTGGGACGGTGATGCTATATATAATATCATTTTTCGCATTGGGAGAGAATGAGCTGATCTGAGCCCAGGCGAGAGGAGGACCTGTGTCAGTTAGTCGGTGACACACAACACAATTATGACGAAGCAGAGACGAGAGAAGAAGTAAAGATGAGACAAAGAAAGAGAACCACATACATAGCCCCAGCACAGCCATCTTCAGCAACCAATTTCGAATCTTCATTGTCTAGGAATGTATTTGGCATGAACGTCATAAGGTTAAGATACTCCAGAGTACCACGAGGGAAACGGGGAGGAGACGATTTACCTATATATTATCTACACAAGGGGCCAAAGGTTGAATAATCTGTCACCTGTAATTCAATTCATTCGCTGGGGAAGTACGTACACAGCCCACCGGATCTTGAATGATGAAAGGGTGTTTTCTTTCTCGTTTTGATTTCTTTGAACCTTTGAAACCTCCCCTTCTTTATCTCATTCGGGCTGGGTTCAAAGAAAAAAAAACCCCCCGTCCAAGTTTAATATTCTTAATATAGAAGTGGTTTAGATTCAGCCTTTATTGTATTAAACGCAGATGAAATCACTCGATCCGAGAGAGTATGGTGTAATCTTGACAACAAGATAACCCTAACTGCGTTTTACTTTGGTGGTGCAAGGCCCTGATTTGTCACAACCCAATTTTAGCATCATGGAGCAGAACTGGAAAAGCGATTGATTTCCTTGTCTTCGCATTGTATTTAGAAGCTTCGAGACATTGAAATTTCGACCCTACTTCGTTTCGCCTTCCTCGACTACCGTAACAAGGTTCTTGTTGAGATGAAGGCCTTGTAGGTAGAGTCGTTGAACCAGATGATTGTGCCTGTCCACGCGAGTCTGCATATGAGAGTTAGCCTGGTTAAGGTTTCAGGTTTCAGAGCTAGAACTTCCTTGTTTCTTGGTGGTGAATCACTGCGCAGTTTATTCATACGACAAAGACTCCTACTTTACATGGGGTGTATAAAACCAATTATCAACCCACGAATTCAGAGGACTGTGTGGATAGCTTATTGTAGAATTTGCTCAGATTCCGTAGGTATTATCTTAGAAGAGACGGTATCTTCCCCTTCTGAAGGCGAGGCTAACTTTATTGGTAGGAAGACTTGACCTGCATCATGGCTATACTCGTTGCATAATTAGCCTTTTGAGTATAGAAGCTCATGCTCATGCTCACTTACTAGTCACTAGATAAATAAGGGTGTAAACCCAGTATAAAGTCTGGTAGACAAAGATTGTTCCACGTTTGCCATTTCTCTCTGACTGAGCTATGGCTTCAGTCATATTTGTGTGTGTTATGCTGTCTTGCGCGTGGTCCGTTATCGAGGAAGGAATGCCAACGAAGGCAGCGTGGAAAGACAGCTATCCGTGGCTCTAGAATCCAGATGGTTAAAACGCTCATTCTTTCACTGATGAAGAGGCCCGAAGGAGTAAACGAGAAAGTCGAGCAAAAGCTAGCGGATGGAAATTCTAAGAGAGGAGCTATCAGGTCTGCCACAAGGAGAACCAGAAGGGGATTAAAAGAGTCAAGAGACAGAATTTGAACAAAACCTGGATACTCTGAGGGCGTATGGCTGTTAGAGAAAATAGAAGAAACAGCAAGTTCAGGCTGGTCACGGGCAGACGAGAGATCTGAAATGCACCAACCGATAATTTGCTCTTCCTGTTTACCCTCCCCAAGCATCCGAGACTCACCTTTTCTTCCATTCTTTCTTCTCCTTCCATTGCATCCTAACGCAGTTCTTGGGTTTCTCTCCCCTCGACGCTATGGCGAGTTTTCTGAATTTCCCAGACGAGATTCTCCTACTCATAGTATCGTCCCTTGATACCTTTCGTGATAGCAGAGCCTTATTGTCTGTCTGCTTGACTTCGAAGAAACTCTGCGCCATCGCACAATCCGTCCTTTACACTGAATATTCTCGATCAATCCATTGTCATTGTTGTCATGGTGAAAAAACAAAGCCTGGCCGTCTTATTCCCTTTATCTATTTTATCCGCACTCTTATATCTCGGCCTGACCTTGCCGCGCGCGTCCGGAGTATAGCCATCGATGCACGCGAATTTGACACTGATGCATTAGAAACCAAATCAGCCAATATTGATGTGGATACAATCGGTATATTAGCAAAGGGGTTCCAAAGGCTTCCTGTGAGGAACAGAGACAAATTGTTGATGGACGCCATGATGATGAAGACAAATCCATTCATTCTGATGGCTGCTTTTCTGATGCCCAATCTTAACTCTTTCCAGGTCTCCATTGGAGGAGAAGGCCTGGTCCACCTGGAGCCATTGTACCGAGCAGATCTCAAGAACGGCCGTAGCTCTGCCTATCTCAGCCAGATCAAATCACTGTCTATTGAAGATTTTCAGAGACCAGAAAGCATGGTGGTTGAGAACCTGATACATCTATTGCACTTGCCCAAGTTGGAAGAGGTCTCGTTTGAATTTCTCGACGCGGAGGCTGATAACTTTCCGACTTTTGATATACCTCCTTGGTCTCTGAATGTTTCGCATTTGACATTCAAAAACAGTTGTCTCGACTCAGGAACACTCACCAACCTGGTTGCCGCATGCAAATGTCTCCAATCGTTCTTCTACAAGTCCTGGTGGAATGAAGAGCCTTCAGTGGTCGAATTCAGCGCAGACGAGCTAGGTTTAATTCTCTCCTCTCAGGCCAACAACCTTCGATTTATATGTGTGGCGTTTGAGGTCACGGATCTTTCGTTACTTTGGGAAGACTATCCTAAATTCAGCTCGTTTGCATCCTTCACGAACCTTTTCAGCCTGGACATTGAACAACGGTCTCTGGAACCCTCAACCGAGTTTCCCGCCTCTCTCACAACACTGGTGATCCGTTGCTGCGAGTTTCCGATATTCCAGATGCTGGAGATCTTAACGGAGCGCAGCGAAAGTGATCTGGTGAATCTTGAGGTGGTTCTTCTGGAGCCCAAGTTTACAGTGCCCAATGGCATGCTCGGGATAGCACGACGCTTTTCTCATGCTGATATTACGAATAACCGTAGCTGCCGCCTGCGATTCCGAAGAGCGTATACGCGAGTGAAGAAAATCGTTGAGATGGCCGGTTTTGTGTTGGGGATTAATCATCAGACATGGGATGATTTCCAGATGGGAGAAATTTAACCAAGATTTACATACGCCATTAGGGATACAGCCCATCATGGTGAAAAGTTCATCGCGTGGGAGATATGCACGATGCAGTATTTAATCAAGTTAGTAACCTAAATTTAATTAAAGGGTGATATCCTGAAGACTGTTTAGAAATATTTACATCTTCACCTGTATCTGGCCATAAAATCTAATAATTAATTAGAGACCGTTAGTTAGTAGCTAGTTATTGTAATCGATGTGGCTTCGAAAATTAGCGTTTTGGGTGTGGATTGATTACGTAACGTAAATGAGTCAGAAATATATGTCGGGACCCGCGGAGAGCGCGGGAAAACACAGGCGATGATTGGTTCCCACTCTGGCGGTAGCTTAGCCTCTTTGGGATGGCGCTGTGGGTGCCAAATCCCGTGAATTCAGGCAAAAACAATCATACAAAAAAGAGGAGGAAAATTCTAGATCCTCCCCATGCAGGAGATTTATGGTTGACGATGATGATTGACAAGCTGTCACTGATGATGTGTTATTCTTCGACGGCTCTTTTGAATCTTGATACCTATCATATACTCGAACAGTTGATCCAATCCCAGGATCAACAAGATGAAATACAGTATACCTAACTCATTGCCGTGTCCAGAGACCAGATCACAGAGTGGGGAAATTGTCATCTTGGTTACTTTAGCGATTAGTTACTTGACCCTACTGGGCCCTCTCCGCTTGATCTCTGGATTCTGGTACACTAAAAATGGATCCGAGTCCACGTTTCTCTCCCGACCTGCCAGAACGGGAAAAGAAAACGCAGGATTCTGGTCGATTCTCCCCAGACAAATCAGATTCTAGCCATCGTTAAAGCTCCAGGATGGATCCCATAATCTCCTGGCGCAAGTGGCGTGCGTGCGTCTTCGCCGCGGGATCAGACAATATAAACCTGATGGTGGCCTGGATTTCGACCAAGGATATAAAGTGAATCATCAGCCCGGACATATTCTCATTCATATCAGGTTTTGGTGATGGTTTATCAATCTGATCGAGATCAAACTTGGCTTCCATAACCCTCAATTTTGGGATTGAGTGAGGCTCGACATGCCTGCTCACATTCATCACCGTCTACACGGCAATGCCGCTCTGGTTTCTTCCCATTCCGAGGAAGCTGCGGACCAGGAAGACAGATCATTATCTCAACGAGTTCACTTGACCCATGAAGATGAAGACGCCATTGCGGAGATTCATCGAACCCTCACCGAGAAAGACACCCCATACCCAGAGCCTCACTCGTCGTTTGATAAGTTCCTGGAGGCAGAGCTCCAAGCGGGAAAGAAAAAGCCCAACCTTGGAGTTTGCTTTCAGTCCCTATCAACGTGGGGTGCTGGTGGGGAACATACTAACGTCAAGACCTTGGCAACCTCCCTATGGCGCACATTGACATTTCAGGATGTCTATGAGTGGACGATTAAGTCATGGATTTCCGCTCCAAAACCACCTCAGAGTGGGCGTCAGTTGATCCGTGATTTCACGGGGGTCGTCCGAGATGGAGAGATTATGCTGTAAGTACATATGATGCAATATTAGGGTGCTGTTTGCTCATGTTTATTTGTAGGGTTTTGGGCCGACCTGGAGCAGGGTGCTCCACCTTTCTTCGAACCATTGCTGGCCATCATTCTTCATTCCTTGGAGTCACGGGCTACATTGATTACTCAGGTCTTAGCTTAGACGAAGTAAAGAATCATTACCGCGGCCAGGTGGTTTATGTACCCGAGGACGATCTGCATTTTCCGACACTGAATGTCCGGCAAACTCTGGAATTTGCCCTCCAGAGCAAAACCCCAAAGAGGTATCATGAAAGAATCCCTCGATATCTCGAAATCTACGGCAGAGTGTTTGGTATGTCCCACACTATGGACACTCTAGTCGGAAACGAATACATTCGAGGCGTCTCAGGTGGCGAGAGAAAGCGAATTTCGATTATCGAATCCCTTGCTACTGATTCGTCCGTTATGTGCTGGGATAACTCGACAAGAGGTCTGGACGCTTCCTCAGCTCTGGACTACGCCCGCAGCCTGCGCATCATGACCGATACCTGTGGCAAAGCCACATTGATGACGCTGTATCAGGCATCTGATGCCATCTATGACTTGGTGGATAAGGTTCTACTTATCGACGAAGGGCGAATGCTCTACCAAGGCCCGGCTCACGAAGCAAAGGCATATTTCGAAGACCTGGGATATGAATGCGCCGAAATGCAAACTGTCTCGGACTTCCTGACCAGTATCACAGTTCCAGAAAGGCGACGATTCCGCCCCGGATGGGAAAAACGCGCACCGAAAGGGCCGCTTGAGTTGGAAGAGGCATTCCGGAATAGCCCTTCCTTCCGGAAAATTCAGCAGGATACCCAGGCTTACGATGACCAAAGATTTGGTGCGAGGAGTCGATCGGTATCACAGACTGGATCGGAGCATGGAAGCTTGGAAGAGTTCAAGAAAGCGTTGCAAAACGACAAATCCCGTTTCGTTTCGTCCAAATCTCCGTATACCATTTCCCTCTTTCGGCAAGTGGTGCTGTGTGCGAGACGTCAGCTCTGGCAGATTAAAGGTCACATGTCACCCCTATACATTAAGCTTATTTCATGTGTGATGTACGGAATTCTGGTGGGATCTATGTTCTACGATCAGCCCCAGACAACTGATGGCATTTACTCCCGCGGAGGAGTTTTATTTTACTCTGCGATTTTGCTGGCCTGGCTGCAAATGTCTGAGCTCGAAGATGCAATGCAAGGACGAGACATTCTCCGTCGTCAGAAGAAGCTTGCCTTTGTCAGCCCAAGTGCCGTATGCTTGGCGAGAGTGGTATCCGATCTCCTGATTGCTGCTGCTCTCACACTTTTATATGTGGTAGTTGTTTATTTTCTGTCAGGATTGAAGTCAAACGTAAGTTTCCATGGATTGTTTATTGACTGCACTAACCGTACATCAGGCTGGATCCTTTTTCATCGACTTCCTATTTGTCTACGTGTGCACTATCTGTTTGACTGCCCAATTCCGACTGTTTGCGTCCGTGTCACCCAACTTTGCAGTGGCTTTGCGCTACTGTGGTATTTCTGTACTGTTTTGTATTGTATTCGGTGGCTATGTGCTCTCCGTAGATAAGATGATGGCAGATGTTCCTTGGGTTGGATGGATAGCAGTAAGATACCTGGACCCTATCGATGACTCGACCTCTAACTTCGATTAGTATACAACACCCGCATTATACACATACGAATCGATGATGGCCGCAGAATTTCATAACACCAACTTTACTTGCGCTCCCGCCTCCGTTGTGCCTTCGGGCCCTAACTATACCGACGTTACCTATCAGACATGCGCGTACGCGGGGAGCCAGGCCGGCAGTACTGTTGTGAACGGTGATGAGTATCTGGCTGTGCACTACGGGTTTTATTTTGAAAATGTCTGGCGCAACTTTGGAATTTTGTGCCTTTTCACCGTCTTTTACATCGCCGCAACTTGCTGGCTAAGCGAAGTTTTGGAGTGGGAGCCAGATAATGCTGGACCAATCCAGCATAAGAAATCTAGGAAGAAATCGAATTCGAGTGCCATTGACGAGGAAGCTGCTCCGGTGCAGGCTGATCTGACAATAACAGACTTTACCAACTCTGATCAGATATCCAGATATACTTTTTCTGCAACCCAGTCGACCTTCACCTGGGATAATTTGGAGCTCTCGGTTAAAATCGGAAAGGAGCAACGGATGCTTTTGAATGGGGTGAGCGGGTATTGTAAACCCGGAACCTTGACTGCCTTAGTTGGGACATCTGGAGCTGGAAAGTCTACTTGTAAGTCTCTCCTTGTCCTGACGCGCTTGTTCGATGCTAACCATGCAGTGTTGACTGCGCTCACCCAAAGACAAAGCCCTGGGGAGCTAACGGGTACGATGTACGTCGACGGAAACCCTATTGACTCCTCGTTCAACCGACGGATAGGTTACTGTCAACAAATGGACATCCACGACGAGAGTAGCACCGTTCGTGAGGCATTTGAGTTTTCCGCTTTGCTTCGTCAAGGCCATGATGTTCCTGCAGCAGAGAAACTGACCTACGCGAGAACTGTTCTGGAGACTCTTGATTTGATTGACTTGCAAGATGCAGTGATCGGATCACTGGATATTGAGAAGAAAAAGCGTGTTACTATTGGCGTAGAACTTTGCGCGCGGCCTGAGATGCTGCTCTTTTTGGACGAGCCTACCAGCGGACTAGACAGTCAGGCGGCTTCAAGCATTGTTGCTTTGCTACGACGGTTGGCAGACCAGGGGCTGGCTATTCTCTGCACTATTCACCAAGCGAATCAGCAACAGTTTGAGCAGGTGGGTCATTTCCGTATTTTGAAGTATATGCACTGACATAGATAGTTTGATCGCGTCCTGGCCTTGAGCCCTGGTGGAAATACGCATTACTTTGGAGGCGTAGGACCATCCGGTAGTTTGATTTTCGAATACTTCTCCAAACATGGATACAAACCAGAAAACGTCACCAATGCAGCGGATTTCCTTATTGAGGTTGTCGTCGGGGGCATGAAAACCCCCGCGAGCGTTAACTGGAGCGAGATATGGCGTGGCTCTACTGAGGCAGCGGAAGTCGAAAGGGAGATTGCTCAAATCCGGAGTGGAAGTGAAAACCTCCCCAGCTCTAGGACGGAACACACCCAGAACATGCCTCCACTTCATCAGCAGATTATGCTCCTGACAACGCGGACGTTACGGCAGTTCTGGAGAAACCCCGAATATCCTTACTCCCGACTCTATGCTTCATTCCTGCATGCCTTCATCAATGGGCTTACCTATCTGCAAATCGGAAATAGCAGTACGGATCTCCAGTCCAAGGCGTTTTCCTGCTTCTTAGTTCTGATGCTTGTCCCTGAGTTTATCAACGCCATCTCCATGCGGTTCATCATGAACCGGGATTTGTGGAAGGCGCGCGAAGGACCAAGTCATGTCTACGGATGGGTTGCATTTTGCACTTCTCAAATCTTGTCTGAAATCCCGTATGCCATAACTAGTGCCGTGGTTTTCTTCGTTGTTTACTATTTTATGGTGGGCCTCCCGCTAGGTTTCGCCGCAGGCTATTCTTTCTTAATGTTCTTCCTGTTCTTCCTCTTCGCTACGTCCTGGGGCCAATGGATTGCTGCACTTAGGTAAGTTTCTTTCGCTATTCACATGATCCAAGGAGTGAGTACTAACTGGATAGTGCCGACTCCATGGTTGCCGCCACGTTGATGCCGTTCTTCATCATCATGTGCGAGCTGTTCAACGGCATCCTCCAGCCTCACAACAACATGCCCGCTTTCTGGAAGTACACCATGTACTATTTGTCACCATTTACGTACTGGATTGGCGGGGTCTTGACTTCTGTGCTCCGGGGCATGCCGGTCGTATGCAACAAGAACGAATTAACAATCTTCCAAAGTCCACCCAACATGACGTGCGGCGAGTATGCCGGGGCATGGCTGTCCGAGAAGGGTGTGGGGTATCTATCCAACCCGGAGGGATCAGGAGAATGTGGATATTGCGAGTATACTTATGGTGATGATGTACGTCTTTGGTTCCTTTTTTTCTTCTTCCTTTCTTTCAGTTTTTTATTTCAGGTCCGAGTAAATGCTAACAAAAAACAGTATCTTTCCAAGATTGGTCTCAACCCGTCAAAAATATGGCCATATTTTGGCATTTTCACGGCGTTTGTGATTTCAAATTACCTGATGGTCTACCTACTTGTTTATCTGCGGTCTGTGATGAAGCCGGTCTGGCGGAAATAAATACATATTTGATGTTGGTACATACATACATTTCATAGAATATTGATATAATGAGATTGAGGATTTAAGAGCAAGAAAAAATCCCGAGTCGGATATTTCCGAAACAAGTAACTCCGAGGGAATCCGGCGCTCGGAAAATTCGGAATGATCCAGGCAGCGATTTGGCAACTCCTTGACTTAGTCAACACTAACTCGACTTACGAGCCCGGTATCAATTAGCAGGGTTCATTTTGGTTTCTCTGTATTTTCTTCATGGCTCAGGCTGCTTCTCTCGCTGTCTTATCTTTGATTTCTCCTTCAGCATCTTGGGGTGGAGGTTAAAAGGAACTTAACGCGTTCCCCCGCCGGCAAGAGAACCGAACTCGATCGCGATGGAGGACGACCACAACCAGGACGATGCTCTCGCATCGATCCCTCGGCGTCGTAGGCCTGCGCTCTCGTGTACCGTGTGCAGACGGCGCAAGCTGAAATGCGACCGCGCGCTTCCATGCGGACAATGCGTCAGGTCCAAAACCCCTGATCTCTGTGTTTATTCCAGCCTCAGCAACCCGAGTACCACCAGCTCGAGACCTAGACCGGTGGCAGACAGCTCAGATCAGGGGCATGTACCAAGCGACCGGGCGAGTCCGGTAAATAGTGGTCTGTTTGTATTTGATTCTAAGCACCAGAACCCGCCATCCAGGGTGTCTAAACCCAAGGGACGACCGGATGAGCTCCAGGAATTGCGAAATCGCGTCAGGTCGCTTGAACAGGCCCTTGCGAGGACAGGTTCTGCCCGTACGCCGGAGAGCCTGGCTTATGATTCCGTGCCGGATTTTGGCATGCAAATGCGCATGACTTTGGACAACCAGGATGTCACGCAAGAAGTGAGAAATCTCCCAGAAAACGCATGCTTTCGGGGTAGAAATGGTCGTACACGGTTTCGCGGACGTTCTAGCGCGGAGTTGACACTGTCCTGTGTAAGTGAGAACCCGACCGTGCGATATATTCATTGCTAGCTTGCTAACCGTGGTAGCTCGATGATATGGCGGCGTACTTTGCGAAGAACCATCACAAGATGAAGTCGGAATCCTCTGAATTTCATAAAATGAAAAAGTTCCGAGGCGAATTGAGGTCCCGGGAGAAACAGGATCAGCAGCGAGCGTACCAGGAGAGAGCTTGCTCGCTCAAAGAGATGCTCCCGCCCCGAAATATTGCAGACGAGCTACTCAAGCTGTACCTGTCGACATTCGAAACCACCTACCGGATTTTACACGTCCCGACCTTTTTGAAGCAGTATGACTCCTACTGGGCCGGTGAGACGACGACAACCGACCAGATCTTCATCGCCAAACTTCTAGCTTTGATGGCAGCCAGTAGCTGTTATTTCAGTCCTGCAACCAAAGTTAACGGAACAGACACGCTGCATCACATCGCAGTCGGATGGCTTCTAGCGGTTCAGTCATGGATGGCATCGTCTTTTGTGGGCTCCACCGTCAAGTTTGACATGCTCCAGATCCAGTGTCTTTTGATCCTCGCGCGCCAGGCACACGCGGCAGATGGTGACGTTGTCTGCATCACCTCTGGGTCAGTCGTGCGTACGGCTATGGTGATGGGCATGCACCGAAACCCTCTCCGGTTTTCGAAAATGACCCATTTCTGGGCGGAGATGCGTCGTCGGCTATGGGCGACAATTTTGGAGCTGGACCTGCAAGCTTCTATTGATTCAGGCATGCCGCCATCGATTGACCTCGATCAGTATGATTGCGACCTGCCGTCAAACTGCGATGACGCGGACTTGATTGAAGATATGCCAGAGGCTCCTGTACCCAAAGGCAGTGAGGTTCTGACCCGGAGTACTTTCCTCGCGGTGCTTTCTCGTTCCTTGCCACTGCGAGTACGCATTGCAAGGGCTATGAATAGCTTAAAATTTACATTGTCGTACGACGAAGCACTGCGCCTCAGCGAAGACCTCTTTCAGGCTTTCAACGGGAGTTTGGCCCATTTCCCTCCGAAATTGGATGACGACGGCTCGGCGTTTGCGAGATCGTTTATGAGTTTCGTAATGCAAAGGTTTATCCTCCTTCTCCACCGACCTTTCGCCTTGAGTATCGCACTCTCTCCGAAATTTTCCTATTCACGCAAGGTTTGCATGGAGTCGTCTTTGGAGATGTTATACCAGCTGGAGCTGCCGGAGAGCGCCCTTTTGGACCAGGTCCATCCGTGTCTAGGGCATCTGAATGGGGGGATGTTCCGGGACGAATCCTTTCATTCTGCCTTGACGGTTTGTGCCGAGCTCTGTTTACAAACCAGGGAATTTTCAGCCTCGAAACCAGCACAGTCATTCCATGCCAATTCGTTGAATGAACTAGTGCGATCCCAACAGAATGTTTTGGTCCGGGTACTCGAGCGTACCCTGGACACATTCGGCAGTCGCATCTCCCCCAAAGGTAATGGCTGCAAAGGATTTGTCTTTCTTAGCATGGCTCTCGCTTCCGTGAAAGCGCGACTTGGCGGAGAGAACCCGATGAAGAAGATCGAGGAGGCCTCATTGAGGTCCATCAAGATGTGTGAACAGGTAATCTGCGGAGTACCGTGGGTTGATCTGCGCAGGCAAATCGAGGGCGAATTTGTTCCGGTAAGGCTTCCTTTTCCTGACATGATCATAGCTAATGAGTCCAGTCTGTTACGCACACTCCGGACATGAGTTCTGCCGCATCTGACGTGTCATTTGACCCGTTCTCGTTCTTTTCTAGCAATTCGCTTGACCTTTCTGTAAGGAGCCTCCTCTTTCGAGCTTGAACCGTGCTAATATAGTTTAGCCACTTGACTTTGGGAACATGTTTGACGCAGCCGATTACAAAATGCCGGAGCTCTGGGATCCTAATTTTCTTGCTATTTAATTTGGATTAGAAAGCTATGTGCATCCGGTAGTCTATTGTTACCACCACTTTCGGCCTCCGCTGCAGGAGCGAACAAATCCAATTATGCGCCGGTACCTAATCGGCTTGCGTACCAACTCCTTGGGATCGATCATAACGCAAATCCGCGCGAGGATTTGAGCACGTACGGCAGGCGGCGGTGCAGTCGGCAAGATGACCGTGCCAAACCGAACCAGCTGAAAAGATGGGAAGCAATTTCGAAGGATTTCGTATGTTTGTTGCCGTGAGTAGTTATGTTATTCTGCTTGGGGATGTTCAATCGTTGCTAATTGTTCAGTCCTCCTGCTGGCTGTCTCTGCTGGACTCGTATACGCTCTCGCGGGCAGGGATGGACTCAATCTTTATATTGAGTGAGTCGGAATCTCCGAGTCCCCTCAGGTCGATTTCCGGTGGTCAAGAATGTGAGCTGCTGCTTCAGCACGTTGGTCCTGAGGAAGGAAGCTGTACGTGCGCTTTACATTAGTAGGTCTGCGGGGTACTGAGGTTGATGTTTCCTTCGCATTTCTTTCCTCAAGCTTCCTCAAGTCTCAACCCGACAATAAGGAGACTAACTGCCTTGATCAAATACACTTGGATATAACCGAATGCAACCGACGGGCGATTGAACACAAAGCACTATACGGACTCGTAAAGGATTCACCTCTAATATCCCTTGGATTGCTGATTGGTGGAAATTTCTCTCCTGAATACGGGGAAACACTACAGGTCCGGGGTAAGATCGCTTGTATAGTATGTACCATCGGATGCACGGCAGGAATCCGTACTTGATGGACCCCGCAAGAAATCCCTCGCATCGATGAGGAATTCCAGTCTCGTCAAGGAACGCGGTCTTCTTACAGGCGGAGAATTCGGAAACGCGCTGGATTCCGACTAGGTAGAGGAGAGGAGAGGGGAGAAGGCAGAAAAGTGATGTATAAAACATGCTTGTTGTTCCCTGTCTTTTCATATAGTGCAGTAGCAGTAAGTGAAAGCTCAAGTTCAGTCGTCAATTGAACTGATTCATTTTCGCTCCATGACCTACCTGACAGGTGAAACAATAATAAAGACAAAGACAAGACAAGACAAGACAAGATGAAGCTTCTCTCACTTATTGCACTTGGTGCTACCGTTGTGAGAGGCCTTGCTTTTGATTCTCTGACTCAGAATACTCCCCCCGGTGCCAAAGTCTACCATGTTAGCGATGTAGCCGGACTCGCACAGATCAGAGGACACCATCATAAGCATCCTGATCGACGCACTGTGACGATTCGGGCTTCGCGCAACGATAGCGATGACATCTCGGCTGACTTCCTCTGGGGGATTCGTCGTGCGAACCACGGGGGAAGACTACTTCTCAAGAAGGGCGAGACGTACGTGATTGGAAGAAAGCTGGACTTGAGGTTTCTGGATAATCTCGAGGTGCAGTTGGACGGTGAATTAAAGGTATCTTATTGTTTCTGTTTGAGTATTTCGAGTTGACGAAGAAGAAAACTGACTGGTCAGTTCACCGATGACGTTCCCTACTGGCAAGCGAACCATTTCTATTACGCGTTCCAAAAGTCCATCTCGTTCTGGCGATGGGGAGGCCGTGATATCAAGATCTTTGGAACGGGCGTGCTGAATGGAAACGGCCAACGGTGGTATAACGAGTTTGCCGGCCTTGAGATTTTGGTACCTCTCTCTCTCTTGGCCTTCCTTGTGAATGAAGTTAACGGATTTAATGTGGAAAAGGATTCCAAGAACACATACTACCGTCCGATTCTCTTCCTCACGGAGAATGCCACCCGGATATCAGTAGAGGGAATCACACAGCTCAACTCGCCGTGCTGGACGAACTTCTTCATCAACACCACGGATGTTTCCTTTGACGATGTCTTTATCAATGCGTATTCGACGAATGCTTCGGTGTGTCTCCCTTACACAGTAGGCGGGAAAAGAAAAGCTAATGAGCCAGGCGCTGCCTAAAAACACGGACGGCTTCGACTCTCTCAATGTCAACGGCCTGTCGGTGACCAATACGCGCGTGGACATTGGCGACGACTGCTTCTCGCCGAAACCCAACACGACCAACATCTTCGTGCAGAACCTGTGGTGTAATAATACTCACGGCGTGAGCATGGGCAGCATTGGACAGTACGCTGGGGTGATGGATATTATTGAACATGCGTATATCGAGAACGTGACTCTCCTGAATGGACAGGTACTTTTTTACCCTGTTTTGCTAGGAAGTTTTGAAAGAAAGAGAAAAAAAAAAAAAAAAAAACTAACTGACAAGACTAGAACGGTGCGCGTCTCAAGGCCTGGGCTGGTCCCAACGTGGGCTACGGTCGAATCAACAACATCACGTACAAGAACATCCGGATCGAAAACACAGACCACCCCGTGGTTCTGGACCAGTGCTACTTTGATATTCCTACCGAGGAATGTGCGCAGTATCCTTCGCGGGTGAACGTGACGAATATCGTGTTTGAGGATATTTACGGCACTTCCTCGGGTGCCGAGGGAGCTGTCGTGGCGGATCTTACTTGCTCGCCCAATGCTGTGTGCTCGAATATTCATCTGGAGAATATTGACTTGTCGACGCCAGAGGGAGAGGGGGTGATTATTTGCGATGGTATCCGGGGGGATATTGGGGTGAAGTGCCAGGCATCCTAACTACTAGTATACATACTCTTGATTCTTCATCACACCATCGTCACCGCAGAATAACCATGGCTCCGCTATGATATCGTTTCTCTCTGGACCAGGCAAGGGCATGAATTTGGTCTTGCTAGAGCCTAGAACCCTAAAACCCTAACCCGGTGTTACTTGTTATTAGCAAGAAAGATACTGGCCCAATGCATTCCGCTCAGTTCATCCCTCCAGATACGGCGGTAGTTCTGAATGTCTATCCACACTGTATCTAGAGACAGCAACCGAGGTTGGTCCGGAGATTATTTGAAGCAGAAAAGTAGGGCTAAATTCCTAACATGTGAGAGAAGATCGACTCGGGAGTTCCTCGCAACAATTACCCAAACTGGAGTCTCGACAATCCTGTCCTCAATCTTGCCAAAAAAATTCGCCTAAATGCCAGAGAAACAATGCCCGATTCCTTTATCCTGTTCCTACATTGTGCATGCCTCGGTCCACTACCCCCACGAAAAAAACGACAATATCCAGGATGAACCAGGTATAAAAAGTACAGCAGCGTGCGTCATACCAACAATCTCCCAATCAAGCGACGGCTGTCTTATGCTGTAGGTGATTTCGACTTCGGATCCCAATCTCACCATGTCGCTCGACCCGTCAAGTCGGCTCGTCCTGGGCCAATGGCTCCAGCCCATGATTGCGCGGCTCCCACCCGCAGTCCAGGAGGTCGTTCTGCATCCGCTCGCAGCCCAGGTGGTCCTGGTGCTGCTGGCCCTGGGTCTGCTACGCCGGACAAACCGCTACTTGAGCTACCGCGCCGTGAACAATGGACAGGGGACCGCGAGATGGGACTCTACGCGCGAGCTGGTGGTCCTCACGGGAGGCTGCAGCGGGATTGGAAAGCAGATGGTGTTTGATCTGGCGCAGAAGGGCGTTCGCCTGGTGATTCTGGATATCAACGAGCCGAATTTTCCTCTGCGTATGTTTTAACCTTGTCCGACTCGGAGAAGAAGAAGAAGAAGAAGAAGAGAGCTAATATACGTGTGTATCAACAGCAAACGGCGTCGCATTCTACCAAGCAGACATCACCTCCTCCGCCAGCATCGCTGCCGTCGCGCAGAAAATCCGCGCCACGCACCGCGAACCCACGGTGCTGATCAACAACGCCGGCGTCGGCCATGACGGCACCATCCTCGACGAACCCGAGGCCAAAATCCGGCAGACCTTCGAAGTCAACACGATCTCGCACTTCCTGACCGTGCGGGAGTTTCTGCCGAGCATGGTGCGTCAGAACCACGGACACGTCGTGACGATAGCCAGCATGGCGAGCTTTGTGGCTCTCGGGGAGATGGTGGACTACTGCTGCACAAAGGCGAGTGCGTTGGCGTTCCATGAAGGGTTGAGACAGGAATTGCGGCATTTCTACAAGGCACCGAAGATTAAAACTACGTACGCTCCCCCTTTTTGTCTTTTACTATGAAGTCAGTTGCTAAATTGTTTCAGGGTGGTTCATCCTCTGTGGGTTCGCACGCCCATGATCCAACAACTGACCGATGCCGGATCGCAGTTTAACCAGCCCGTGATGACGCCGGAGATGGTTTCCAGCGCGGTGGTGGAGCAGATCATGGCGGGCAAGAGCGGCCAGATCATTCTCCCGGCGCATCACTGGCCGTTAAGCATGTTGCGCTCGTTCCCTACGTGGATGCAGGAGATGGCGCGGGCAGCCGGGACGCTGAGTTTTGTGCGATTGAGGGAATGGCAGCAGAAGCAGACATGACAAGAATACCACATAGAATCGATCTTTTTTTTTTTTTTTTTTTTTTTTTTTTAACCCAGTAAATTGTATCTTAACTACAACACCTCTTGATAAACTGCTTCACCCTCCCCCCCTGCTGCGTCTCGGTCGTCTCCCCAAGATACAGATTATACACCGGCGCCACATGGCCCTCTCCCGCGCCAACCCAAAACTCCACCTCCTCGGGAAAGCCGGCGCGCAGCTTGAGCACGAAATCCTCGATCACCGGCAAGAGGATCTCGCTGCCGCCGCCGCAAACCAGGATCCGCCGCACGGGGAACGGCGCAAACCAGTCCGGCGGCGCGGTGGACAGATCCGTAAAGTAGTCGGGCGCCGCACGGCCCACGTACGCGCGCGACCAGGGGCCCGCGACGGCCGCCGTCAGGAGGTCACCGCGGGCGTCCACGATGCGGTCGGCGGGGTCCGGGTCCAGCAGGGTCCAGGGCGCGATCAGGACGGCGCCCGCGAGCGGCGTGGAGACCGCCAGCGGCTCGATGGCCGGGTGCGTGTGCGCGAGATGCGAGAGCACTCCGCCCACCAGGTTGCCGCCCGCGGAGTCGCCGCCCAGCAGCACGCGCGAGGGCCGGCGTCCCTGGTCGACGAGGACGTGGCGCAGGGCTTCCACGGCCTGGCGCAGTTGCGTGGGGTAGGTAGCAACGGGGGCCAGGGTGTAGGTGAGGGCGAAAATGGCGAGCGAGTGCTTGTTGCCGGTGCACTGGGCGACGACCACGGACCTAAAGAATTTGAAGTATCCGATGTTGGCTGGGAGGGCGAATCCGCCGCCTTTTGATTTCGTTAGCCGCGAGACGAGACGACGACGGGTTGCGAGGTATAAAGCGTGCTTACCGTGATACCAGATGAGGATATGCTGTGCATGAGGGTCTCCGATCCAGTGGCCCATGGCACCGTGGTTTAGCTGCACGGTGCGAGGGGTTTCGCCTGTAGACCGCATGTAGCGCTCGTAGACCTTGTTGCTGGGGGGCAGGACATATCTGCGCTGTCAGTTGAGAGTCTCGGAGCGAGGGGTTCGAGAGAAAGTACTGCATCTGGGCTATCGAAAACCGGCCGGTCAGCCTGCGAAACACCGCATAGCCAATATGAAGCATCCATGACTGCGGATATTCCGGAGCGCGCCAGAACAGCGTCAGGAGAGCCCAGGCGAAGGTGGTTGCGACACACACCAACGCAGGGATGTAGTCGAGTTTCTGAGCGAGAGTGAGCGACATTCTGATCATGCCATGCGTCTCTGTACTCACCTGAACAGATCGGGTTTTATGTATGAGGAACTGAAGCTGAGAATGGTGATTTCAGGACATGTGAATCGCAAGCATTACCGGATAGGGGAATGGCAGCTCAACGGGTCTCTCTCTCTCTCTCTCTCTCTCTAGCGTGCGAATATCGTGAGATCGGCTCGCGACCATTGCCTGTTTCGGCGCCAACCGAGGGAACTGATTGACGACTTGTGAATTCTATACCATGATTATATATGAGGCCTAGATCGCTTTGCTTCGACCTGTTGCACTGGCATACAACTAGTTCACTGCCCAAACATGGCGGACTACGACGTCATCATCATCGGCGCGGGCATCTCCGGCATCAACGCGGCATACCGGCTCCAGACCGAACTGCCTCACTACCGCTACACCATCCTCGAGGCCCGCGACCAGCTCGGCGGCACCTGGGACCTCTTCAAGTATCCCGGGATCCGGTCCGACTCGGATCTGTTCACCTTCGGGTTCGCCTGGCACCCGTGGGACCAAGACAAGCCCATCGCCGAGGGCCCGCTCATTGTCGACTATCTGACGCGCACGACGCAGCGCTATGGCATCGACCGCCGCATCCAGTACCAGCACCGGGTGCGCGGCGCGGACTGGTCCTCGGCAGACCACACCTGGTCCCTGACGGTGGAACCGCCGGCGGCGGGCGACGACCACCCGCACCCCCCGATGAAGGTGCTCTCGGCGCGCTTCCTCATCTTCGCCACGGGGTACTACGACTACCACACGCCGTTGCCGGCCGACATCCCCGGCCTGGACACCACCTTCCAGGGCCAGGTCGTCCACCCGCAGTTCTGGCCCGAGGACCTCGACTACACGGACAAGCGCATCGTGGTGATCGGCTCCGGCGCGACGGCCATCACGCTGCTCCCGAAGCTCGCCGAGCGGGCCGCGCACGTCACCATGCTCCAGCGCAGCCCGACCTACATCCTGACCATGCCCAACCGCGAGCAGCGCGGGTGGTCCCTCCTCATCGCCCTGCTGTTCCCGGCCGCCATCGCGCGCCGTCTCCAGCGGCTCTCGTGGCTGCTGACGTCGCGGCTGTTCTTCCTCTTCTGCCACGCGTTCCCCCTCCTCGCGCGCTTCCTGCTGCGGCTCTCCGTCACGCGCCAACTGCCCGCGTCCACCCCCTACGACCCGCACTTCAACCCGCGCTACAACCCCTGGGACCAGCGGCTCTGCGTGTGCCCGGACGGCGACTTCTTCCGCGCCCTGCACACGGGCCGCGCCGCCGTGAAAACCGCCACCATCCAAGCCGTCACGCCCGCGGGCATCCAGCTCCACTCCGCCGAGTTCCTGCCCGCGGACATCATCGTGCCCGCCACGGGGCTCCGCCTGCAGATCGCCGGCGGGGTCTCGGTCACCGTCGACGACAGCAGCCCGGCCTTCCTCCTCCGCGACAAGTTCATCTGGCACGGCATGATGCTGCAGGACCTGCCCAACGTCGCCTTCATGATCGGGTACACCAACGCCTCGTGGACCCTGGGTGCCGACGCCACCGCCCGCGCCGTGTGCCGCCTGCTCCAGTCGCTGGACCGCCGCGGGTGCGCCGCGGTCGTGCCCCGGGCTCCGGCGGAACTGCAGCCGCGGCGCCTGCTGAATCTGAGCTCGACGTATGTCGTCCGCGCGGAGAAGGACCTGCCGCGCGCGGGGGACCGTGGGCCCTGGGTGGCGCGGGATAACTATTGGCGGGATCTGTGGTTTGCGAAGTGGGGGGATCTCGACGAGGCGATGGAGTTTCTGGGGGGGAAGAAGGATCTATAGCTTTCTTTTTCTTTCTTTGTAATGATGGTAATGAGTGCTTCATGTGTATGTTATCGGCGTATGGCTAGGGTTGATAATGAAATATCGGTTGTATACACCGTATATACAGTTATTCTGTCTACGTATACTAGGGTAACCTACCCTAATAACCCTATCCTCAACCACTCCACCAAATCTGCAAAACACACAGAAAACCAGATGGAACCCTATCAGCTAGAGATGACTGTCTGGACACCTTTTAGCTGAACGGTAAAGTGCCCAGGAGATTAGATTCATGGTGGGACTTCTTTCAGTCCATGGTGGGGGAGAAGAGGCATACATACACCCGGAGACAAATCAAAAAGGAAGGCCCTTGTTTGCAAAAGCTATTATTATCTTGTCTGTTCTATTACTATCCATTCCCCCATGCAGTAACTATCTAGAGGTAGGTTTATAAAAATACTAACCAGTGAGTCCCACACAAGACAACGAGCGTATCGGGCTTCCGCAAGGTGAATAGCATCAACAACTACACACTATCCCTCTACAACCCCCCCCCCCCGGCAATCATAATACACCATCACATGTCCGTGATGATCCGATATTTGCGCTCTTACGGGGCTGCTTGTTGCAGGCCATTCAACGGCGCCTTCTCGTCGCTTGATATCTCTCCCCCTTGGAAAACTCAACCCAGCGATGAATGCCTACGAGAGAGGGGGGTTGCCGATTGCATGATCAGGTTGTTCTCTCTGGATCCGAGATTGCGTCGCCAACGATCATCGGCCATGACATGACATACCAATGAAGCGCCTAGTAGAAAAGACAAGGCAATAAGATTATAAGATTGATGACTAGGGCCATATATTGGGGTTTAAGCTTTCGCCGAAACAAAAAAAAAAAAAAAAAAAAAAAACGGCTCCTTCAGACAGAGTCGTGGCTAGCTGAACCCCCCCGGGTCAAGTGACCGCCGTTTCATTCGCGTAGGGACTTCCCATCTTCCAGGTCATACTGTTCTCATTCTGTCTGTCAAATGAGAGCTGTTTCCAGACGGGCAAGGTTTGCGGCTTCATTAAGCTTATGCGGGCGAGAAAGTCCCGCACCACCACAGGCCTGGGTGATCTTGGACACCCAGGCATTGCAAAGCAAAGCACGAATACATCGCTTTCAGTCCCCGCTTCACAAAGGCTGATGATGGACTCCATAAGAAAACACTTCGTGGAGCTCGATGACGTGCGTACTCCGTACTCCGTCGATATGTCCAACGCCGTGGAGGACCTTGTGGGCCATGTTCTGGAAAACCACTGGTTCAACTGCTGTGCGACATCATTAGCTGTGTGGTCTTCTTCTGCGTGAAGAATTCCCTCGGACTTCCCCCGTGTTCAAGTGCCGACAACGGACCTACGCTCCTCCAAGTGGGGGGCGACGGTTAAGAATCCCATTTCGTTGTCCCAGAGTAAAACCTCATCACTCAAGCGAAACCCTTCAGTTTTGCAAAGGAACGATCGACCGTCCGTAGCCGAAGAAGAAAAAGAACCGCCCACGCGTGCCAGACTGGAATATCGTAGTCAGAGCTCCGTGTCAAAATGCCGGTTTTACACTGAGTTATGCCTGCTACTGGTAACAGATCGGGGTCGCACTTACAGTGACGTCCATGGCTGTCAACCATGCCCCCCGATTCCATGACTAAGAAATTAAAGAGGCTTTTGCACCACGCGTCGGAATTGACCCTGGTGGATACCAACCGCTGGACTCTCCCACTGAATGCGTTCCCTTCTTACGCGGAGTTATGCACGATGTTCTATTTTCAGCATAGTGCCATCCACAGGCTTTTTTGTCTGAGGAAATTCTAAGGGAGGGAGGGGGAAGGCTCCTGGAAAAGCAAACAATAGTTGATTCTTGTCATTCATGGGTTCCAACGCAGGCGAGCTTGTTGTGAAGCTGTCATCAGACAAGCATCCCTCCCCGAGGAAGGAGTAAGTGGTAGCCTGTGTCAGGTTGTACCTACCTAGGTACCTCTCAATGACTCAGGTAGTTCCAGTCAGACACCACGCTTGTAGCCCGTATGCGGGTTCCCTGGATAAAGGGAGTGTTAAGTGTTAACTCTTCGGCGCATGCTATCAAAATGATTAATAACCTAACTAAACGGATCCAGGCAGTGGATTACCTGGACAAGGGAATCTTGATTCTAGTACCAGAATTATCCTAACCCAATCATCCCATGCCTGGTAGGCCCGCACTATGTGATTAGTCCAGCAGAGCAAAATCCAAAAAAACCATATTGTTCTGTACCCGCATCACCATAGGCCATCGGTGGACGGATAGCAATTTTTAGGAGATGGCCCTAGTAACCCCCAGTCGGGTAGGATAGTATCTTCGGTGTTACTGCTGGGCCAAAATTGTTCATCAGATTAGCAGGCAGGGTGTGTTAGGTAGCTCCGCAAGTATAAAATAACGTCAACCATGAGGACATCGCCATCTTGGATAGTCATCCGTTGTCCTCTTTCCTCTGCTGATGTATATTTGTTTCCCAGTATATTTCCCACTGTAAACTCGGTTCACCGTGCGCGCGGGCCTTTTTAACGATATTCCCCCAAGGTATGATTTCCCCGCCCCACCTTATCCGTTTTGCGCCGTGTATATATATATATATAAATATACAGGATATTAACATAGGCAGAGCGCGGTCAGATCCCACACTATTAGGCTTTGCATACTCTTACTCCGCGGTATCAACCCTAAAGTCAAAATCATCGACACAAAAATCAAGAAGAGAGAAAAAAGGAAAAAAAAAAAAAAAAAAAAGAAAAGAAAAGAAAAAGGAAGAAAAAAAAGGCCCCTTTTCTTTTCTTGGCCGACACATGCAGAAGAACTCAGATGTGTAACAACGTCCGGGGTCGGTTCGGAATCTGCGGACACGAGGCAACGGTATACATTGCACGGTGTAGGCCGGCCATCCAGAACCGCGTGACCTGTCCTCCAGCTCAGCGCATGGATGTCTGGGACTGGCAAGAGGACAAGGACAATGAAAGATGTCCATCGTGCCGAGGGGATACACCGCCTGAGACTCCTTGACAGCGGATCATAATCATCGTGGCAACGTGAGAGGTAACGGCACGAAGCCAAGATACCAGAAACCGGAAATTGATGATTCTTATATAGGAAAAGTCGAAGACAAGGAGGGTCGAGGAATCATGACGTGTCATGGCTCGCGTTATTTTGCAAGCGACTGGTGGCCTGTTTGCGCATTTCAGCTACGAGCTTCTGCTCTAGTTCTCCACCCCAGGTGAAGGATTTTGTTCGGGATTTAGCTTTTTCAGTCCATTTGTCGCGTCGGATAAAGATCCTGTTTGGTTGTTATTGCACCCAGATAAGCATGTACTTGCATATGTTTATCCATCGAGCCGGCTAGCTCTTTAATATTCCCAAGTAAATTTGTTCTCCAAAGAAAATCCGGCAACCGACTCACCATTCATCCTCTTGACGACTGGCCAAAAACACCAGATGTGGGACCCGGGTCACATCACCGTAGGAGAGCATCTCCCGGACATTCAGATCGAAGATAAACCATCTCTTGAGCGGTTGTAAAGCGTCAAAATCCGGGGGGATATGTACATGATCGTATCCCAATGGGGTGGGAAGAGAGTGAAACTTGCGGTTGCAGAGATCCCTACAGACGGCTTCTCCCAGAGTCGTATGGCGTCGCTGAGGATTGCCAGTTATATCGGTAACACAGACATAGATGATGACACGGATAGGGGGGTCCATCTTAGATTTAGACTTGTTTATTTTGGGTTGTTTTCTTCAGACCGGGTACAATAGATAGCGGAGTAGGACAACTCGATGAAAAAGACGAGTACAGAGTAGGAGTGCAATAGAACTGGAAGGGGGGAGATGGAATGTGTGAGAGAGAGAGAGAGAGAGAGAGAGAGAGTCCGTCCTCCATCCAAGTAGCCAACGAGAGGGCGGTGGATGCTTCGGAACACGGATTATCCGGCAACGGCGTTTGATGTGTCATTTCGGATTTTGCATTTCGCAACACCAAACTCCTTATTTCAAGAGAAGGAAGATTCGATACCTTCTTTTCGACAGGACGTTCCTGCAGATCCGTGAGGAATCGAACTGTGATCTTGGAGATAGCGGGGAAAGGATGGATTAAGTATCCACGTTTCCGAAGGTCTGGATCTGGCTGTTTTCCCTGGGATCCTCCGGGGGGGGGGGAGCAAGTGCCGCCAACTAGCCCACGCTGGTTTTAGTGGGGAGGCCTCGATGCACGATCCAGCAGGACGCTCTTCTCATCCAAAGTACTCCGCATGGAACTGGTACTTACGAACCGGAACAGTACTTTTTGATTTCTTGTTTGAGAACGTTAATGGGGACCAAAATGCAGTGGGATTCTGTCTGATTCATTAGTTAGTGCGCAAGGCTTATATACTCCGTATTGATACCAAGACCCGATAGTTTAAGGTGCATTAGTGCAAATTATATTGAGACATTAACATCTTTAGAGCATCCGGAATTAAACATTATATTAAAAAAAAAAAAAAAAACCAAGCTTGTCAACAAGGGTGGATTTTGTTCTCCTGATCAACCTCGCGGATTATGTCCCATTGCTTTTCCCCGAGGCCCGGCCACAGTACCCATCAAAACTATACATCCATATTAGCACCATCCGCAGCAGAGAAACGGAGAAAGAAAAAAAAAAAAAAAACTTACTATCCCAGTACCGAAACGAACTCGAATAATTGCCCCAGAAATAGCGATGGTGATCATCATGCCAATCGGATCCTCCCCAAAACGGCATCAACCGCCGCAAACTCCAGGGAAAATCATAGCCCGAGTGCGAATCGATCGCTTGCAGTTGGCGCAGAGCCATCCACACCAGCACGGTCACCAAATGCACATCCCCAGTGAAATAACCCAGCACTAGGGGCGGACAGATCGTGCCCAGACCCAGCAGAAATGTCTCCCAGGGACTAGCGTACTCCGCGGTTAACCCGAACGGCGCGGCGTATTGATGATGGATGCGGTGAATGGAGCGATACAGGGGCCCCCAGTGCATGGCACGATGGAGCCAATAGTGGTAGGTGTCTTCAACGATGAAGAAGAGGGCCACTTGGGCCGACAGCAGCGAAAGACGAGGGAAGGGGGGGGTGTACTGGAGTCCGCACATGTCCATCATGGGGTGGAAAAGGACAATCAGGGGGAGTTCGATGACGAAATGGATGAGCAGGATGTATTTGACGCAGGTCCATTGGTCGTGGACGGTTGGGGGTGGCTTTTGGTCTTGGATTTTGAACCGGCGGAAGACATTGGGGAGGGAGTCGGCGATGATCCAGGGGAGGCAGCGGCCGAAGTAGATGACTTCGTGGGCTAGGAAGGTGATGATTCCTGCTTGGCGTTAGCTGCGTCCTAGCAGCAAACGGGTCTGGAATTTTGCGGGGATTACCTGTCGCGAGGATATCATTGTTCCAAAACGCGTAGTGAGCCCACCATAGCTGTTCTGGAAGCGAAAGACTGAGGTCCTGTTGGGCCACATGCACCAGTTCAGTGTATGACATGGGCTGCGACGGGATCGTGAGATTGGCAGATGCCATAGTGAGAGAGGAGGCTCTTACTTTTTTTTTTTCTTCAAAAAAAGAAAAGAAAAAGGAAGAGCTTGTTACATGCAGGTACTAAACTTTGTTCGAATTTCCTCTCTCTCAGATCTCTATATATGTATATCAAATGTTGTCTGATTTGGTGCGGGTCCCAGGGAGATCCCGGGATGGTCTGATCAGACACACCACTCCGGATGCTGAAAATCAACTGATCCGCGCTACCAGGCAACGATCAACTTGAACGTCTCTACAGTCACTAACAGGAAAGTGATTCATGGGATTTGATTTGGCACTGGAAATCAAAGCCCCTAACCGCACACCGCATGGCGACTCGCAGCGGCAGCCCCTATTAATTTGCGGTGTACAGACGAGGCAGCCAGAGTTCATATTCGGTGTTCACGCAAGCCTGGTCGCTGGCACACACGCTCGCATCATATCCAGCATAGGTGTAAAATGCGGCCTTTTTCCGCGCCAGGTCGTTACCGCCGACGTTAACCGGGTCGTTCTTGATGGGATATCCTCGATAGGCAAGGACGCTGCCGGGGAAAGAGGATGAAATGGTTGCGGTGTTGGTGAACAGCCCGGTTGCCGTATGGTCGCTATGGTCGCCGGTTCCAAAATCGTGCAGATAGTCGAGGGAGTTGATCTTCGTCGGCTTAAAGTCGTTAATGATTTTCGTCAGCGTGTCGATAAGTTCTTGTCTCGTATAGGTCGTGGCGGAATCGTCAATCGTTTTGATCGGGCTAATTTGGTTCTTCCAGAGTTTCTCCAGAGTCTGGTATCCCGTACCAGCGAAGCCGTTGCCGTCGATACTGCCGTCCGGGATATGCATGAAGGCGACGGAGACTTGGCTTGCTTCTCGGAGGGTGTAGAGTGGAATGTCCTTGCCGTGGACGCCGATATCTGATTCATCCCAGGTACTCGAGACACCGGCCATCTGGGCATACGCAGCCATCGCCCCGGCCTGGCGCTGGGTCCAATAGTTGGGGTCTTGGCCTGCATCGCCGGAGGTTATAAATACGGTGCGAACCGTAATGTCGTTATTGATATCGTGCAGAATATCCGGGTTCTGGAAGAGAAGGTCATCGTCTGGATGCGCCACGATGTTCAAAGTATGTGCAGCCAAGGAAGTGAGGCCAAAGAGGCCGATCACATTCAGCAGGATTGGAAATTTCATTTTCGTGATGAATGCCGCTGCAGTAACCTCGAGGCTGGAACAGACCCAATACCCACAGATGAAAGGGAGCAGCTGTGCATCTGGCCTCGGTTGCACACCCGGCTGGAGAAAGTCTTACCCTATTTCTTATATGCATCTTGCTTCCTGATCTCCTTGTTTAGCGCGTGGGGGTGATTTTGTTGCGGTCGCATTCTTGGATCCTCTGGACATTCCAGTACCTCCTCTCCGGCCCAACCCGCCGCTCAAGCCTAAATGTAGGGTACGCGTCGCGAGCTCAATATATTGCTGGGGGGTTGCATCGGCTGATGTTTGTTGACGCCATTTCGGTGTCAAGGGGTCGAAGCAAAACACATTTGGCGCGTCGGTTAACCTCCAATTTAACCTTGGAATGTGTAAACAAGCGTACATCCTATCAAGCGGGTGCTGAAATATCTCATAATAACACATCTTGCAGGCCTCATCGATGGTTCTCAACGTAGCGGATAGTTGGAGCTCCAGCCGTCACTATTCACGGTCAATCGCCACGGCCCAGAAGTCGAGAGAGGGTGGTGCCCCGTGCTTAATTGAGGGTTCAGAGGCTTGGTCTTCGAGTGGATGGGCGGAAGCTCTCAGCAGGGGTTGCGTCGTTGTCGTCTGCTGCTTGATAAATATCCATATCTCCATGTCGAGACTGACCCAAGTATACCATGTACAAGGTCAACTTCCAATGGCCTTCGATAATGAGCATATGATGCATTCCATCCTCTGTGTCGCAGCACGACAGCGATCTTATTTGCAGCCGCAAGATCCAAGACATCGAACTGCTGAAATACTGACCACATATTAGAGCAGGTAGCTGGAGACTATACAGCCCATCCACCTAGTCTGGTGGAGATACATCAGGTCCAATGAGGCTCCAGCTAATTTAACTTATATTGGCTCTAAGGAACGACCGATCCAATCGTTGAGCATTGGTTCTGGTGATGTCTCAGCCCCTATCTTTCATGCCCTCATGGAAGAGCATTCGAATGAACTTGCAAGGATATTTGAAGGATTGTGAGGCTCCCCGTCATTTGATGCTACACCTAAGGGTTACCTTGATTGAGCCATTTCCCCCCGTACTCGAGTAATCTAGGAGATTAGCCTGCATCTTTACCTGTCAGGTTTATTTCCCTCTACTCTCCCTCGGCCATCTGCCTATTTAAACTAAGTAGGAAGGAAAGACAGAAAGAAAGAAAGAAAGAAAGAAAGAAAGAACGAAAGCACCCGCAATGCTGACCTCATTCCTCCTCGTCGCTGCCCTGTCTACTCTGGCTGTCAAGGCCGACGACAGCTCCAGCATTATTGGGTACTTCAGTCCCAGCTGGGATGCGACCTTGATGCAGTATGGAGGCTGGACCAGCACTGCCGCCAGCGTCGCCGGCATTAATGCGGTGGCGACCACCTACGAAGTTGGCTGTCGAAAGAATGCCCCGGCAACAGACTGCGACATCAGCCACTCGTGGACCATCATCCAGGGCCCCGAGACTGTCAGCCTCACCGGCCAGTACATCGCATCGACGTCGGGCAAGGAAACCAGCTACGATCTCACCGTCACCCAGTCGTACGAGTGCGCCCTCAAATCTTGGACCGAGTCCGCCAGCTGCACCATGAGCGTCGGCATAACCGGAGACCTGGACGGTGCTTCGTATGCCTCTTCCACTTCTAGCCAGGCGACCTACTCCCCAGTGCCTACTACCGAATACTACTACCGGCTGACGGTCACCGGCGGGTTGGATTCATTCACCGCGCCCCAGGCAACCCAAACCCCCGGTGCTGCTGCTGCTGCTGCTGCTGGGAAACCCGTCGGCGCGTTGATTACCGCTGCTCCGGTCCTTGCTGCGGCGGCCGTCGCTGCCATTCTTTGATTATTGTCTATATACGTGCATGTTATGTTAATATTCATTGTGTTGGCCAAACCTGTGACGAGTTCGAAGGCTGAATATACTATCTATTATTAATTCATTGGCGTCCACTTCAGCTCAGTTTGAATCACTAGTTAACTAACTATAGTATGCTTGTTGGTCAATTCCGGATTGCAGTGCGTGCACCAAATTTATGCCACATTTTCCGGTATAATATAGCTCGGGTTTACTCCGTCCAGCGCCGGAATTTGATTAGCTTGGCATGATCCATTAAAATTTATAGAGAAATTTCCGCATGGCCCGTGGAAAAGCCGCGGGTGTTCTGCTGGTCCACTCACTAGCCTAGAAGCTGGAGAGTCCCGCAGGGGGGGTCGCACACGAGACGAGGGGACAGGGAAGACATGCAGGAGTGAAGAATCTGGCAAGGATATGCATTGCTTTCACACCGGCTTAACGGTCCCAGTACGGAGTAATCGTTGCTGGTGGTAACTAACTACATGTGCAGAATGGGACAAGCCTACTCTACTCTGCGCTCCGTACTACTCCGTACTACTGGTATTAACTACCCCCCCCCTTTCCATCTCCTGATTCAAACTTCACAACTAATGCTAACTAGTTTTAGCGCGCCTGCAGAGTAGGAGATACTCTAGAGTAACACCGATCATTCGTCTGGCTGAATCCACCGCGCCGTGCCGGAGCCGGAGGGGATGCCATTGACCATCACCCATCACTTCTTAGAAAATCAGACTGCTGAAGTGCTGATTGAATTGTGATCATTCTCTCCAATTACCGAGTACTAAATCGCGAGTTTAACTTTAACCACACTGGTTGAGAAGCGATATATCGTACAGAGTACGGAGTACTCCACTGCTGATTGGCATCGTGTACGGAGTACCGTCCCAAGCAAGAGCTCGGAGGGCAGGACCATTCCCTCATTGAGATAAGACGGAGAAATAGTAGGAATTTAGCTTTACGGTGTAAGAATTAAAGGTAATAAGGTGAACGGCTTCGAGCATGGTTTATTAGGTCCACATGTGCTGCTTATTGTGAAGATATTAAACAGCTAACTAACTCCCCTTTATTTTTTATTAACCACCTCTTATTATTACCTACCCCCTGTCTGCAAGGCTGCAAGAATGGCAGAATCTAATTATGCGCAGGATGGGAGCGGCGCTTCTGCATTTCTTGGACGGCATGACATGGACATTGATGCTATTGCCACGTTGCCCTGTGACATGAATGCACTCCCTAGTCTTCTCCAGGACATTGCCACGCAAGGGAAAGACCTTACGGATAACAACAGTCAGACCAGACAGCAACTGCTGAAGTCCGCTCGTGCGCTTGTGCGTGCGCTGGAAACCCCGAAAGAAACCATTATTAGACTCTGTTGGGCCGAGGTATGTATGTGTGTGACCCAAAAGATCTGGCCCATAGAAATAATCTAATGGCAAAACCCTCCGGGGCGCCAGCCAAACCTGTATAGTTCCATCTACACGGCAATCAGTCTGGGGCTGTTTCCCCTGCTATCGAGGGATGGGGATAGCCCGAAAACGGTTTCTCAGCTAGGTGCATGGAGTGGAGCAGACCCTGTGCTGTTAAGTAAGCATTCACGATTCCTTTAACTATAGTGTTAAACGAACGAACTGAGAGGACTTGCGCTTGTTGGGTCTAATCTCAGACTGCCACAGGCCGAATTTTACGGCATCTAGCCGCCATGGGCACGATACAGGAAACGGGGCTCGATGAATATCAGCACACTAACCTCTCCAGATCGTTGGCCACCGACAAGTATGGCTCTGGATTTTCATGGATGTAAGCTGTCCATCAAAAAGTTTCATCTTCAACTTCCTTCACCTCCAGTACACAGGCATTGTGGAGTCAGGAGATCGGGATAATTCGTTAACTCGACATCACAGTGCCCAAGGCGTCATTCCGACCATCTACCACCTCCCAAAATACCTGAAGGAGAATGGGTTCCAAAACCCCACGGATCCCAAGGATGGGCCCTTCCAGCATGCCTTTGGTACCTCGCTACATTGGTTTGCGTGGGCCGCTAGGAATCCACAACTCATGACGGATTTCAATCATCACATGGGGGCATACCACCAAGGCCGGCCCAGCTGGATGGACGCGGACTTCTTTCCCGTGGCGCAAGGACTCGTGAAAGGAATGAAGCACGACGCGGATTCGGTGTTGCTGGTCGATATTGGTGGCGGGAAAGGTCACGATCTGGAAGAATTTCGCCGAAAGCATCCTACCGCACCCGGCGGCTTAATTCTTCAAGAGCTCCCGGTTGTGATTGACGAGATCCAAGGAAGCATCGCCCCGACATTTACCCCGATGGTCTATGATTTCTTCACCGAGCAGCCCATCAAGGGTAAGATAAGAAGACACTACGAGGAGCGTAGGGGCGAGAAAGGTCGCGGGATGAGGAAACACAACACACTGCTAACATACAATCTTTGATCATCTAGGGGCTCGGGCTTATTTCCTTCACTCCATCCTGCACAACTGGTCCGATGAAAGCTGTCGGAAGATCCTGGCGAGAGTTACGGCAGCCATGGAACCGGGATACAGTAAATTACTGGTGAATGAGATCGTGATCGCTAATACCGGGGCCGACTGGCAAGAAACCGCGCTAGACTTGATGATGATGAATATGCTATCTTCGCAGGAGCGCAACGAGGCTGAATGGAAGCAGCTTTTCCAGTCCGCTGGTCTGAAAGTGGTGAAGATATGGAGCCATGAGCAGGGGGTTGAAAGCCTTATTGAGTGCGAATTGGCCTGATATTTCGAATCCGTGTTATCTTAAGATGCGATATACTCTGAATATATACCCTTATTGGCCACCTTTGAGCAGGTTCGTCCACGATATTACTCCGCTGCAGAACTAGTCAACGAACTAGTTAACAAACTATAGTTCACTAAGTATAAAAAAGGCAATTCTTGAACCAGATATCATAATACCTAGTAAAATACCCGATCCTCACCGCTTCATGACTCCAAACGGCCCCTCTTCGCTTAGACGATACATCGTTTAGCGGACATCCACCCCCGTTTGTACTTTTGTTCGGTGGATTCTTACATAGTAGGCGGCTTCCCCGTCTATGTCAGTCTTTCTTGACTTGATCTGAACGTTTTCCCCCCGTCTCTCAATAGCCTTTAATCCATTCCTAATCCTGCCGAAATGGCAACGCCTCCAGAGGAAGATCCCCAAGAACTGGGTGCGGAGGATCCTGTCATCGATATTGACCATAATGTTAGTGCGACAAACTGGGCAGCTAATGGCCCTTTTTTTTTGGTGTCCCTTGATTTGCAAACGATATTAACTGCCGCCCGTTCACTTGTCCAACTTTCGGAGTTAGAGAGAAACAGGCTACGGAGAATGATTCAACCTACGGAGATGAGCTGTAATAGTTACCCCTTGCTTTCCTCTGCTTTTATGTATAGATTCCACCAGAGTGAGGCACTGACATGGCTTGCCTTGCATATCCCAATACACCACGTCTGTGACCTCCTCGGCCTTGGACTACCGGCAAGAAAATGGCAGAACATACCATGCCTATAAAGACGGCAGTAGGTTTCTCGACCCCCCAAACGTGACCCGGCAAGCCTCGACAATTAACCCGGTCGTCATCTCAAGGCTATTTCTTCCCCAACGACGAAGCAGAGTCCAATCGGATGGATATGAAGCACGAGGCGGCTCTGACCATGTTGGACGGAAAGTTGTTTGTTTCACCGGTTAAAACCCCACGGCGGATCCTGGACCTCGGGACTGGAACCGGAATCTGGGCTATCGATGTGGGTGAGTGCTGTGTTGTGAGAGAGGGCTTGTAGTAGTTTCTGGGGGGGTTTAAAAAAAAACTGATGAATCCTTCCTTCTACCCAAAAGCCGACCAACATCCAGAGGTGGAGGTAATCACTCGGACAGCTCCAGGGCAAAATGGTGGGAACTAGATGCTGACCCTTGGTCGGGCAGGTCACTGGGATTGATTTAAGCCCTACACAGCCTCTATTGTAGGCCCGCACCTTTTGCCCTTGCCCTTGTCTTTCCTGCCTGTCTTCGTTTCATACATACAGAAAAGAAGATCGAGAGCGTACTGATCGTTGACAGTGTGCCGCCTAACCTGAAATTCGTTGTCGACGACATGGAAGCCGAGTGGCTCTACACGGAATCCTTCGACTTGATCCATGCTCGGTACCTAGTTGGCGCTCTGGAGGATCCGGCCCAGGTTATCGCGCAAGCATACAAGTGAGTTAATCCCGCCAGAGTACCCGTTTTGGGGGGGGGGGGGGCGGGAGGGATAGATAGGTTCTCACATACAGTCGCACGGTAGACATACCACCCCCGGTGGCTGGTTCGAGTTCCACGAGATGCATACCAAAGTAAGATCTCCCGACGGCACTCACCAAGGGACACACATTGCCAATTTCTTCGACGTTCTCCGTGATTCATTCGCCAAGCGGGGCCGTTCCATGGATTCCGCTCTCTACCTGGAGAAATGGTTTCGAGACGCTGGTTTCGTCGATATCACGGTGAAGAAAATCCAGGCCCCCATCGGTGCCTGGCCGAAAGACCCCAATCTGGTATGTTGTTCATCGATCCGAGTCTTGCCCTCACCACCTGACCCGGATCCAGAAAAGAATCGGACTCTGGATGTACCTGGTTTTGGACGCCGGGTTTGAAGGATTAGCCATGGCGGTGTTGACTCGATTTGAGCAGTGGACGCCAGAGGAAGTGACTGTCCTGGCGGCGTTGGCTCGGAAGGATATCAAGGATCCTAAAATACACGCCATGTTCTATGAGTGAGGTTCCATACACGTCTTTTCGATCTTGAGCTATCGGACTAACAGCCCCGCGCAGTTATCTTGTCTACGGTCGTCGGCCTGAGTAAGGTACATAGCCCTTCAACAGAGCAAAAGGAAGATGCACTGGCGTGAGACTTTTTAGGGCCTGTTAAAGAAATGCTGGAATTAAAAATTACGGAACATTAGCTTCGACCTCATATCATAGTGACCTTGAAACATCAATCTGCAAGTAATGAGACGGGTTGAGCAGGCCTAGTCTCGTGGCTATTCGAGCCTAACCGGACTCAGTTTATATTCTGGAGAATAGTTCCCGGGATTGGTGGTGTTGATTGAACCATCCCAGCAATACTTTTGCAAACATGTTGTGCAGATATCCGGCACAGCCGTGTGCGTTCGTTCTAAGCTTCGGCTTAATATCGCACAGCCCAGGCAAGTCGCCCAGTGAGAGTCTACTGTTGCATTTCCCATGGTTGCCACATCGTAGCCGTTCTCGATGATCACGTCGCGTTCCGTAGTATTGTACGCGAGATCGAACGTGGACACGTTGGATGCATATATGTAGGGCGCATTCGGGATATACACCACCAGGGGCGTCCCCGCCGTGACGTTTGAACTGTTGCATCCAAAGAAAGTTGGCCGGTTGTTCAACCCCAGATTCACGAATGTGTTTGGATCCGGCACAGGCGGAAAAGCGATGCGGTCATGCGGGCTTTGCCCCGACGAGTTCACGCTCCGTTCGTAGGTTGCTACCATGGATGTCCCGTTCGGCCATCGTGTGGCGGTATCGGCGGAAGAGTCAAGGGCCAAAATCACATCGACATTGCGTTGAGACACGAGAAGGGGAACCAGAGGGATGTTCTGCAGATCTTCGCCTCCATCCACGAGGGTCAACATGGTGGAATGCGCGTACACCGACTGGTTATTATACAGATAGAACGGATTCGGTTCGTAGACAGCTATATCGTTGTTGTTTTCCCCAATTGACGCGAGGATGTTATGAATGGAGTTCTTGAGCGCCTGGGGTGCCTCCGTGTTATTTAGCTGGAGGAATGCCTGGTTGAATAGAGAGGACGAGGTCCCCATAACGAACCCGGAATTGTCATATCCACGAACGCAAGGCCGTCCGCTGGGAAGTGTACCGGAGGAGAAATTCGACCCAAGAAACTGTAGGGGGACAAATGCTGACAGAGGTCGACTGAAGGTGCCCATTTCCCACGGGTTGAACTCGAAGACCGTCGTATTCTCGGGGATCAGAATCTCGCCCGGCGCTCTCCCGTCAGCAACGACCAGGGGCATGGGCGTGTTTCCCTGTTGGAAGTCCCCGCTCAAGGCAATCGAAGACCACGTATAGTCAAGGCCCCCCTGAGTGGCATTGATAAGCTGGTACGAAAGAGAACGACCCCTGCGCTAGCATCAGCACATCTACCTACCCTCTAGGGCTCGGGTACCAAGAGGACATCCGACATACCAGTAATCCGTGATAGAAGTGGCATAACCCGCGTCCGACTTTCCACTGACTGCATCCTGTAGCTGCGAGTAATACCGGGGAGTCGAAACCCGAAAATAGTTGCTGTCAGTTGGACCTACCAAGATGGAGTTTTGAAACTGCCACACCGAGCCGCTGTCCCGCAGCGCAGAAACAGTGGTGAAATTGTTCATATACAATGACCCAACCAGCCAACTGCCACCGCTCAGTCCAGCGAGATAGGTAGCTGACTGTAAAATGCCCCCAAGGTGGCCCGGAAGAGTGGAGTTTGTCGTGCGGGCATCGAAAGCTTGGAGAGCTCCGCCGCCATTCATTAGAGCTCGATACCCACCACCAGACGCGGCGATTCCGATATTTGGTAAAGCCGATGCATTGTTGGCATGTTGGTGAAGGTAGGAGCTGGCATTCAGAGAACCCAAGTTAATCCTCCCAAAGAAGGCTTCCATCGCGCCCACCGTGACATTTCTTCTTACTGCCAGCCATGCCGTTTCGTTGGGCGAGAGACCCGTTGCGTTCCGGATGGATGGCTTATTTACCAGGCATGTCTCGCCTTCAGGCGTGTAGCCATTAGGAGCATTAGGAAGAGCCCGTTTGAAATCCGATATAGTGTTTAAAAGTCCATTGGGGAAGGCTAGGAAAATCAGAACCCCCTCGGTATATTTACCATTGATGGCACTTACACTGGCTTAACGATATAATCGCGATGAATACTATTAGCGTGACAGAAGCCTTCATTGTATAGGGATGTGGTTGACCCAGCTCTTGATTTAACCTTTTCACATATCGCAGAGCAAAAATGGCCCACAAGATCGCAATTAAATATCCCGAATCTGATCCCAGGTTCGAGATCCATACATCCAAGTCGTGTCGTAAGCTTGACGACAGCAAAGCTCCCGCGACCTCAACCTCGGATAAAATGAACAGATGCAGAAGTCGGCCCGGACCACGGACCGTGGCTTCCAATCAGATGGCTGGTATAGTCTGATTTTGCGAATTGGGTTTGGATTTGGGGCTTGGATTCCAATTGAATACTATAGGCGGAGGTATAGTTCAAGAGTAGAGGGTTTGGTGGGCTGATATCGATTCAGTCCAAAAATAGTTTTAATCCAGTGTATATAAATGGAATAGAACAAATTGTAATTAACCATTGGCTCTTGTGGATATGATTATAACTTCCACAGTATATTCCTATCTTTCCAAGCTAGCTTTATGATTGTTGCACGGTTCACTGAAGAAGCTACTGGGTTTTATGGCTTCGCTCATCTGGCAATGTAGTGTGTCCCAAATCACAGAAGGGCGGCAGCACCTTCATCATCAGTAACTGCTGCAGACGGACTCTCGGTCGAAGTTGAAGTTGAGGTTGCGCTTGCACTGGTTTCAGCCGGCCCGTCGCAGTGCCAGTGGTCACCGTGTGGTTCGCATCCTACCGACGCCATCGGGCTAGGGGCCGTTGGAGTGATAGTGGCTTCGTCGTCATTGTCGCCATGAGAATGGGTTGATATTGCAACAGCCGTCGAAGATGCAGGGCCATCGCAGTGCCTTCACGTTGCCATTACCACGTCAGTAAGATGAATGTAGATTATTCGAGGACGGGACCTACCAGTGGTCCCCGTGAGGCTCACAGCCAACAGACTCGGTTGGAGACGGGCCAGGGTCTTGCGCCAGGACAGATATTGCCAGGGCCGTAAAAGCAAAGATCCAAGGTCTCATGATTGGCTGTCTGGTTTTATCTTCTGTTGAACAAGTGTGAGAAGAGCTGGACGTAGGAAAGATGCATTAGACAAGGCAGGACGCAAGGGTTTACCCCATTTATACCCTTGTTATAGACCGTTCGAATGTCCCATATACCAGGCTCATATCATCTTACAGACAGAGCCTTGGAGGCTCGGATATCTCAGATTTTGCCAGAATTCATACCTAGGTAGTGTAATCATCGAAGAATGGGTATACGGCACGTATGGCTGCTGAAGGAGCTCCTCCAGTCACTGTCGGAATTCTTTGAATGCCCCCTGCACGTCTCGAATTGGAATGCCACGGGTTATGAAAGAAGAGTGGTCGGAAATGGAGATTGTCAAAGTTCCCCCCATATTATGCATATATCTCCGGTTAGTTTAGAACGCCGATATATCCCCCCCCCGCATAGCCTGAAACCAGATGCTTTGCTGCCACAGATCGCCATCATTGCCGTTAAGCAGTAACTTCCATTTCTGTAGAAACCATGGAGCTGCTTCCCAGCTACGCAAGTCCCACGGCTGGCCACTTGCAAGGTTAGCCGTGTCGACAGCACCCCAGCACACCAGCCCTCCTTCAACAATATCCTTTTTTAAATCAAAGGTATTTACTAAATTCGGCGAGGTCGCTGCCAGCGTAATTGCACGGGCTCGCAGGACAGGGATCGGGATGAGATCAAAAAATGGATGATGGGGGAAAAGGACTTGCGGGAGGGTTGGACGCAGGTGAATAGGGATCGATGGATTAGAAACAGCCGCAAGCAGGGCTTTCGGGTCGTCCCCTGCTGTAGCTGGACGATAAAATGGCGAGCAAACTGTCATGGAATTATAGTTCAAGAATTCCTGCATCCTGATGCCAATAGACAGGGCATTGTACATGCAGGCTGTGAGAAGCGAAGTACGGGTTGTGTGGAGGCGGTTTGTGTATGGATTGGGAAGTTGAGGTACGAGAAGTGGGCTGTCTTTGGGTACTAAATTCAGGGGATCCCATGGTGATGCCATGTTGGTTTGTAGGGTGTTGGTGGTTGTGTTCCGTACGGAATCAGGGGTTCGACGCGACACCTGATCAACAGGATCCTCTGATGGGGAAGCTTCGCGGCCGCCGCCAGAGTTACTTTCGGCCTGTTTTTCTAGGTCCCCTAATGAGAGCGACTCAGTATGAGGAGGCTCCCCAAGAAGCAGGTCATCTATGCCAGAGAAGTCCGGCGGGCTGTAGCTGAACAGTGCGGTCCCAGTGTCCCTATTACCTATTCGGTCCAGGTTCGGTATGCCAGAAGACCAAGTCTCTACATAGGGTTGGTCAGATGCAGCGGCCTCCAGATGGCTTGAGAACGAGTGTGATGCACTGGCCACAGACTCTTGACCCGTCGGTAGCTGCCTCAACGCTAAGCTCGCATCAGGTAGAGGAGTCTCCTCAAAGCGGAATTGGCTTTGAGGAGATGATCCATATACTTGAGGCCCGTTCAATCTATTCTGGGGCTCTTGCGAACCTGTAACCGGTGCAGGTCTAGCCCGGTCAACTACGCGCTCCTGGGAGGGACTTGAACATTTCCCTGCTGCTGGATACGGCCGAAGCGGCTGGTATTGCCCTGGAGCACGTTTCATTTTCGACAACTTCTCATCGTTCTTTAAGCGCTCCTTTTGTCGCTGGCCTGCCAGGGGTATTAGTTCACCGTAGATCGTTCCAAACAGGTGAAATACGAACGGTAGGCTCGCTGTGCCTCTCTATTCTGTAATTTCCGCGCCTCCGTGACAACCCGCTTTGGCCGCTGATGGGCTGGACTCGATAAAACCGCAGAATCAGAGTTCAACATCATGCTTGACCTTGGCTTATGAACAGTGATCCTGTTGTTTCTTCCGTTACTTTTTTCCCCCAGCGAGGAGACGAGAGATCATGTGATGTCCCCTTATCCCCGATCCAAAACTCCGAGACTAAAAGCGGTTTTTTTTCTTACGTTGACGCAGCATGACAGGATTCAGCGTAAATTACTCTCGTTCTGTGGCAAATACAGGTACCAAGATATGAAAATTACAGATACGTCATAGTGCCCATGGCTTACACACATCAGCCAATCATATCCCTCCGTTCAACATGTGACCAGTAAGCCACACCAATCACAGCTCAGTGATTCTGGTGCTGGATTATTGTTCTTAGCCAATGAGAATCATTTCTTATTCTTCCTTCTGAATGTCTTCTATTTCCATCCTACCTATAGTTAATCAAGAAAAGTTGACATACATCTTGATAGAAGTGTTCGAAACTATATATATACTCCTATGTCCTCTGTGGATGTGTAACTCAGCAGTCTTGAAAATATTATATAAAAACTCCTACTTGTCCACTTTTACCCCTATTGGCGCTGCTTGCACATGCCTGATATACGGTCAATGTGGAATATACAACATCGTTGAAAATGTCTCCCCATAAATTAATCGTCGTCATTGGCGCCACCGGCAATCAAGGATCGTCTGTTGTCCGTACATTCCTCAACCTACCTAACTGGAACGTGCGTGCTGTGACCCGCAATCCCTCGTCACCAGCCGCACAGCAGCTCGCCTCTTTCGGAGCCGATGTTGTCCAAGCGGACCTGGCGGATCTGGATTCTCTCCGCGTGGCATTCCAGGGAGCACATGCCGTGTTTGTGAACACCGATTTCTGGGGCCCCTATAGATCGAATCCCGACCCGGCACGACGCGATGGCCGCGGGGCATTTGACGTGGAAGTGCAGCATGGACGGAACGCGGCGATTGCGGCTGCTGGAGTCGCCTCTCTTGAACGCTTTGTTTATTCGGCACTGGGGCCTATGACCCGGGCTTCAAAGGGAAAGTACTCCCGGTCCTTCCATTGGGATTCGAAAGCAGCCATTGTCGACTTCATTGAGGGCCAGCAACCGGACCTGGCCAAGAAGACTTCGCTCATCTACCTTGGGGCTTATGCGACGAATCCCCTCTTCACGCCGGCATGGAATCCGGAATCCGGGAAATACCGATTTCAAGTCCCTCTGACGGGCGAGGTTGAGATGGGATTCATCGATGCGGCAGAGTCCACGGGTCCGTTTGTTCAGGCGTTGATCGAAGCGGAAGCGCCGGGCACGAAATTGCTCGCTTACGATAGTATGTTCAGGATCGGTCAATTGGCTGGCCTCTGGTCGAAGGTCACTGGGAAGCCGGCCGAGCTGGAATCCGTCACCCCGGATTTCATGCACCAGCAATTCGGGATCCCGTGGGAGGTGCTTGAAGGTCCCAGGTTCATTGAGGAATATGGATACATGGGCGGAGTGGGTGGGTATATTGTGCCTTCCCAATTGAAGGCCAGGGTGAACACCAAGCCTTTCGAACAGTGGTTGGCTGAGCAGGATTGGGATCGAATTTTGGATTCTGGAAGGACTGAACTGGCGAGCATGAAAGTACAGAAATAGGTATTGTATACAGTCATGCATTGTATATGCATTCTCTATTCTACCCCTGCGTCGAATACGCGTGTGAGCCATATAGCCCAATTATCCACAGAAACACAAGTTAATTCACGCTCTGTAGGAGCTCCTAGACCAATTAGGGCTTGCAAATCAGTGCCAATTAACTACCCTATTAAAACTTCTCCGGATCCCATGGAGGGCTGGTCCTGGCAGAATTCACTGCGGGATCGTAAATGTCCCGTTCTGCAGCCCACGCCAGATCCCCTCGAGGTCCGTCAAGAACAGATACTGCGGACAGGTCTCCGCATAAACGGGCAAGCCGGTCGCGTGGTACTTTGGTTCGAGCAGATTTGCGCCGCTCCAGCTGGTCCGTCATCCCGCTGAGCATGTCGCCGTTCTCGGCGTGGATCATGGTTGTCACGCCGTCGTGGCGTTGTGGGCTTTCTCGGCGGCTTCCGTCGAGAGCCTTGAGCAGCGCCGGCTCGGTCTTATCTTGGGGCGCGAACGCGATGATTGTGGTTGTTCCGCCGGCGCATCTGCTAACGACATCGCCGGCGCTAAGATGGCGATTTTGCCATCCTTGATGCCAATATCATACCGGGCGACATCTGCTGCCGTGACAACAGTGCCGCCGTCCAACACAACACAGTCGTAGGGACTCACGCTGCGGATGGTCATTATGATAGGGATTCGACTTTGAATTTGCCCGGAAGCCAAAGACGAGTGTTGGCGGGGGGTCGAATATAAAGAAAGATCAAGCTAGCAGCGGCGAATCTCTCTCATTTATTCTTCCGATTCATATTTACGGGAGATTACTGTCTTATGGTGCCCAATAAATCCATCCCGCTGGCCGTCGGGCGATAACAATCTGCAGAGAACCTGCTATTGGATTCCATCAATATGGATATATGTATGGATATAAAAGTAAATAGTCGACGGTGAGAATCTTATAAATAGAGATTTTTTTTACAATCAGAAAAGCGTCCACAGTTCGCTCCCCTTACAAAACCGCACCCAGCAACGCCACGGCAGCACCACCGATGACGATTCCAGCGTTTCCAGTGATCTGAGCAACACCCCCGGTAGAGGTGGAGGTGGAACCCGAGGTCTTAACTGCTGATGCGGATACATGGGCCGTAGAGGAGGCCATCGTAGTGGCAACGGCAGGACTAGAGGCAGTGCCGGTAGACGTAGTTGCAGCGGTAGTGGTTGCAGGTTGATCTCCGCTGGTAATCGACCCTGCAGTGACAGTGACAGGCAGCAGGTCGACATCAGCAGTAGAGGTATGCTGTCCGGGGAAGTTGGCGCCAGTTCCACCCATCGAGTCGGTGCAAACTGCGACTTCGGTTCCAACGGAACAGACAGCAGTCATATAGCTAGTAGGAGGGTTAGAGGTGCAGATGGAGAACAGTATGTGATCACTTACAACTCATCACCGTCGTCCATTTTATATGTAGTGGTAGCACCGGGGCCGGCAATCAGGGTCAGTCCAGGTCCCATGCCACAATCACTGCTGTCGGTTCCCGGGGGACAGTTGATGCTGTACGTAGTAGCAGTCGCATCCTAACTCTACATGTCAGTACAGTTCGTCAGGGGACGATCTTCTTCAATGATCCTACGTTTCCGACGATCGAAGCGGCCAACGGCTGGTTGTCTGCGCCATAAATAAACATCGAAGTGACCGTGCTCTCCGCATACGCAATGCAGGCGAGAGCCGGGAGAAGAGCAATCTTGAGCATCATTGTCATAAAAAAAACAAAAAAAAAGGGGGATGAAACGAGTGGAACTGACAATGAAGCTGAATGAGAGAATGGATTGTGAAAGAAATATCCGGGGGAGAAAGAAGCAGGGGCAAAAGACTTCCTTAAGACAGCCACCGTTCTACTATTGTAAGACAACTTCGCCTTAATCGACTAATGAAGAGTCCAGATTCCCGTCAGTGGGGGCAAATGAAATTGCTTCAGGGTCCAGATCACCGTTTAAGCTCCAGACCGACCCTGATACCTAATCACAGGGGATTGATGCCTCTGGATAGTTATCTGTGAACCAATATAATACTGTATCAGCTAGAAAGCTCTGTCTTGACACCTTTTTAGCTCAGTGGTAAAGTTCAACATTCTCTGCATTTTCCGGTTGATCTGACAGAAACCCCGTAGAAAAACTGTACTACGGAGTACCCCTTTTATCTTACTTGGAAAAAGACCCGAAGTCTTCATCTAGCAAAGGTCCACATGGTAGACGTTGGGGCTCGGCCTAAACCTCTCATTCTATTCATACTTTACAGTACTCCGTAACTAGAGTCTTATTTGGACTCATCCAATTCGACACAGATTCTCCAGAGGTTTATGTATATCCACTAACCAAGCTCGGTTAATGCATTCCTAACAGCCGCAATGAAAACCCGAAAAAAAAAATAGCGGTAAAGTACCTGGTTGCGGTTTGCCACGAGAGCCGATAACTACCTAGGTACATACCTCACTAGTACCTCTCCCAACATGGGATTGGAAAGACACAGGAGTGCCGTCGCTCGTATCGCGACGAGCATCCGCGGCTTCTACGACCGAAAAGAGCCCTTCCGCATATTTCACGGGTCAACAAACAGCACGCGACCGATCCGCCGCAAGCACGAAGTCGATATTAGTGACCTCCGCAATGTCCTCCAGGTCGACCCAAAGACTCGAACGGCGTTGGTCGAGCCGAATGTTCCGATGGATCGCTTGGTGGAGGCGACGCTGAAGTACGGCCTCGTGCCACCTGTCGTGATGGAGTTTCCGGGAATCACGGCGGGAGGAGGGTACGCCGGCACCGCCGGAGAGAGCAGCAGCTTCAAATACGGCTTTTTCGACCGGACCATCAACTCGGTTGAGATGGTCATGGCAGATGGAACGGTTCTGAAGGCATCGGAGAAGGAAAATGCGGATCTCTTCCGGGGAGCGGCGGGCGCGGCCGGCAGCTTGGGGGTTACAACGATGATGGAATTGCAGTTGATCGAGGCAAAGAAGTTCGTGAAGGCCACATATCACCCCCAGCAAAGCGTGAAGGACTCGGTTCACGAGGTGCATTCCCACACCCTTGATGATCGCAATGATTACGTGGATGGCATCCTATACGGGCCCGAACATGGCGTGGTGGTTGCCGGAGAAATGACGGACGAGATACCGGATGCTGCACAGGTGCAGACCTTCAGCCACGCCTGGGACCCTTGGTTCTATATGCATGTCCAGGAAAAGACGCGGGGCTCGAAATCTCCCGTCACAGACTACGTCCCGCTGGCCGAGTATCTGTTCCGATACGATCGTGGCGGTTTCTGGGTCGGCAGGTCGGCCTTCAAGTACTTTCAATTCCCGTTCAACCGCGCAACCAGATGGGTTTTGGATGATTTCCTCCACACGAGAATGCTGTATAAGGCGCTCCACGCGAGCGGAGAGTCAAGCCGATATATAATTCAGGACCTAGCCCTCCCATACTCAACGGCCGAATCCTTCATCGACTACACAAGTGAGAAGCTTGGGATTTGGCCCTTGTGGCTTTGCCCCCTCAAGCAGAGCCCGGCCCCGACATTCCATCCACACGCAACAGTCGACAGTCCCGGCTTCACCGCAGATCAGATGCTCAACATTGGCGTGTGGGGGTTCGGGCCCAAGGACCCGGAGACGTTTGTGACAGCGAACCGAGACTTGGAGCGCCGACTCCGTGAACTGGGGGGGATGAAGTGGTTCTACGCACATGCCTACTACAGCGAGGATGAGTTCTGGAATATTTATAACCGGGCATGGTACAATGGCCTGCGACACAAGTACGCTGCCGAAACTTTGCCTACTGTTTATGACAAGGTCAAGATTGACGTCGAAGCGGACCGCAAGGAAAGGGCGGAATCCTGGAGTCGCACGGTCCGTTCTATTTGGCCTGTTGGCGGACTCTGGGGGATTAGGAAAGCGATTGAGAGCAAGGAGTACTTGATCCATCGCAATTCCACCTGGAAGTGGAAAAGCTAAGACGGTATGGCATGGCCTGTTTTGTACACTACTATTACTATAGACAATGGATGAGATAATGGGCTCGATCATTCCTACTGGAAAGTAAATCCCCGCGTTATGGCAATGTTGTTGCACAAGACAAGATCAATACTGACCGAAGTTAGCCAGAAGCGAACTTGACCAGGTTATCCTCGCTGCCATTCCAGATGTCCGAGTCTCCACCGTACGAGTATGAATCCGAGTTTTGCCAGAAAGACTGATACTCCCATGAGGCGGGAATATAGCTCCGACAGAAGAAGAATACCGAGCCAGCACCAGAGGATAATCGCTGAAATGTGCACTATTCCCCGTGCAGGTGTTCCACCAGTCATCAGTGGTATAGATCATAGGATACCGGCCAGTCCGAGCCTTATAAGTCTCGCCAAACTCCGAGACCCAAGATACCATACTGGAAGCAGATAGTCCGTAGCAGGTCGAACCATAGGGGTTGTACTCCATGTCCAGCATACCCGGGAGAGTGATGCCGTCGCCACTCCAGCCGCCACCGTGGGCCAGGAAGTAGGTGGCCTGCGCTGAACCAGAGCTGGTGTCCGGGGTAGCAAAGTGGTATCCTCCGCGGATGAGGCCAGCGCTGGTAGCCCCCCCGTAATGGGTTGAGAAGGAGGGGTCAATGTAAGTTGTTCCCTCCGTGGCCTTATTCTGTCAGTGGGTGGATCTGAAATGAAGAGACAGCGAGACATACCTTGATCATGACGAAACGGGCTCCAGACGAATAGGCTCCAGCATAGTTCACGCTGGGCTGATAGTGAGAGATATCAAAGCCCTGAACGGCGGCGTAGGCCAGACCCGGCAGAGCTAGAAGAGACAGTGCCTGCTTCATTATACAGATAATAAAAATGGAAATTCCAGTACCGGTGATTGAACTCGGAGAGGCTGTGTTATTGCTCGATGCTAATTGATCTCGATCGTCTCCCTTACTTTATATATATCACCAGAGCGTATTGACTCTATAATAACTCCGTAAGTACATAGTTCATCTGAGCTTCATTGCCGCCCAACCTGGAGAATCCTCTCATGTGAAGCTCATGTCGTGCATGCTGTATCCATTGGATACACTATTTCTCGGGCTCCTTCACTTGCTATAGATAGAAAAACGCACACCATTCCAGCACCTCGGAGTCAATTAGACATGAAACCGACAAAGGCCAATCAGTATCAGACCAGACACCACGACTACTGTATGTGGAGTAAACCCCGGAGGAAGGGAAGTTGGAGACATCGTATAGTGCTCCTGATCGACCACTTTCTCCGACGAGAGGGCTCAAGAATCCCCATCAAGTGGCCGAGGCGGAACCATCTATGTATGTCGTGTCAGTGCTTCCTGGCGCGATCGTAAAGTATTAGTGCAGGAGATCTACGGCGATGAGCCCGTGGCGCCTCTGCCAAATGTGCCCTATTTAAGTGATGCAGCAATTAGACGCACTGCGACCACTGAATTCCGTCTGCCCAATCGCACCTATACTCACTTGCCTGCGAGTGGCCCCATGGTTTATTGGGCAGGATTACCATCTTGTGCTGCAGCGGACAGCGTTTTGACAGCTTGAGATCATTTACCAAGCTAGCTGCGCAAACTGTTTCTCTAAAGGTTGGAGAATATGAGTTGACTACTAGAGTTCGCCGGGATTGCATTCAGTATAGCAAGAAAGAGAGACCAAGCAATAATATGAAGAAACCTACTGTCCTTGTCGTCCAACCATGCCAGGGCCACCACTCCGATCATTTATCTTATATGGAGAGCTTAGAATGTGTAGATGCTTGTGGTTATACAGTATGTTACTGTACCGATCTCAGGGTTCGCCATACATAACCCTAGTACTAGTTCCTGCATGAAACCAAGAAAGACCCCATCCATCCCTTAGCGTATAGCACTGAATAGTTGGATTTATAGTTTAGATTGCTTCTAGAACTGTCATTTGATCTAGTTCACTACCAGCACATACAGTATGCATAATATAATGTCCACATCAAAGAATGTGGTGGATACGAGGCATATCGGTACCTTGACCAGTCACAGAGAAACCCTAGAAAGCAGTGCAGCTTAAAATATCACGGATCAAAGTACTATCTCCTCAATAGGAAATTCGGTCGTGAATTAGCGCCTCTTTCCCGTATAAGATACTTATAAGACTATTAACCCTCTTCTTAATTCATTAACTATCTGTTATTTAGCGTGCGGGTTCGGTGCTCGGTCATTAAAGCCTCCGCGCGATATAAGCCCGTCGGGTCGGTGAACATAACATATCATATCATATCATATCGACTCTTCACCATTTCCCCCCAACCGCGCCTGTATTCAGTATTCACGTCGGCAAAATGACTGCTCGCAAAGGAAGCCTGGCATGCGAAAACTGCCGGCGACGGCGCATCAAGGCAAGACCTCCCCACGCCCTCTAGCTCAATTCCAAGTCTCACGAATCCACAGTGTAACCAGCTCCGGCCCCGATGCTCGCAGTGTGCGCGGGCTGGCTTAGCTTGCCACGGTTACAGGGCGCCATTGGACCTCTTGTTCCATGATCAGACCGCTAAGATATCTGGAAAACTCTGCAAGGAGTCCAGTGGTTGCCAGGACGTCGTTTTGGACTCCTCCTCTCTGACCCTGGTGGTCCCTGCCATGCCTATTGAGGAAATCGCGTCGCAGTTCTACTTTAACAACTTCAACATCGTCCGATCCACCGTCACCATACAGCGACAATATTCTCCGATGCGAACCAAGTCTAGTTCTATGAGTGTGACCACTGTCGGCCTAGCCGGTTTAGCCATAACCCATCGGGATTCCAGTCTAATGAACCTTGCGCGCATGAAGTACTCACTGGCTCTGCAATTGCTCTCTCGCGCCGTTCTCGATCCTAAAGAGGCAACGCTAGGGTCAACAGCCACAGCGAGTTTTAATCTGTCGGTTTTCGAGGTTGGCTATTGTTCTAAAACATTTCTCTATCTTTGTGACTAACCCCCCCCCCCCCCCCCCATAGATGCTCATTTCCGATGGCCATGGCGCTGCGTACCAGTGGCTGAAACATATACACGGCACAATTGCGCTTATACGCGCCGTCTGCCTCCCCAAGGAAGATGTTCAGAATGCAATTAAAGGCTGCCTCCAAGTTTGCTTCGCAATGGTATTCCGCTAAATCTGCGCTGCAATGTCTCCTTACTGACAGAGCCAAAGGCCACGGCTTGTTTAATCAGCGAACGGCCGATTCCCCAGTACATGAACGAGCTAGTCAAGTCTTGCAACGACTACAGCGTGGCGGAGGATGTACACTCTATAGTCGAGCTGTTTATTTTGATGGGCGGTCTTATCAATTTCTACATCCAGGCCAAACAGACCCGGAACAAAAGTCCGCGCCACCTGATATCGGCTCTGTTGGAGATCGATGCCGCCTTGGTGTCGTGGACCGATAGACTCTCGCCCGCGTGGATGGGTCATCCAAGTAGTGGAAACCCCTTGTATAGGCCCGAGGATCGCTGTCTGCCGAGATTCTGGGCGTACTACCGGCTGTGTCGCGTGCTCGCACATCGAGTGATACTAGACAATCTAGATATCCTCCGTACCCAGTCCCATAACGCTGAGAGGAGCAATTTCTCGGCGCAGGATGATAAATCGCGGTCTATACTCTCGGCAATCCCACGCGACTTATACGCCAGCATTCCGCTCATGCTGAAAGCTTCATACCCCGCCGGGCGGACCTCTATCAGTTTAGATTCCGATGTGTTTTTCCTGATTACTATTCTGCAGGCCTTGCTCAAGTTGACGGGTAAAGAGCAAGTGACGGAGAAGTGGTCTGTGGATGCGTGCCAGGAATTAGGGGATGGATTTAATACAACCAAAGACTTTATTACAGCACATCTCTCCTAATGTGCATGTATACAGCACTCAATCAACATTGGAAAATCTCCACTTATTCGAAGCTTGCTGAGAAATAGCCGTGCATTGCAGAGCGGAAACCGTACACGGGTAGCAGACATGTTATGTATGGCTCACTCCTTCTTATTCCCCCACGCGCCACCGATTCAGCACCCCAACACCGATATTCAGATACGTGGCATAGCCCAGCCACGCAGCATACGGCACAAGCAACCAAAACGCAGTCCGATCACTAGACCACCAGTTCTGTAGTAGAGTGCCGACGTTCGCGCCGAGAAGAAGGATATCGGCTGCTGCCCAGTCCGGTTTGCGAATCCCGAAGAACAACGGCATCCACAGGTGGTTCAAAACCAGCTGCGTTGTGTAGAGTGTCTGGCCTCTGGAGAGATACGGCTCTGCACTGTTTATGGTGGCGTGGTGGGCAGCATATCCCATTAGTCCGTAGAGGATCGTCCAAGCCGGAGCGAACAGCCACGCCGGCGGCGCAAAGGGGGGTTGTTGCAGATTCGCGTATCTGGTTTTAGTTCCTCCTCCTGCATTCATTAGCGTGGTCTAGAAATCTGAGCCTGCACCCATTCTTGCGTACGGTTAACAAGATATCCGACGAGAGAGCCCGTGACGATGGGGGTAAGAGTGGAGGTGAACGGGGATGCGAAGACCGCCTGCGGAAGCGCAAAGGACCACGCCATGTTTTGTGACTTTCACGCAGTTTAGCGAAAAGACGGGCTGGTTGGGTGTTTATTGATATATGTAGGGTAGATCGATCGATCGCGGTGGAGCGCGTCGACGTCATGCGGTTCTCCAAGTTCCACAAGATTCCTATTAATATAATCGAACAACCTCGTAGATTCGAGATTAGATTCCGGGGAACTTTGGAGGGACGGCTTGATGTGCAAGCTAGGTAGCCATCACTTGATTTGCAGAATATGTAGCGTAATAATTATATTTCGGGACTTCATTGAAGGAGCCAATTCGGGAATTTTCATGACTATAAGTTATACCCCTTCTTATATATCTATTTACTGCTAACCCCCCCAGGGAGGTACGATGGCATAAACAACCCCGTGAGCCATCGATGCAACAATCGGGCCAACCTAAGAACCGTTAACTATCATTTCTAGGTCGACGAGGCGCACTTACCCAATGGATCCAGTGATATCCCGGAAAAGTTGTTGCTGTGTACACCCCGAAACATCGAGACGCGTTCATTGCTATATACAGAACACGCTGTCAGCAGTGCATTCTCCCGGCTTTCACGGCTTCTCTCGAACTTACAAGCTCCGGCATACCCGTCCCTTGTAAACGACGACCCCCAAGTCAATAGGCACAAGACGAGCCCAACCAGGAATGCCGACAGAGCAGGGCCGTAGATCTGGCCTTGTCGCGGGTCCAACCCCACACCAAAGGCGAGAAAGATCAGAGCCAGACTGAATGTGAACTCTAACATAAATGCCTCATTGACTGGCACCTGACTGGTGTCAATCCAACACCCTCCTACGGTGAAGTCCCTCGACCCATACCCAGTTCGCAGCATGAAACCCGCCACCGCGCCCCCCAATGTTTGGCCCAGTAGATATATAACCATTCGGGGAAATGTAATCAGACCGCCAAAAAAGGTAGCCACCGTAATCGTTGGGTTGAGGTGACTGCCACTCGCGTTGGCGAAGGCAAAGATAAATACCGTCAAGAATAGCCAGTTGCTCAGTCCGCCAACGAGCGGACCGAGGAATGCGGCTGTTGAAAAGATTCCAGACGATGTGTTGGCGTTGATCGTAACCGGTCGTCGAATCCCGATCCAGGACGATAAGAAGACAAATAACAGAGAACCTACCGACATGGTGAGATTGTGATTGAGCCATGAACTGGGGGGGTTGACTCGGTACCTATGCATTCAATCAAGCCGAATTTCCAGAGATCCAGATCATAAAAGCCAGCTATCTCAAAGCGCTGCTGGAAGGTCATCAAGGGCGCCGCATCGGGCACCCTCTTCAGCAGTTCTTCATTTTCAGGACAGGAGCGATCCAGAACAAGTCCCTGATTACCACCGATTCGACCTGCAAACGGCTGGATGGAGGGTTTTGGCGGCGGGCAGTCTTGCAAGCCGCCCGTTTGGTACTCCTCTTCGCCTGGAGAGGTAATTGAACCCATCGTCAAAGACGCTCAAGCTTTCTCCAGCTCACCAGCAGCTGTCATCGATTTCCACCCAATGTGCCGAATATCTCCAAAAACAGCCGAGCGATGCTGTCCGGGTCTTAATATAATACATATCCCCCCTGTTCTTGTCCGTCATCCTTTAGCCAATGCTGACCTCCCACGAACCCATAAGCGGCTAATTTAGTCTGATCGTAGTCGAAATTTAGTAACGTTTGGATAATCATTTGCTCAGCAGCTGCTAATTAACTAGTTAACTACGTAGTTAAATTGAAGTTTCATTTAGGTGGTTCAGCTTCACCAATGAAAAGGGGTAATACCCTAACCCTAACCTCGAAGTCGGATGAGTGCTCTTATTCTAACTTTAGAGTCAGAATATAGGGGTAAGGTAGGAACAAAAGAAATATAATCTAACTAGTATAGGAAAATGGGAGGTAGGACTGGAATTATTGGAATAACTTCCGAAATTAAAGAAGTGCGTGTCGAGCTGACCTGCTTGTTGAGCTGCTGGGATACGCGCGATCCCGGAAACTTAGTTGGAGGGTTCGGTTATTCTGACGTGTGTTGTGTTGAGGATGGCGAGGGGCAGGAGAGGTTGATACATAGTTGCCCCCATGATCTCCATCACTCTTGCCACAGTACTCTCTCTTTTTATCAGTTGTGAATGCCTATTTTACATGCCCTGCCCATTTTACCTGCTTGCCTCTTCTTGCTTTCCACCTACTTTCTCACCCACCATGGACTTCTTTCAATCCACCTCGAACCCGTCTCAGTCTTCATCTTCTGAGCGCTCATACTCTGAGTTCTTGTCAGTTGAATCTGAATCTGAGGATCCTCTTGCACAACTTGCGAAGGAAGTGGACCAGCAGCCATTCACCACTAATAGGAGCTTACGAAAGTCTTTAGAAGACCGTCGCCAAGCGCTTTATAAAGACGAAACTCGGGATCAGTACTTTGTTTTCACGTCTGTTTCCCCGGCAGAATCTTGCAGACTGAGTGATGATCAGTCACGAACAAGCAAGTACTGTCGATTCTCTTTCAATTCAGAAACAGGAATCTTGATTGTAAAAGTCATGCCCAATCCTCCGCACGAACTTGCAATAAGGTCATTTGATCTTCTGGTCTCTCTCGAGCTGCATGCGATGAACGCCCATCTTGACGTGTGGTCTTTGGGTTCAACGACAGTTACGATTGGAAATTGGCGAAAGGAGGCTGACTGCTGCTGGGGTCCGGTTTCGACAAATACAAGGCTAAGTTTTGTTGTGGAAGTAGGGTTGTCAGAGTCTGCACGAAACCTTGCTCTTGATGCACGCGGTTGGCTTGAGACCTCCTCCTCATCTGTGAAACTTGTGGTTACAATCAGCATTAAACAAGATGGCCCCGAGATCATATTGCGCCGATGGGAACTTTTTCCTGGTCGATATGGTAATGTTACAAGGTCATCCCCTCCTTCAGCGCGTTGTACTGCATTCCTCAAATTATCTCGAATCAACAACACAACATCTGTTACTGGAGAGTCCTACATGAATGGCACAACTACAACTACTACACAGCTGGATCTACCCTTTGCCAAGATTGTTGGCCGCCCTCCTCATCAGCCCCTGGAGAGAGATTTAGTAATATCTGACCAGAAGCTCAGACAATTTGCCGAGCATATATGGACTGCACAGAGACTCCTATAAGCTGTCTTGATTATGATTCTTAATCAGTGTGGTGGGATAACTATCTCTTATATTAAGAATAATCTATATTTTAATATACTCCTTTAAGTTTAAATCTTATCTAATTTAGACCTAGCATGAATTTATTTTATCCTCTAAATATATTTATTTTATCCTTATCTTAATAGATTACTATTAAATCTAGATCTTTTATAAAAGTATTAAATTTCTAGTAGAGTAAGACTTTAGTTAACCTATCTATTATTATTTACTTAATAATAGTAATAAGTATTGGGCTTATAAGTAGGGGACTGTTAACGCCACACCCTGTATCGATCCAACCACACCCCTTCCCGATCATGCCACACCCTCTAACCTGATAATGCCACACCTATTTATCACATGATAAAAATATTACATGTAGAGTTAGATATTTATATTCTAATATATTTAAATCTATTAAAATAAGTACCTATAAAAGTAATAAAATATATATTATTTAAATAATTCTAATTATATAAATTATTAGCTAATTAGAAGCTAGTATTTAGAATTTATTTTTATATAATAGCATATCTTTTATATCCCTAGTTGCCTCCCTATTTTTTATGTCTTCTACCATGTCTTCTATACTGCAAGATTACTGGCTCAGTTGCTAGATTAGTGGCCTGCGAGGTTGCTAGCTCAGTTACTAGATTAGTAGCCTGCAAGGTTGCTGGCTTGGTTGCTAGATTAGTGGCCTATAAAGCTACTAGCTATAAGTCTATTAAATATTATTACCCTAATTAAGAAAAAGAATACTAACTATTCTATTTTCTATAGGTTGATGATCTTTCCTGCCTTCTCTACTTCCTTTACCTCCTCTACCTCTCTCATGTTCCCTATAAGGCGTCAAATTCTCCTATGCCAGGATATATTTATGATAAGATAGCTCTCTTTAAATAGATCTATTTATATTACTCTAGCTTACTAGCTAGCTTACTATTAGGATATTTATTAAGCCTCTTAGATAGCTATAGGTCCTATAGACTATAGGGTTAAGGACTAATAATTATAAATTAATAAGAGGTAATAAGTTAATATCTATATAAAGTTACTAGTATTAATAAAAATAATAGATTTATAAAGACTTATTATAGTTAATATATTTTTTAATAATATAAATATAAAAGATTCCTATTATTCTTTTTATATTTTTATTATAATCTAGATTATATAAAATTTTATTAAATTTTAAAAAATATTTTTTAACTTCTATAATATAGCTAAATATAAATAAAGAGATCTAATTTAATATAATTTAAAATAAAGAATTTTTTATAAATTATAATAAGTATTTTATCTTATTATTATTATAAATTTATTATATTTTAATATATTACTTTATTATAATATATTTAAAAAATTATTATATTTTTAAAAAATTATTTATAGAAACTTAAAATTCTTACTTAAGTATCTAATAATCTAACTTATTATAAAAAATTATTATCTATATAAGATATATATAATTTATAAAATAATAAAATAAAAAATAATATTAAATTTTATTATTTAATTATTTATTATTAATATATTTTATAAATTCTTATTAAATCTTATTATTATATATAATTTTAAAATTATTAATTATTAAATCTCTTTTTTTCTTAATTTTTATATATATAATTATATTAAATAATATTTAGAAAATTTTTTATTACTAATTAATATAATTTTTATATTTCTTATTATTCTTTCTTATCTCTATTATATTATTATTATAGATTTCCTATATAACTTAATTAATAAGAATAGATTATATCTTTATAAGAATATTCTAATAAATATATTATATATAAATTAAGTTATATATAAATAAAAAAATCTTATAAATTATATTTATTAAGATACCTTTCTTATTAATAATAATAATTATAGAAAAAATAATATTTATTTATTAAAGAATCTTAAATAAATAATTTAAAAAGTATTTATAATTTTTCTATTTTTTATTAAAGATAAATCTAAATCTAGTATAAAAAATCTTATTATAAATAATTAATTTAATAATATTTAATAATAATATCTTATATTAATTTATATAATATATATAATTTATAAATAAAATTATTAAATAATATTATAAAAATTATAGAAAAGTTTTATAAATATAGAATATTATTATTATAATATTTAATTTATTTATTTTATATATTATTATCTAGTTACTAATTTCTAGAATAATAAAAAAAAATATCTAGATAAAGATTTTATTATTAAGAAACTTATCTTATAACTTTTACTTTTAATTATAGATATTATAATTTTTTATAATATAATTAGGATTATTCTTATATAATATAAAAAGAATTTTATTTATTAATAAATTAATATTAAAATAAAATTTAATATTAGTTTCTTTTTTTATAATTTTATAATAATAAAGCTTTATATATATTAAATAAGAAGTAAGATTATAATTATATAAAATATTTTTAATCTTAAGATATTATATTTTATTATTAAATCTAAGTTTTAAATATACTTTATATAAGTACTTTATAAATTAAGTTTTTTTTTTTTAAGAATACTTTTCTTTATTAATTTAACTCTAGTATTCCCTCCTATAACTATAATATAAATAGACTAAGTATATCTCCTTCTTTCTATTAATTTTATATTATTTTAATTACTTAGTAGTCAAGATATATGTCACGGTGCGAAGCCGTAGTACCTATCTAGTTAGATTCTGCCTTGACTGTCCGCCCTTATTCCTGTATTTAAGCCATGTTGTCCTTGATCCTGTTGTAGCTCTTCGAGCTACGTCCTGTCTATTACCTGACACCTACTATTCTGCTGTTCTGTCTGGTTAGCTCCTAGTCAATGAATATCTGAATCTGACTCTGCCCCCTGACATTATGTAGCTCCTCTCTACTGGGAGTTAATTGCTGCTGTCATGCCTGCCTCGCTGCCCGTGCCGCCCGAAAGCATGGAAACCCTCCTGCATAATGCCCCTGATAAATTAAGATAGTACATCACCAAGATGTACTAGTTCTCTACTACTGCTGTGGAAGAACTCCATAAATTATCTACCCTGTGCTCTACTATTACTAACTTTCTTGACTGTATTTAACAGAAAGATGGTGTGATTGAGTACCAGAAGATACAAGCTAAAGAAACCTAATAGAAGCTATTTAAAGCACTTGCTCAGAATAGCATGCCTTCTTAATCACTATCTCCTTCCAAAAGAGATGCCGATGTTACTACCCCCCCTACTGCCGCTACTGCTCTTACCATGTCTGTTCCCACTGCTTAAACCTCTGAACAACTTCCCGACCCCGATAAGTTTAATGGCCAATAAAGTGACCTAAGATGCTTTACTTCTCAAATCCACTAGAAGATGACCGTGAACCTTGACTATTTCCTGACCCTGAATAGTAGAATGGCTTACGTGACTAGTCGCCTTGAAGGAACCCCATACGCCCAAATCTTGCCATATATCTAAGATAGAATCTGTGAACTAAGTGATTATACTAAGATTTTGGAAATCCTGGAGAAAGTTTTTAGAGACCCAAATCTAGAAGCTAATGCTTGTACTAACCTATTCTACCTCTAACAAACCCATTACAAGTTTAGTATCTTTTTTGCTGAATTCCAATGCCTTGCATTAGAAGGGAACATGAATGAAGATATCTTACCTATAATTCTGGAACAGGCTATTAGCCAAGAACTTTAAGAGATGTTAATACACTCTAAGGCCCTATTATAATACTATGACTTTGCTAATCACCTGCAAAATCTAGAAAACCACTGCTACTATTACATGAGTACTGCCCCGCCCCTGTCTATAAAGAATTCCTAGCCTCCCTGACCTATCTTAAAGCTAACTCCTGCTGCCCAAATTCCTGTGGTCCCTGTTAATCCCGTTGTTGCTGCTGCTCCCGCTGAAGACCCAATGGACCTGTCTGTCGCCCGTCGCCTCGATCGTCGAACCCAACGCCTGTGTTACCGCTGCAGCGGCGCTGACCACCTAGTAGGTAGCTGCCCGCACCCTGACCGAAGACCAACCAGCCGTACCTCTGTATCTGCTGCCAAACTGGACCCGTACCCCCTATTGACTGGAACCCTGCCTGCCAAACGCCCCGCGTCCCCCGAATCAGAAAACAGAGTGTCCCTGACCTAAGCCGCGATCAGGGACACCCCCGGCGCTCCCTCTACCTGTCAAAGGCTGCGATAGCTGGAATGATGGTAGAGGAGGAAAGTTGCCAATCTAAACTAATGATCCTGCCTGTTAACCTGGAGACCCCTGATAAGACTCTGCTGACCTTCACTATGATTGACTCTAGAGCCAAGGGTAAACGTTTCATAGACCGTGATTGGGCCATGGACAACTAACTAGAGATGCTACTGTTAAAGAACCCCATCCTGCTAAGGGGATTTAATGGTACTCCAGTAGAGTCTGGTGATATCACTTATTTTGTTTGTTTAACCCAAAGAATCCATGACCATGCTGAAAAGGATGCTACTTTCCTTGTAACCCAACTTACACACTTTCCTGTTATCCTTGGCTTGCCTTAGTTAAAGACCCATGACCCCTGGATTAGATTTGCCAATCATACTATTCTGTTTGAAAGCCCCTATTGTAGGAAATACTGTAATATGCCTCTGAAGCCTATAAAAATTTCAGCATTACATGATATACTACTAAAAGCTTCTCCCTAATGCCTTAACCCCTGCCCTGAACCTCTGAAGAACCGAGATATTACTAGAGTCTTGGTTGCTGCCTGTGCCGCGTATGCCCGCTGTGGGTACCAGATGTTTGCTGCCACTGTCACTGATATTGAAGCTGCTCTGAACCCTGTTACTGTCACTGAATCTGAGCTGCGAGAGCAACTACCCCCTGAGTTTACTGAGTTCTATGATGTGTTCTCACCAAAGGAGGCCGAGCGCCTGCTACCCCACTAACCTAATGATCATGAGATCAAACTGCTACCTGGAAAAACCCTGCCTTTTGGGAGCCTGTATGGCATGTCCCGAGATGAACTGAAAGTTCTGAAGGAATGGATTAAAGAGAACCTGAGGAAAGGTTTTATTTGCCCTAGTTCCTCCCCTGCTGCGTCCCCTGTCCTGTTTGTGAAGAAACCCGGAGGAGGCCTGCAATTCTGCATGGACTACCGAGCCCTAAACACAATCACTGTGAAAGATTGTTACCCACTACCACTGACAAAAGAGATACTGAATAACCTGAAAGGGATAAGGTATTTCTCAAAAATTAATATTATCTCTGCTTTTAATAATCTGCAGATTAAGAAAGGACAAGAATACCTTACTGCCTTCTGAACTTGGTTAGGCCTGTTTAAATCCTTGGTAATGCTGTTCAGGCTTACTGGAGCCCTGGCATTATTCCAGAGATTTATTAACAAAGCCCTGCATGATTATCTGGATGTCTTCTGTACTACATATCTGGATAATATTCTGATTTACAGCTGAACCCATACTAAACATACCTGTCATGTCCAATAAGTATTAGAACGCCTACAAGCAGTAGGACTTTATACCAAATTTAGCAAATGCAAATTCTTCATGCGCGAGACGAAGTTCCTAGGACTAATTATGGGTGGAGATGGCTTCCAAATAGACCCTGACAAAGTAAAAACAATCACCAAGTGGGAAACACTGACCTGTCTGACTGATGTTCAAGCCTTTATTGGCTTTGGGAACTTTTACCGCTGATTTATCTGTGACTTTTCGAAAATCATTAGACTGTTAGTTAACCTGACTAAGAAGGATGTTAACTTTAACTAGACACCTGCCTGCCAAGAAGTATTTAAACAACTAAAAGCTGCTTTTATAAATACCCTAATACTGAAACCTTTTAACTAGTTAAAAGATATAATTCTGGAAACTAATGCCTCTGATTATGTGTCTGCTGGAGTACTATCACAACATGATAATAAAGGCATGTTGCACCCTATTGCATTTTTCTCTAAGAAATATTCTATAATGGAATATAATTATAAGATTTATAATAAAGAACTGTTGGCTATTATTTACTACTTTGAAGAATGGTGCCCTGAACTGGAAGGGACTCTGTTGCCCGTGAAGGTTATTACAGACTACTAGAACCTGGAGTATTTTATGTCGACTAAGCTGCTAAACTGTCGACAAGCCCACTGGTCCAAATTTCTGTCAAGATTTAACTTCCAAATATATTACCACCCCAGGAAGTTGGGTGCTAAGCCTGATGCACTGACCAGGAGGTCAGAGGACCTGCCTAAGGAGGGGGATGAACAACTCCTTCACCAGAGCCAGACTGTCCTGAAATCTAAAAACCTGCTGCCTGAGACTACTACTAATCTAAGACTAAATACTAACAGCTAACACTGAGTACACTTTGCTGAACAACCTGCCACTGATGAACTGATCTCCCTGCTGCCAACACTGCAACCACTATTTGATAGAGCTTATCCATGAGACGAGAAGCTCCAGTCTATTCTGAACGCCCTGAAGGATGGTCTACTGAGACACCCTAATATCACACTGGCTGACTGTGGACGCGTTAGTCCATACCTAAGATACCAAGACTGACTTTACGTGCCTAACTGTGATGAGATAAAAGCTGAAATACTAAGACTCTATTATGAAAATCCTGCTGCTAGACATCCTGGAAGGACTAAGATATACAAACTAATATCACACAAATACTTCTAGCCTGAGATCTATGAGTATGTTGACTGATGGGTCCAGAACTGTCACCTCTGCCACCAAATCACCCCTTCCTGAGAAGCAAAGCAAGGAGTACTAAGGCCTCTGCCAATTCCTGAATGTGCCTGGCAAGATATAAGCATGGACTTTATCACGCACTTACTGCTAAGCAATGGCTGTGATGCTATCCTGGTCATAGTTGACCATCTGACAAAGATGAAGCACTTCCTCCCCTGTGCTGGGATGATTAATGCTGAAGGGGTAGCTGACCTATTCCTTAAGTATATCTGGAAGCTCTATAGTATCCCCAAAATAATTATATCGGATCATGGAGTCCAGTTTGTCACTGCCTTCTGGAAATGCCTGACATCCCGCCTGAAGATCTGTAACCTGCTGTCCACTGCTTATTACCCTGAGACTGACGGCCAAACTAAATGTGCTAATGCCATCTTAGGACAATACTTGCGAGCATATACATCATACCTGCAAGATAATTGGTCTAAATGGCTACTAATGGCCGAGTTTGCTGCCAACTCTGTCTACTCCGAGTCTACGGGAGTATCACCATTCATGGCTAACTACGGATTCCACCCGACATTAGGGTTCGAACCAAGCTGCCCTGCTGTCCGCCCTGCTAAGAAAGATGCTGAGAAGTTTGCTGATACCATACACAAGATTCACAAGTTCATCCGTACTGAGATCCTGTCTGCTCAAGCCCATTATGAAGTACAAGCCAACCACCAAAGATAATCTGCACGTCGCTACACCATGGGGCAAGAAGTCTGGCTAGACACCCGTAATATCCAAACACTCCGCCCGCAGAAGAAGTTAGACTGGAAGAACTTCGGGCTATACTGTATTAAGAAGATTGTTAGCCCGCATGCTTATGAACTTAAACTGCCTGAAAGCATGAGAATCTATCCTGTGTTTAACATGTCTCTGCTCCGCCCTGCTGCTGATGACCCTCTGCCTGGTCAACACCCTGATCCGCCACCACCCGTTGAAGTAGAAGGATTAGAAGAATGGGAAGTTGAGGAAGTCCTTGATTCCTGATGGGTTCGTTGAGGCCGTGGCGAACCTAAGCTGTGATACACTGTCAAGTGGATTGGATATGACGAGCCAACTAAAGAGCCTGCTGAGTATCTGGAGAATGCCTGCTAACTAGTAAATAATTACCACCTCTGTTATCCTGAGAAACCCCAGCTGATTCCTCCCTAGTCTCAACGGAGCTCGACCCTAAGGAGGGGGGTACTGTCACAGTGCAAAGCTGTAGTACCTATCTAGTTAGATTCTGCCTTGACTGTCCGCCCTTATTCCTGTATTTAAGCCATATTATCCTTGATCCTGTTATAGCTCTTCGAGCTACGTCCTGTCTATTACCTGACACCTACTGTTCTGCTGTTCTGTCTGGTTAGCTCCTAGTCAATGAATATCTGAATCCGACTCTGCCCCCTGACAATATATCCTTATTATATAATAAATAAATTAAGAAACTTTATAGCTAATAGTCAGGATAGGAAGGTCTGGTTAGTTAGTAGAGGAAGTAGCTAAGGCCTGATCTTGCCAGCATCCTCGCCATTGTCTGAGCTCTTATATCCAACAAGATTAGGTAGTATTTTAGTAGTCTGCATGGTCTGCATATATTTAGTATAGTTAATATTAATATTATAATATATATAATAATAGTAATGCCCTATAAAATTGCCCTAATACTAAACTATATATAGTAAGAAAAAAAATAATGTAATAAATAAGTGTGGTATTATTAGGTCAGGGGGTGTGGCATGATCAGGAAGGGGTATGGTTGGATCAATACAGGGTGTGGCGTTAACAGTCCCCTACTTATAAGCCCAATACTTATTACTATTATTAAGTAAATAATAATACATGTATCATGTGACTCTGTATATGTATTTAGGCCACTATTTCTTTCTAGATCTTTATGCTTCTTCCAAGCATCTCTTTATCTCCATCTCTCTCTCCTAGTTAGACCTAATGCAATTCATTTTGGTCAACATTCTACTGCCATAATTTGACAACCTCTCATCAGTTTATTATAGGTAGAAAATTATTAGGACTAGTTCTACCTACACGGAGTTTTTTTCTACCCACGCCGAGCTGTATCCCCGTGAGTGAGTGCTGATCTCGCTGCAACAATGCAACTTCCCGCCTGCCGCAGGAGGTACGGTACCTAGGTAGGAGGAGGTCAAGGGATATCGCGTCGTTTTACCCCTGTCAAGACACGGTCAAGAACCACTCAGTCGTCGTTTACCCGGTAAACCTAGTACAAAAGTTCCTCGTGCTGGGTATCAGCAGGGGGCGCTCGTGATGCAAGGAGGCTGCAGGAATGCAGGTACAGCAATGAACGCCCGGCCCCTAGCAATTCAAGAACTTCTTAGACGCGGGACTGGGCCCGTACATGTCTTAAACAACATCTTCCTTTCCGAGTTGTCTTCGAACGCCGTTGCTCATGGTGGTTGTTTGGGTTTAAGTCTCATTGAACAGCCCTCAAGAATGCCTTCGGCGGCCGAGGCGTCAACAATTATCACAGGTGTATTGGGCCTGGTTTTGATTCTAGTTTGCAGCGTATCAGCACTACGAAGGATCCTGCACCGATTCACGAAGAACACAGCGTGCATATGTTTGGAGCCATCGCTACTTGCCGAACCCGATTATGTCGATGAGGATGGAGAAGCTACGGAACGATCAATCGACGAGTTTTCAGACAGATGGCAGAAATGGGCTATCGCGATATTGTCGATAGCCGGCTTTGCTGTGTCGTTGGCTCAGGCTACCGTTGCAACGTGTTCCGCCCATGACCAGAGACATTTCGTGGTGCCTTCCTGGCTGCAAATGGTAGGATGGGTGAGTGAATAGCTCATTATGAGTAGGCCCGTACAGGGAGATAACTATAGCTAACCCGTCGCAGATGGTCCTTTGTGTGCAACCTGTTTCCCTTTTCACTGAACCTTCCTGCGTGAAAAAGTACTATCTCGGATTCAATGCGTTTTGGGCAAGCATGGTTACGATACTGGTTTTGTGTGTCCAAGTCGACATATTCTGGCGGTATGGGTACAAGATTGGAATCTCCGCCGGGTTCACAGGATTAATGGCGGCGCAAATCACCACCGCGAGTTTACGGGCCATATGCTCAGTCCTTATCCCGCGACGACCGAACGTGTACTTTGAAGGTCAAGTTGTTGATCAAGAGTTCAGCGTGAGTGCATATAATCGATTTACCTATGGCTGGGCTGCGGATTTACTCCGATATGCCGCAAAAAACCGGGCACTAGGCATAGACAACCTCCCGAAACTGCCATTTGCCGCGCGATCAGAGACTCTCCATGCGCGTTTGGACGAGTTTCAGGGACCGCGCAAACTCTGGGTTGCCCTTATTCTGCGACACACCCGAGCGCTCACAGTCCAGGCCTTGCTTAGCTTGGTGGTGTGTGTACTCGGATTCGGACCGCAGGTTGCGTTATATAAGATCTTGAAGGTATTGGAGGACCGTTCGATCCTCTCTGCAGACTCGACAAATGCGTGGCTATGGGTTGGGGGGTTGGGCATGTTTCTGGCATTGTCTTCCAGCATTGAGTCCTGGCTATGGTGGCTCATCTACTCCGATCTTTGGGTTCCCATTTATGAAGGTCTCTCGGCCCTGGTTTTTGCAAAGTCAATGCGTTGCAAGGACGTCAAACACTTTAAGCCGTCTAGCACCGGAGATAAGAGTGCGCATACTGCAGATGCGGAGGACGAGGAGGCAGAGGCCGAAGACGAGGAGGAAAGCAAAAACCGCCAAAGCATCATCAACTTGGCTGCGGTTGACTCAAAACGCATTGCAGACTTCGTCACGTTCAGTTATCTGATCCCTTCATGCGTCCTTCGGTTAGCAATTGCCGGGGGAGTCCTCGTTGGTCTCATTGGATGGCCAAGTTTGTTGGCCGGTATAGCTGGCGCAATTCTACTAACTCCTGCCAACTCGTGGTTAACCAAACGATACGCTGCAGCTCAGGAAGAGCTAATGAAAGCCACTGATAAGCGAACCGGGGCTGTTACGGAGGTACTACAAGGTATTCGCCAAGTCAAATTCGCGGCTCTGGAGAAACAATGGCAAAGTCGGATTTCAGAGAAGCGACGAATCGAGCTTAATCTGCTCTGGAAGACCTCCATTTACACGACGGGCATGGTCTCTGTGTGGATTATGGGTCCGTTACTACTGTCTGCGATATCATTGACAGTATATGCCCTTACCCGTGGGGAGCTTTCCCCGTCGGTGGCGTTTACAACACTCTCCATATTTGGCTCACTTGAATCTTCTTTAGCTAACCTTCCGGACCTAATTTCCAAGGGCATGGAAGCTAAGATTAGCGCTGATAGGATTGATAAATACCTCAGATCAGCGGAAAAGATCTCGAATGCGGCGGATGTGGACCAAATTACGTTTGAGGACGCTACGGTAGCCTGGCCATCAGATGAAGGAAGTGAGGATGGGGAGGATAAAGGCTGGGATATCAAGGACCGCTTTGTTCTCCGGCATCTTACTCTTCAGTTCCCCTCAAAGAAGCTCAGTGTAATTGCTGGCAAAACTGGCTCTGGGAAGAGTCTTCTCCTCGCATCAATTTTAGGAGAATGCGACATCCTCTTAGGATCTGTATCTGTTCCACGAGTTTCTTCGCCATCTACTCGATTCGACCACCTAGCTACCCGCGCGAACTGGATTTTGGATACGGCTGTAGCATATGTGGCCCAGAATCCGTGGATGGAAAATGCCACCATAAAAGAAAACATACTTTTTGGCCTCCCGTGTGACCGACGCCGATATCGCGATGTTCTTTTCGCCTCGGGATTAGAGAAGGACATGGCAATGCTTCCTGATGGAGATCTGACTGATATTGGCGCCAACGGGATTAATCTCAGCGGTGGTCAACGATGGCGTATCTCTTTTGCCAGGGCTCTCTATTCTCGAGCTGGTATCCTAATCATGGATGACATTTTCAGCGCCCTGGATGCAGAGACCGGCCGGCATGTTTATGAGCACGCACTCACGGGAGAATTGGGTCAGGGTCGGACGAGGATTCTTGTCACACACCATGTTGGTTTGTGTCTCCCGCGTACCGATTACTTTGTGGTACTTGAAAATGGATTTGCAACGCACTCCGGGACTGTGGGAGATCTCAAGGCGACTGGGCAGCTGGCCGATCTACTAGGTCAGAAGGATATACCTGAACGCGAGGAAAATCCACCGGCTACCCATGACAATAAACCTCCAAGGAGAAAACGATCTTCCGCAGGAGGGCGACCGTCTTCTGTCTTCAGTATGCACACCATCCGGAAATTTATCCAGGAGGAAAAGCGAGAAACTGGCTCAATATCGATGAAAGTGTATTCGGCGTACATGAACAGAGGCAATCGGTTGCGGTGGTGGATACTGGCATTCCTCGCATATGCGGCTTTTATGGCTCTTCTAGTTGGCCGAGTAAGTCACGCACTATCAAACTTTTGCACTTTTACTCAATCTAACAATATCCAGTCATGGTGGGTGAGTGTTTGGACTGGTTCTTCCAGCGCCGCGAGACATCCGGCGCAGTCTCTTACCGTTTGGGAGCAAGCAACAACAAGCCAGATCAAGGATGGTGGTCAGACCCACGATCTTATATACTACCTCAGTATCTACGTCGCGATTTCCGCCGTCGCATGCGTTGTGGGCACCTTGCGCTGCCTAGCTCTCGCTCTCGCATTCATTGAATCCTCACGCCAGCTCTTCGATGACCTTTTAGGGGCAGTGCTCCGGGCGCCACTACGATGGCTTGACACTGTTCCACTTGGCCGGATTCTCAACCGTTTCACATCCGATATCTACCTCCTAGATTGGCGCCTAGGCTATGATATAGGGCATTTAGTATATAAAGCTTTGGAGCTGGCTGGGATTCTGGTCGCGGGTGCGACAGTCTCGCCAATGCTCTTAGTGCTTGCATGCGTCCTCCTGGCGCTATGCCTTCAGCTATCTCGAAACTATCTAGCTGGAGTTCGCGAAGTTAAACGCCTTGAGAGCACAGCCAAGAGCCCTGTTATCGAGAAGTTTGGATCTAGCCTTGCAGGACTGGCCACTATTCGGGCCTTTGGCAAAGCTGAAACGTATGTTCGTCATATGTACAGCCTAATCGACCGACATGCTCAGGCATCCTGGTATTTGTGGCTTTTCAACCGTTGGTTAGGATTCTGGCTGGCACTTGTTGGTGCAGTTTTCTCCACACTGACTGCTGCTTTGGTTGTCTATATGCCAGGCGTCTCCGCAGCACTTGCTGGGTTTGCTATGAGTTTCGCCTTGCAATACAATTACGCTGTGGCAATGGGACTTCGCTTTTATGCCAATGTGGAAATTGACATGAATGCCACCGAACGGGTACTAGAATACTCAAATATTGAAACTGAGAATCTGGGGGGGTATGACCCCCCCGCAGCATGGCCGACAAGGGGCAAGATTGAGGTTGAGGACTTGGAAGTCGGATATGCCCCAGATCTCCCACCCGTCTTGAAAGGACTAACCTTTACACTGGAGAACAATCAACGAGTCGGAGTGGTTGGCCGTACAGGCGCGGGTAAATCCTCTCTTACTCTGGCTTTATTCCGGTTTCTGGAAGCAAGGCGCGGCCGTATTATTGTCGACGGTCTCGACATTTCCCATATGAAGCTCTTAGCGCTTCGGAGCAGACTAGCCATTATACCACAAGACCCAGTGCTGTTTTCGGGTACTGTGAGGTCCAACCTGGATCCTTTTAATGAATATTCCGACTTGGAGCTGTATAATGCCCTCGAACGAGTGCATTTGCTCTCCTTTGAAGACACGTCTACTTTGGCCTCGCAATCTACTCAGGACCCTCCTAGCTCAAGCAGCACAATTGGATCGTCATCGTCATCGACAACTGGCGCACCAACAAAACCCGTGGGGTTCTTCTCCTCCTTGTCCTCCCTCATCTCCGAAGGTGGAATGAACTTGTCGCAAGGCCAGCGGCAGCTCCTTTGTCTAGCGCGTGCCATTGTCTCCCGGCCCAAAATTATGATCCTGGACGAGGCTACCTCAGCAGTAGATATGGAGACAGATGCCTTGATCCAACAGTCCATCAGGGCGGAATTTGGGCGCGATGCGTCTTCTCTGCTGGTCATTGCTCACCGGTTAAGCACAATCGCGGACTTTGACCGTATCCTGGTGATGGACGCAGGGAAGGCTGTGGAGTTTGGCTCGCCCAAGGACTTGCTGCAAATTGATGGAGGAGTGTTCCGTAGCCTAGTAGAGAATAGTGGGGAGCGAGCCCTAGTTGAGGAGATGATTTTGGGCAAGACTGCTGTGTAATTTTGCTACTTCTGTATTTAGCGTTGAGTTCTTCTTCTACGGTGGATATAGTTTTTAAAGAAAGCATTCAATTTGTGATTCCTGTGATTTTTCCCTACCTTTGGTTAAACACACTAGATGATTACCATTATTAGATTCCTCAGAATCAACAACAATAGAATACCTTCATCTACAAGCCACCTCCCTTTAAAGCTACCTGCTTACTCCATTTCTCTTTGAAAACATCTTCATAGGACTCAGCTAACCTCGGACAACAATACTCAGTCTGTTTTGTTTAAAAGACAGTTAAGATTCACGTTTGAAATCTTGAAGTATGCTAAAAACTTGTCTCGCCTCAAAGAACATCACCTTCAGCATGCATTTCTAGGAGTAAAAGTAGAGCAGAGCTTGGAGGACAAGATCTGAAACTTCTTTGTTTTTTAATAAAACAAAGGGCATTGTAAGACTCCCGGGTTTGGCTGCACCTTGATCAAGTCCTTGTTCGATTGCAGACCTATGAATAGTGTTGAAAGGACAGCCTTCGTGACATCAAATAGCACAGCCTTGATGAGTGAAAGAAGCAATGGTGTTTTATGAATACTCCAAGAGAATTTCGACCGAGGAAAAAGAATATAAATACTACCGTGTAGCCCTGGAGAATTGAACATCATCGATCACTCAACGTATACAATCCTCGACCTCTGAATCACACAACACAACACAACACAAGCTGCCCAAATTTCTTCATTTATAATAGGCAATCTGAATCCACTGTGCATATAAACAAAATGGCTGACCAGTTGCAACAGATCTTGGTGGCTGCCGTTGCCCAAACCCTGCATGACGCCGGCATTCTCGCTGCCCTCTGGGGCGAGCACGCTTTGCATGTGTTCGGAACCGGAGATCGTCCATATGTAAGTCAAACCCCCCTAAGGGTCTCCTACTATGCTGTGAACTAAGTGAAGAATTAACCGTACCTTTAGGCAATCCGATTCATTATCGAAGACGACGAAATGGAGAAGGCATACCAAACCCTCGGGGGGTGAGGGCTATCTGGAATGCACCATGAGTGCAGACTGCCCCAATTTTTGCACCGGGAGCCACCCTCCTCCCGCAGAACACTTGTATCCCCCGTCTCATATTGGCCAGCTGAAGGGCTCAACAGTTAACCTGCACAAAAAGTCTGACTTTCTCTGGTTCTTTCCCAGATTCGAACTTGGCCCCGTTGAAGGAGATAGCTCCTTCTTCACGACAGCGTCTGAGGTCGCTCGGAATTCTAATGTGAAGGTCGACGACAGCAACAAACATCTTTTTGGGAAAGTCATTGTTGCTAAACCCATGAAATTTGCCGAAGCTCTTATTTACCTCAGCTGTCGCGACGCCGAGTTCCCGGGGGCCAAGAGCCTGTGGACTTACTGGTTGTCATGCTTACGGGGAGAAATGAGCCAGGGAGACCCATCTGGTTTGCCCGAGTGTATGTGGCCAGCGTGGGAATGGGCAGTTAGCAATCAAATGAGGCATGGTCCATGGTTTGAAGGCCTGGAGGAGTGTGCTGAAAAGCTCGAGGAGATTGGAATGCTTCCCAAGCAGCCACCCACCATTGTAGCCAGACAGGCTAGAAACTAGCTATCATAAGGCTTGATTGATGGCTCCGTATTCATCACTCCCCTCCCCTTTTCTTAAAAGCTTATTGCTGACTTGACTTCTTGTTTTGAATGTGCATTTTTAGCGAGATACTTTACCTTTGCTCAACGTCTTCGCGCGCCATTGAAGGCTGGCCCGAATCTAGGTTGTTTCTTGGGCATTCCGTTCCCCTAGCATCTGCTGTCTTTTCTGGTTATGAGGGTTTGTCAGTTATATTCCATACTCAGTCCACTCGGGTTGTCTGTGTTGGCTTACCTAGTTAGATTGAAAACTCGCGGTCATGCACATATTTGGAGCCAATTTTATACCATTGATGTATAATTCCCTACCAAGTGTCCAAGGTATACAAGGCTATTTAATCTTAGTAGAGAAAATGTAAACTTCTAACAAATAATTCCAGGATGATTAAAAATTGCGGTAGCACCTTGGGAGGCTGTAATACTGGGTAAATCCAACCGCTGGCTAGGGTTCGAGAAGATTCACCTCGACAGGCCACAACAAGGCTAGAACTCCACAAAAGACTGACGGCGTACGGATCTGCAATAGAGCTGCGGAGTATAAGCTGGTTATTCTACCATGGGCATCTGTTTAACCTCATGTGCCTACTCCACTTGCAGAGTGTCACTGGGGTCACTCGCTTCGACAAACAAAACTTCCTGATATCGCTGCTTTCTTTTCTTCCCTTGAACGATCAAGTGAGACTTGGATGGGGACTGGATAATACTTGACAAGAGGAATCTCTTTCAGCCCAACGCAACATAAATTGGACCAATAAGGAAATGCTATACATAGTATCCAAATCGGGTTGTTATTCTCCTACTACCCAGTAGGCTACGAGTAGGAAATTCAATGTCGGGGGGCATCCCAGAGCACGTACATAAGTCCGCAGATTGCTTAAGAAACGTACGCTAGGTACATGGCATAAAGCGAAACAAAATATCTCATATACGTCGACGCAGCCTTGTATCACGTGTGCCGACAGCCTGGCGGATGAGGCTAAAGGACGAGGCTGAAACTCGCTCAACGACGTCGACCTCCTGCGAGATTCTTTCCGAGTCAGATTAGATATTCTGAACGCAGAATCCTTAACAAAAATACTTTCGGTGCCCTATTGTTGCTGTCCCTGTTTTTCTGTGTGCATAAAGCCCAGAACTTGGAGATTTGACTACAATGTCACAACTCGATTGGGAGTCGTTGAAGCCTGAAATTCAACGAAATTCTCCCCAGGTAAAGCGAATTAGTGGCCGTCAACACTACAAGTCATGGGACTATCGAGTCCATAAAACGTATAACTCCCTGTATATTATGAGAGACAAATGGACCTGACAAGATCATCACTAGAAAACAACAGTATAAGAGAGTTCCGGCGCAAGGGGAGTTCCTCAGAAACAGTGCGAAACCATGGCTCCGGGCACAGGCGACCAGGAAATCCGAGATGCCCTATAGGACAAAGAACCCTGGACTATATTTACAGGGTACTTTCAAATATTCCTCAGAAGATCCGCGGCCGCATGGCCTTCGCTCACCCAGTTCGTCAAAGAACCCTAGCCCCGATCCATGTGATGCATCTATAAAGATATTGCTTCAACAACCTAATCAAAATTCACTAGACATCTCAGTTGAATTATCGGTAAATGAAGCCGAGGCACAGGTGATCAGTTTAATTTGGGAGAATCAAAATCTCTCAGCTATGAATCAACCCCTGATGGGAGTGGATGCTCTGGTTCTTGAATCAAATAAGCGGAAAATAGCGGTGGATGTTCAGCATATGAAAGCAAATTTAACACCACTGCAAATAGATATCGCGTTTTTAGAGGACATCTGCAGATTCGGAAGGAGTTCCGACAATCAAACAACAATTGGAAGTAATGAGGCTGGGTTGGACAATGCCTCATCTCTTCCCCTCCCCCTGGATGCCAGTTCGCAAACTTCATATGAAAAGTCGAGGAAAATTCATTGCCCAAGAGTGTATCGCTTCCTGGAAGGCGGGCCAAGTGAGAGAAATTGCGAAGCAGATGAAACGGAAAGCGTCTCCTCCGAAACTTCACAATTATTCGATTTTGACGATATATCAAGGGTCTCAAAAGCCCTGTTCTACAGGATTCATGCGGTCCTCCTCGATAATGAAACGATAAACCGGCTATCCTTGATAATGCCGGATTTACTCAAAGCCTTGTCGCTGAAATTGGGCTATAAAGCACCGACTCCCCTCCACTATGAAGTGATGGTATTTTTGCACAAGTATCGAGAGTAAGGATTCTCGTGTTAGAATAAAGATGAAAACTTTCCGCCATCAAACTGATCTTTTCTAGGGACATTTTCAAAATCTTCAAAGACACCTATCAAAATGAACAATTTCATGATGCTCACGAAGAAAAGAAGGATAAAAGCAACAAGATACGCCGAGAAGAGCTAGTCGAAAACTGGCTGCAAATTTTAGAAAACATTGCCCCAAGACCTGATACTGGGGCACCTTCGCAGCAAATTTCTGATTATTGTGACACCATTTTGAGGTCACCGGCATACAGATGGTTTCTTGAGCGTGTAGGAAAAGAGATCGTTCTCCCAGTATCAAAACCAGACTGTATGGGAAGAATCAGAACTAAGATAATAGAAGCCTTTCCAAAGCTCCGTTTGGTTAGTAGACACAAACCATCAGAAGAATATAAGGCGACTTTTGATATAAACTGGGATCCCCTGCAGTTCTTTCGGGAGCGGGAATACAAGGAAACAATAGATGAGGTTTTGGAAGCAGCTATTACCTTGACTGGTTCCCTAGATCATGCGCAGGCGCTGCCCTGTTCTTCCTACATGCGACAGACGTGGCCACTTACAGGGCAGGATATTCTTGATCTTGTCAAGAAGGTCACCGGTAACCAGGATACATACAGTAAGTACCCTGTGTTTCCGTTGGCGAAATTCCCTCAATCTTAATAAGCTAATAGCTAGCCCTAGGTACACAGCTATGTGATGGAACAATATTAGCTGCTACTACCCGGGGAAATCGGTTTCAAATCGAAGTCCAAGGAACAGCATGGGCTATTGCGGAAATTGGCGAACAATTTGCATGGCTGGGTGCTAGTCTTCGTTCCTCCTATAATCCAAAAAGTCTCATTATCTGCACGCCTACTGTTTCGTGTTGTCACAAAGAGGCAACTTCAGAAGGCCCCATTTCCTTTCAGTTCGAATTCCAACTTGACGTGCAAAGGGAGAGCTTTCCTCCTTCCCCCGGGGGCTGCTGGCACGGCATATTTAGCAGCCCTGTGATTGTTAGGGGATACCCAATCTTACGCCGGTCGGAATCAAATACCGGGCTTGAAGTTCCACTGAACATTATGGCAGCCCTAGGCAAAGCCCCCCGTGTCACAGTGTGGGATGGAAAAGTTTTCCTCAAGGGTTTCCACTCGGTGATGATCCCAACAAAAGTGACCGCGGATATGGTAATCTGGCATCTTATTTTCAAGCCGGATGGTTCATACATGTCCTATACAGATTCCCAAATAAATAATATGGAAGGCCTTTATCCAGAAAGGCTCAGTATGCCTTTGCTAGAGAAAAGTCGGCATGCGCTAGGATGGTGCTCCGATGCCACGAGTTACATTGGTGGGTGCAGGTCCAAATCGAATCCCATACCCAACTCTGACTAAGGATGTGCAGGTTCTTCAAAAGCGAAATATACTATTGAGTGGTCAGGCCTTTTGGGGCCATCGGCAGGCGGCGATTTTGAGAATGTAGTTATCATGCGCGGAAAGCTCTTACAAAGAGGCCCAGCGGCGGTATACGGCAACCAGGATAAATCACCATATTTTGGCTCAGACGACTATCTGGATAAACTAAAGTGGATTTCTCGGAAGTTCGTTGTACTCTATGATGTCCGTGACAGACGCAGCTGGCTTGTTGATGGTGCTAGCGCTCTATTACATCTACTTCGGGCATCGTTGAATCACGATGTAACCGATGATGACTTCCGCGACAGACTGCTGTTCAAATGGGATCAATTGCAAGAAGTACAGGGTTCTTGTAATTCCGCAAAATCCGCTGCTCTTGCGTTCCTCAAGCATGATATAAACAAAAACATCCGATTGTACTCTAAAACGGATGGACAAGCCAGCAGAGCAATTTCGAAGAAGGAGCAAGAATTCGTCCGTTTAAAGGACAGAGTGGAAGATTTGTTTCACCTCATGGAACAGGTAATTGCCCATCAAGAGAGTATATCTGCTGAGAAGGAAATGGGACTTAGGGTAAAGACTATCGACACTCTAGAAGGCTTTGACTTTATGGATATGGCTACAAACGAAGATCTATTCTCTCCACACCGAGTTGACATTCAGCTAGAATGCAGAGCCTTAATAGACTTTACCTGCTCCATCCACGCGATAACATTATTTGGTGATGGGTTTGGAGAGATTATCCAACCAACCTATCCGCAGAATGTCTGCCAGGCCTGGGCTACTGTGCCAAAGGGACTCGACTTCCTTGCGGTTTGTGTGAGCGACATTCAAGAGATTCTCAAAAAGAAGGGAAGCTCAAAGACTAGACCCTGGCGAATTGTGAATAAGCTTATTTGGCATACCCCAGAAAAAACATTTGAAGCGTGTCAATGCCAGGGCTCCCTTGCATCTAGTATCTGTGAGAGAGTTCAAGTCTTACTCCCAGAGAGTTGCCTCGAGGACCAAGATAACGCTTTCAGAAGTCCTAATGAGCTCTTGGAACACGGTGCAGTTATATTTGGTCAGCGCTCCAAGTCTATGCTTCCTCGGATAAATTTTACAAATACAGTCTTGAGGCAGAGCTCATCTGAGACTACTCACAGTCCTTCCATTGATAGTGGGATCGGCCAAAGCCAAAGTTCACCATCGAGTACCATCACCGACCACCAGCAAATCTCAACAAAAAGGCTTCGAAACCATGATGAAGACTTGCAAGATAGAAAGCGCCCTTGCCTTCATCCAAATACCCCTGGTCACATCGCAGGCCTGGTAAACGTTCGAAGCAATCCTCAGCCAAACCCCAAAACCAATACCTTACCGGAGGAGAACCACTGGCGTCGAACAATTATATTAAACTCACTATCTATGGTGATGCCATATTCTAAACCTTCAGGGCGAGAATACAGTGTAGGATGGTTGTGCGCAATCAAGACTGAATTTGATCTTGCTCTTAAAATGCTGGACACCACCTACGATAGAGGATATGGGCATGGTTCAGATCACAATCTGTATACACTAGGTCGGATTGGCATCCATAATGTGGTAGTTACTTGTCTTCCGATGGGGAGATACGGAAATAACGCAGCTGCCGTTGCTGCCACAAGGATGATGAGTAAATTTCCGAATATCAAAATTGGCTTGATGGTAGGTATCGGAGGAGGCATACCAAATGCGCAAAACGATATCCGACTGGGTGATATCGTCGTCAGCAAACCGGAAAAATATCACGGAGGTGTCATACAATATGACATGGGAAAGTTTACTGCAAAAGGGTTCGAACCCGTTGGGTATCTCAACCCTCCTCCTGAAATACTTTTGAACGCTCTGAATGTTATGCCATCGCACGGGATGCCACTTGAACACCACCAGCCCAGCGAAGTGCCGGTACCGTACCCTGGAGAGGAGCTTGATCGTTTTTACAACTCAGGCTACAGCCACGAATCTATCGATGGTAGTGATGCTTGTCAAAATTGCCGGGACGATGAGCTGATACTGCGCAGTCCTGGAAATCGAGAAAGAACTGGCCCACATGTTTTTTACGGCACTATCGCATCTGGAAACTCTGTGATTAAGGATGCCTCCGTGCGAGACAAACTTCTTCAAAAGAACAATTTTCTCTGCTTCGAGATGGAATCGGCTGGGCTTATGAACAGCAGCTTCCCATGTGTCGTGATTAGAGGGATATCAGACTACGCCGATTCCCACAAGAACAACCAATGGCAGGCATATGCTGCAGCTACCGCAGCAATATATGCCAGAAACTTTCTCCTCGAAGCTCTAGCAAGTCTCTATCCAGAATATTAGGAAATAATTGTCTTCGGGTACGCCGAAAGCTCCTGATTGAAAAACACCTATTAGGAAGACTACATGACTCTCTTTTCCAATACCACTATCGTGACGGGAATGTGTTTATATCTAACAGGCTTCACTTTATAGAGTCAAGAACTCTCGTTCTCTGACAAATTCCGCGTCCGCCTTCTGTGATGTTAGATCTACCAAGCAAGCCCAGTTTGGTATATGAATGCCCAGGAAACTATTTTGGTATAGCCCGTTAAACAAGGCAGCCATTACAGCCCATGCTGTCTCTTGAGGTATATCCAAAATTGACAGTATAAAAGCGTGGGAAATCATTCTATGAATCCCTCTCAGTATCTAGGAAGGTTTAAAATCCTCCACAGCGCCATTCTTATCAGGGGCCGCAGACTATTTCTATTCCACTTTCTCCATCTTCTGTTTTATGACAATGTTCTCTTCATTCAGATTTCTTGCGCTCGTCGCCATAATGCCAGCTACTTTTGGCGCCGCGTGGAAAGAATCGATGATGACGGAGACTAGATCCAGGGTAACTTTTTGCCTTGAACAATTGTCGTTGACACCGCTAACCTGAGGGTCGGTAGCCCACCCATACATCCAATATACATATGTAACTAAGTACGACATGGATTTTGCTGGAAATATCAAATATTGGGATCCCAGAGCAGCCAAACGGAGCAAAAGATGCGCCAAGGGCGGAGCCAGACGCGAAGCTCCTTCCGCCATTCCGGCTTCGTATTCTTCCAAAAGATTACATTCCGTTAGCCCATCCCGTTGACTTGGATGGACTGTCTCCTCCCTCGCTGCCTCGTCAATCGCCTTCCCGTGGGACTACGCAGTTCCTGTGTCATCTCTTGCTCCGCCGCTAAATATTGTGGCATCGAGCTGCATACTTGTTGAACCACCGTGATACCCTGGCGGCGTCCATCGCTGATCCGCGATATGCGAGGGAAGACCGTAAGAATTTTTCTTTCGTATACTCCATTTCCCTGGGACTCCTCCGGGTTGGGAGCGTCGGGGAAGACAAAGGGCGCCCAGTCATGATCGCCCCAGCGAAGTGGCTCAAAATCAGTCTCATACCTGCACTTGGCTCTCTGTAATGGGCTCCAAACCGCAGCAGCCTTCCGGGTAATCTTTTCAAGCTTTTCCTTCATTTCCCCATGCTTGCTGTCCGGGAGTATGAGGGAAAGCACCGAAGAAACTGTGTCCACCACTTGCTTTACACCTTCTTCCTGTTTTTCCATCTGCAGGTCCGGTTTCACAGACAGCAGTAATGACCGGCAAACCGACTCCTTTTCAACGTCGTGCTCGGCCAGGTTAGCCGAAAATTCCCGGAAATCGCCCGTTGGTGGCAAGATATAGGTCGGTTGAAAAATCCAGTAATCTATCAGTTTTGCGAGAAGGGCCAGCACGATCACCAAGCGGATTCCTTTGGCCGCATTTGTATTGGAGGGAGGAATGGCCATGTTATATCGTCCGAGTGTCTCCTCTGTCTCGCCTCCAAAATGGACCCAGGCCTGGGAATTCTGTATTCATAGAGAGTAAATTAGCCTCTGTGTTTTGTGCTCCAGTTGGCGACGGACCTGAAGATTTTGATCGGGAAGATCGTCTTTCAGCAAGGAGTAAATCTCCTTGGTGGCATAATCCCAAAGATCGTCGAAGCGATCAATCCTAACATGGTCAGTCAGTATCATAGAACCCTCCATCAGCCCAGGGGAAATACATCGGCTCCTCGTCTTCCACATGATAACCAGCCATTAAACCCTGTAGCTTTTGAAGCTCCCCCTGACTATCCTTCAGTGAGTTCTCCAGGGTTGTCGCCTTGGTTACCAATTCTTCGATTTTGGTATTTTGCGTTGAAACCTGCCTTTTGAGCTCCGAGCCGGCTTTTTTCATTCTACCAAGCGTGTTTTCCTTTTCTTCCGACTGGTTCTCGAGGGCCTTGATATCCTCACTCGCCTTTTCCAGCTTCGATTTTTCGTTCTTGCATGATTCTTTCAAGTCGTTGATTTCCTGGCCCAGTTCGTTTACTTTCGAGTCCCGCTCTTGAAGCAACTTGTCCTTGTCCTTGACAGCTTCTTCTAGCGATTTCACCTGCAGCACCATGGACTCTTGCTTAGCAATCTCGGTCTGGTTTGCTTTGACCATCTGGCTAATCGCGATATTGTGGAGTTCTTCCTTCTTCGTGATTTCCTCTTTGGCCTGGGCCAACTCGCTCTCCGTCTCCCCTAACCGCGAGCGAAGCGCAGCCATCTCGTCCAATATCGTCAGCGCGCCTTTCAAGCTCGTCGAAGACGCAAATGTTCTCAAGTTTTCGAATGCATCCTTGACTGTCTGCGCCTGGTCCTTCTGCGATGGCCCGTTTGATGGGGCGGTCGATAGGTCCGCGGTTCCTTTAACCATTCTGGCGGTGTTCTGTGCAGGTGTTGAAGAGCGTGTTCGGACAAAGTATACAACCCTTCATATTTTATGTTCAAGACTCGTTATTCTTCTTTCTTCGAGTCCGTCTCGCGTAATTATAAGGCGAGGGAGTACTTGGGTGTTATCCATTCCCTCACTATCCGGTGTCACCCGCCTACGTCAAAGATCCTTAACCAACGCCAACACAGCATAATTTATTGGATAAAATGTCGCTCAAGCTTATGATATGAAGCCGAATGCACTATTTGTTGGGCCACTATCTTCCATTCCAAGGAGGGGTTTGCCTTGCTCGCACGTTGCTTTTTAACGTGCAGCAATAGGAACCTAATCCGCACAACAACCCTTGCGATAGATGTGCCCATTAATATAGTCTTCCCCTCACACAGCCCATCTGACTGGCTGTATGCACACGAAATGCTACGTGTCGGGTGATAAACGAGAGCCTCGCGCGGTGGGATATTCTTACCTGCCTATCACGGACCTTTTGCCAGCCTTGTGCGTCTGATGATCAAGTCCATCGGTGTATTCTCATTTTACCTTCCCTAATGCCTTTTGCTGCCCCAGTCATCTCATATCGGGAACCTGCTCTCGTGTCAACGGAGATCACTGTCGCCATAAAGCGGCACGCACGAAATGCTCGATGATCCCTCCACAGAACGTGGTTTACGCGCCTTCCGGATACTGTTTTGGGTACATAAGGGATGAACTCGTGTGTGAATTCTGGGAGAAAACGGGCAGAGGTCATTCTAGGAACATGGATTGACTGTTCAGAGAGAACTCCTTAGTAAGTGATATAGCTATATATCAGTGTATCATTCAGAGATCCCTATCCACTTAACGGAAGCATAGGCAATACAAGGTTGCCGCTAAACATTATGGTATAAATGAAATTTAACTCAAAGAGATAGGAATTTAACATCAGTGCGTCAGGATGATAAGCCCAGTTCGCGAACGGAAAGAGAAAGATCAAACGGAGATGTTACTGAGTCGCATTGTAACCTGGTCAAGGGTCAGTATTGAATGGATTTTGATATATCCTTCGAGTTTTTCTTACCTTCTCAATATACCGAACTCCCACCTGTATCCCATCTTCATCTTGAAACTCACTCTCGTCGCCAAAATCCGCGTTGCCCGGATCCAGACTCGTCAGGCATGTCTCGACGACCTCAGAGTACATGGTCCCCATTCGGCTCTTTAGTTCTCTGCGAGCCATAGATAGCAAAGTTTCTTTGAATAGCTGAGGGGAAATCTCTTCTCCCAGACGAGAAGTAGGAGAGATGCCTCCCTTGCTGTCGTATTCTATAAACGACTCCCACATCCCCAGTTCCAACAGGCAGACGCCTAGACTGTATATATCATGCTGCATAATATAATCCTCCTTCGCAACCGAACCCATACGACTGGGGTGCTGGTATAGACATCTTTCCCAGGCGGCATTGGCGCTGCGTGATGTCTTGCCTTCAGCGGTGCGGAAACTATCAAAGCCAAGAAGGAATGCAGAGTCGGTTGACGAATCTTCATTCCTTTGCAGGACTAAGATTGTCTCGGGACGAATGTTCTTGTGAACAAACCCAAACGTATGAACGTAGCCGACAGATCTTGCGAGCTCGTTTGCTAGCCTAAACCGATCTGAAAGCGAGTCGGATGTTCTCGTCCCCTGAAGACAACTACGCAGACTGCGAGGCCCCGAAAATCCAGGCGGCATTCGAAAGATGAAAGTGAATGCACTAGGTAAGTCAGGGGCTATGCCTCCATCGTAATGCTTAACTACTCCTTTGCAGTTGAACAGGCCAAACTCAAGAGGGTTGCAGTTGGTGAGCTTCCTGGCCAAATCTCGGACGTCTCTCTCGACCTGTTTCACATTACCTCCTGGTCCAATGTCGAACCTCTCTAAGATCAGAGACTTGGTGGGATCATTTCGCATTCCCAGCTGCGCAGAACAGAAAGGTATATGCCGGATTTGAAGCGACTCCAGCCCATTTGCCTGGAGAAAGATGGGCACGGTGCTGGCTGGCTCGGGATTCAAAGCACGTCTCAGCGCCTGCGCCGAGGAAATGGGAGCAACGGTATCGGGAGAGGCCGATTTGTTATACATCTTCAGTTCGGAATCAATTTGAGAGGTTGCCGCCTTCATAATCAAGTACCAGGAAGGGTCAAACATCTGCTGCCAACCCTCGAGTTCACGGATTGCGTTCTCGATCTTCTTCTGGAGCAACGCATATTTGGCACGCCGTACACTATCATCCTTGGTGACTGACTTGATAATACCCACCGTAATCTTCAGTTTGTTTGCAAGCACATCCAACGTCTCGTTTTGGATTTTCTGGTGCTCCTCCTCCAGCGTGTGGGCAATGCTTCGAACCAGCTTCAATTGAACCTCAGCACGTACCCAATAGTTTCTCACGCGGACCACTTGTTCAACGAGTTCTCTCTCCGCATGAACAAATGCAGAGCATACTTCGATCAATATTCCGCCCCATCTACCATTTTGCAGGCTGGTTAGCTCCGTGTGGATCGAACATTAGACTCGCTGATTGCTGCCATTCTGACTTACTTGAAGCACAGGTCGACTGTTTGGAGGATTGAGAGAGGGTCTGCCATTATACCGGAATCGAATTGCTAGAGGACTGGGATATCCAGAAACCTAACTCGCTGCAAATTTTTTCCACTTGTGCACCTCCGTGATGAGTTCCAACTTTTTGTGCCCCAGAAGCTGACGGCTGCCAGCTGAGAGCGGGGGTTTCAGCCTCGTATAGGACACTAATAGAAATCTATCTCTTCACAGCAAATGGTTGCGCATAAAGCACTGCCATCTTGGATCATATTCTTCTCTTATTGGGGAGTTCTTGTCCTTTCACGCCCCGCTCCTTATATGTGGTTGGTAACATTGTTATATTAATTATTGGGTCACTCGTCCCCTCTCTCGAGCTTCTCCCCGTCAGCATCTTGAATTCACCACCCTTTGCTGCTTGCAAACCCTCATGAGCCAAATCCCAGATTTAGTTCGAGATTCCGAGCTCGAAACGCACTTCCGGCCGGATTGCTCTATCGAAACTGTCCACGCTTACCACCAACGCTCGGTGCGTTCCCGACGACAGCCACTGCCACGATCAGAGCACTGGCGCCGAGTTAAAAGGATCGGAGGCGGAGGCTTTGGCAGTGTCTGGCTAGAACAATGCACTCAAGGAGGACGTGGGGACGGCGAGGTTCGGGCTGTGAAGCAGATAGAGATTGATCAGCATTCCACACAACTAGACTGCTACCGGGAGTTAGAAGCCATTGCCAAATTCTCGCAGAGAAAGGTTCGTACGGTGTTGTCCACGTTTTCTTTCCCGTGGTATCATTTGCTAAGGCTCGGGTAGTATGAGGAGTGGTTTGTCAAATCATTCGGGTGGTATAAAGGCCCTGCACATCTGTTCATCGCAATGGAATATCTTGAGCTGGGTGATCTGTACACGTATGTGCATCGCAGTCCACCACTCTCCGAATCCGAGGTCAAGGATATCACATATCAAATCCTGGATGGGCTCCGCTTGATGCATGAGAATGAATTCACTCACCGAGATCTCAAATTACATGTCAGGGTTCTAACCTCCCTTCATAAAGTATTCATCGCTAATGCCCTTTGCGTGTTTTTAGAATATTCTCTTGAAATCTTGCCCGCCAAATGAATGGTGGGTTAAGATCGCGGATTTCGGCATCAGTAAACGTATCGAAGACGGACTTGGAGCTCCCACGACTACGAAAGGAACTCCTGGATACATGGCCCCCGAGCTCCTCGGGTTCACCGAGCGCAGTCTTCCATATGCGATCGATATTTGGGCTGTTGGGGAAGTCATGTTCCAGATGTTCACGAAAGAACCGACCTTCAAAAGCCCAGGGCAGCTTGCAAGATATGTGAACAATCCGAGCAACTTCCCTTCTAGTCTCCTCCGCGCCGCTCGAGTCAGTCAGCTAGGGGTTGACTTCATCCTGTCTTTGATGTGTCCTGTTCCAGATGACCGAATAACAGCCCAGGAGGCCTTGAATCATAGCTGGATGGACCAATCCCTGTCGCATCCAGCATCGACTGCACCACCACATTTCAGATCATCCGCCTTGGCCAATGTTGATTCATTAACTGAAGATTTTGCATCTTGGGACACCATCCCTTCGAAAGCACCAGCGACCACCATTTCGAAGGATCCTAAAGAGACTAAAACACCGGCCCCTTCTCAAACACCCCATAGCCAAAATACTTGGTTTGAGTCACCGCAAAATATCCGTAGCCCCTCAAACACGGGAAAGCGCACGACCCAGGCCACTAGCCGTGCTGGAAAGCCAGATCCTTGCGCAGAGTCAGATGAGACCGACATAGAATACCTCAAGCACACCCCAACAGACGCACGTTCGTTACATGGTCAACCAGAAACCAGAGGCTCAATGGATCGCGAGACAGGCCCGGATTCCACGCAAGATAACGACATTCTCGACCTCGAGGCTCTCCAGCATGAGTTGGGCTCCTTTTTCGGTGAGAGCACTACGGATACGCCTCGGTCTGCAGTCGAAACATGCCAGAACCCCCTTTAAACGTGCACGGTAGCCTTTGAAAGCGAAGTGGATAGTTACTCGGTAGACGATGGCGCGAAATTTTTCATGAGTATGGATCATTATGAAGGGTTCGGTCCCCTCCTGAATATACACAGTAACATGGCTAGTGGGCAAAATGTAATAAACCCGGCGAAGAGAAAATTAAAAAATCAGAGGCAAGAATTGATAGAAATACACGCATCATAAGGACTCTGAACCTCCTGCATAAACCGTTCGGGATCCTTGAGGAATTGCCGGCGGTAATTCAAACACTGCCCGGAGGCCAGGACTGTACCGCGGCAGGATACATCCAATGCATAGCGGAAAAACTGAGGGTTTCCCTGGACATTCTCGGTCTTGCGGAACATGGTGTCAATACGGCCAGCGTAGTTGACACAGTCGGCGCAGTCCTCTTGTTGCGCTGCCAGCATGACTTTCGGCGTATGTCTCGAGTATAACACGCCTAGGAGGAACTTAGCTATGCGATCGAGAGACACCATCAAGGAACCGGGTCCATATGCATACCGCCTCCGAGGATCATTAGCACAAGAGCAGCGAGACTGAGGGCGATGAAGTATTGCTTCATTGTGGGGGATACGTGAAAGTTGATACGGAGTAGAATTAAGCAGGAAGCTTGAGGTTTGTTGGGCTGATGTTCTCTAACCGCACTAAATCAGATCAGGTTAGATGTTCTGCATTTCTTCTGCTTAGTTATAAAAGCCATACAAGATCCAATTCACTCTTGTCTAAATCATGTCGACGTGATATAAAAATCACTAGGAAGACATCCACTAAAGATGTCTATCTTAGTCGGTACTTGCAGGTTAAGCGCTGCTTCGGACTGGACACTAGTAAATCCCTGGTTACTGGAATCTAACATCTTACGCTCCTCATGAATATAGCCCGTTTCTGCAGACAAGGTCGCTCCTGCATTTCTGCGCATGAGGAACGGTCATCTAATAGCTGGGTCTCTGAGGATGCCCCTACCTTGAATGCAGGCACGTCTCATCAGAACAGTAGAGCTGGACTCAATCCCCCAAAGCCCATCAATCGATCCAAACATCCATATAACCTCCGAGTCGTTGATCTTCACTCTAGATAGCGTCTGTCGCTCCCCGGCTTTATTATTATTCACCCCAGCTCGTATACCCTGATTCTATACTTCAAGAACAAGCGGGTGTATGCGCCACATCTGCTCCCGTTTAAGAATCGATCATCCTGTGGAAAGTGTATGTACTGAATGTCTGGTCGGTTTCTCATCTGTCCACATACACTGGGACATCGCTTCCAGATTCCCCTGTGTTATTTGTGTCTTGCAGGTCAGACTTTCGGGTAGACTGATCAAAGATGATTCTCTTAGGCTCCGAGTGAGTGCAGTGGCCTAACCCGGGCCTCCGTGGACAAATCTGCAATCTTGTGCAGCTGGTACAATGTATTCGGTCCAAATTCCAATATACCTCGAGGCCAGCGCCGGGTATGCCGCACACCCTGCCACATGGTCGTATTGTTGTCCGAGTCTACCATATCATGGATGCCCACCTCCACCTCCTCTGGGGCCTCCTCTTACCTATGGTGGACCAGGGCCCGATGGGTTTATGAATACCGACCGTGGAAGAAACCCCATGGGCACTAACCTGAGTTCCGCGCCAACAAGGAGTTCCGGAATGCATGCTCACCCAGAACACAGGCTCCCCGCCACGCAGCCACGCTCATCGCCTACAGGAACTCTCCAATTCGGGGCTCATGCCCCCATCCACATTCCAACAAGATCTCTAGCCACCCCGTACCATACCTTTCATTATATCCCCATTGATCATCGAAGAATGCTGGGTTCGTGTCCACTATGTTGGAGAGCCCTTCGGGGCCGAAGCCAACCCCAGGGGGAAGGACACATGAATGAGAGGTTTGAGGGCATGGCCCAGGATGCTAGATGGAGCGGTATCAGGAGACACAACAATACAGCACCCGGAGCGAATGCGCTCTCTGCAAACCCTAGCTCAAGAACTCTTATTGAGGAACTCAGGGAGGTGATCCGCTGCGGATTGTGCTCCAAAAAGTTCCACGCGGTGTGCATTAATTGGTATCTACGACGCGGTCAGTGGGATATGGGCCCATCTCGATGTCCCAATTGCCTTAATCGTTGCTCTCGTCGTTGAGTTTTTTTTCCTGGTTGCGGGCACTGGCTGGCATCTGAAAGTAGGATAGAATAGAACAATTTTAGCCATGAGAGAATAGCATTGCAATGTATATCATCCCTACTCCGTAGCATTAACCAATCTAGACGAGAATCAGCACAGCCACATCCTAACCAAGATAGGACCCCGATCTTTACACAGGGTAATATATATATACATCACACAAAGCAAGAAGAAAGCAAGAAAGAAAGAAAAAAAAAAAATGAATACCCACCCCTACCGCGAAATCCGCGCCGTCTACACCCCCACCACCATAACAATCTACCAAGCATACAACGCCGCAATCGCCACCGCAGCAGTGAGCGCACAGAAACTGGTAGCCCCCTTCAAACGCGAGCGCATGACATGGATAAAACCGTCGTTCCTCTGGATGGCCTACCGAAGCGGATGGGCCACCAAACCGAACCAGGAGCGCATCCTAGCGATCGAAATCACGCGGGCCGGGTTCGAATGGGCCCTGCGACACTCCTCCCTTAGCCATGACCATGACCGTGACCATGTGCCGCCGCTGGGGGGCCGGGGCCTCTCGGAAGCTGAGCGACAAGCCTGGAGGCGGGAGCAGCTGCGGCGGTCCCCTGTGCGAATCCAGTGGGACCCCGAGCGCGACTGTTGGTTCAGGCCGTTGCCGTACCGCAGTATCCAGGTTGGGGTTTCGGGCGAGGCGGTGGATCGGTATGTGGATGAGTGGATTGTTTCGGTGAGGGATGTGACGGCGGATATGCACAGGGTGAAGAGGTTGCTTGATGAGGGGGGGCAGGAGGATGCGCGTAGAGCCTTGCCGGAGGAAAAGGTATATCCGCTTTCGGAGGAGTTGAGGAGGGTTTTGAGTGCTTCTTGAGCTTTTTTAGTATTTTAAAAGCTGAGTTGTAATGGTCACAACAAGAAGACTAGAAGAATATTTAATGTGAATATCCTGGTGTGGTGGAAGATATATATTTCCAATTATACTAGAGTAGAGGAGAGAGTACTACTCTCCGCACGTAATATTATACTTATTGAATAGAAATATTGGCTGATTAAACAAAACCTCTTAAACATATTTGATTGAAATGTAAAAAAAAAAGACCCAACTCAACTAACTAACTAACTAACTAACTGTAAATAAAATAATAATATCGAGTGGTCGAAAAAATCATCCAGAGGATTTGGATCAATCAAAAAATGACAAGGGTGGGATTCGAACCCACGCCAAATTAATGACGCGGAAACTTGTAATACAAGAAGGGGATCCGAGTTGGGAAACCTTAACCGCGCGCCTTAGACCGCTCGGCCACCTTGCCTTTGTGATGTAAGAGCGTCCTCTTTTTTGGCTATATAATGCTATCACAACTGCTCATACTGCAAATTCACTGCTGCGGGCCTACTACTCCTACGAGCTTTAGGGAAGACAATTCTTGGGTATAAATGCTTGTTTGTTCATGCCGGTCTCTCCTGATATGCTAATCCAAAAATAATACAAAAAAAAAAAAAAAAAAAGAAAAAAAAATCACTCTGGCCTCTGCCCATACACTATATGCACCTTGGAATAAAGATGAATTGACAAATCACGCAACTCCTGTCTCATACCGGCTACCAGCGCCTCAATTTCGTTCCGCTGCCAGCCTAGTACTCGGGTGAATAGCGCATAGCAGTAAGGTGGTAAGGCCTCGAACATATTGACCTGGTGGTATCGACCGAGGTCCTTCAGTTTCGGGTCTTTGGGCCAGGGGCTCTGAGGGAGCTGCTGCACATTAACATGCTGCCGTGGCTTTAGCTACCGGGGACACCGTAAACGCACCTTGAAGATTTCCTCATGAACGTTCACAAACCCAGCCTTGTCGAGTCGTTCCTTCCACGTGTGTGTTGTTGACAAACCCTTGCCGAATGTCTCGGCTGACGCGTGCATGTGCTTAATGCCTTCCAGAAGACATTTGGCCTTGAGGTGTGTATCATCATCGGAGTACGTGTTCACGTCGATAGAACAGATCTCAAAATATCCTCCAGGCTTCAGGTTTTTAAATGCTTCGCTGAACACCTTGTCATGGTCGCGGATGGCGCCTTCCAGTTCGCGGCCGTGGATGTAATCAAAGGGTTGGCTGTACGACCAGGTGAGCTCGAAATCGTCTACCTCGAAGCGGCAATTCGGTGGGATCCTGGGCGCGGGTTAGTGAGGATGCTTCGGAGGTCAGTCAGGAAGGTCGCGAGGGAGTACCAAGAGGGCTGGATGGGGCTGAGATCATTTCCTGTGCACGTTAGCTCGAATCCAAGACGTTTGCGACCGAGCTATGCCTACCAATAACTTCAGATTCGGGATGTTCGCTGTAGGACTGGTTAGTTCAATTGCGTCCACCACCAGGTTTCAAGTGTATTAGGTAGCCTCACTCCGCAAAGTCGATGGCCCAGATACCCGTGCCCGTACCGATATCCAACACCCGTGGGGGATTCTTGATGGGCGCCCGGTGTAATTCGCCTTTCAAGAGCATGCGATAGATGTGATGGCTCTGTTGATCTGGTTAACCCCCACCCCGTCGTTCTGGCGCATCCATACTAACGAGGTCGAGTCGGTCCTGTTCTTGCTCATCGTTGGGCTAATCGAGTTAGTGTGATCGAGGTGATGCGGGCGACTGTGCCTACCAAAATGTATTCTCCTTCGTGATACGAGTGATATCTGCGACCGTTCTGGGAGGGGAGAATTTAGCTTCCAGGCATAGGTATCGATCGTAGTTTGTACCTCATATCTGTAAAGGTTAGCGATTGAAAAAACGACGATCTCACGCCCGGGAAAAAACAAAAAAACAAAAAATAAAATAAAACGCACGTATAGGCCATAGCACTAGAGGTTATACTGGTTGTGTAGCTAGCGTCACCTAGCCTGCAATGGTTGGTTAGTGAGTGAGTTCACACAGTTGTCGCATTCAACGGGCACCTACGAGCTCTGGTAACTAGAATCATTATCATTGAAGTCCTGTTAGAGATATTCGGTTAGATTCAAGCAACATAAACTGGTAAACCCTGGGAGTACTCACATCAGGCTCAATAAAAGATTGACTCTGTTGGGTCATTCTTGCAGTTCCTCTGCAAGAAGCGGTTACAGCCTTGATGAAGGAAGGGAGAAGGGGCAAGTAAAAGTATCCGCGACGACACAACCAAAATCTGGTTAACTTCCGGGTCTAAAACAAAACAAAAAAAAAAGATAAAAATAAGCAAATCAAAGGTCGAAGATTAAATCCGAACAAAACCAAGGAGAGAAGAGTTCTAGAGAGGAGGAAAAAGGAGCTGGAGGTAGCAATAAAAACAATTAAGAATTGAGCAGGAACTCAAAATCAATCCACCTTCAACCCTTCTTCTGACTTCTTACTTCGAACTAACTACTATCTACATACCACCTATTTACCACCTCGTGGAGCACTACTTGGACTAGTTTACCAGTAGCACCACATCTCCCCCATGCGGGATGGCCGTTAATGGCAGCGAGGTCAGCAACAGCTCACTAAAGTTGGTGGAGAAAAGGGGAGGGGGGTGACTTCCTATCTGGATTCTGGTGAACTCAACCTGCTGCGAAGACTTTTTTCTTGCTGGTTGAATTGAAGATTTAGGACGGCGTGTTATCCACTAACGCGTTCCTTCACAGATGTACGGAGTACAAGGACTTGGTCCTTCCGTCGATCCCCAATGACAGCAGATGGTGGCCAGGTGGATACACAAGGCGGATACTGGCAATCCACTTCTACGCAGTAGTCAGACATTGACTGTCGCTTTTCCACTTTTCGTCATGCACTTTCTGGCCTGGAGTTCGACCGCAGATTCCTCAAAGGGGGCAAAATGAGACATCTTGATTGGGAGCTACTAGGTACTATTCGCCTGTGGAAGTATAAAGCGGCGGGTTGAGGTTGCTGATAGGTGGTCTCGGACCCTTGGCTGTATTACCTTGGGTACTCTCGTCGGTGGTGGCAAGAGAAAACGAAAGAGAAGCGATGAAGAAGGGAGAAAGAACAAAATCCCGATGGTTATTTGGATGCTCACTTGCCCATTATTATTACGGAGTACACCCCTCGGTCTAGGTACGTCCTGCCAAAGAGGATTCTTGGCCGTGTCGGGGGTTCCTTCCGACTTCTCGAATGAACCTTCCCTGTCCGGATGCTGGAAATATCGGTTTATTTACAGATCTCCGAGACCAGGCTCTTCGCATTGTGAAGGAGTCACTGCTAAACCCCGATTGGGCTATACTCGAATTGGCTTGAATCCCGCTTCCAAGTGGTCTGATTGATTGCACAAGACAAACGGTCCGTTGCATTTCTACTCAGTGGGTTGTCGTCCTCGGTGCTTGGTTGATTATGGATCTGTGTTTGGCACTGTGCGACGGAGTAGTATCCATGCCTTTCTGCCCACCTAAACCGCTACCCGCTTTAGGTGCGCCACACATTCTTCGCGATCACACATTCTTCGCGATTTTTTAATATTTGAAGCTATACAACAACAATAATACTAGTAATCAAAATAAAAAAACTCTCCAGCTTCTTCAGCATGTCTTGCATTATCAATTCCTCTTTGAATTGACTCCTGCGAGCGTGGAGGGGGTGGAGAACCATATACTTTCTTTTTCTGCTTTGCCAACCTCCTCTGCTCACGTTCAGCATCCTTTGCCTTCCTATCTTTAATTGATCGAATAGCATCACGAACTCTTAGAACCCCGTCACTAGATAGACCTTTAATCTGGCGCTTAGTATAAACCCGGCGTTGAGGCTCTTGCACGGCCCTAATCCTTTGAATTGCTTCCTGGGTCATTTTTAGCTCCTCGAGCTTCTCTGCCTGATATTGAAAGAGTTTTGATATATTCCGCCTTGCCCGGTCAGATACCTTATCAAGTTCCTTTGTAACCTTTGCCTGATTCTTTAGAAGAGCCTCTATTGTTGCTGGAGGACTGTTTTCAACGCTGGAGGATAGTAATGGTGGTGGAGATGGGGTTCGACAAAGATCAATTGATATATCTGGTATATCCATCTGATTCGCTAGTTTTTTAATAATTTCAGTGCCATCAACTGGCCAGATACCGCGTTCTTTAAAGGCATCTCGAATAATTCGCTGGCGAAAGGTCTGGTTGCGGATTGGCTGGATAATCTTCAAGAACTCTGCCTTCCCATATGGCTTACCCCCCCATTGAGATAGCTCATTATTCTTGAGGTAAAAATTGGTCTTATAAGCAAGAAAAGGTTTTCCATCAAGAGGTTGGCAGAGATGTGTTGAATGAGCTATAAAACCAAAGGGAATAATATTATTTTCCTCGCAGTATTGTAGAAATTCGAGCGTAAGGTGCGAGCCATGGCCATCAAATATTAGATATCGCTTCTCGCCTTGCTTAGTACGATCAGGATGCTTCGTTTCAGTATTAAATCGATGTAGCCAGGCAAGCGCAAGCTCATCAGTTATCCAACCATTTGAGGATATTGCTGTTGTTGTTTTAGGTGGTAGTTGTTCTGCATCATGATACCAGACCTCCATATAGTTGCCCGTTGCTTTGAAAATAAAAAATGGGTCCATTACCCAACCATCTGCAGCAATACATTCAACTGCAGTAATATTTTCACCTCGCTCACTTTCTGCAAGATCAGGGCATTTAGGACCCCCAAAAACCTTCCTATCACGACCTTTGCCTGGTTGGAAACCACATTCATCAAAGTTGTAGACAAGGCGAGCCGGGACCCCGCGAAGAAGTGATTTCAAAAGGTTATACCAGTGTTGAAGCAAGCCAGCATCCTCTGCTTGTATCCGCCTTAATTCCTTAGTCTTCTGCTTTACTGGAGCAAGTCCTAGATCTGCTGGTACACGCGATTCGAATCGATATGGCCACATCTTACTAACTTGCTTATCTGACCCCGCGCGAGCAAGTGTCTGATTTGCCCATGCTGCAATGACCGCAGGAGTTGGTGGGATGTTCCATTTCCGCATTTGTATGATCCAGTTGATTAAGGCCTTCTCCTGATATGGCTGTAGAAGGTTCTTATTCGTTGTTGTTGGTGTTACTAGTATCTTTGGTTTTTTGAGGCGTGTTCGGAGCGTAGAGTCAGGCACATTGAATTCTCGTGCAATCTTCGCGATATTTGGTTTTTTTTGCTTTTGAACCGTGGCAATAGCTTCAAGCAAGCGAGATTCATTAAAATCTGGAGATTTAGGCATGTTGTGTTGTAATAATAATAAAAATAAGTTGAAATATCAAAAATCGCGAAGAATGTGTGATCGCGAAGAATGTGTGGCGCACCTAAAGCGGGTAGCGGTTTAGGTGGGCAGAAAGGCATGGATACCTGATTGTACTCCGTACTTCGCGCTCGGTGCGATTAAAGTCGATGCACGAATTATACCGTACACGAGACGGGGCAACACCACTGGAATTGACTGATCACATTTTTTGAGGCCACGCCGGCAATTCTTCTGCATATATCACCCACGAACAATCCAGAGAGAAGAATTGAGATAGAGGGACATCCCATACTCTCAAATATTCTCTTACATAAATCGACCCCTTTCCACCTAAGCCACCGTAGAAGCATAAAAGGTATTTACCGTGCCTCCCCTTTTCCAAAAGAATGCGGCTTGAGCGACAGGAAATATCCTTATAACGATCCTGTTCACAAATTCGACCTAAACCTCGGCAGCAGAGTTCTATTCGATCGTAGAATTCTGCTTGTCTTGCGTTTGCATGCTTTCAGGAGCAGGCAGGCCTAGTGGTTTAACAACTACCAACATGCAGGAAGTATATGCGGTGGGTGGTTGGGGTTGAACTTCTTCACCGCGGTTTCCTGCGGTATACTCCGTAATCTCGTGAGGATCTATCCTGTGGACTAACAGGGTAGCTAATGCATCCGCCCTCTTTGGGATAGTCATGACTCCAACAACACTCTTTGGCGATGGATTCACGCAGTCCTATCTGTATCTGGCCGAGGCTCTGGAAAAGAGTGGCCGTGCAGGACGAGGACCGGGGGTTGACCCAGGATTAACCGGGAATGATACTGGCACCCATGTGGCTGGCGGGGCATCTCTGGGTACTTTGTAGACTCCTTCTCCGTCGTGACAAGGACTGGGATAGTTGCCACGAGTCTGCGCGGGACTTTTGCCTGGCCTTATAGGGGGTTGACCTGCCGATTGATATGTGCTGGTTATCAAGTATAAACCTAGGAAGAGAGTTGACCAGCCGTAATATCCTCGTGAAGCTGTCTATCTTGAGCGGGGTATCTTGGCGTCTCTCGCAAGTCTCAACGGTCTGTTCTCCCAACATGCAATCCTCATCACGCCAAACCGCACGGCTTCAAATCATCTCGTATTCGGTATGGCTCTTTCTTTTGCGTCAATCTACCGGGGGTTCCCTATGTGACTGCTGGCCAGCGACGGACGGTAGCGTGGCGTTAATGTGAGAGCACGTCTCCCTTTCCTTGCAGACAGGTCTTCTCCCCCCTTCCCGCATGAGACTTCAGAAGAAGCGGAAGATGAGAAAACCATTTTGCAAAGAAAGAAAACAAAGAAATTTACCTTCCTTTCCTTGACGAATACCTAACCCAGAAACTAGTGCGACCGCGCTCGACTAGAATGTCGTCGTTGCCAGGCTCGGAACCTCCAATGCCCTGGATATTGGTGAACGCTCCAGTTCTACAACCGAACTACAGATGAGAATGATTTTACAGATGCTAGGTCCTTCGACAGGCTTCATGATGAGAAGGACAAAGGCAAAGACGACACTGGAGTCCTGAATCTTGCGGCGAAAGCCCTTGATACAGGCTACATTCCCGCTCCCTTTACACTAGGCAGCGCGAACCGAGCCGATCGGAAAGGCAAGCAACCCGAGGGTTGAACATGTGGTGACAGTGGTGTACTGGAGCACGAACATCAAACACGAATCTTGGACCTCACACTGGCTACAGCGATTATATTAGCGCAGTGTTTGAGATGCTAGATAGTGGCTTGCGCATTCACGAGGGATGGGGCAGTTGGTTCAATTATGGGGAGCCACGTGCATAGCAGCAGGTTTGGTCACACCATATTTATCACCATGCGATCATTTTTCCTGGCGGGCACTTTCATTCGAAAGGAGCCTTGCTTCCTGGGAAGTGCCGCCATGGAGGTCAGCGAATCAAGAAGCTATTGTAGGCGAGGATAGAGTTGGCAAGGGTAGCTAGATCGGCAGAATAACGGAATAAGCGTTTAACGATGTCTTCTGTCGCAAACCACCACACACTGATCACCACACACTGATCACCAGGGGCTCTCTCAAAGGTGTGTCACGGGAGGGGTCGCGCATGCATCATAGCTGCGGTATTCTGCACAACCTGCAACAATAGCCGGCATCTGTCTCGGACGGGAAGTGACGCTCAAAAAGCTGGAGATCCTAAGGCCCTTTCCCTACAGATGTCGTTCAGTCCTTTGCGAAACCTTGTCTCCAGGGCATCGTTTCCGGTCTTGCAGCCCTTGATCAGTTGCTGGTGTTGTTGAAGGCCGATAAAACGCGGGCCCTCGAGGACCAGCACGGCGGCATTGCTGAAACTCTTGGGGTAGCTGGTCAGGCACCTGTGGTCGAGGCGCGGCTCGAGGACCGATTTACCGAGAATGACCAGCCGATGGACTGGATGGATCAGATTGCAATGTCGATGGGAACCTCTGACGACCACATAGAACGAATGAACTGTATCAGAACTCGCGCGCTCATGTTCTGTCGTCGAGATTGCTACTTCGGCCTTCGTTTCGCCAACTCAACATCAGTCGCCTCCAGAGAGTAGCTATGGAGCGTTATATAGCGATTTGGATGATGTTTCCGCGGAGGAAGCGACGCCAGAAAGTGATATACTTGTCGGAAGGATAGCTGGGACATGACAACAGACACCAGCGACCGTGGCTGACTGGCTGACCAGTTGGTTGAAGACGGTCGGATTGGGGGAATGCCCGGGGGGAGAGGGCTGACTTTCCAAACTGCATATACGTCGTAATCTACAGCGAAGACACCTATTTGTATCTATCTAGGTAGTACTCCTGAGTCCTGTGTGTGTTGATTGATCGGGGCTTGATGGGTCCCATCTCCGCCGTCGCCACACAGTCCACGACATCTGCTAAGTGCGTTGTCTCCTTTTCTTCGCAAGATTTTGATCATCGCTTTCAATAATAACGATAATAGGGGGAAAAAAGGTTCTCCCCCTTTTCTCCCCCTAATCGTTCTGTTTTCCTGTTCTCTGCAGCAAACGGACATTCCAATGTCACCCTCTGCCGCATCAAGATTTCCCAATCCGGCTCTCCCCCAACCTCCAATTTCTTCGAAACAACCAAGGACACTCCACACAACCCATTGAACCCAATCGTTCAAAAATGGATGCCTACACTTGGCCTACACTTGGCCCAATGCGTGGCTCGCTTCTTGCTTGCGTGGCTGCTTACCCGCTATATCCGCTGATTGGCTTGCTAGTTGTCTGCTAAGCCTTGGGTTCGCTGCATTAGTCGAAGCTTGGCGAGTGTCTAGCCAACCAGCAATACCGATGGCGATGAAGACAACGACTTGTTCCTGGTCCGGCCGCGTCAGTGAGAACAGGTCCCGATGCAGACGGACTCCCTTCTCGTACGTTGCGATCAGAAGATGCAGCTCGATGTAGGTTGAGGATTTATATGCATCCCAGTGTCATGCCGAGTCACAGCCATTGCTGAGCACCAATCTGATCCCCTACTTCCAAAATGCCGCGTTCTTTTGCCTCCTCCCGGTCGAGCCAGAGCGACAAGAAGAACCAGAACTCGCTCTCCAGCAAATCTGACCAGCTCGGTTCGTGCCCACGTACCCGTGCGCCTTGGGCCGGAGTGAGCAGGATGCACTAACTCTGATAGCGACGAATGAGCCACCGTTATCACTGCGCTCTATGCAGCACCTTGATCGAGATGGCAAAGTGATCGGTTGGTGTCTCTTCTCTCCCTTTTTCTTTCAAATGGAGGTATACTGACCGAGCTAGCTGACCCCGACCGGTCGAATCCCACCAGAGCTCGCCTGGAGCGCCCGTTGGATACAATTCGGGGGTTCGAGGCCGCTATCGAAGCACGGCGGGGACAGAACATTTTGTAACGTACTGATGACTTGTTCGATTACCGGAGGGGTGGGGAATTATAATTTAACTCCAAATTTGTTTATTTTTGGTCATGGCCTAGTTCCAGCTGCTATTCTTGCCACTTCTTGCCTAGAAATACGATCCACTTCTGCGAAATTGACATTTCTGAGGACGCGTCAGCAAAGCCTTTATATATACTAGCCGTCCACCTTGCCTTGCCTAACCACCCTACTCGCCCCTGTTACGCTCTTTGTCAGGTTGACATTGTTGCAAAATGAAGCTCGCTCTCGTGGCAGCTGCCCTCGTGGGCACTGCTTTCGCAAATATCGATCCCATCATTATCAAGGTATAGAGAACGATCATTTTTGTGTCCCTTTTTTTTTTTTTTTGTCTTTGCTCTTCCTCTTAAGCGGTGCTGATTTCATTAGGGCTCGAAATTCTTCTACTCTAGCAACAACACACAATTGTATGTTGGCTTCTTTTGGTTCTGTTTGCGAGATAGTTAGCTAACTTGTTCCAGCTATATCCGTGGTGTCGCCTACCAACGTACGCTTAATTGACTATGCGGGCAGTGATATGTATGGAGACTAATTCACTTGCATAGAGGACTACTCCAGCAATGGCACCACCGACGGCAGCACCAGCTACATCGATCCCCTATCAGATGTCACCACCTGCAAGCGTGATATCCCCATCATGCAGGACCTTAACACCAACACTATCCGTGTCTATGCGGTTGACCCTACTGCGAATCACGACGAGTGCATGTCGCTTCTTGCTGATGCCGGCATCTACGTGATTGCCGACTTGTCTGATCCCACTCAGTCCATTGATCGCAACGATCCCCGCTGGGAGACTTCTCTCTACACTCGCTATACCAACGTTATTGATGCCTTCGCAGGCTACAAGAATACTCTTGGATTCTTTGCGGGAAATGAGGTCTCCAACACTGTCTCGACCACCGACGCAAGCGCCTTTGTCAAGGCCGCTGTGCGTGACATGAAGGCCTACATCAAGGCCAAGAGCTACCGTTCGATGGGCGTCGGATATGCTACAAATGACGATTCCACGATCCGTGTCAACATGGCTGACTACTTCAATTGCGGGGATACCGAGGATGGTATTGATTTCTGGGGATACAACATCTACTCCTGGTGTGGAGACTCCAGCTACAAGGTTTCCGGATACCAGGAGCGCACCGAGGAGTTCAGCAACTACTCCGTGCCTGTGTTCTTCGCCGAATACGGCTGCAACGAGGTTCAGCCCCGCACCTTCACTGAAGTCAAGGCTCTCTTTGGCGACGAGATGAACGACGTGTGGTCTGGTGGAATTGTCTACATGTATTTCCAAGAGTCCAACAACTACGGTAATTTCCCTTGCCCCAGGATACTTTTTACCTTTTTTTTTTTTTTTTTTTTTTTTTTTTTTTTTAAACTGACATCCAAAAAGGTCTTGTCTCCGTTATTGACAGCACCAGCGTCTCCAAGATGACCGACTACACCTACTACTCCAGTGAAATCAACGCCGTTTCGCCTACCGGTACCAACAAGGCGTCCTATACCCCCACCAACAGTGCGCTGCAGGATTGCCCAGCCGTGACCAGCGACTGGCTGGCCACCGCCACTCCCCTGCCTCCCACCCCCAACTCCGAGCTGTGCTCTTGCATGAACAAGGCTGCCAGCTGTGTCGTGGATAGCTCTGTCTCCAGCAAGGACTACGCCGATCTCTTCTCGGTGCTCTGTGGTCTCACCAGCTGTGCGGGTGTCAAGGCTAACGGCACCACGGGCGTTTACGGTGCCTACGGCATGTGCACACCCGAGCAGCAGCTCAACTTCGTTCTCAACAAGTACTACAGCGAACAGAGCTCTGCTTCCACAGCCTGCGACTTCAGCGGCTCTGCCACCATCACCTCTGCCGCCTCCGCCACCGGAACCTGCAGCTCCATGATCAAGGCCGCTGGCACCGCTGGCACCGGCACCGTCACCACCAGCGCCTCGGTCTCTACCACTACTTCCTCCTCTGGAGCGGGTCGTCCTCGAGGATTGTTCATCAATGCACTGGCCCATCTGGTCTAGTTTCTTTTTTTTTTTTTTTTTTTTTGTCCGCCGATTGTAAATTAAGGACTGCTTTACTTGTCATTTTTTCTTTTCTTTTATATTCTTCGTTGATCTTGCCCGTGAAATACATAGGTTTGTAGATCTTAAGCAATTCTTCCGCAGCGATAGAATGGTACATTTCTCTTTCAGTCTATCCCACGTAGGCGCTTCCAACCGCAGCCACGAGTGGAAGGCACCAAGAAACACTTCCGACGAAAAGATTCCGCTGTGCCAGGTCCTCATCCCAAGGTCCTGCCAAGTTCGGCCAAGACTGGCTAGTGGAGAAACAAATAGGGGATATATATATATATATATATATATACTCGAAAGAAACATATATCCCTGATGCATGAGTGGATCAGAAACCCACCTATCCACCTATCCAAAATAGGGCCGCCACCACTCTTTCTTCCAGCTCCCCCCAAACCGATGATTCACGCATGCGTGTGCGCCTTGGAAATTCTCGGCGCCGCTGTGTCTCTGTCCGTTCCCCCAGACACTAACAGGGAGAACGCACAGTCCTCCCATAGCCGACCCGACGGCGGCGTCCTGCGCATCGACACAGACGGGCTCCCGGATCTTGTGGAACGGAGCCCACGTCACCCGCCTCGCGACCTGGCCCGACGCCGGAGCGATGAGATCGCCGATTCCGAGATCGGATTCCACCGAGGATGCGACCAACGGGTGTGCTGGCGGTAATGTGTTGGAGAGGACATCCAACACTGCATCGGTGAACACGCCGGGCCCCGTGACTTCCAGAATGGTTTCCTGGCTGTATGTCGGTCCGAGAATGGGGATGCTGGATCGGTGATGCTGTCTTGTATGTGCTAATACCCGGACGACGGCCTCGCGGAGGAACGGGCTGAATCGCTGCGGCGCATACATGGTATATTGGATCAGGCCGTACCGTCTGATCCAGCGCCAGTCGTGCATTAGCCGGGTAGACGCGTAGGGCTCGTCGATTTCAACCCCGACTAGGAGAGAGATGTTCGCACTGCCGGCGCGAAGGTCCGACAGGATAGGGCGTAGGGTACGACACTGCTTGATCGATTGGGCCGGAAACACGTCCATATCTGCGTAGTAGCCACCGAAATACCACAGTATGAGATATCGGAGGAGATCCGAGCGCAGGACATCATACGGGTACGAGTTGTAGAGGTTCTCGAGATCCGGAACGGTTGAAAAGAGGCTGCTTATGTATCCGTGCGCCTCGTCGTCGGTGACTAGCTGCGTGATGGTTTAGCGAGATGCGACTGGCCCCAGTGTGCTCTTGCTGCTGGTGCTCGTGCTCGTGCTCACCGTGTACTTCCACTCATGATTCTTCTCCTCGAATGCGTGCGAGTCCGATCCTCGTTGTTCTTTCGTGAACTGCTTCCCGATTCTGATCTGCCATATTCTTTCTTCCGCGACCAGATCCCGTCCGTTCTGCGCTAGCGCGCGCTGCTCGATTCTGCGCAGTGCCTCGGACACGCTGCTTTCGTATTCCCGGTCAGGACTCTCGCGATACGGTGAGCGATGGAGAAACCGGGGAATCTCTCCCACGTCGTAGTCTGGAAGCCAGCGGTGGTCTCCAGGGGGAGGAGGCGACGGTAAGCGATGAAAGACCAAGTACAGCACGCCGACCAAGACCAAGGTCGACAGGCGCCGGGGCGTCAGAGTGAGGAAGCAGAACTTCGATTTCCGGTTTCTGGGGGCCAACATGATCTGATCACGACATGATCCGAACCAAGATAACTATGTATGAGAATGATATATCAGCCCAAGGCGGGGAGAGAAGAGCGCAACAGCAGCATGATTCACAACAACTCGGGAGATTTGGCTTTCCAATAGAAAAGGAGCTGACGGGAGAAAAAAAAAAAAAAAAAAAAATGATCAGGCAAGTTAGCGCTCGGGATCAGATTTAGCCAAAAGGGCCTGAAGGAGCCGATCCTAATTGTCCCGGTCTGGCCAACTGACAATAGCTATGGTACTTTTGTGTATCTTATATTGTATATTTGGTGCGTATATTTTGTGTGCAAATTTACATAGTAGTACCCGTACATATGTAGTACAGTACCCCGCCAACTTCGTTCGGGATCCCACAAACTCTGCCATCTCTCTCCTCTCCTCTCTACCTCCTCCTAATGGCTACGGCAAAATTCAAACTCTTTTTCCACGTCCCCCCAGCGGCTCTCGAGGCCTGTAAAGCTGCAGTTTTCGCTGCTGGCGCTGGTCGCTACCCAGGCCCAGGCCAATATACCGAGACCTGCTTCGTGATTCCGGGCAGGGGCCAGTTTCGCCCGGGCGCCACAGCGAACCCAAACATCGGAACCCCCGAAACGCTGGAGCAGTTGGAGGAAATGCGAGTCGAGACGTTGTGCGTGGGCGAAGAAACAGCGAGGAAGGCAGTGGAAGCGCTGAAAAGGTAAGTCATCACTATCGGGGGGGGAAACACGGGCGCTGATGGGATTTAGGGCGCATCCGTACGAGGAGGTTTCGTATGGGGTTATTCGGTTAGAGGACTTTTGACTTGACTCGGTGGATAAAGCACAGGCACACACACACAGTCCTTACTCCTTGCGTCCTCGAGGATGCGATTTCGGGTACGGAGTTGTGGGGACGGAATGATCTGTATCCACTGCAAATGCACGTTCATCTGAAGTTAAACAAGATGTGCTGTCACTGAAATAAAGATTGACAACGGGTGAGGAATGGTCAAGTATCTGTGGATTGGTTTTGTCAATAATTTTCCATTTACCAAGCATCTTTGTCCTTTCTATGCGTACCTAGGTGGTATACTACAGAGTAATTAGATCAAGTAGATTGGGCCACGCGGATTCTAAGGTATCTGTTTAATCTCATTTCACTCAGTGAGTGTAGTCTACTCTATAATTTGGAATGGTGTCTAGTATCCATCCCTCCCCGTTCCTCCTTCAATTTCACCACTGGAAATCCCCAGCTCGCGAGTCATTCCGCCGCCAAGGACACCGACATCGGTGGTGATAGAAACCAGGTCGAATCCTTGTTCTGCACGCTTGCGGGCGTCCACGCCATCGGTACCTGCAGGTTCATAGCCATTAATTAGCCCTGCCGTATAGCTAAAGAAGTAGATCAAGGGACGAAGACGTACAGAAAATGGCAACCTTCTTGCCTGCAGACTTGGCAGCCCTGAGGATACGCTGAATTGCAGCCTCATGTTCCTCTCCACCTCGGATGACACCCATCTGCTTGGAGAGGTCGAAGGGACCTGGAAAAACATCAGCAAATACCCAGAACAAAAAAGCGCGTTCACGATAGCGAAGGATAAAAAAAAAAAAAAAACCTAGAAATCGGACTCACCAATGAGCACACCATCAAGACCTGCAACTTGAGTGATTTTCTCTACGTTTTCCACCCCCGACCTGGACTCAATCTGCACCAGAACCAAAATGCTGTTGTCTGCGTTGTTGTCGTACTCGGCAGCAGGAACCTCTGGGAAAGAATGCGGTGCGAACATCGGCCCGTAACCCCGAGTCCCTTGTGGGGGGTACTTGCAGTGCCGGACAATCTTGACGGCATCCTCCTATAACCACCAGGGTAAATTAAATCAACCTTCGACAGGAGGGATGAGGGATCCAATACCTCGGTGTGGCACATCGGAGTAACGATTCCATGCGCGCCCGCGTCGAGAGCGCGTTTGATCAGCCATTCCTCGCCCCAGGGGACCCGGATGAGTGGACTGGCACCCTCCGCGCCAATGGCATTTGTGAGCTACACTGTGAATCAGCACGGTTGGTACTACTAGCCTTGGAGGGATTCCTGGTCTGGCAAACCTCGTAGTAGTCTCTGTCTGTGATCAAGCCATGTTCAGCGTCAACCAGAACCCAGCTGAATCGATTGGGCTGCTGAGCCGTCGAACGGAGGATTGTCTTCGCAACACCCGTGCTGGGAAGTCTAGAACATAACGCAGTTTAGCCCACTTTTTCAATGAACCTCTGGGCCCGAGAGAGGATCCATTCCACGAAGGATTGAGTGGCTGTGCCAGGCTCCGAGAAACGTGGGGGGGGAGATTAGATGAGGACGACATACGTGAGCCAGAATCCGAAAGCTGACGACGGCTTTGTCAGGGCAGTTTGGATCGCAGTGTTGAGAGCCATATTGAAGACTGTGTGAATTGTCAAGAACAGGAATGCGAATGAGGAAGACAACAAGTTTGAATAAATAAATCCAGCAGTTTGTTTTCCCCGCACTTTTCATGGCTTTTTTTTTCTATCCAAATCTCAACATTTCGGCTTCTCGGAGCTTTTCCGACAAGCTCTCGGGTAAATATCCACCGAAGGGGCATGTATAGTCGGTAAGAGATATTTACTTAGGTACTGTTAAACCTACTTGAATGCCCTCTTACGCATCTGGGTTAAGTGTTGTGAAGATTATGAAGATTCGTGATACCTATTGGGTTTGAGACCCGAATTTTGCCGAAAACCTATCATTATTGGCGCAGGCTTGATAACGCAGCTCATCTTTATATCCTCCAGACTTGAGTAATGATTGCAGCGCGGGAAGGAATTCAACTAGACCTCCTGGTTCTTTATTATGACTTTGATCTCCCGTCCGCTCGCGACAGCCTCGAGCGCTTCTTGGGCCCTGGATAGTGGGAACACAGCTGTGATAAGCGGTTTGAGGTTCACAACACCGCGAGCAAGAAGGTCAATAGCCGACGGAAAACATGAAGCGGTGTAACGTGTGATGCCTCTGACGTCGAGTTCCTTGTTCGTCACCGCAACCATGGGGATGGTATGTGTTTGGACATGTCCGAGTCCGACTTGAAGAACTACGAACAGTGTTAGTTTCTTAGTTCGAGCAGAACGGACAAGGAGAACAGTTGCTTACAGATGCCTCCTTGCTTGCAAATGGCGATTCCGTGCAACATCGAGTCTTCTGCCCCGCTGGCCTCGATCACTCTATCCACTCCTGCTTCCGCGCTGAGCCCGCACTCCTCGACAACTCGCCACATTCTATCTTTCGCGCATTCCCATCTGAAGTCTCCTATTGTTTGGGGTTCCTGTTCACCGTTTGCCATCGCATTGTTATTCAACTGGGGTTGAGCATCGGACTCGGGGGTCGTTGGAAGTAGGTCAATGTGATACACATGGTCGATGATGGGCTTCCCCGTCATCGGGGATAGATATTTTTTAGCGAAAGCCACTCTATCAGGGTTGATATCAAAAGCGATGATTTTCTTAGCCGAGTATGCATGAGCAACAGCCGCCGTAATGAGACCAATTGGCCCGCAGCCACTATAGACAATGTCAAGTTCTTTCCAGGATAAGGTAGAAGAGAGACGGCATACAAGATAGCAACCGTTTGGTGTGCTCTCAAATCGGCACGTTTGCCGATTTGCACGCCGATCTATACAAGATAGCTATAAGTGAGTAAGATGAATTCCTCTGCATGATCAGATTATACTTGCAGCTAGCGGTTGAATACTCCCTGCTTCCTCCCAGCCCACGGATTCCGGAATATGAGGTGCCATATCCGCCGGGAGGGCAAAGAATCTGCCCAAGATTAACATCCTCACATTCTCGAGCGAGATTGAAGGCAGGCGAGACTACCTTGACAGGGACCCATGATTTCCTGGGGCAGCGCAGTATCGGATATCTGGACCCAGTCAGCATGTGCGTCTAATATTTCCGAAGAGAAGGGTATGTATCGTGAATGCACCTAAACATATATTGCTTCGACCATTCTTGCAATTAAGGCACCGCCTACAAGGAAGTCCAGGCTCCACTAAGGAGCGATGTTTCAGTTGGAGAATCCTTGCAGCTATACCCGTACAGATATGCGCCTACCAGCAACTCGATCTCCGATTTTATGCGTCGTTACATACTCCCCAACTGCAATGACCTCCCCCGCGGCCTCGTGTCCCATCACCGTGGGCTCGACAAGCGGGCGACCGCCAACTCCACCAGAAAGATAGCCATGCATGTCCGATCCGCAAATTCCGTTGCTGATCACCTTGACGAGGACGCCATCTGGTTGAAGAATAGGCAGAGGGATGGGTTCGATGCGAATCGTGCGCTTCTTTACGAGAAGACAAGAGGTATTGGGTGGGAGCTGGAGGGCCGTTACATGAGCCGGCTGAGTCTCCGTGAGATGGTGGAATCGGGACATGGTATATAGGAATCCGTGAGTGGTCAGTCTTGGTAAAAAAAACAATAGGTCTCGAATACCTGGAGATGGTCCTGGAGAGGTCACTCTAAAGCGATGAGTGATATGTTGTACAGGAATCAGAACCCCGCCTCACTCCGCTTTGGGGTCGGCTGAGGTCGGAGAAAAGCCGGCAGGTGAATCTCGTTGAACAGCTTTAGGAGAGAAAGTATCGGGAAAATACATTCGCCTGAATGATTTCCGGCTATTAACGGTATAGGAACTCTACTTACCGAACTGAAGAGACGGTCTATATGCATTAGGGGAATCTGGATTGCGGACAGGCAGGGTGACAACCGTTCGTATTGTTTCGCGTACTTCTTACCCACACTTTCGCTCATCGCCTTTAGCTTGCTGGAATGACCACTCGCGCGATGTGCTGCACATGGTCAATGTCTTCCGAGATCAGATGCCTTCTTCCTATTATTGGAGTTGCGCATAGCATGTCCTGTGCCCAGCTGTAGGGATGACACCTCCTGAATAGGTATACTTTACTGAAACAGCGCCGAGTCAATCTTTCCATTATTCATCCCCGGTTGCTGTCCACTCTGCGCCCAGACATCTGGAACAAAAAAGCCGAAGCCGAAGCTGAAGAATCCCTTTGGAAACCACTGCGTCGATATGATCCGCGAGTTTTCGATCTCTACATGCGTTACGGGCTGCGTTCTGTCCCGACCAGTTTATATCCGAATACCGAGTCCGAATTTCCGCCCACAGCAGTCACCCTGACTACAACGAAGCACCAGGAAGCGTGGAACCTCACGATACCAAACTTTGAACCGGAATCTGCGGACACAGACCGATACCTTCTCCCTGACTGGGAACCCAGACACCGAACGCCCCGTCTTGTTTTCCAGGCCCGAGGCCTTTGCCGCATGGCGTAACCTCCCCTTTGTGCGACCGAGTGTGCTTTGGGTTTTTTGGAAAGAGAAGTTATCTTTCTGCACCGGAAACCCAGCGGGAGAAATTGCGTGTGACGGGAACTGGGATCGGGGGGAGTGGTGGAGCGGCACAAGGCGCATGGTCGAGAAGGTGGCCCTGGACAATGGCTCTCATTTTATCCCATTTGAAAATGGGCAGTGGTGTGCCACAGTGGGTGCAGAATGGATTGAGAAATGGTTCAAGAACTGGACGCAGAGAGACAGGGTTTGGAGTGAATATCGAAGCAAAAAAGTCGGATCGTGATATGTTGAAAAGCACCGACGCGTGGGTTAACGTCGCAAAGTCGAGAGCCGGGACGCAGAGGAGCTCTGATCTGAAAGGTAAGTTGTAGCTGGAACTAACGAAAGGGGGATATTGTCTGTCTACAGTTACCTCTCCCACGTTTGCTAAATATGTGTGTACTCGTGAGTCTACTAGTCAACAGGAGGCGAAGTGTTTCTATAATACACCCATTCAATTTCACTATTATTGAACGGATCTTTGTGGGTATGGTTCCCAAATCAATATCAAGAGACTATTACATAGTGCTGATACCGCTGCGAAGTGCGGCGGACATCGCCCGCGAGTTCGCGTTCGCGTTCTGTACCCTATATGGCGTTCCCACCTTAGTAACAGGATCTTGATCTGAGTAATTGGGTTATCAGGCTGAAGGTGAACTCACAGTTACGTATATTGGCTTTGGCAGGCTTACTCAGAAAGTGATTAAGATGTTGTTGTGGTTTCACGTACACAGATTCTGCGGACATAGTAGGGGCCGCTATATATTATGCCCAAAGCCATCCATCACAGTGTTAACATATCGAATACTATACGCAGCTCACGAGGTACATTCTGGCATTGCGTCCCAGCAACTATGGTGCAAGCAGACCTTCTGGAGTACGCCAAAGACATCCAGGCTCGACTGGCTGACATTACATGCTGCTTGGAGAAGCAGGAGATCCACACTGTTCGGAAGGAAGGATATCCTACTGGCCCAGGGTATGAGGAACTAACATCGGCGCGTCTCAGTCTGCTCGAGACAGCCAACGACCTTCAGTACCTTGCGATGGGCCCTACTGAGTGGCTGAAAATGACATTGGCGGTGGTGGGTTAGACGCCATTGGCGACATGATGATGATGATGCTGACTTGGATGCAGAACAAGCATGACCATTTATGCTACTACATGATCGATCAGTTCAACATCCATCAGTCTGTGCCTCTGAATGGGGAAATATCGTATGAGGAACTCAGTGCGGCCTGCGGACTCCCCGTTGACCCCCTACGCCGTGTCCTCCGCCATGCCATGCTCAATCACCTGTTCCGTGAACCTAACCCCGGATACGTCGCCCACTCCGATGCATCCTCAGTGTTCGTCACCGATGCCAAAATGGCCGCATGGTTGGGCCATAACTACGACGAGGTGTTTCGCTGTCTACATGCTGTTCCCGACGCGATTCGAAACCATCCCACATCCGCGGACCCTGGACATACTCCCTGTGGGGTAGTGTTCAACCAGCCAAAGGGCTTCTTTGCTGGATTATTGCAGGACCAGCCATGGAGAGCATCGAGATTTGAACAGTCAATGCAGGCTGTCACGCAGGGGAGCCATGATGCCTCTCATATCGTGCGCGGATATGACTGGGGACAATATGGGAACGGCCTTGTCGTCGATGTACGTTACTCTCTTTATCCCTCTTCTTTTCTTTTTTTTTTTTTTTTTCAGTTGATCAAGTATAAGCTTACAGTGTCCGTAGGTGGGCGGCTCGTCAGGGTTCCAGAGTGTTGCGATTGCCGAATGCTTTCCGAACCTGCGCTTCGTGATCCAGGATATTGAAGACCATAGCAAGATTTTGCTAGAGAATCGGACCGCCGCCGGGTTGTCGTCGGACATGCAGTTCCAAGTCCATGACTTTTTCCATCCAAACCCACAGACTACAGCCGACGTTTATCTACTGCGCCATATCATTCACGACTGGGGTGATGACTACGCGAGTAAGATCCTGTGGAACATCGCCTCAGTTATGAAGCCGACTGCGCGGATCATCGTCGTTGATATTGTGATCCCCGAGCCTGGTACCTTACCCTGGCAGGCACACCGAATGATCAGGTAGGAAGCCCGAGAAGCAAGGTGATAAATAGAGATTCATCCAGGCTGATTAACGAACGAATCCTTACCTAGGTCTATGGATCTTCAAATGATGGTTATGGTAAATGGCAAAGAGCGGACCAAACAAGATTGGAGGAAGCTTCTGGCCAACTCCAACTCCAAATTAAACATACTCAGTATCTCTCAGCCCCCGTATAGCGTTGCGAGTATAATCGAAATTGGGTTAGTACACTAGGGGTCCGCTATTGTTCGATGGGATGGAATACATAAAAATAACTTCTTCATATGCCCGTCTCATCTCTCTTCCAGTCCGTACAAAATAGAAAAGTGTCCGTTATTACATCTGAAGTCATTCATAGGGGTTGATAGCACTTCGGGTCCATACACATTAGCCACAGCACACTGTAGCTTCATTTCCCGCGCTCGTTTGCGATGAGGATCGTCTCACCTGTCATTATACGCCCGGAAATCATGGTCGTGGGAAACTTACCGTTGCAAAGGCTCCCAAGAAAAGATGGGTTGACCAGGTGAACATGCTGGCGAAGAAGATAGCGGTCATATTCTTTCGAAAGACGTCGCAAGGCCTCCAGAGACACGACGAGGAACACTACTTCAACATGCTACAGTGAAGCCAGAGCCCTAATATCATTTTTGTTTGATGTTAGTGGCACCATCAACTCCACTCTCATTCATTGTCTTCTTTCATGCATCCTGAAATGCTGTAGTCTGTATGGTGATAGAGATAGATAGATCGGGCTTCCAGATAGAATCTGCCGCAAATTTGCTCAAGTGCAGCCACTAATGTAGTTTCATTGTCTACCTGGCGTTTTATGAATCCACCTATCCACATCTTTGGATTTGCCTTACACTTCCAGAGTAGATGTGTTGGGCTATAGGTAGTACCAACTCAACAACTATACCTGCTGAAGTTCCTGTCCCAGAGTCACAGTGAAATCTGACATGAAGATTTCGTACGGTCACAGCAGAAAATCAACCAGAGTAATCTCATAGCAGTTATTTCATCACGAATACAAAAGTCAAGAAGGGGAGGAGTTGAGGAAGGGAAAAAGGTAGAGACGGAAGGCAGGACCGAATGTCAGAACAGGGAATACTTGATTAACTGGACGCAATAAGTTGGTACTAGGGAGGTATCTCCTGGAAAGGCATGAGATGAGATTCTTATTTCCAGATACTAACAACTAGTACTGTAAGTAAGCCCTGAAGTATGGCATGCCGTGATGATATTTCCTGGATATACCATACAACTAAGATCCTGTTTCAATAGGAATCTCATTATTCAAATAACAGTGAATGGAGCTGGACCTTGATAGTACATCGATATACCTACCTCTATAAGACATTAATACATACAAGCAATCATAAGCAACACAACTTCTTAAAGAGAAACATCTATTCGGAGCATCGGAATAGGCTACTCCCCGGTTAATATAAACATGGGCCATGGATATGGATCAGTTTCTCAATATGATACTGCCCTGACTCCTATCCAGACAAATAGGGGCTATTCGCCAATTCCAGCTAGCTAGGGTCCGCGTGGAGCTTGATATTATCAGGGGGTAGTACATAGGTATAAAAGCCATCTAGACCCCATCTTCAAAGAACACCTCTATCGGCCATTAACTCTTCAACATGGTTACACTTTCGTCTCTGGTCTTTGGGCTGTCCGCTGCTGCTGGGGTCTTTGCCCTTCCCAGCGACCTCTCCGGCGAGCTTTCCAAGCGCCAGACAATCACCACCAGCCAGACCGGCACCAACAATGGATTCTACTACTCGTTCTGGACCAACGGCGACGGTGCTGTATCCTATACCAATGGCAATGCTGGCGAATACAGCGTGACTTGGGCAAACCAAAACGGCGGGGATTTCACCTGCGGAAAGGGGTGGAATCCAGGTAGTGCTCAGTGAGTGTGTGGCTTCGGACCCTGAAGCACGCTAAACATACTGACCCCATTCTTTTTTTTTTTTTGTTTTTAGTGACATTACATTCTCCGGTACCTTCAGTCCATCGGGTAACGCTTATCTCTCCGTTTATGGCTGGACTACCAGCCCACTAGTTGAATACTATATCCTCGAGAGCTACGGCGATTACAACCCGGGCTCCAGCATGACGCACAAGGGAACCGTTACCAGTGACGGCGCTACCTACGATATCTATGAGCACCAGCAAGTCAACCAGCCTTCAATTTCAGGAACGGCTACTTTTAATCAGTACTGGTCCATCCGCCGCAGCAAGCGTTCCAGCGGTATTGTCACCACCGCCAACCATTTTAATGCATGGGCAAGTCTCGGCATGAAGTTGGGTGCCTTCAACTATCAGATTGTGTCCACCGAAGGATATGAAAGCAGTGGCAAGTCCACGATCACGGTCTCATCGGGAGGGTCGTCCAGCAGCGGTACCTCTAAAAGTAGCACCACCACTACCACCAAGACCACCACTCACACTACTGCTTCCGATCGCACCTCCTCTGGCGGCTCGGAAAGTGTGAGTTTCAACCCCTGAGATAGGTCGGTGCCGGATAGTTTCACTAACATTCTAGCAACAGTGCGCTTCTATTTACGCCCAGTGTGGTGGCCTAGGCTGGAAAGGCGCTACCTGCTGCGCATCCGGGTCCACCTGCACTTATTCCAATGCCTACTACTCCCAGTGTCTGGCATAAATTGCCTTGGAGCGCGTTCGAGAAGGGGATTGTGTGGCAGCGAGTCATGGTGAGTGGGGACAAGCGGCTATTGGTGAAAATAGATTATCCTAGTGTGTCTGGTGTTGATTATATCCTTAATCCTTATATTTCCGAAGCGAATTACGGAGTGCTTGTTTCGCTTTCTTTTTTCTTTTTTTCCGCGTTCACAACTAGGGAGTCACATAAAATCAACTTGACCACCTTCAGTCTCCTTCAAGGGCACAACTTAACCAAAATAGCATCCTAGTAATACTTATCATAAGGGATATATGAGTCTTATTCGACTGTCGCAAGCATATCATCTTCAACCACCAACCCCAACCGCATCTTGGACCGGTGTATAATCGCTGGATCTCCCCTGCATTTTTCCGCATCCACCCGCAAATCTCGACTTTTGGATGACGTCTGTTCTGCAGAAATGGATAGAGTTGAAGAAAAGAAGTTGAATGGAAAACAGGATCCAAGTCGTTCGGAATATTCGGGGGTTGTGGATATTACCTGTTGACTCCACGGGTCTTATATCCAGAGGGTATCGGGAATCCTCTGGCAAGTCCACATTCCTACCTAGGTGCTATCGATCATGAGATACGTAAAGAGTGATAATCTTAGATTTTGACAGTCAAGATTAGTTCCTGCCCCCGAAGCTATGTATAGATATCGGTTGTATTAAGTTTAGGGCATATGATAGCTACGTGAATGCATATACACGACTTAGCTCTGACAGTCGTCAGCGCAAGAGGGAAAGTTGAATAAGAAAGATTCCAATGTCCCGGGCTTAAGATGGGCTAAATCCGCCCGGATTTTAAGGAATGTCGAGTAATGTATACGGAGACAGGCTTGGAGGTTAATTCCGGGCAGATTTAGTAGATAAATCCAGAGTAGGGATTGAAACATTTCAGTCCATCAGCTCAGAACGAACAACAACAATCACAATGACTTCGAGTACCAGCACTCCCGGCGAGCATTTAGCCGTCATTCTTCCGCAAAAGGATGCCCCAATGTCAATCTCCCTGCGTCCAACACCCGAACCAGGACCGAACGACATACTTATCGAGGTGAAGGCTATCGCAGTTAACATCGCCGACTATTATCAGAGGGACCAAGGCATCCCGCCTATTCCGCAATACCCCACAGTCCTGGGTTCAGATGTCGCGGGCATCGTGGTCAAGGTTGGATCCAATGTTTCGGCGGATGCGCCCCAGCCAGGAGCGAGAGTCACAGCATTTGCTAGTGCATTCTTTGAGAACGGATTGCCGGATTATGGCGCATTCCAGTAATACGTGCTGGCTCCAGCCCAGGCTGTAGCTCTTTTACCGGATAGTCTGAGCTTTGAAGAAGCGGCGATGCTGCCGATGGCTGTCTTGACTGCCTGGGACGGTTGGTATGTGATTGGCATTCCACATGATACCAAATACACGCCTGAGGATAAGAAAGCCATGCTGGTCTGGGGGGCCTCCAGCAGCGTGGGCAGTGCAGCGCTTCAATCGGCCAAGATCATGGGGTTCACTGTCTATACAACCGCCAGCGCGAGACACCATGAATATCTCAAACAACTGGGCGCGGACCGAACGTTCGATTATAAGGATGCGGATGTGGTTGCGCAAATCATTCAAGCTGCCAGGGACGATGGGGTCTCCCTGCACAACGCTTATGATGCTGTGGCAGGTTCTTTGGAGCCAACAATGGAGATTCTTAAAGAGCTGAAGGGGGATGCAGTTGCAAAGATAGCACATGCCGCCTTATTGCCTCCGGATGCACCGACTGTGGAGGGTATCGAAGCGAAATTCGTTTACCCCCCCTTGGATCCTGTAGAGAGACAGGAGTATTTCCATCAGACGTTCAGAGTCTGGCTCACAGAGAAACTTGCGTCCGGACAATTTATTCCCAGTCCACATATTCAGATTATGGGCGGTGGACTTGAAGGACTGAACAAGGCGCTCGACGCACTGCAAGAAGGAGTCAGCGGGACGAAAATTGTACTTACGCTTTAAGCCAGCCGCTAACTCTGGTTCCCTATAATGGATGAGGTGTTCCAGTCATTTATGTGTCATTTTCGATCTCGTTTTCTGAAGTTGTATACGGTACTGTACATAACCCTAACAATATACGTCAGGCCATAGGATCGAAAATATAGTGACTTCTCCCTCCCCTTTCCCTGAACTAAACCAGGCCGATAGTTAGTTGCAGCGCATTCTAGACATGAGTCATTCTGTTGGGATATTCTAATCGGATAGCTATGTATGTGTTTCTCCCACCCCACCCGCAGATCGCGGTCAGTTGGGGGTGTCGTGTCGGGCATTTTCGGGCCTCTTTCATGCAATGGTAATATGGATAGTCCTGTGTCCCTGGTGACCGAAATGGCCTAGGTACGCTTTGCAGTAAACGAGAATATACCGGAAGCTCTACTCAAATCCCCAGAGCCTGGTTGGACGTGGACGTGTGTCGGCAATCCGAGATCCCAACTAAATGTCCCTGAGGAGTCAACGAGGCTCTCTGTCTGCATATGTGATGCTCAGTGTCACTTGAGGTTGCATCTACTCCGATATTCATTCGGCATCTCGGCTATCAACAGTTTCGGTGGTAATTCTCAGCTGAACCCTATGAAATGGCTGTTTCTCAGTCCTTTCCTGCGTGTTAAATTGCTATCGATTTCCCCACTGTCCACAAGACGAGCAATGACTGCAGTGAATCATGGAAGCAGACCATCACGATGCCCATATAGAGGCAGAAAAGGCAGACGGCATTCTCCAAGATTGGCACGGCGGCGACGACAAGGAAAACCCTAGGAATTGGTCCACTTTTCGAAAGACTACATCCACAGTGATTGTTTGCTTGATTGGGTTTGCAACTACAGTGGGAGCTTCTATATACTCCGCGGGCCATGAACAAGTCAAAGAGCAATTCAATGTATCAACTACTGTGTCGTTGTTACCACTCTCGGCGTACTCGCTAGGGCTGGCCTTTGGACCTATGATTTCCTCCCCCCTGTCCGAGACCTTTGGCCGCAAGCTGGTCTATCTTCTTACGCTTCCCCTGGCCGATATTTTTACCATTGGCGTTGGTCAGTCGCGCAATATCGCCTCTCTCATTGCTTGCCGCTTTGTTGCGGGCTTGTTTGCAGCCCCTGGGATTTCTGTCGCCGCAGCTACCATTACCGATTATACACCACCGTCGCAGCGGGTCATTCCGCTAGGAATCTACTACTCTGTTCCGTCCATCGGCAGCGCAATGGGGCCTTTGATAGGGTCTTTTGTGGTGGAGCACCGAGGCTGGCGATGGACAGCATGGACGCCGCTCATGATGGCTGCCGTTTTACACCCGCCAGCACTTTTCCTCAAAGAGTCGTATAAACCGATCATTCTGCAACGACGGGCCCGGATGCTTGGAGCGGCTGCAGGATTGAATGCCGATTCGCGAAGTCTCTCCCAGGGGGCGAAAGAATTCATCACCTCCACAATCGTCCGCCCATTGCATATGTTATTCACAGAGCCTCTGGTTGGCTTTATATGCCTCTACTGTGGATTCCAGTTTGCCTTGATATACACCTTTGTCGTCGCTAGTCCCCGGGTGTTCCAGAGTGTGTACGGGTTCTCCGCGAGCGAGCAGGGCCTGTCCTTCCTCGGCATGGTTGCAGGGTGTATTGTTGCGCCTATGGTCCTATTTACCGTTGACCGGTTGGTGAAGCGAAGACCCAACTGGCAGCGTCGTATCGACCCTGCAGCGGCCTCTGCGCCAGAAACAACCGATCCTCCACCAGAAGTGAAACTATATACAGCCATGTTCGGAAGCTTGGTACTTCCAATCGGGCTTTTCTGTTTTGGATGGACAGCCCGACCCCGTATTCCCTGGATTGTGCCAATCATTGCCCAGGGGATTACTTTCTTGGGGAGCATTTTGATCTACATCCCTTGCAACTTTTATATGCTGGACGTGTACGGCTCCAAATACGGTGCATCCGCGAGTGGAGCCTCGTCCTTTACGCGGTATACGCTTTCTTCAGCGTTTCCACTATTTGTATCGCAGATGTACGCAGCGCTGGGAATAGGATGGGCTACGAGTCTTCTGGGGTTTATCTCGCTTCTTATGGCACCTATTCCTTGGTTGTTCTTCTATTCTGGACCGAAACTGCGTGCTAGAAGTGCATATGAACATGGGACTTGAAGTTACTGTGGTATAGCATTATCTTTGTAAATCAGAAGAGAAAATCTTGACTGAAATATAGCCAGTGATCCAACACCAGGAATAGAACTTTGTCAATATCTCCCGACTTTCAAGAGGGTGCTCGATGGTGGTGGCATGCATCAAAACATCCAATACCATGGTTGACCTGCCTCCATTGACGAGACCGAAGATGCGTTTAGCAGCTACGTATCGCCCAAACTAAGTTTGGAGGCCGCTGTTAATTATGAGGTCAAGGGCTTCGCCATTATATCACTCTGGAGCATGGAACCGCTTGATATCATTCACTCTCTTATCCAAATATAAGGCATAGCCAAGTTCAATTCTCTGTCAATATAGATGCGATCCCAGATATCAAACCGCCGCCATGAATCTATGGACTGAGCCACCTTCAAATGTAACGGATTCCCATCCCTTTTATGTCTGCGTTTCTAAATGGAATAGATCGTGTATGCCGGGATATCCGAGCCTTTTACAGAGGATTCCGGGACTCGATTCGCCATCGTAGTCCGCAATTGTGTCGAACTCGTCGGCTTTTTTGAATGTAGACTCCCGCGGGCGAACTTCCAGGGACCGTCCACTGCAGTTCCCGAGTTGATCCTCATGGAGCTGGTGCATTACAGAGATCTCTACAATGAGAAATTCGCGGGTGTCGCGTTCCCGGAAGCACTCGCGCAAGAGTGCCCATCTCTCACTCTGAAGCTGTGGAAAGAGTTTGATGCCGTTCCCCTGGTAATCGACCGAAAGCCCCATCACAGGACCCAAGCGGACCAAGGCGAAACGGCGACATTCCTGGGATGGGAACAAAAGCAAATGGATGAACAGGCTGACTCTATGGCACGGAAATGTATAAGGTGAGCTTGGCCTTCCTAGTTAGTGCACTTGAGATATCTAAAGAATCCCAGGTCATTTGGCATTGGCCATGTACCATTGACGCATCTGGACATGCACGGTCGGGTAGAAGTCGACAATGACTTTCGGATTCACCTAGCTGATGCAACAGATTATCAACTAACTGCGGAGAATCGTACCTGGGACATAGTTCAGCGTTATGCCAATGAGCTCAAAGTCAGACATGTCAAAGTGGCCTTTTTCGGCGCCACCCCACAAAGCAGACCAGATGTGCATGGCAGATATCCTCTGATGCGCCTGTCACATTGTTTAGGAATTGACTTCAATTGGTGATCCCCCAGCCCTGATGTCCAGTAGCGCCCAGTAGCCACAACTTGAGCTAATTCGCGATGTACGCAGGTATGTGCCACGACCGCGCCCAGAGCTTCTACATATTATTCGGAAGATGCAAGATATACTCCAAGGAGTCGGAGGTGCGGATGAGCAGCTCACTACGGATGAGGAACTGCGGATCCTAGAATGGGTATACACAACTGCTAAGCGGTACTGGCTGAATCAAGGAGGTCCTCTTCGGCCCATTGCTGAGGGAGGGGCGGATGTTATTGTTATCGACGATGGGATACTTTCACCGCTGGCGCTCATATCCAAGCAGGAGGATCCAACAAGACCGGTGGTCTTTGAGAATCGCCTACACATCCAGGAAGAACGCGTTCTAAACCCGGCTAGCCCACAGTATCAGGCATGGGATTTCTTGCGCGCAAGGCTCAAGCATGTAGACCTGTTGGTCTGTCAAGAGCCCAGGGAATTTTGCCCAAGCCTGATGCCAGAAAAGAAAGTCGGTTTCGTCACAGCAGCAGTGGATCAGTAAGGGCCCTTGGTGAGTGGTTGGTGTACGAGACTTAACTCCTGGATAGACTCGACGGCTTAAACAAACCCATGAGCGACTGGGATATTTCGTTTTATGGTCGGGAGTTCAGCTCCCTTTGTAGGATCAATGGAAGGCCGACCATAAATTATCCTACTGGTACCTACCGATCAAGCTTTTCCCGCGGGTATAGATGAAATACAACATAACTAACAGACTAGTAGAGCAATACATCCTCCACCTAGCCCAGCTTATTCCAAATGAAGGCACCATGTCCTTGCTCAACGCTTACAAACGATTCTATCACGAGTGCAAAACGGGGATTCCAAATCTTGTAGTTCCGAAACTTCTTATATGCCACTACCGATCCCCAAACAACCGCGAAAGCGCCCCGATATACAGAGATTTGGTCCAACATATCAAAACGAACATGCAGGATCTGATGTCCTTGATTTCCTTCGTACAGATCCGGCCCCCTGATCAACTATGGAACACCATTATCTCTAGAGCAATGGTTGTCGTGCAACTGGGCGATTCCGAAGGAATCCCCGAAATATTGCTCAGTGCCGTCCAGAAAGAAAAGCCTGTCATTGCGAGTAGGAATTCGGGATACCTATCTTTTCTACGGACAAAAGTCAATGCACTCCTAGTGGGTGAAGAGGATATTGAGGCTATCTCCAGATACTTGATTGGCCTTGCCTCTGATTCTGCAAATTGCCGGCACATGGGGCAGCAGGCACCGAAGAAACTCAGCGACGAAACCACTACAGTTGGGAATGCTGTCAATTGGCTTTATATCACTTCGAAGCTCTCTAGAGGCGAGGCTGTAGAGCCATCTGGAGGGTTTATCTTCACGCTGGCACAACAAGGGGCAGGAATGACAGTTAGCTAGCGTCTGCTGTTACCAATACTGCATCTCTGTATCTGCATATTTCAGGCTATACTCTGACTTTCAATCCGTTATCAGGGCCTGTTTCTTGGTTTCGTACGGAAAATCTTAGATCAAGACGTTGTTTATTCACGCAAGGCTATGGACTAAGTAGATAAGTAGATGCCACTACTATATAGTGGCGTATATATGGATGCCACCAAAGAGCATATGTGTATGTAAGTCTGTCTATATACTACCTTGGCCTTTTCAACTCCGACTTGCTTACCCAGAAGCAGGCCTGACGCTTTGTGGGTTATGGAATACATTGTTTGGGTCGATTTCGGCCTTGATTCGGTTCAACCGTGCAAGATTCGAACCCCAATATGCTGCCTGTGCATCCGTCAAGCGTGGATCTACATATCCCGGATACGCGGCATAAGGGACAGTCTTCGCTGTGCTGGTCAGGGTCAACTCATTGAGTCTCTCGAGAAACTCTACTGTGGTTTCCGAAATCCGTCCAAAGAGGTTGATCGCATACGACTGGAGCCAGATAAGCGTGTCGCGGTGAGCGTAGGCTGTAGCATCGACTGGCACATCCCCAACCGCCCCTCCCTGCAGGTCAAAGATAGCAAACCAGAGCAGTGTTCCCTTGTCGACGTTGTCGATATACTCGAACATCTGCTCGATTTCTTCCTCGGATAGCAGGCTTCCCGCCGTAAGGGATCGTGACTTGGCGTAGAAATGGGACGGAATGCCACCTCCCACCCCCAGGAACAGGTCTTCCGCCCAGTTGCTGACGAGGCCTAGCCAGTCGTCAAGCACAAGAGTACCCCCTTTGGCAAATCCCGGAAATTCTGTCTCGATCTTCAATGCATTGTATTCTTCTTTGGAGCCGAAGAATGTCCCTGTAATAAACATGCCGTGTTCGAGTATCGTCAAAGTCGACGCCAGTTCGCGAGGCAGGTCCGGCTGAGTCACATATGCTTGCCATTTCTTAAACAAATCCGCCCTGGTCGCCGTGTCACTGAACGAGAAGGAGTAGGAGTATCGAACGGCTTGTCCGGGCTCTGGTTCAGTGCGGACCTTGAACTCGGTTACAATGCCAAACCCAGAAGCGGCGCCCCGGACCGCGAAAAAGACATCAGGGTTCTCTGTTTCCGAGGCTCGAATGATGCTAGAGTTCGCCAGGACCACCTCAGCCTCAATGATATGGTCCAAGGCAGCCCCGAATTGGCGAGAGGAAGGTCCCAGTCCGCCTATCGTGAAATGGCCCCCGCTGCCGACTTGCGGGCAGGTTCCGTGCGCCATTGCACGACCTCCGGCATCAGAGAGCCTCTTCGTCACATCTCCCAGAAGGGTTCCAGCTCCGATCGTCGCCTCCCATGTGGTAGTGTTCATGGAAAAGTGTTGGAGGTTTTCCAGGTTCACCACGACGGCGCCATTCGTTCCCCCCAGCCCATGGTTCGCATAGCTGTGGCCGCCGCTTTTGGCTTGAACTTGATACCCGTTCTGAGCCGCGCAGCGAACAACCGCCGCTACCTCATTGGTGTCCGCTGGGAATGCCACTGCCGCAGGGACAATGCTGATGTCCAGGTTATATGGCCGGACGCTGAGAAGTTGATAGAATGGATCGCCTTCGAAGGCCACCCTGCTTACAGCAGACTCAAGACACTGCCGGAGGGAAAAGTCACCCGACACGAGCCCTGAGTAGGCAAGTAATGATATTTGGAGCAAGGAAAAGGAGATACTTGGCGCCATCCTGGGACTTTTGATCCAATTCGATTGAGTACAGTTTTTCCACACGCACAGTCTTTTACACAGTAAATCGTGGAGCTACTTCCTACACCACCTTGTCCTAGGGTTTTAAACTGGCTTGGACTGGCTATAAAACAAAGTCATAAGCGCTGCACAAAGGTACGAATTTCCAGAATGCGTTCCTGATATGGAATCTTCCCTGAGAAAGCTTGCATGTGGTCACCTCTGATAGGGATCCTATTACCCAAGGAGCCCTGACTTGTGCCACTAGATCATGTTTGGGCATGACTACATGGACAAATTGGAAACTCATTGGCTATGTGCAAGATTAAGCTGACACTGAGTGTCCAAACTAAGTAACCAACATGAGTCCAGGTCAGAACAGGCCTCAACTCTCCATTCGGCCGCTGCATGGCACCATCCCCTCTCTTACTCTGGGTTTTCAGGTACTCCCCAGCCCGAATCAGAAAAGCTCGAGACCTGAGGCAGCGAAAACAACTAAGTTTTATGCCTAAGGTTGCGGGGATGCCTAAGGTTAGCACCTAAATAGGTATAGACCTCCCGCCTGCCAAGGCTTGGCATACCCTATCCAAAAAAAAAAAAAAAAAAAACTTAAAATAGAAATAAAAATAAAAAAGAACAAAACGCACTCGTGGAATCCTAAGGCCAAGAATCAGAATAAGCAGCCTTACATCCAGGAGGTTCCTCATCGTGGATATCTCTACATATATAGCCCAAGATATCAGGGGAGAAACCAAATTCCATAACTAGGTAAGGGTCGTTGAGATCACCCCACAAAGCGACGCCATATTCAGGCAGACATCCCGCTGCCTGTTTCGAGAGATGCTGCCTGGTTAACGGTCAAGCCACATGGACCGGTTCATAGGGATCCCATCACCAGATATGACTCGGCTCGTGTGGTAGGCTGAACCTTGAGCTATGTTCGCATTTTGAATCTGAACTTTATTTTTACGTCATTCCTGGGTTTCCTGTTGAACTGTTGGTAGAACCCAGAAGTTGAATCTCGCAGATGCGAATAGTGGCGCTGCTCTGGCCAGGTCGTCGGGGAGTGACTCGTATCCAGCCCCGCTCCTCTCATCCGTTACTCTCCCGCAAAAGGGGCGCCGAATGAGATAAATAGCGGGGTCAGCCGGTCATGTCGGTCAGCTCGCATAGCTAGAGACATTCAAGATTCCATACAACACAGTGCGACTACGATGGCGTTCAATCCCGAGTGCAAGGGTGTTCCGACCAGCAAAATCGACCATGTGAGCATCACGGCTCCAAAGGACCAGTTCGAACCCGTGGTGGAATGGTACAAGAAGGCGCTCGCGCCGCTCAACTATAAAGAGATAATGCGGTTTCCTGGGGCCGTTGGCCTGGGGGACCAAGTGCCTGATTTTTGGATTTCACAGACCGACTCCGAGACCCCACAAAATCTTCACTTTGCTTTCACCTCGCCAGGTAAGTAATGGGTAATGGCTGGGGGGCATTCAAACATTGCAATCTGCAATCAATGGCTAAAGTCAGTCTCTGGCAGATCATAAAACGGTCGATGCCTTTTATGAGGCGGCAATTGCGGCTGGCGGTAAATGTAATGGGAAGCCTGGACTGAGGCCCCAATATCATCCCAATTACTATGGCGCGTTTGTCTTCGATCCCAGAGGAAACAACGTCGAGTTGGTAAGACTGCAAGGCGATTGGAGGTTGCAGTTACTGACAGGGTCAACAGGTTTGCCATCTACCCTCCGAGGAGTAGGAGGAATGTTCGTCGGGATGTTTTCTGGGCAGAGAGCAGCATATCGGGGTGTCCAAAATGTTAAGTAGGCCATACTTTCTGCATGGTTCAAAATGTACTCTAAACCATATCTAATAAAATGACCATGGTCAAGATTTCTTTTGCAGATCCCGGTTCCTCTACCAGAGAGCGACCTGTCATACTCGCGCGAGTACCCCAGATATGGCCGAGGTGGCGTGGAGGCGGGGTAACCACTGTGGTCAAAGTGGACCATGAAGCGGACCTCAACAGGGAGACGGGATTTATCATTATATAGGTTTATCATTTATATCGACTCTTTCAAGACATAATAATTCCCTCGTTCTGCGGACTCGAGCGCTAATGAAGTCGATGAGACGTCGGAACTTGTCCGTCGCAACTAGCCAGGATACCATCGAAAGTCAGGAGAGTCCCGGCGAGTGGGATGACCCAGCAACACCCAATCGACAACGAACGCCTATCTCCCTACTAAGGTAGCAGGAGCACAGAATGATAAGGTGATTCTTTAGATCAGTTGCCAAGGTTGATTATTTTCGAGGGAATGCATGATACCGGTTGTTTTATCCCGCCTACAGTATATTTATTAATTGTGGAACCAGTAAGGTGTGAACCAGTAGCAAAAGAGCATGGTGAGGTTTGATCAGCCAAGTCGGAACTAGAGGTGGGGTTCGAAAGCAGCAAAAACCATCATCATTCATTCTTGTTGCACTTTTCCAGTTATCATATTAACTCTCTCACGCACACAGATTATATGAAAATGGTTCATGTTTCAGCTCTCAAGTCAACTCTAGGGTTGAGGGAAACTGCAAAAATATATATTCCCGCTTAAAGCTAACCATACGTCATACTGAGGTCACTTCAGGTAGTGAATGGATCGCGTGGTCAATTACCCAATCAGACCAGTGGAAATGGAACTCTATCCCACGCGAGTCCTATAGGGGTTAGAAGGTACGACATTACGTCAGCACCTGACCACACCCAGCCAGGCTTCTGATTGGTCCAGATAGTCACCATCGGATAACGCAAAATCTTACGAGATTAAATCCTGATCCACTTGGGGCCTGAGGCACGCTATAACTGGGGCCAAGGAGGACGGTTCAGAGGGTGGAAATTTTCTTCTTAAACATGTTTTCTCCCAGCTGAAAAGGATCTCTGTAGAAAATCATCTTTCCCTGTTTCACTTACTGTATGATGGTCTGCTGGTAGGACTCCCAACGCGCCAATTCTCCCTACCCGCCTTCTCTCTCGAGTCGAACCATCTCAAACGATACTTCCCTACGCGACATCTCCCCATTCCCGTCCATCCATTATGTCCTCGAATTCTAGCTACCGGAAAGATAGTCAATGGGGTAGTAATCCTGTCCCCGGCCCCGTGGGTGGCAGCACCGCCTTAGAAACTGGGGTTGGCGTCGATAAACAGGGCGCAGACCACGAGCTGGAGACCCTGGGGTACGTCCCAGAGCTTTCGCGCAACCGTTCCACCTGGCATGTCGTCTTTATGTGTTTTATCTTGTCCTCAGTCCCATATGGCCTGGCTACGACCTTATTCTATCCCCTCGCCGGTGGTGGCCCGACCAATGTCATTTGGGGCTGGGTTGGCGTCTCCCTGATTATCCTCTGTGTAGCCGCCTCTCTTGCGGAAATCACGTCGGTGTTCCCCACGGCCGGTGGTGTCTATTACCAGACCTTTGTCCTCTCTCCCATATGGTGCCGTCGTATCTCCTCATGGATCTGCGGCTGGTCCTATGTGGCCGGAAATATGATGATTACCCTGGCCGTCAATTTCGGAACCACCCTATTCCTCGTCGCCAGCCTCGACGTCTTTGAGGATTCCACCGGCGCTGGAATCACCGACAGCTGGGGTGCCTACCAAGTATACCTAATCTTCCTCGGAATCACCCTACTCACCCACGCGATCCCTGCCTTTGGGAATAAATATCTTCCCTGGCTGGAGGTAGAACTGATCCCCAATGCGACTCTTTTAATCCCCCCCCCTCCTTTTACTAAGCCATGTACTCATTGCTAATATATTTAAAAAAGTCCTTTGCCATTTTCTGGACCCTAGCTGGCCTGATTGCCATCACTGTCTGTATTCTGGTCCTGGCCAAGGGAGGCAGACGTGATGCCGCGTGGGTCTTTGGCCATTTCGAGCCCCAAGCGGGTTGGCCGGCGGGATGGTCGTTTTGCATTGGTCTGATCCAGGCCGCTTATGCGACATCTGCAACCGGCATGATTATCTCGTGAGTCCTTTTTTCATATATATATATATAGATCTTCTGTCTCGCTTTGCTTTCTCGGAAGATGCTGAACCGAGTAGAATGTGTGAAGAAGTTCGTGAGCCCGCAATCCAGGTCCCCAGGGCTATGGTGGGAACCATCGTCATCAACCTGTTCGCGGGTTTGCTGACTTTGATTCCGATGTGCTTTGTTCTCCCGGATGTGACCATGCTGGTGAACCTCGCTTCTGGCCAGCCAGTGCCTGTGATTTTCAAGACCGCGACCGGCAGCGCAGTGGGCGCATTTTTGCTGCTCCTCCCGCTGCTGATTCTTGGCATTATTTGTGGCGTGGGTTGTGTCACCGCGACGTCGCGATGCACTTGGGCCTTTGCTCGCGATGGTGCCATCCCCGGCTCACAATGGTGGAAGTTGGTCAACAAGAAACTCGACATTCCCCTCAATGCCATGGCCCTAGGGATGGTGGTTGAAGTGCTCTTTGGTTTAATCTACTTTGGGTCCACGGCTGCCTTTAACGCCTTCTCCGGTGTTGGCGTCATTCTTCTGACCTTGAGCTATGGGTGTCCCGTGGCTGTCTCCTTGATTTTGCGCCGTCGGGAAGATATCCAGCACGGAAGCTTTAACCTGGGTACGCTGGGTGTGTTCTGCAATGTCGTGGCGCTTGGTAAGTCAACTCTTCTTTCTACGTATTATGTCAAGCCATGTCTAATCCCTCTTAGCTTGGACACTGCTCGCCATTCCTCTCTTCTGCATGCCCTCCTTCAGCACCGTCACACTCGAAACCATGAACTACGCTTCCGTCGTATTCGTCGGGTTCGTCGCCATCGCAGCTGCCTGGTACTGGATCTGGGGCCACAAGAACTACGTTGGCCCGCCCACGGACGCTATCGATGTCGAGATTGATCAGGCCCTTGCGCAAAGCGTGGCCAAAACCGATTAAACATACCACCTTCTATACACCCAGGCACTTTATGTCTGTTAACGGTTATAGATTTGTATGTGATACGCCTAATTTGAATTAAAGATCGTGGTTGGATATTAGCTGCTGCATTCTTATCGATTCTGAAGATCTAGCATTTTTCCGCTACGGCGTTATGGATTGACTTTCCTTGTATATACTACGAATAAGCATAGATATCCCCGTACGAAATTGAAAATTTACACCATGAAACCTTCCACAAATAAATAAAGTACGGAGTACAGATAACACTGGGTTACTAGAGGGCGGGACTCAGGTAGTGATGTATTTATTGTACTCGACAGTTTTGACGAAATATCTGTAAATTCCCGAATATGGATCAGGTATCAAGTCAGCCCTATAAGGGCTCCAAGTATCCTGTCTGTTGAATTAGTATCAACCAAGCCCCCGAACTTATTATTATTGTTACAATTTATTACTGTTCAAATGGATGCTCCTAATAGATTGAGAGACTCTGACCCCAGCCAAGGTTGCCTATCAAAGAAATGTTCAATAGATCCAAAAGACCTGGGGATCATATCCAAAATCCCCAACGCTCCCCAAAGAAGCTACACCGCTAGCTGGCCCTCTGCCACGGAGATTTCTGTAACACTCGAAAAACCTCACAAACACTTAACCAGATCAGAGGATACATTCAGATATCTATACCAGTTGGTCATGAAAATACCTGGGGGGTGTCCCACCCAATGACCCTAAGTTTGTTGGCATTCCCAGCTGTGAATACTGTACGCCTGCATCACCGGCCAGTCTGGACATGAACCCTCGCACTTTGGAGGATTCCTGCCCAGACAAAAAATCCCAGAATCCTTCCTCACTCCTGAAATAAGGAATTATCTCCGCTGATCTGCTAGTCGGAGAGCGTTCCCCCGAAAATGTCTCCGCTCCCCACAACCCCGCGTCTTCTCCCCGGACTCGTTCCAACGCTCAACATCAAAACCCCAGATTTCTCGGACCTTCTCCGATATGCAGTCGTCTAGGTCGCCTTTCTTTTGGCCAGATGACCTGAAATTATACTATGCGGAAGTATACTTTTGATCTCGCTTTAAAGGCCGCCATGCGCACTAGAATGAGACTCTAGCCAGCAACATATTCCGACAAAATTCTTTCAACATGGCCGACGTTGACGAAAAGGCCGTTCCGGCCGTCGATAATGGAGAAAAGAAGAAGGCGCAATTCGAGCATGATGAGTTGTACGACGCCTATGCATCCAAAAGTCAAGAATGGCACCAGAAGATGACTCGTCGGCTATTGCGAAAGGTCGACTGGCACCTTCTTCCTCTTCTAGTAGCCATGTACCTGCTCAATTTCTTGGATAGAAAGTACGTCTATGTATCCTAAGGACCCGACACTATGTAACCAACCTAGAACTTACCTTGGTAGTAATCTTTCCCAGGCTCGACTAGGCACCCTTGAAGAAGATCTCAACATGAAGGGCACGGATTTCAATCTTGCGACCAGCATTCTCTTTGTTGGGTACCTTTTAATGCAGCTGCCGTCGAACCTTCTCCTGACCCGCATTCGACCCTCTCTATTTCTGGGTATCGCCATGGGGATCTGGGGTGTCATATCAGCTTGCCAGGCGGCCGCACACTCCTTCGCTGGCTTGGTGGCCACCCGATTCTTCCTTGGGTTCGTGGAAGCTCCATTCTTTCCAGGAGCAGTCATGTTAATGTAAGTGGTAATCCTGATGGTTGAAAAGATGAGGCTGACTTTTGCATAGGTCCAGCTGGTATACCAGACAAGAGGTATGCGCAATCCCCGCAATCATAGACTTCCTAGGCTGATGATCGTAGTTGAGTTACCGAATCGCTTGGTTCTATGCTGGAAGCTCTTTAGCAAATGCCTTTGGTGGATTGATCGGTGCTGGCGTGCTGGGAAACCTCAATGGCTCGCACGGGATCTCCGGATGGCGATGGCTATTTATTATTGAAGGAAGCATCACAGTTGCGTTGTCAATGCTTGTCCCGTAAGTCGATATAATACAGGCGAAAAAAACAATGGCTTTTCACTCACAGTATGTATCTAGCTTTCTGCTGCCGAACTACCCAGCAACCACGCCGTGGCTTGAGGATGAAGAAAAAGCATATGCCCAATGGCGATTGATCAATGATGCTGGAGAAGCTGATGAGATGGGCTCAACCACCATCAAGGAAGCACTGTATATGGTGTTTACTGACAAGCGGATCTACATCTTCATCCTCCTGCAACACGCATCTCTCTTATCCCAGACGTTTCAATACTTCTTCCCTTCGATTGTGAAAACACTCAATTACGGAAGCGTGGAGACTCTGTTAATCACAGCTCCTGTGTGGATCGCAACTTTCCTCATCTCTCTCGTTGTGACCTGGACATCAGGCAAAACCAATGACCGTAGCATCCATATTATTTGCTTGATGATGGTCAGCGTTGCAGGATGCATTATCTGTACTGCATCTACGAATGTCGGGGCAAAGTTCCTGGGCATGTTCCTGTAAGTGCATCCAGGGCTCGTGTCTCTTTAGTGTTCTCCATTGATAAACAATGTTATAGGATGCCAATGGGTGCCGTCTCTGCCTACCAGATTATTGTCGCTTGGGTCGCCAATTCCTTCCCCCGTCCGCTGGTGAAACGATCGGCCGCTATCGCAATAGCGAACATGATCGGTAATACCGCCACAATTTATGGGAGCTATATGTGGCCATCGTCGTCAGGACCACGATACATCCCAGGCGGTAGCGCCACAGCAGGCGTGGCTCTCCTAGTAGCTGCTTTGGCGTATCTTATTCGGACGATTCATGCGAGGATGAACAAGCGCCTGGAGCAACAGGAGAACGCGCAACTAGAGCCAGAGAACCTGGATCATCCCCGGGGATTCAGGTACATTCTTTAAAACATCCCATGATATAAGTAAGTAATGATTTGGAGAATTTGGCTAGCTTTGCCTGTTGTAAGGAGCGTAGCTACTATCTTTTACTACCATGATCGCACCGAATATACAACAGTATTAGGCCAGACGAACATAGGATGTGTTCAACATGTTAAAGTAGTGGGAAATTTTCTACAGGAATATAAACTATTCACCAACCAACTCTGCGATGTGAGCTGCGCCAGGGAGACTCTCCACTCCGATAAGCTGGGAGCGCTGCCGAATTTATCCCATCACTAAGGGGACAAACGCTCTATTTCCAGTAAATCTCGAAAAGCGATATGAGTCGTTCTCAACAAGAGGAACATGCCGCTAATTCACCCTATGGGTTGAAAGAACACGACACCTCGCTTTCGGTCACCACCTTTGGCAGCCTTGCGCCATCTAGTGCCCAATAAGACTTTGTTCTCGAAAAGACTTACTGGATTGAAAACAAGGCCGAATTTCGCGCTGATCTCTCATATTAACCGGCCTCTTCAGCAATCCCTGTTTCCTGTCTCCTTGGGAGACAGGTGTTGTTTACTTTGAGAGAGGTACACCTTTTCGCTTATATTGTTTATATTGGATAGCATGCGCGAATAACCCAGTCAAAACATCCATTGAACACTTTATTTTAAATCAGCCATGGCTTCTCCATTCTCTCCTGGGGAACCAGAGACTGAAGATATCCCCGTAGCACCGGAAGTCCCCGTACTTCCAGAAGAAGGTGGGCTTTGGGTCTGGTTGCAAGTTATCGGTGCTCTTTTTATTTTTTTCAACATCTGGTATGTTTCCTATTTGGCCTATGCTATGGGCAACCGTGACTAAGTATCTCCAGGGGCCTTGCGTTTGCGTTTGGGTCCTTCCAAAGCTTCTACGTGCTCTCATACCTGCCATCTGTAGGACCGTCGGCAATCTCCTGGATTGGAACTATTCAGTCATGGCTTCTCATTATCGGCGGGCTCTTCTCGGGCCCATTATTTGACCTGGGTTACTACAAAACCATGATAATCACCGGCAGCTTTCTTTCCGTGGTTGGAATCATGATGCTCAGTCTGGCAACGGAATACTATCAAATCCTGCTCAGTCAAGGCATCTGCACGGGTCTCGGGTTTGGACTACTTTACGTTCCTAGCATCACTTTAGTCACTCGGTCCTTTGTCCGAAAACGAGCCCTTGCACTTGGAGTCTCCACGAGCGGAGCCCCGGCTGGGGGCGTCATCTACACCCTAATGTTTGAACAATTACTTCCGAAAGTCGGATTTGCATGGACAGTCCGTATCATGGGGTTTGTTATGCTATTTCTCTTCATATCTGCTGGGTTCATGTTATTATGGCGGAGTGAAAACCTCGGGCAGGTGGGCTCAGGTCAAGCCAGAAAGCTCTTTGATATAAGCGCACTGAAGGATCTCCCATTTTGGAATTTCACCGGAGCCAATTTCTTCATCTATGTCGGATATATGTCTCCATTTTATTACATACCAATCTTCGCGGAAACCAAGCTACACACTTCGCGTTCCTTGGGGCTCTACATCCTCATAGTTTCTCAAGCATCATCTATTGTCGGTCGTGTTGTCACCACCACGATTGCTCACCACTTTGGGGCGATGATTCCTTGGATATTCTGCGGTGTTGCTTCGGGAATTTTGTCCCTCGCCTGGATCAGTGCCGATACAGTTGCGCGCTTTATCCTCTTCTCGGCCTTCTATGGTAATATCCGCTTCATATAGAGCTTTTTATATCGCTGACAATGGTCCAGGCGGTATTTCGGGCGCCTTGGTCCCGCTGCCACCCAGTGTCTTCCCTCATATCTGTCCGGATCCAACAGCCCTGGGAGCTTGGTTAGGTATGGCACAGGGCATGACTGGTTTCGCCACACTGGTTGGAGCTCCTATTGCGGGAGCGTTGGCCTCTCTTGATTCAAGTGGCAGTGACGATTTGAACTTTCTCAACATTCAGCTCTTTTGTGGCATTCTCATGCTTTCCGGGGCATTTCTTTTGCTGGGGCTGTGGTTTCTGCTTTACAAGTATCGAAACATAAAGGGGCTTATTTGATCACATTCTCAGCATACAATATTTCATTGAGATGGCATACTGAGCAGCCCTTTAACAATTCCAGGATCAGGCAATAATATCTTGCCGTGGTATAATCACTCTTTCTTCAAGCAGCTTCTTATTATCGGGTCAAAAGGTTACGTCTCCAAAACCCATTCATTATTGCAATGCTTAACCTTCCAACTGCCTCGACATACTCTAATCTCTCCCTATCAGCGATACCAAAACCAGGTCTCACCAGTGCTCTGGTAAGACGACCCTCCCGAGCCATTGTCAAAGTCCAAGCTTGTGCCCATCTTGTATCCCCGCTCCTCCAGGCACTGGATTAAATCCAGGACAATGATCCTGCTCCTCACTGATCCCTTTGGACTCGGCTGTCCCCACGGCGCGTTTTTGAATTTGACTTCAAAGATGCCAGACACAAAATCCTTGTTGCACTTCTCAACCTCGTCCCCGAATTTGGAAATCAGCGCCGTCGCCAGATCCGTGGACGCGTTAATCAGATGGACAAGATCTTGAGAATCGAATGAAATACAGAGCCAAGATGCGTCCCGCGGTTCCTTTAGATCAAATATCAAACTGTCTGCAAACATTCATTAGCAAGCGCCCTTAACTCAGGGAGTACATGCACAGTTGCATATATACCTTTCTGTCCCCACTGATTGTAATTCCCCATGCGTCCCAGCCGGTTGGGACGAACGATCCATCCTTCCCTCGCCAGCGATTGCAAAATCCCCATCACCGACATCCGGATTGCAATCTTCTCGTCGTCCTGTCCATGGGCGAAGGGGTTCCCACGTAACTTGATCTCCAAACTTTCCTCGTATGGTTTGACGCTCTGGATGCCCTTTGGCCAATGCTGGCCCAGAGCTTCGGATACAAGAGCCCCGATTGGTTCTGGGAAGCGCAAGAGACGAATGCGGTCTGTCCAGGAGAACGATATCAGGGCCAGGCGCGTATCCTGACCCTTTAGCGGGGCTTGGGCTTCCATCTCGGCGGCCGTGGGCGATGCGGACCCCATGGCTTCGTCATAATCGGGCGGTTGCTCGTTCATCCTTCCCAAGGGAAGTTTGAATGTGGGGAATGGAGGCATGCAGGGCATCAAGTTGAAATTCACTAAATCCGGCAACCGCTGCGGGATTGTAGGGGGAGTGAGGGTTCTGTTGCTATTTAGCTTCATGTCTGATTATCCTCTGTAATTATCGAACGATCAAGTTGATTTCCTGCTGCCTGATCACAGAGTATTCCCATATGTATCATGATCCCCCCCTCCCGCCTTAGACATTCCGGCCAATACGAGGCTGAGACTCCATCATAGCTAAGCCACAAGATGTCCAGACAAAAGAGTCTTGCTAGGTAACCATATAATGTGCTCTCCGTCCAGTCCGGCCACTCAGATGTCAGCGACAATGTTGGCTATTGACTCAGCCAGTGAGAAGGCAAGTTTGGCCCTTTTAGTGCGGTTATCTACAAATAACTAGTACCTATAAATATGTCCTTGTGGATGCCTCATTCATTCTGTCCATATCTCTTATTTATCTGATATACCCCACAAACACTTTGATACCAAAAAAGGCACATTTGAGATCAAGATTTAGGGCTCATCAGGACAATATACAAAACAGTGAATAAATCCTCTTTTCAAGCTTACTTTTGGCAAATTGTCTCTTGTGCGTCTTCCATTTCATGGGAGATAGATGCAAATGCTGAGGAATGAGGAATGATGCAAAGGAGAGTTAAGGGTTTCAAGATTTATGTAGTGAGACAATCTACCTCCGTAACCCTATTCTACAGGGAGGGTTACCGCAAATATACATCCAATCAATCTGAACTCCGCAGGCGTGGTTTGTTCTGGGATGACTATACAGGTCCAAAGGGTACATATCGGGAGAACCTCCACGGCCAACCAGGTCAAAGTGGCCCTCCATCTGACCATCCTGCAGCGAAGTATTGCTGGAATACGATAATTAATGTAGTGCAGAATCAGATAGGTTTAGATGGAAGGGGGGGGGATCTGGCTAGTTGATTTGACTGTGGTGCGTGCGCTCGCAAGGCTGTGGAATTAACGGTGACAAAAGTCCCCAGCCTTTAACCGGTGTAATCAGATGCCATTTGGGAAATATAATATTAAAGAGAACTATAGTAAGGGGCTGTTCTCTGCATGCAGCGTTAAATTACAGCTTAGGAATCAGGACCTGCACTAAGTACTAGAATTGGACGAGACCTCGAATTCTCCTGCAACGATGCATGCATACACCACTAAAGTAATATTACTACGGAGTACTCCATACGTACGACGATTCATGATACCCACAGAGTTAAAAAAAAAAAAGTGGACTTTGGTGAAAAGCTTTTTTATCTTCAGTCCGGCAGAGGGAGGAAAGTCGAACCCTGATTATCTGGTATTCAATTGGCGCGAGACTGTCCATGCATACACTAAACGAGCCAGCTCGAGCCCTCGTTCTTCCCACCAGATGATTGGCTTTTCTTTCTCTCAATCTCCACCTGGATTTGGAGCCATAATATAATATCCATCCTCTTCAATGGTTGCTTTCGTTGGTTGCTTTTTTTTTTGGCCCCTCTCCAGCTGTGAGAATGGCTGAGGTTGGGGCCCTTTTTGAGCAGCCTCGTCGTTAAAAATATGCCTGTTTATCGTTAGTTTGACTGGAATTTACTCCGGACTATGTCGGTCTGATGTCTGCTCATGTCATATATCTTGGGGATGCCCCGCCCACCGCAGAAAAAACATTCCCTGTGCGCCTAGTATAGGGAGGTCGGCGAGATGGACCCCCTGAGCATCACGGCCAGTGTCGCGGGGATTGCAACACTCGCCTATCAAATTATTGGGTATCTCGGACAGGTTAAATCGGGGGGGAAAGAACGGTTGAGACTATGCACAGGGATTACACACCTCTGGCTCTCCATCAGCGCCCTCCAGGAGCAGCTGTCGGCCGATGCGATCCCCGATTTCAAAATCCCACCCCAGTTACTGCCACTGTTCGAGCCGGATGGGATTTTCAAGGATATTGAACAGGAGATCAAGGACCTGGATGAAAAACTCAAGACGAGAACAAGCCATGGCAAAATCAGACAAACCATCGTGTGGCCGTTCACCCAGCAGGATGTGATTCAGACTATTGAACGTGTTCACCGGCTACAAGAGACCCTGCACCTCGCCCTCACCCAATCCAGTCACGCCCTCACTCAGGAGATCTATCGTGATGGACAAGCGGTCAAGAGCATGCTCGATGAGAACCGACTGAAGGATATCATTGACTGGATCTCCCCTTTGAACTTTGTGGGCAAGCAGAATATGCTCTTCAACGAACACCATGAAGGCACTTGCAAGTGGTTTCTACAGAGCGACGATTTTCAAGCTTGGAGGGAAGGAGAGAGTACCGTTTTGTTTTGTCCCGGCATTCCAGGTGCTGGGAAAACATTCTTGTCGTCGATCGTCGTCCACGAGTTGGATAGACTACGGCTATGTCAGGAAGGTGGAGTTAAAGAAGCCGCCATCGTGATGCTTTATTGCAAATGGGACGATCCACTGTCCCAGTCAATCGAGGCCATGGTAGCAAGTCTGATGAAACAGATCATTCAGCGATATGGGGTTGTGCTAGATGAGGTGATTCAGATGTTCAATAAACACAGCCAGGAAGAAACCCGGCCATCGAGAGAGCAAATGCTATCCATCCTCAGCATGTTACTCCGGCGGTTCCCGAAGATCTTTGTGGTTGTCGATGGCCTCGATGAACTGCGCGAAGAGAAGGATCGACTGGCACTGCTACGGATACTCACTTCGATCCAAACGACCAAGGTCAATATCATGGTCACGTCGCGGCCGCTCCCGAATATTACGCGCCATTTCCGACGCCCCCGATTTAATATTGTCTGTGACATCTGCGATCAGAAAGAAATCCTATCGCAATACCACTGCTCCGAGTGCGACGAGACTAAATTTGGAGGCTTCGATGTCTGTCAACCCTGCTATGATGACGGGAACCGGTGTGGCTATAAAGGGCATTTGTTCATCTTCCAGTATAATGCGTTCATTGTTGACATTGCCGCCGTCGAAGAGGATTTGACAACCTATGTGCAATGGCGCGTCAGATCTTCGGAAGACCTTCAACAATTTGTCGAGATAAAAGCTGGTCTGATGGACCAGATCGTTGAGACCGTGGTCAAGGCCAATGATGGGATGTTCCTCTTAGCAAAATTTAACATGGATACGCTCGCTTCGAAGCTCAACATCAAGCAAGTTGTCGCTGCGCTGCACACACTGCCGAAGGAACTGGATGGTACGTACACCGACGCGATGTCCCGGATAGAGGATCTACCTGCTTCGACAAGGGAGACAGTCATGGAGTTCCTTCGATGGGTGGTCTTTGCGGAGCGGCCTCTACACGAGCGAGAGATCGAGCATGCTCTTGCGGTGTGTGAAGGGGATGAGGACATTGATGACGATAATATCATTCGAGCTCGAGCTCTTGCCGACAAATGCGCCGGATTAGTGCAATTGGACGAATCGGATTGCGTCCGATTGGTGCACTATAGCGCTGAAAGCTTTTTCAGCCAGAATAGTCATCACTGGTTCCCGGGAGGCAGCCCCCAGCTTATTTCGGCCTGTCTCACTTACCTCCTATTCACTCCCTTCCGGACTGGCGCTTGCTCTGGATCCTCCGAGGCCGCAGAATTCGAGGACCGTCTTCAAAGGTACCCGTTTCTCGCCTACGCGTCCGTCAATTGGGGGAAGCATCTCCAAGTATCCGGCAGCGAGGTTCACTATGCACTAGCGAAAACCCTTTTAACGGATGCAGGCTGCCTAGCGACTGTCACGCAGGCTCTGTGGTACTTGGAGAGCCAGAATGCTGCCAGCTGGAGCGCGAAGGATGGTTCCGGCATACATCTTGCCACCCACTTCGGTCTCAAGAGACTCGTAGAGGCGCTGATCATAGACGGTCATGACCCAGACCGAAGAGATATCAACGGTATAACACCTCTTTCACTTGTATCTGTACGGGACGGAGTCGACATCGCTACCGTCCTGATTGAGGCCGGGGCGTCCATCAATACAATAGACAACAGTGGGCGTTCCCCGCTACATAAAGCTATTTTCTATTACCGCGACGACATTGCCAAACTACTTTTGCAGCAGGGCGATATTGATGTTAATATTTCGCACTCCCGATGGTCACACTTGACGCCTCTGGCGATCTCCGCTATCAATAGCCGCCTGGAAATTCTTCAACTGCTTCTCAACAACCCGCGCCTCGATGTGAATAGAGAGTGCAGTAGCCCTCTGGGAGCTACTGCATTAATGTCGGCTGCTCTATATGGTGAGACCGAATCTGTCAAAATGCTCCTTACCCACCCGGATGTTGAAATCGACCACCAAGATCAAGGCGGCTCGACGGCACTCGTCTATGCCGCGCAAGGCGGATTTTACAACATTGTGGAAGCGCTCCTCGATCAAGGGGCTGACACAGAGGTTGCGCAACATGGCACGTTGGGTACCGCTCTGCTACGTGCCATTGATACCGGTGCCACTTCGACGGTCCAGCTCCTGCTCCAGCGAGGTGCAAACGTACATCACAAGGATTGTTTCGATCGCGGCATGCTCCACGGGGCCGCAGTCAATGGCCGGTTCCAAATTATCCAAATCCTCCTAGCCTTCGACGAAACCCTCGACGTTAATATGCAGGACGCTCATGGCAAGACCACACTCCACGACGCTGCTTACCGTGGCGACATCCGCACCGTCGAGACCCTTCTCAAACACGGTGCCAACCCCACGATCAAGGATAGCCATGGCAGGACACCCACACGGGTTGCTCGTGAAAAGAATAACATCGCCATTATGGATGTACTGCGAGCGGCGCGGCTACAACAAAACGCAGCGCCAGGGATTACCCCTAACCCGACACCACCACCACCACCACCACCCCCCCAGCGTACCGACACCGGAACTATCCTTCGCAGCGCTTCAAGGACCGACACTAGCCAATCCCTCGGCGAACCCCTTCCACTCTGGACGCTCGGAAGCGCAAATGCTATGGAGGAGCTAAAGGAGCGTCTCTCGGATACCAAAATCCCCGAGGATATCAACAGCGTCGATCCCGAGCTAGGGCAGGCAGCTCTGCACTATGCGGCTCACCACGATAACGTGAAAATGATTGAGCTGCTTATTTTCCACGGAGCAGATATCAATCTCCGCAGTCGATACGGACGCACCCCACTGCATCTTGCTGCCATGGGGAACAACAAAGATGCCGCAAGGGCGCTGTTGGATGCGGAAGCACGGGTAGACATCGAGGATACATGGAATGCCCAGCCACTCGCCATTTCCGACTGGAGCATGGATTCTGTGGGGATACTTCTTCTTGAACGGGGGGCTCCGATATTCAGTGAGCGTATGAACATGACAGCATGGCTTGAAGCAGCCGCCAGAGAGGGCAATAAGATCGCTGTTCAACGCCTCGTGAAGGCGGGGGCTGAGACATGGCGAAAGAACTCGTCCGGCAAGACGCCGTACATGATTGCAAAATCGTACGGCCATGAGGATATCGCGAATTTCATCTTGCAGCTGAGTCAATCAAGCGTCGCGCCCTCTTCCGAATCTACTTCCGAATCTACTTCTGGCGAGGGCAGTGTCAGTACGGGTGGTAACTCAAACGACACCGATATCACTTCAGAAGCCGCATCGCCAGAGGCCGGGAATCTAGAGGAACCCGATATCCCGCGAGATGATGAGAAGGCAAACCCCCAATCGGCAGATGTTCTGGTAGAAGAGAATTCTTCTCCCGAGACGACGAGGTCGTCGAACCCTGCTGGGGAAACACCGATTGCGCTGAAAAGCACGGATGAAAACAAGACGACACGCTTATATTCTGAACGAGGATTAAATTTAATCCTAATGACGCTGGTGCTGGTTTTATCGATTATGGTGGTTAGGAATGACCGACTATAGAAAGAAACAGAACAGTACTTTAAATAAGCAATAACCTATGCAGTCTTATCTTACATTCTAAACGCCGAACAATGCCAAGTTCGAATCCAAAACGCACTTCCTACTGAGGAATCAAGACAGCCCGGTAGTACACCTCTCCGCGGTCCAACTTGTCCATTGCCTCCTTGATCTTCTCTTCGGTCATGGGGAATGTCTCGACAATAGGCTTGATCTGGTGAAGGGCGGCAAACTCCAACATCTGTCGGTGCATGGCGCGAGTCGCAACCAGGGACCCGACGACGGAAATCCCCTGGAGAATCAGGGAGAGATAAGGGATCTCGAAGGCTCCGCGGCTCGCAGTGAGCGGATAAATCGCGGCGCGGTTTGCCAGCACCGGGAGGAGCAAATCCCAGTTGGGCGGTACGGCAGCGGTAACCAGGAGTCGATTGATGGGGGTCGAAACCTGGAGCTCTTTGGCGTCCTTGGTCGCGACGAACTCGTGGGCTCCGAGGCTCATGGCCTCCTCGCGCTTGCGCTCCGATCCCGAGAAAACCACCACCCGGCATCCCATCTTCGCGGCAAACTGGATGGCCAAGTGGCCGAGACCACCGATCCCGATGATCCCGACAGTATCGCTGGGCTGGATGTCCTTCAGGGCGCCGTACACGGTGGCGCCGGCGCATTGCAACGGAGCCGCATCGATATCGCTGAGGGCGTCGGGGAGCTTGTGGAGGAAGGACTCGCGCCAGATGGCGTGAGAGGCAAAGCTGCCCTGGTCGAGATTCTTCGCCCCATACAACGCGCGGTCGGGGCAGAAATTCTCGGCTCCTTGCAGACACTCGAGACAATGGCCGCAGCTGTCCATGGCGTAACCCCAGCCGACACGGTCACCCTTCTTCAAGAATCGCGTGCTAGGGCCGACTTGTTCCACCACTCCGACACCCTCGTGGCCGAGAACGATGTCTGCGCGTCTCTAGTTTTTTTTTTTTTTTTTTTGATTTCGAATGTCAGCACATCTCCCCACCTATGCACACTTCTGTGCTGTCTGGATCACTTACGTAGTGAAGGTCTGTTCCGCAAAGACCAGATGCTGTTACCTTAAGCAGGACATAGTCCTCGGTAAGCTCATCCGGCTTTGTAGTGGTGCTCTTGACGGGGTCGCCATTCTGGTGGCCCTTGAAGACAGTAAAGGAAGGCATTGCAATGGATTGATTGTATTCTGAATTAAGAGAAGAGGACTGTCTTAAGCTGATAAAAGGTATCTGATGGTGTTGGATACTCGAGACACTGGAAAGGACGGATCGTCCGGGATTTGTAGCCACATTTTAAACATTTTTTTTTTTTCCCTGACAGTATCCCTGCATCGAGGACAATCTCCGAATGATGGATAATGCGGCAACCCAAGTTTCCATCCTGGCTCTTTTTTTTCAAGCACTGAATCTTTGGATCACCCCATGGGCCAACTATACTTCAGCCAACCAAAGAGGATGGCCGGAACCTCAGGCAACGTCATGATGGCTCCTTTGGGACTAGTGTCCGGAAACTCCTTTAGGCAAGAACTCCGGACCTCCTTTGGGAAGGTTATTATTAGTCAGCGGCCAATCGGGTTCGCAGAATTCGGTTTTTAAGAATTCGAGGTCATAATTGAAATACATAGATCGCGAGATAGATATCGCTTTCTCGACCTAGGTAGGTATTCAATTAAAGTTATATATTCATCAATCATAAACTAGCGTGGAAAAATCGGATTCCTGCAACGGTTATTATGGAGCCGCAGAATCCACCAAAATCCTTCCATGATCCACATTTAGGAGAGCTGGATATCCTGCTGCCTCAGAACCCATTGATCGAAGAAATCATTGTTCAGAGTCGACCAGTCGAGATCAGTGAATGTTTCTGCCGAGATATCAATGGAATGGCCGAGAATCCCCCCGATCTCTGCACTGGTTTCTTCCCCAGAGGGCAATGGCCACTCTATGACCGGGTGGCTGAGGTTGTCATAATTGGTCTCCTCGTATGGCAGAGATATCGGGAGTCTGTCTGCCGCGACTGGCACGGTCGGGAAAGCTCCCATGTTCTTCCTCAGATGCTCCTGGGTCAGAAGGTCGACCTTGCCGCTCAGATCACGCATGATCGCAGCCGCATTGACGGCCACCGCGAAACTATGCCCAAAGTGTTCGAACACGGTAACCGTCATGTCGATGGTACTTCGAGCGGCGGGAGTAGAGGCACACTGCGGGAATGCCAACACAAACCCAATCAGCGTCATCGCCGCGTTCCACTGCCAGTGAAATGCTTCATGCCAGCCAGAAAGGATGGAACTGGTGGAGAGTACTTGGTGCATGATATGGGTGAGAGCCACGGCATGCGCGGCACATTTTAACGCAGCCGGCTCGGTCAGGGAGGCGGGCGCCCCGGCGAGAGTGAAGCAGATAGAAGGACGGTAGAGGCTCGTGCATAGATTATGATACATCACTTCTAGAAGCAGACGTTGCCGCTGGAGCCAGACCGGCGTAAATTGTTCGATCTGCAGCGGTGATCGGTCGGTGGAAAACGGCATTCCATGATTCTGGCGGCTCGTCTTGAGAGCGTCCGGCACCCCCCTTAGCCACGACTCCATCACTTCGGCGATAGGCTGGACATCACCCAACAGAAAGGCATCCGGAGGTCTACCGTAGATGGACTTGTAAGCCCTCCGAGCCGCCAGCATCAGCTTGGTATTGTACAGGTTCCAAGACAACCAGGTGACGTTTTCTCCGATGGGGGAGAACCCAGACCCCGAGAGGCTGGCAATCTCGCGATCATCCGCCGGGAGGCTACAGTTTACCGCCGATTCCTGTAGGATAAACGGACGACCGAGTTTGATGCTTCTGTTGCTCTCCAAGACATACAATATCCACCAGATTCGCTTGCGCAGTTCTCTTTCGCGCCGCGGCACACTCTCGGGGGGCTCCAGATGGAGACCTAGCATGAATGCTGTGCGCACAGCGAGCCCACATGCATTATCGGACATGTTTTGAAACGATCCGTAGCAGAGGTATATCGAGCAAAGGATGTGACACTGGAGCGTCGACAGTGTAGGACTTTCCAATTCGCCCGACAACAACGTGAGGCAGCGTCGGTAGTGCCATCGACCCGCGATGGTAGAATCCGTATCATTCACATTGCCTCTGGAGGCCGCAGCGAGGCCTTGTCGGCCGCCTGGTAGTCGCGCCATCCCGTACTGCATGCAGACCGCGAGCACGATATCCACCAGGGCAGAGGGCTTTCGTTCCTTCTCGGATGTCTCCCACAGCGACTGGTAATGCTCCTTAAACTCGCGCTCATCCAGGATCGGATAAGCCGTATAGTAGGACTCCCAAAACAGATTGAGAAAGTATTCTTCCTGCATCGGGCTCAGAGATTCGCCTGCCCGGATAGGATCATCCGTCGGGGCCAGCGCGCGGTCGGTATGGTCCCCATCCACCGCTTCTGTAGGCCCATCGAGCAAGGTGCTCGCTGAGTTGGGTAGCATTCGGTGCGTAGAGTGCGTTTGTTTCAGAGCCGTGGTCAAAAAATTGTTGATGCTGCCGATGAAATAAAACAGCGACGACGGTCCATACCAGGTCTTATTCGGGGATCGCGCGGTGCTAATATGAATACCCTCCCAGACCTTCTTCACTCGACCCTCTTCCGGATATGACCCCCTTTCACCAGGACTCTCATCGTCCGGGAGGGTCGACGGAGTGTCGAGCCGACGCATCGACAAGCGCACCGCACGCTCATCCCGGAGCTCGAGTTCCAGCTCCTCGACGCGCTGCTTCAGCCTCTCAATCTCGCGGTAGGCCTCCGGAAGAGTAGGAGATTTCACCTGTCGGTCATTACTGCACCGTGCGCCTCTTTTCCTGCAGTTCAAACACGGGAACTCCGCATCACACTTCACGCGGTGCACCCGGCACCAATCGCAGGCTCGGGCCACTTGACTGCGCTTCTTTGGTGGCGGCCGGGAGGGCGCATGGGACGCTGACGATGCAGGGCCCGCAGAGGGCATGCTCACAATAAATGTCGGAGATGCCATCCCTGCGACCGCAGACAGATAATGGGAGGACGACAGACCGAAGGCGTGTGGCAGAGAAAAAAGGGATGAGGAAACAAATCCATGAGGCAATTCGAGATTTGACACCACTAAGTGGGGTGACTCGCATTCGGGAACGGCCTGTAGGAAATTGGAATTTACTAAGTTTTAGTTGGCCGAATACATAGCTCTGTATATGTATATGTACTATAAGAGGCTTATTTTTAACCTTGGAATTGCAATTCTGCAGGTCCCAAGTCTATTAAGGAGCCGTTTAGCCGCTGCATAACATGCCAAATACCTACTATTGAACATGAAGAATCCGATTTACGCCACAATAACTGATTGGATCGGTCTAGATGGCCTGACAGCCATCACAATTTGACAGATCCTCTCCTATTATCACCCCTAGGTTGGTGTTGAGGTGGGATTGAATACATATATCTAGGGCTAGCTTCTATACAAAATGATGCGGATCACATGTCATCTACAGAGCACATCACGCCCAGATAGATATAGATGGAATTTCAATTAAAAAACACTTCACCCTCCTAAATACGAGACTATACACCATTTTAGGAACATGAATCAAGGAGAGAAACTCGACATCCAGATGAGAAAACGTCTTTTTCTCCTTTTCCAGGGGTTTTCACGCTCGAAGATGATGCAACCAACTAAAAAAAAGAGACATAAAACTACAAATCATCACGTCAAATTCAAACCATCAAGTCAAAGATTTCCATCAGTAAACTCCTAGGCGGCTTCGGGGGCTTTTCTGGCAATCCCATCAACTCTGCCACGGCAATTTGAGCCCCCCGTACACTATACTCAACCTCAAGAGTAGTGTCCCCTGGAATATCCACAAACTGGCCAACGCAGGCAACGTTTGTAGTGCGGGGAGGTAAGACCGCCGACCGAGAATGGAACCCGCGAGTGAGGAATGGAGCGGTTGCCAGCGGCATTCCACAGGGAATCGTTTTTGCGGTGGAGATGATCGGCTGAGCGGCCATCCCCAGATGTGAAAGGACTTCGCTGAGAATCTCCTCTCCAGAGCACTCGCACATTGGTTTCTTCACGTAGTTGCCCACTCCCATCGGGTTCAGGCCGTATCCAAGCATCACCGTCACGTTTTCGGGCTGGTCCGAGAAGATCGGCTGATGGGGGATACTGATGGTGATCTCCCAGGCACTCTCCGTGAGTGACAGTAACGAGCCGGTTCCAGGCCTGTCGTGCGTGAGTTTATGGTACAGAGACGAGAATTCCGGTCCCTTGAATGTAGTGGTGAATGTTTCAACGGTCGACTGTTGGTTTCGAGACAGGAAGTTGGCCGGGTCTCCAAACTTCAGGGACTTGTTAGACAGCTTCCCCCAGAGCTTCCAATCACCCTCCATGAGATCTTCCCAGTTGGCTGTGAGACCCGGAGGCGGAGTCTGGTTGGTTCCCAGGGCTGCTCCTGCGTTGACTGAGCCAAGACTGACAAGAACAATATCCATTGGATCGACCGTGATGAGCTCCTCCTGGCCAGCTTTCAGCAGCTCAATTTCCGAAATCGTAGTCGGATCCCCCTCGGGATAGGACCGTAGATCCGTAACTCTCACGTTGAAGCGGAAATCCACGTCCTCTTGCCGGAGGTATTTCGTGAGCGGGCCAACGGCAGACTCGAAGAAGTTGTATCGGGTACGATTGACGGTTTTGACACTGTTCAGCGACTGTATATCTTCCAGATATTTGCGCAGGTGCCTCTTGAATTCCGCTGCGCTATGGCACGGTTTCAATGCAAAGCTATATTTTAACCCGTTAGCAAATTTTGAATCCATCACAGTCGAATAGAGTCAGCCAGAAAAGAAAAAAAAAAGGGAGAAACCAGCGTACGTTGTCGACCACAGCATCCAAAATGTAGTATCAAAAAAGCTCTTGTCGAACACATCCTCAATGCTCTTCGTTCCCACGGCTGTCTCACTCTCCAGCATCAAACCCACCAGCGCCATTCGATGCTTTATCCCTACTTGAATACCCCGCGGGAGAAAAGCCTCTACCCCTGTAGCTCCTAGCTTGACAGCGCGAGCCTGAGGAGCGACGACTTTGGGCTCAGCCTCGGCTCGGAGTCGAATCACATCCATGATTGACCGGTCAGGATCAGACTCGCTGGGGATCAGGGACAAAAGCCTTTCCACGCAACCGCCGTGGAAGTGAGGGTTTCCATCCATCGGGAGAAAGTATCCATCGATTGCATCCCCGTGCGTCTTCAATCCACCACCCGAGTCTGGGCTTGCATCAAGAACATGAATATTCGCCCCAGGGACCTTGGCATCCTTGATGAGATGGATGGCAGCAGTCAGGGATGCGATGCCGCTACCCACTAGCCAGGCATGGGTGTTCTTAGGGTCACGACGAGGGAAATTAGATCCTTCAACCATCTTGTGTCGATTATGATTATAAATTCCGGCAGGGGATAACTATTAAAAAAACTACATGGAACGATTTCACCTGGGGTCGATCCTCCTCCCGGATGCAGATTCTTTTTATGTTGCTTTTCTTCAACCACCTTTTTCGTTTCGCGTAGGAATCAAAGACGTCCTCGACCAATTTTGACGTCAGGATTTGCCAATCTTGACAGCTCATTTGCGTTGGATCAGACTACAAATCTCCTGATCGTGGCGAATTCACGGACCCATAGACCCTGCGAGTGGAATGATGGGGAGTGCATCATCGGGATCAAAAGCAAGCCAGAAGGACCAAAACACAGGGCATTTCAATCTGGAATCCAGTGACTCGTCCTAGAGATCAAAATGGTTCTAGAAGCGTCCCTTGAAAAAGATCAGGAGATGGCCTCATTACAATCCATAGCTGGAGGATCAATCATCACGATACGACAATATCTCAAGTCCGGTTCAAGCTCAAACCGTTCGGCGGAAACGGTTTGAGCATTCGCCAACATCCGATGCTAGCCTTGTCAATCTGTATAACTACACGGGCTATTGATTCAAGTTGCTTTAAGCACCAGGTTCGCGTGTTGAGGGCCACAAGAAGAGCCCATGTGACCGCGGAGTAAAGGCTCATGTGAAAATCACATCAATTGGAATTCGCCTTCGCCAGGACAGAATTATAATTTGACCATTGAAACACCGACGAAAGCCAGCGGGTATCAGAGTTCGCGATGCAGTCACAGCAACGTAGCTCTGAATGTCACGAGGAGTTTCGAACTAAAGTGTGGAGAGGGTTGAATGGTATGGAGAACACTGTAATAAAATTAGCATTCATTAAAGAAAAAAGCATAAAGCAATCTTTACAGTGCAGAATCTTAAATATCAAGAAGGGACATGGATAATTTATATATTCAATGATATGCAAGACAGGAAGCGTGTAATGTTGGGGCGTAGTCTATATACACAAATTAAAAGCCTTCTATCCATCAAGCGGTCGTATGGTCTAATGGTTATGACATCAGACTCTGAAATTCAGTGTCTATCTGGTAATCCCGGTTCGATCCCGGGTACGACCTTCTTTCTTCAGTCATTTTTGACTCCTCCGTCAACTAATATTTGGGAAGTTTTAAACCTGAATTATTTACTTTGGTTCTTTTTTTGTTTCTCTTATTTTCAATAAAACTTGTAAATTATTTTCGTGATGCGACCATTAAACATGGGCATCCAGTCAAGAATATGCTAGAATGCAAACTACGGACGGAGATGCAACAGCCATCGCTCATTTAGGCTGTTATTTCTCGATAGTTTGTTTTCCTATACTTTCCAATTGCTTGAACGATCGATACTACACATACAGTAGTTCAAGCAGGGCAAATTTGGGTCCTGAATTGGGTTGGCTCTCTGTGTCAAGTTCATAGATCGATAAAATACATATATACATATATGTATAAAATAATTATGCCCTTTTGTACCTTGCTAAACTGATATGAATGGTATATCCCTCCCAACATATATATTCTACACTTAGATGGTATCATCAGATGTGAAAAAAAGAAAATAGAGTAGCGCGCCAGGCACCCATGATTGGTGATTCCAAAAGGTTCTAAACAGCAAGGCATCATACTGCCTTAAAGATATAATGTGATGAAGTCATAAGAGCGTGTCAAAATAATATATATCCAAAAAAGGTTCACGATTTCGTGTATGGTGTGAACCATCCGCCGTTTTCCCAGTCCCCCGGCTGATAGGTAGCATTATTGCGTGCAGTCTCCGAGTGAAGACCGGCCAAAAGTGTATTCAATCGGGCAAAGTTGATGGGCTTCATGATCCATCCGTTAAACCCCACATCCATATACATCTGGGCATCCTTCTCCAATAGCGAGGCAGACACGATAAATATGGGAACACGGCGTATGAGGCCTCCTGTAGGGACTTGGCCTCCAGTCGACTCATTTTCGAATTGCCGAATTCTTTTTGTCGAATCAATGCCGTCCAGGATGGGCATCTAAACAGTTGTGAGTACAAAAATAGTTGCTCATAGAGAAAAAAAAAGGGGGGGAGGATTACCTGCATGTCCATCAACACGACATCCCACCTCCTAGGGTTATCCCGATAGGCTCTCGCGACCTCCTCGCCGTTAACCGTTAGGTGGACAGCGCAGCCAGTTTTCCCTAGGCGCTTTTGTAAGATTTTGGCATTGATTGGATCGTCTTCGGCGACTAGGACATTCAAGCCCTGCATCCTTGGATCAAAGTTAGGTATACAACCAGCTCCCGATAAAGGTGGAGAGCCCAAGGGCCTATCCAATGCTTGTGTTGAGGCTCGATCCCTCTCACGCTCCCGCTCAGCTACTTGGGGGATTGCGAGCGGCGAAGGGGTTTCAGATAGTTTTGAAGCAAGGCTAGAAATAACACCTTCGCGGGAGGCTACTGGCGAGCATTTGCCGGTGCGGAACTCATCAGCATCGCTAGATGTCTGTGGTTCTGCATTCTGCCTCCTCACAACCTTGGGATTAACCTCGCGTTTCTCGGTCTGCATGGATGGTGTGCCATTCTTAACACTGCCATGACTGCCCCCCTTTTGCGAAGATGATGTACTGCCGACCAGTACAATATCCTCCTTGGAAGGAAACGCAGTAGCAGAGTCTACCGTGCGAATGGCAAGATGTGAAATATTCGATTCGCTCTGCGGTGAATATTTAGGAACAGAGAACTGGAGGGAAATCTGGAAACGGCTTCCTTTCCCCTCCTCTGATCTCACACTTAGCTGTCCGTGCATGTTCCGAACAATCCGTGCTACGAGAGCCAGGCCCAGTCCCAGAACATTCTTCTCTCTACTATCTGAGGCAGCATCCGAAGAGTCCGGACCGCTGCCATCGAAGTAATAACTATCGTCATCCGCCGATATTTGCTCTAGCTCCTGAAATAGAGCCTCCAGCTTATCAGAAGGAATTCCGGGGCCGGTGTCTAGTACTGCTATATTTACCGTCGCCTTTTCAGTTTCAACTTCATCCCGAGAACTCCAGATTTCCACAGTAACACCACCGACAGACGTATGCTGAATGGCGTTTGAAATTATGTTTGTCATTGCCTGTCTCACACGCCGTTGATCGCCGATCACGGTCTCTGGTACTCCCGGATGGGACAGCACCGTATAGTTTAGCTTCTTGCGAGCCGCCTCGCTATTGAACATGTCTGTCGCTTGCGTAAAGGTTGTGCGCAAATCGAATGATTCATCTTTAATCAAGTCCTGTCCCTGTTCGACGTTTGTCAAATCCAAGAGATCATTGATGACGTATATCAGCGATTTGGAGGCGGAATATGACTTGGTTAGATGGTCACGAGTCTCAGTATCCAGCGCGCCTTCCAGAGCGATTTCCAAGTAATTAACGATAGCATTTAAAGGAGTTCGGACTTCATGGGCCGAATTTGCTAGCAGCAATCGCGTCAAGTTGGAGCTTTCTAATACCGCTTCTTGTTGCCGCCAAACCTTGATGAACTTTCCATACACCAAGCATAGGACTGCAGCAGTGTCCACTTCAGACTCTGTCCACTCCCTTGATTGATCAAGAACTGTCTCGCTCCACGTCTGAAAGCTCTTTCTGGGCTCCAGATGCCCGTCGGTAAATTTTTTTCCGTAAGGATTCCCACCCCATTTGACTTCGGTCAACTGGCCCTTACGGAAGAAAACGATGAAATCTATGCCGTGCGTAGACAAAGGAACATAGAGCATGCCCGAGATATCTTTGAACCCCGGGGGATAATGGAGGTCTCTGAAATCTTTCACAATATGGCTCGAACTCACAACTGAGTTGAATCGTCGCACCTTCAAGAATTCCACTAAGGCGAGCATTTCTTGTGAATGGGCAGATTTTGCCAGAATTTTGGTCTCTTCACGTATACACAAGGCGCCATAATCGGCATCAAATAACCGAAGCAGGTCATCTGAGGAAGCAACAATATAACCCGATGGATTAGCACCAGTTGGGACTGTGTTTATAAGTTTGCGGGCTTGGAGTCGCGAAGCATAGGAGAGACGCTCAATATTTCGAGACACGGTGTCGCCGATCAAGCGACACATTTTCCGGATCGCAAAGGATACCCTCATTCCGCAACTTCCATATGAGTGGAGGGAAATGAGGCCCCATAGATCACTGGGGCCGTTGATACTGATTGACATAGAAGAACGAACAGCCATGTTGGCTAGATATTTGATATGGATAGGGGACATAGCGCGAAGATAGGCATGTGTCATGTCGAGCGGCGTTTCCAGATCCTTCAAAGTGCGACAGACTAGACGAGCCGTCACCTGGTCACGGTCATACAGGAGGCGCACTTTATTAATGCGATACAGTTCACGAGCCTGTTTGGGGATATCGGCTGCAGGAAAATGCAGGCCTTTATAAAGGTCGATACTCATAGTAGGATCCACCAGCTCCGCAATAACCTTTCCATTGAATTCCGAGTCGAACTGATACACAAGGACCCGATGAAATCCAGTGAGCTCCTTGACAATTCCAACTGTAATGTCCATGAGGGTTTCCATGTTCTCTGCACGGGACAGTTGCTCCTGTATTTGGCTAACGATGCTAAAAACTTCCATGGCGGCTGCTTCGCCTTTGCGCCTACGCGCACGGCGCAAAATTCGCAGAGGCTGACTGGTATTCACGGTGCTACCGGCGAGTTGCTCGGGGGTTGGGTGCACCCCCATGGTATCGGCGGGGCCAGTTGGCGACGCCCGACCTGAAGTGCTGAAAGGGTTGCTTTGATCATCCTCCAGTTCAAACTCACAGACAATTAACCCATCGATTGAGGGGCTGACGTGGATCGCGCACCAGACGCGAACGGTATGACCGACGGGCTGATTGATGGTGAGGATGAAAACTTCTGGCCCATCGACAGACGGGTCATACCCTTCATCCCGGACAAAATCAACATGGTCAAGAAAGAGATCGGCCTGGTCTTCTGGCAGAACCTCGCAAAAAGTCTCCAAGGCAAATAAACTACTAGGCGAGTAGCCTAGGATATCTTCGGAGTTCTCACTCGCAATACGAACGGATAGCTTTTCGTCTGCCTCCTCGCGCAGGGCAACAAGTGCTCCAAAACTTTGGATCGCGCCGGGGATATGAATTGGCTCATCTTCACATGCCTTGAACGAGTCGACGGTTCTCCCGGTTACGACGGCGTGACCGTCAGATGTGACTATATGGCGGAATCTGGTGGTCACCAACCGTGGCTGGTGATCATCATCCGACGATGGTATATATCTCGGCCTGAGAGCTTCAGTGGCGTCTGCATTGTTCGATTCCGGGTTCGAAGAAATTTCCGACACCAGTTGGGATGTTGGGCAGGAGTCGTCGGGTGTTTGTCTGATTTCGCCACTTAACGACACAGAGTCTGTATTTGTGTCCGATTGCGACTGGATCTGGTTCCACGTTTCAGAATCGATGATGGAATATTGACGGGCCGTTCCAGCGGGAGAAAGGGGATTGGTCTGGGATTGGGATTGAGAATCGCTGGGCGGGCTGGGATCAAAAGAGACCAACGACCTAACCGGGAAGACTCTATCAGTGACACCAGGGCCCAGATCCTGGGTAGACACAAGAATTTGCTCTTCTGTGGCCCCTGGTTGTGCATGAGAAGCGGAGGGATATTCTGGGCCATGAGCTTCATCCCTAGGCTGACTTGCGACAGGAGAATTAGCGCCGGATGACATCTTCTAAAGAGGAGCGCAGAGAACAGCGCAAAACACAAGACAGGATGACGATAACCCGTACATCTGAGGGGGGAAAGATGTTGCCAAACAAGCGCTAGGTGCTTTGCGCAAGTGAATGCATGTCAATCTCGGGGGGTTCGGATACAGGAAGCGAAGACAAGGATAACCCACAAAAGGAAAAAAAAGAGAGAGAGAGAGAAAGATCTGGAGAGGGGTGAATTGGACCAAGGATCAACGCGGGGCACGTGGCGGGACAGAAAGCCGTCGTCGTGACTTTTACTTTGTATGATGGCTGAATGTCGATCGGAATAGACACCAAGTGAGGGTTCGGGAACGCTAAGTTGGAAAGGGAAGGAAGTGGCTCGCACTAGGACTCGGAAACCCAACCGAGAGTATTCAGGTAGTGAATTTGGAAGAGGAGGACGGAGGGGATGATGATGAGGATGATGATGAGGATGATGATGAGGATGATGGAGGGAAGAGGGAGAAGAAGGGACCTGTCTGTCCATCTGCCCAGTTTTTCCAGTTTTCCCAGTTTTCCCAGTTTCCGGTTTTCAGTTTCCAGTTTCCAGTTTCCAGTTCCCAGTTCCCAGTTTTCCCTAGCAGGTTCCCGTTTGGGGTCAAATTGGTACTATCCCCACTTAGGAAATAGATGCTAGATCGCGGCAATCCACAAATCTACCGTACTGTAACCCCTGAGTCACAAAGGATCTCTCTCTACAACACATTCTGGATAGTGAATCCAATATTCCCCTGTTGAGCACCCTGACCGGATAAACCTATAAATCCGAAATTTGGTAGCAGTCACGGGATTGCCCAGGCGGATTCGGATTCCGCCAATTAGATGCCAACTCCACAGGAGCCAAGAGGCCTGATTATCATGACGTCATAACTTATATATATATACTGTATAATGTATGGGATATAGGGTAGTCTAGAATATCCATTCCTACAAGAGGGAATCATGGACTGGAATTCTAGAGTTGAATTAGTATTCTTATACGGTACTATATCCCACTTGATTAACATATACTAAGGTTTGGCACTGATGTATTACCTCCGTAGGGAAATACGAGAAGCGTACCTTTCTAGAATGGCCACGCCGGTACTGGTGGACAGATGTCTTCTATGGATATCTACCGGATATTGCTGTCATTCCTCACTATCTACAGTGATATTATTGTGGATGGTTGCCTCCCCCGCTCGAGAGTCAGCACTACCTACCCATAAAAGAAACGCGGTTAAAGAGGGAAGTAATTGTGTAATTTGATAATCTAGATGGGCTCCCTAACCCTAATATCGCCCTCAACTGGGCCGAGACTAGCCGTCCCAGACATTACCCCGTTGGCCCGAATATAAGCGAGCTTTCTTCTACAGAGCAGAGAGTACCTCACAATGACGCTGGGGCTGGGGAATGTTATTTATCTGGGGTGCAGGACTGGGGAAATTTCATTCGTATTCAAAGTGATTTTTATTCGAAATGTTTGCAGATTATCTAACCCAAACTGTTGTGCCGGCATCTCTGTCTATGAGACTGTTGGCTGGATTCCTGCTTCTTGTATGTCCCTTTTAAACAAGCAAGCAATGATAGACGTAGGTCATTCCCGGAGAATTTACTTACTGATTATGATTATATATTCGCATATAGATATCGATATGGGTTATCTACTACAGACTGCTCCATCCCCTCTCAAAAGTGCCTGGCCCCTTCCTCGCCTCGGTTTCTCCCTTCGTTCAGCTCTATCATGGACTCCAAGGAGACCGTCACTTGTGGATTCATGACCTGCATCAGCGATACGGTCCAAACGTTCGCCTGGCGCCGAATTTTGTATCCTTTAACTCAGTAGAAGGGCTGCACAAAATTTATGGGCATGGAAATCGGTTTAGAAAGGCTGACTTCTATAATGGATTTACCGCGATTAAGGGGGTCTATAACACACATAATTCCATTGACAAGTTCGTTCACGGACGAAAAAGACGTGTACTCAGCCAGGCCTTCTCCGATAATGCGCTGAAAGGTATGGAAGATGTCATGCTGCTCCATGTGCGGCAGCTTTGCTCTATCCTTGGCAATAATCAGCCCGAGAAGGGTCACATCGCGGGAGAGAAAACGTTCAATATGGCGAATTGGTTTGGGTATTTGACATACGATGTGATGGGGGAACTTTGCTTTGGTAAGAGCTACGATATGTTGATTGATGGTGCCAAACGACGGATGATTCACCTAGTGGACAGGGCGGCGTACAGACACTATGTGGTAAGTAACCTTTGTTCCATGGCACAGATGGATACATCGGGATAACGGTATTCTATGCAGTGTGGACTTTGGATGCCCCTGGATCGCTGGAACCTCGACAAGTTCTTCATTCGACGTCTGACGAAGGACCGGTGGAACTTCATTATGGAGTCTCGTCAGGAAGCCAACCAACGTGCCAAAGAGCGGACATCGTTGGGTTTAGATGCGAAGAAGGATTTTTTCTATTATCTCCTCAATGCTCGAGACCCTGAAACCGGCAAAGGGCTTGCAACCCAGGAACTCTGGGGGGAAGCTAATGTGCTCATGATTGCGGGCAGTGATACAACCTCGACTAGTTTGGCAGCGTGCATGTTCTATCTGGTCCGCCACCCACATGCAATGGAAAAGCTGAAGAATGAAGTCCGTGCTCATTTTGAGGACGTGGAAGAGATTGTCTCTGGAGCTCGCCTGAACCAACTCACGTATCTCAAGGCATGCATTGACGAGGCGATGCGACTTGCACCTGCTGTACCTGGGTCTATTCCTCGGGAGGCGGCCGAGGAGATGGTTACTGTCGAGGGGGTGAATTTACCAGAAGGCACTGGGTGCGGTACTCCAGCATATTCTATTCATCGGAGGCCAGAATACTATCGACAACCATTAAGCTACATTCCCGAACGCTGGCTTGAAGGTTCTGAATGCAAGACAGCTACGGAATTCTGGACTGTGTCGAGGGAAGATGTTGAACTTGCTCGCAAGGCGTATTGCCCGTTCAGCATCGGTCCTCGAGGATGTATCGGAAAGGGTATGGCATTGATGGAACTTCGACTAACCCTCGCTAGAGTTCTTTTCTCGTTCGATATTGAAGTTGCTGACTCGACTGGCGAGGATGAAAATGGCCATTACAAGTTGGTTGATCACTTTGTTGTGTCGAAGAACGGCCCGAATGTTACTGTACGCAATCGACAGTTTTAACATTAATAGCTTACGGAAATGAATTCATTGCTCTTCAAGAGGTGTGAGCCTGGGATGAGTTGTGACTGGCTGGAGTATTGTCTTCAAAGATGATTCTCTGAGTAGGATGCAGCGAACACTGCTGAAAATAGAGGGCAAAAAGCAATGTACAAAATCTGCAAGTAAACCTCATGAACAATTAGCTAGTATCGAGACTGGAGTGCGTAGGGGTTAAAACCCTCTGGTATCAATGCAGGGAACCTTAACATCTATTCCTTTGCTTTCAAAGACCGATGGATTGATGATAAGGAACGAGCTACCTTAGAGGTTTATAAATCTTGGTTCTGCTCCGCCTCTTCTTCCTCTTCTTCCTCTTCCTCGTCTTCCTCCTCCCCCTCCTCATCATATTCGTTTTCGGATTCATCCTCCTGTGTATCAATATCATGCTCGAATTTGGCCATATCCTCTTCATCTATTTCCACCTCATCACTGTTTATAGGCTCATCTAGTTCCACATCCGTCGTTGCCGAATCCATATCAAAGAAATCATGGCGCAAAAGCCGGTTCTGAGGAGCTAGATCCGAAGCCTCGAACAACAAATCAAAGGTATCACAGCAAGCTCGTGTTGTCGAGCCATTGTCATCAAATTGGAGAATTGAGTACTCGCACTCTGCATCGGCAGCTTTGAACTTAGGGCATTGCAGGGCGATTAGCGTCGAGAGGCACGGCAAGTGGGCGGTATCAAAGGTTGGTAAATGAGCTGAACCATCACCTGCAATGCAAAGTGTAATGGCCGAGCAACTCGACGGATGAAGAGGAAAGATTTCATCGAATACATGTGATGGAGGACACTGCACGGCTGATGATATATGCACAGCCGCGAGCATGAATAGGCTCACTCGGTAAATGGCCATGTTGAGAATCAAAGTGGAATGAAATCAATGGAGTAAGAGCGTAAACAAGCCCTCAGCTTTACCTGATATATAGGTGCATGAACAAAGCCCAAACTGGAAGATACAGCAGGTTACCCTCGTTTGAGCCCTCGAATGTAAAGCACATTCAAGGCGAGAAAGTGTGGTATGTTATTTCTAAATCTCTCTTCAGACGTCAGACGTCACCAGTAGAGTCTTGGGCAAAAGGCTCAATTGGTACTGCTACGGAGCCAGCGGAGTTAACTCAGCTCTGGATCCTCTAATCCTGGTCATTTTAGATCATATTGAGCATCCTTTATGTTAGATGTTTTGTGGCTGGCGTGGTTCCCTACCTATTCTACAAAGCTGCAAGTAAACCCCGCATCGGTGTAACATGCGCATGTTTGCCATAGCTGGGGAATCTGTCAGCTGGATAGGTATGCACTGGGTGTCAGATATTCTGCAGGATTCTTTCGTGATCACAGAGATGCATATATTTCGAAATACACTGTCTGGGCGGTAGGGAATAGGCCGGGGATAACAGCTGAGGCGCCAGCATGAACCATCACGGCTGACTGAACGCAACAAGGATATCTCTCATGTAAGGTAATTTTTACCGACAGGAAACCTGGTTGCTTGATATAGGTGAATAGCAATGGTGTGGTTTACAGAGGCATTGGATTCAAATAAATTTCCAATGGAGACCGGAGAAAAAAAGGGGCAAAACTGGAGAAGTGAAGAGCAACGGGAAAAACATATCAAGACCAAACTATATTCTTTTTCTTAGTCTCTATTATCAAGCAGAGTCTATCGTTCAATATGAGCTTCTCCCAAATTGCCGTGGTTGATCAAGAGTGCTATCAACTGCTTTCTGATGGAACCGTCAAACAGCTCGTCCACGAATCGAATACCGAGTCCTGGAAAGTCATTGACAAGAACCCTGACAATGCTCAGATTGCTGGCAATGTACCAGTCGGCCTCCGTCTGAAGAATGGCGACGTATATAGATTTGTGCGCACCTGGAACCGCATTGGTAGTAACGCTACCATGCTCTGGGGCTGGAAGGGCAGTTTCTGGCAATGGCAAAAGGGGTCCGGGAAGCTCTGGTATGAGGGTTATGATACTCACGGCAAATGGGAGGTTCGCGACACAAATCCCCTTACTAAAGACCTTGTGTCCGTCCAGGGTGCTATCTACCAGCTGTCAGAGGATGGCAAGATTACTCACTATCAGAGCCCTGGCAGCTGGAATGTGATTGACAGCGACGGAACCAACACTGCAATTGTCACCGACAACAAAACACTCTTCAAAATGCAAAAAAACGGTCTCATCTACCGGTTGGATGGGCAGAAATGGGAGCGGATTGGGGCGGATCTGCGTACTGTGGAGATCGCAGCTGGAGATGCCGGCCTATTCCAGCGGCAGAAAGATGGGAGATTATACAAATACGTTGGACAAACGTCATGGCAGCTCAGTGATCCGCATCCTGACAATACTCATCTTGCTATTGCTAGTTCTGCGTATCGAGTCAACAGCAAAGGCGAGATCTATATCCTTCGCAATAACGGAATCTGGGAATTACTCAAGGATACTCCTAACAACACGTCGCCAAAGGAAAGCCCAGTCGGAGTTCAGCCGGAACAAGTTTATGATGGGGGCTACCCTAATTCTTCCCAGGTTCTCCTACGGATCGGAAACGGAGCTGCTGGCCAAAGCGGGCTTATTCAAGGTAAGCCGGCCTACAATATCGGATTTAACCAGTAAATAGTTTCTAATCACTGCAATAGACCTGGGAGAAGCATTCATTAAGTACCGCGTTGCACATGGCTTCCCTCCCTTCAAGGTTGCCTGGTATAAGAGTGACACGACAGAGTCGATCAGGTACCTCAAGGATGGTATTGTCGACGTCGCGATCACCTATACGCCTGCCGCTGAAGATATCGCAATCAAACAGGGCATTGCGCAGTCGCCTAGCCATTACCTATTTCGAGAGCATTTGATGGTCGTAGGACCTAAATCGAACCCAGCCAAGCTGAATCCAACCTCGGATATTATAGACGTAATGACAGCCCTGTATACAGCTGCTGAAGCTGGGAATACAACCCCCCCTGTCCGGTTCCTCAGCCGTTATGATAAGTCAGCTACCAATATAAAGGATTCGGAACTCTGGATTAAGATTGGCCAGGTGCCATGGGCAAGCAAATACTCGACATGGTACCACCAATATGTGGCGTATCCCACCCAAGCGCTGGCTGCAGCAGCTGCATTGCAGGAATACACATTAACGGACTGGGGTACCTATCTATCCGTGGATAAGAGCGTGCAGCAGCAACTGATAATCTACAAACGCGGTAGCGACAATGCGGGAGATCTGCTACTTATGCCTGCGCATCTTCTTGTCGGGACCAAGGCTCAAGACCTTGCTTTGGCGAAGGAATTCGCTTCGTGGGCGACTAGCCAGGAAGGCCAGACTGTGATCAAGGAATTCCGCAAGGCCAGTGAATTAGTCTATTCTCCCGCGCCTTGATTTTTTTCATGTGTAAATAGCAATTAGCTATATAGCTTGAGAATGCCGTACTTTGATGCGATATGGTTCCTGTTTTATCAAGGTTTCTCTGCAATATTGTTCATTTTTATGTTAAGTACACATTTTATTCTGTTACAGACGTTCCAGACCCTCCGTATTACATATATACAAATTTGAAAAAAAAAGTTCAAGATATTTGTCGAGCGGTGGTGCACGTACCCTGACGAGGGCCAGTGGAAACAGTCACGATTTCACTCAATTTTCTACTTAATCTTTAAAATCAAGTCATTGTCACTCTTAGCAAATGTAGCAGCCCTGGTGCTCTTCATGGAGCAACGGGAGGCCATCCCTGTACTCCGAGCATGTTCTCTGATGGCCAGGACGCAGCTAGGGTTCCTCAAACACATTTGGACACAGACGTCCATTTGTTGCTGATTGGAAGAAATCCGTAAAGCACCGCTCGGGTTTCCTCCACCAGTGCATCCTACATATGATGCATAGTAATGCCCTCCTGGATATGGACCATGCACGGTTCCAGCACCACAACCAGGAATAATCGGAGCCTTGGGCTTCTCCGTTTTGGGGGGTTTCGGGCACTTGGGACATTTGGGGCATGTTTTGCGACATCTCTGACACTCCTTCCTCTTTGCATCATTAATTTTGCGATTGCACTCGGTGTCTTTATCCTGCTGGCACTGCTTGATCTTGCGATTACATTCGGTGTCTTTATCCTGCTGGCACTGCTTGATCATGCGATTGCATTCGGTATCCTTGTCCTGCTGGCACTGCTTGATCTTGCGATTGCATTCCGTATCCTTGTCCTGCTGGCACTGCTTGATCTTGCGATTGCATTCGGTATCTTTGTCCTTCTGGCATTGCTTGACTGCATCTGTAATCTTTTTGTTGCATTCATTCTCGTCTTCATGGAGTGGGATTAAAGCCATTGTCTTTGTACCGGCGACTGCTGGATTTGAAGTGACATAAAGGGTACATATTCCTCCAACTGTGTCCATCCAATATGCTGTCACACAGTTGGGATCGAGGTTGCAGGCTTGGGCGCAACTGAGCGGATTCGGTTGCCTCGTTGCCGCAAACTTGATCTCCTTATCGCACACTACCTGGTATTGTTTTTTACCAAAGGTCACAGGTGAATTACCAACCCCAGGGCAACAATCACTATACGCTGCAGCGCCAGTTTGGCCGCCAGAAGCGCATTTTGCCTGGGCCTGTTGGGCGATAACAATACCTGGAAAGGAGATCCCCAGGAGAAGTCGTTGTGCAAGTAAAAGCATATTGCGCTATCAGTCCGATATGAAAAAACCAATATCAGTCAGACAGAGAGTGTGTCTTTATCCGAAAATAAGTAGAATGTGGTTGTGAAATAGGCTTTAACAGTGACCGGTGCTCGCCAAAGGTTAATGCATTCATCCTTTTATGAACTGATCGGAGTAGACAAAGTCAGCATTAAACCAATGGCCTCAAAATTCCCGCGACAAACAGTTGATGCAGTTGGTGTACTGGCATTCACCTGCAGACTCCTCCATGCGCCACACCAGCCGATGGCTGGCTGAGGAGACAGGGGTCTCAGCCCTGGATTCTTTATCCCCTCTGGAGTGAACCGATCACCAGACCATAGGGTAAGGATCCCAGGAAACACTGTCTTCTGGTTCAAGGCACCAGTCGATGCTTGCTGAGGACTCTGTTCAGCTCGCCTCGTATGCTCAAGTGTCGTAAGGACCCATCTAGATTGAACAGGGGGTTAATCCTGGGTTACCTTCAGCTGCAGCAATCAACACCCATCCGAAGATATTATGAAGGAAAGAGAGGAGCCTTGGACGTCACCAGTCATTCCTGACGCGATGAGTTTTGGGTGCTGCTATATAACCCTTTATTGTGATTGATAAAAATACAAGTGTAAACTCGGGGCTTTGGAATCGCCCACCTCAGCCGGCGTTGCGCGAGTTTTCATTTTCAAGATGCTTCTATTCTCTCTTGTTGCCGTATTGTTCCTTGCTGCTGCTTCTGCTGCTGGTGAGAGGACCATAAATCCAGAAGAGCAGCAACCACTACTACAAAACCCTCCTTCCATACGCTCTTTCACCCAAGCTCACAACATCTCTCTCGATGAGATTGTACTCTCGCGGGACTCTGCAGGTCAAGGAAAATGTTGCCCGATAGGCACTGTTTTCAATGGCAATACATGCGTATTCCGATCGTCATCAGTGTGTCCTCTCCATACTCATCTCGACGGCGGGGCTTGTGTTAGCGACAAGGATCCGGACTGTGGGCCTGGTGGCCTTTTCACAGGCGGCTCGTGTGTGTCTGCTGTGAGCCCTTCTTGTTCATTAGGAGGTACATTCGACGGAACAGAGTGCAAAACCAAGCGGTTACCAAATTGCGAAAATGGATTTGGTTTCAATGGGGTAGCTTGTGTCTATCTTGGTACACGGAATTGCCCTAAGAACTCAACAGCACAGGGCCCGCAGTGTGTATTAGATAAAGGGCCAGGATGTCCGGGTAATGATAAGTTCGAAAGTGGATCATGCACGCATTCTGAACCCCCAGAGTGCCCTAAAGGGATGAAGCTGGAGGGAGGGCTTTGTACTGCAAAGCAAACGCCGCAGTGCCCCGGAGGGTTCGAGTTCCAGGACAAAAAATGCACGCATTCAGAGAAGCCGACATGTCTCAATGGATCGCTAAAGGGTAAGGTATGCGTTACAAATGAAGGACCCAAATGCAAAACTGGGAAATTTAATGGCAACGTTTGCCAGGCGGCAGATCCCATCTGCGTGGGGGGAGCCATGTTGCAGAATGGTATGTGCACTGCTCCCCCAATGTGTTCCGAGACCTCTCCACTCTCAACAGACCCAAAGACCGGTGAGGTAAGATGTTGTCCGTCTGGAACAAGTTTGAAAAGCCTACGGTGCACGTCCTCAGCAGACACTACGGGAGTGACCCCTGAGAAACCTATCTGCCTGGCTGGGTTCTCATTCGACGGGAAACACTGTGCGTTCAATCAACCTCCATTCTGTGACCAAAACTCTGTATTTTCCGGTGGAATTTGCGTAAATAATGAGACGCCATCTTGTGCGACAGGAACATTTGATGGATCCAATTGCGTCGTTCCAAATCGCCCGGTGTGTCCAGCTCAGTCTACTCCATCCGGTGAACTCTGCATATCGACAGTGACTCCTAGCTGCCCAGAGCAGATGGCACTGAGGGGAGACTACTGTATTTCAACAGAACAACCGAAATGCCCAGGATCATCGATATTCTCTGGTTCCCTCTGCATTACTTCGGGAACACCCAGCTGTCCCCAAGGGTCCACACTTGTGGGGGATAAATGCACCCTTTCGACGCCCCCTTCGTGTCCGGCCAATTCAGTGCCGGATCAGGATGCCTGCATCTCCCTAATCTTACCTAGCTGTGATCCGCCATTCATATTCTCTGGTGATGAATGTTTTGCAACAGAGGCACCAATTTGTACGGACCCTCAGGCTGTGTTTGATGGAAGTGGTTGTATCCTGACCACCCTCCCCAAATGCCCTGATGAAACCAGCTTCGACGGGTCACGCTGCGTCTCAATCCAAGGACCACAATGCACCAATGATCTTATATTTGATTCGAAGACGTGTGCATCCACAGAACCACCACAGTGCTCAGCTGGGACGGTGTTGGCTGGGGAAAAGTGCAAGTCGGCAACCGGTCCAACTTGTGCAGCACCTTCGCAGTTTGACGGAACCTCTTGTGTGATGCCCGATAAGCCCGTCTGCCCGGAAGGGAGTATCCTATATAAGGATGACGTTTGTGTGACTATCATCGCGCCTTCATGCCCGAAGGGGGCTATCTTTAAAGACAAGAAGTGTATCTCGACGCAAGCTCCGACTTGCGCCTCTCCTCTCATCGTCGAGGGGAACGCTTGCGTGTCCGCGGAAAAGCCCAAGTGTCCTGATGGAACATCCTTTGATGGGAAGAAATGTAGTATCACACCACTTTCTGGGTGCTATGACATGCATTACTGTCCACCGCGATAGGGAGCTGGTATTCCGAGTCTATATCTAGGAAATTGCAAGCTATCGTCGTCTTTCTCAGTAGTTACGCTTCCTATGAATATACAAGCACATATACCTACTATTATCTCCGTAAGTAGCTTTCTACCGTAACTGAAAAAAAGCTTAGTAAAGAAGAATTTTGATCGCTATTTTCCGCGGCCTTTTGTACTGTAACACTAGAAGAGCGTAAACCCCTATTAAACCACCATGTCCATCACCTCGTGAATCGTCGTTTCCCTTTTATTGTCCGAGTTAATCTCGCTGAGGGCTTGTGGCAATTAAGAGCACAGTGTCGAAACATAACTCGGGGCTGAAACTGGGGCATTTTATCCAGAACCTTGCGGACAAAGGGATGGGACTTATTCGGAGCGAAACGGTTGGTATCCATCCCACAAGTATAGTATGGGGTCCCTGGAGCCGCAAGTCCCCTAGGAGACAACATATCAAGTGACTCTCCAGCATCGTTAACCCTAGGTCCTAACCATATATCCTCTGGGCGTACGACACCTTCCCAACGGTTCCGCCAGGCGCGATACCAGCAATTAAGTACCCATAGCGTTTCCATTTCCTTACACCATTGCTGGAGCCTATCTTGGAATGGCTCTTGCTCATTGAAAAATGACAACGGTTCCGGATCCATAGGGGAGATTGAAGCCCAGAGGTCACGAAACCTAGCAATGCTCTTGGTATCGGCCACATCAATTAATTGGACAGGCTCATCTCCTAGCGTTCCAAAAAGACCGGACTTTCTAGCTGTTTCGTCGTCGATATGGATAATGACCATTTTAATCCAGACAAAGTAGTGGTCTCTTAAAGCAAGCACATCATAATCCTTATTTCTCCCGTAGGCAGAACTAGTGGCCCGATGGAAGGCGTGGATCCGATAGGCTGGAATACCCGCCCCTTGACCATGATCCGCATAATGAAAAAGCTCCGGTGTTAAGTCAAAATCCTCAGAGCCGCCAACGTCGATATTATCCCCGGGCACCCAATGAAGAGCAGCGATGTCCTGGGCTGGACTGAACCAGCGCGGCCAGCCACGGCGATTATCTATCACCCCGACCTCATATGCGATGGAGCGTGATTCATGACAGATCCGGGTTAATACAGGAGGTTTCCAGTTCTGACACGTCGTCCATCCCAGGTCACAAACCGTGGATATTGGAACAGCCCAACCCTCTGGTGCATCATACTCAAAGATTCGCGCGGGAAGACATTCCATCCAAATCATCCGACGTAGTTCTGCAGGAAGTCTGGCAAATAATGGAAATACATCGCGGGGCATTGTAGCGGCTTCCGTAGAAATAGGAACGTGATTTTACATTCTGAAGGGTCAATCATGGTCTATCTGTCTTTTTCATCTCATGATGAAGTCTTGATGTCTACCACTTGGACTAGTTACGCACGTTACCTCCTGACTCAGCAGCTCGTGATCCAGCGGGGGCTTACGTAACCACCCCGCATTTCTTGGCGCAAAATGCAGGGTTTAAAGCATGATTTGTAGTTGTTACTGTTCCCAGCTGTCCAGAACAGGAGTTCTGCTCCCCGCCGGCCAATCTCTCTGGTCCTCTGAAATTAAAATTGCCTTTATCATGCAACCTGGCTTTGTCGCTCGTCGGACCCAATTTTCGAGCTGTGACGAATGTCGACGATTGCGAGTGCGGTGCGACAACCCCAAGCAGGGGGCTGGAAATGGCCCGGGTGACATCTCCGACTCCTGCGCCCGATGTCTGAAACGGCATAGGAAATGCACATTCGAGGTATTGCTTCAATGGAATAATGATTACCTTCTTCAGTGCCGTCTTCCTGACTGAGTACCTGGTGATCTCTAGTGGATGAACGATGTTAACCGGCAGGCGCCGAAGAGGAGGCATCGTCCGCGCCACCAGTCCGTATCATCCACAGCGAGTAATATCACATCCCCGTCGCGGGAACCGGAGTCTCCGAATACGCCAGGGCTTGTTAATGGCGCATTGTGGCATACAGCGTGCGAGACTGCAACGAACGTGCGGGCATCGGTCGCGACCACTGACCGTGCAGAATTTATAGGGTCACCGTTGGACACACTACGCCCTTTTGACTTCTATCTACTTCAGGCCATTTACTCGACGGGATTCGATGCCATCTTTGGCTCTTGGATGGGCCGGTACGGTTGTCCTTTTCTGTATGTACTCAGCTGCAGCTAGATTTCCCTTATGCCCAAACCCTGACTGCTAGTAGCTCTGAAAGTACAACTGGCGAAGATCACAACAGTATAACAGATGTTTGTAACCGCCTGGACCGGTGGATGATGGAAATGCCCCATCAGGATCTCCCAGTTCCGCTAAATGGGGTTATCCGCGAACACAGCCTAGAGGACCGCCTGGCCGACGAATCTCTGCGCAGCACTATCGCATCATTTTCGGCTAGGTGGCTTCCACTTGCGTCACAAACGCCAGATGCAGCTCCGTGCTATCAGGGGGTTGTACATGCGCTTTGGCGGCATGCGCGACGAGATATGCTCCGGGTCATCAACCGTCCGTCGTACCGCTCGATGCTCGCACTTTTCTTGTTCGCCTTGACGCCAGTTCCAACAGGAATCTCAGAGGAAGAGGAGGCCGATGGTATCTCTGGCCAGGTATGTATCCATGCCGCCCTCCAACAAATCCAAACCCTTCGAGCCCGACAACGTAGTTTGCAATTCAACGGCACCAAAGTATCGCAACCCACAAAGTCTCATACGATTCCAGCCATTCCCGAAACGGTTGGGGCGAGCGACTTTATTACTGCCGAGAACATTGCGTATTGGGCAGCGCTGACATTTGACACGTCCGCGTCCCTCACCCTCGACTGTCGATCGCTTCTTTCCTCTGGGCTCTTCGGTTTTGAAGCGGAACTCCCGTGGCGCCTGGTTAGGACTGGAGCTACAATGTTCCAAACTAAAATGGAGAACTGGCATGCGCATAGTGTCTATGATATGACAGATGAGCATGCAGACGAAATTATAGCTACCGGAACGGCCTGGAAGCTCTTGGCCTGGAAATTGACTGCAGTTTTCAAAGAAGCCCTGAGAGATGGCCACGATGAATCCGAAGTCTTACGCGCCTTTTCACTTGTCACTGAAGCTATTCAACAATTTCATGAAACCTATCGCCCTTCCCTCGAAGCTTGTCAGCGGCGTATGCCATTTTTGAGCCAACAAACCAAGTTTCGTTGGTGTTCGTCGTCCTATTTCTCTCTCAATCCCTGCTGCGTGTCTGGCTGGCTAATATCATCCAGATTCACTCATGTTACACTATTACCTTAGTATACTGTTACTGGCCAACGTAATTGAGGCAAGCGACCGTCTGGACTTGCTTGCCGACCTAGAGGAAGCCAACGCTGATGCAGAGAGTGTGGTTGTCAACACCCTTATGTTTGGTCTGCATAACACCATCACCTTGAGCGTGAAGATGGAATCGGACCCCTTTGGTTCTGTCGGCGCTGCAGAGACGTCCGTTACTGTTCTGCTGGTCTCTATTGATCCCTACCCGCACCATATTGTTGCTGGTGTGCAGTTGGTGCAAAAAGCTATTGATCGGGACCGGGCACTTGGCAAGATAAGCCACGGGGCCCATGCGAGCCTCCAATCCGTTTTAGAGAAAACTCTTAGCCATCTCCCTCAATGCTCTAAATCTGTGAAGGCGGTTCGAGACATGTTTTCCTCCAAGGTGTTGAGCCATGGAGCTGGACAGCCATCAATACCTTACCCTCTGTAAACCGCGCATGCTACTACTGGTCTTGAGCCACTCAACAGGTCGTATATAATATATAATTCAATACCATTAATGAATGTAGCAGCGTCCCAGAGGCTACCAGTAACACAGCTTAACTATCGATATATGATAGTCAGCACGACAGTGACTATCAGTATTATTCCTGATGTGAAAATAGATTTCCAGAATATAAAACTACGTTGTATCTACCATGTTTCCAGAAGGCCGGTAGACGGAAAAGTCCGACTTATTATTTGGTCTACCTTGGATTGAGTTCCAAGATACCTCCATATTTTCCACCACATCCGGGTTACTCAAATATTATGTAGAGCATATTGTTCAGTACATACATGCGTGCAAAATCTAGAAGCAGGAAATAATCTTATCCATAAAGTATCGATTTTACTGTTGTCACAATCAAGCCTTAGGGAGGTCTAGACCCTAGTTCCAAAGATCTAGATCTGTCATAAATTTCCAGCTGCTTTGTGTTGATGGTCATTTGGCTTCCTCGTGACCCAGCTTCATTTACCATACTACAATGGTGAAAATGTGTTAATGTGAGTTTACTAGGCTGTAATTCTAAAAGTAAAGGCTATCTATCCATGCTTGAAGGTTCTTAGGGAGCTCTAAGTTACTAAGACGAGGGGATCTAGTATAGCTAAAAGTCTGTGGGGAAGTAGGAGTACAGGACGAAAGTCAAACTTACAAGAAGTCAAGCACTCTTACTCCTGAACGGGTTGTAAAGTATAACCTAAGATCAGATGAGCTCCTGGTGATCTTAATGGGTCCAGCCCATTTTGGCTCTGTTCCAGAATCGAGGAATAAAGAACCAGTGTGCGGAGCTGTGGGTGCTACGACATCGACTCAGGCTATGTCTGTATCCATCTCAGGGCTGTCCAGTGGCCGCTTTAACATGGCTTATCTGGTGATATACATCAATAGCCTGCAGAAGGGACGAGAGGTTTTCAGGGTGACCTCTCTCACTGTGTTCTTGAATATATAGTCTATGGTGTTGATATATTTATGTTGATGTCCTCTATCGCAACGCCGGATGTTAATACCAACTCTAAACATGGAAATGAGATTGATGGGTCTCAGAACCCTAGATATGTTTGTTGAAATGACTGCTGTAACTTACAATACCATCAGTGAGCATTCCTAGCAGGGACACGGGCACGGTTGTATACATCATATCTCAAGTCTCAATATTTGGTGCACGAAGAAAAGAATTCAAAATCTAATATTCTAGAGGGATTGAATGTGCTTATACATAATCTACCATGGAAACCAGCCATTTATCTACTTTAGCCCGGATCTGTAAGCCATCAACGTCGAGCTTCAAGATATATTCATCTTTGTTGCACCGAGGACTTGAGTACATAGACATTGGAGACTAGATTCATGGTATGGGGTCGCGACCCTTTGTATAATTATAGAAACCTTGACCGCTCTTGATGCCCAAGTGGCCATCCTGTACCATTTTCTTTAGGTATTCGCGCGGTTCACCTGGGATTCCAGTTCGAGCATCTGCGTAGTGGTTCTCAATATCGAGGACAACATCCAATCCGACAATATCCATTTGTTCACAAGGCCCCTTGGATGTCTTTAATACGTCTTTGAAGATGGTGTCAATCTCGTGCGGGTCGCAGATACCTTCAGAAAGCGCAAGAAGAGTTTCACGTTTAATTGCGGCCCAGACTCTGTAATATTGTCATCAGCCAATTTTCAGCTAATTGACTACCAGGTTTGTCTAATACCTGTTGTAAATGTATCCGATAGAGCTCTGTTTGACACGGAAGGGACTGAATCCGTGTTCAGCACATTGATCAAAGAGTAGCGTGAGAAGTGATGGATCCGTTCCTTCATGGCCCATAATTTCGATTGCTGGGAAGTAGCAGTTAGTGAAATTCATACTAATAATTGTTCCAAGAAGGAGCATACTTGTAGTCTCCGGTGGCCAGTCTATGCGAAAGCAGATCGTTAGCCCAGCGCGCTGGTCCACTAAGCTTGACCAAATATTTGACTTACAGCAATGGGCACTCAACAGTCTCTTGCTGTTCTTCAGGGTAAGCCCTTCGATCACTTCGGAGATCCCGTAGCTGCTGGAGTTTGAAGCGATAATTGTACCTTCGGGGGCGAGTTTATCCAGTTGAGCGATGATGTTTCGCTTCGATTGCAAGTTCTCTGGAATACACTACAGTCACAAGTTTTGTGAGAGACCTGCGAGGGTTATACTATCGGAGAAAACTCATACCTCAACAATAAGCCAAGAGCTCTGTAAAATAGACTCGAACATAGACGGCGTGGATGCCTTGACTTCACCCCATTTCCTGGGATGGTCGGTTGTCTCAGCACGAAGCTGCTGTACAAATTGCAAGCCTTCCTGAAGCTGCTCCTCATTGAGATCAACAAGATATACTAGGCCTCCCCTACTTGACCACTGGCAGGAATTCATGATTAGTATCGCCGTTAACATATTTACCCACCCATCCTTTGAAGTTGTATATTACTCACCATATAGGCGAGACGCCGACCTTGAGTGCCAGCCCCAATGATCACAACAGCGCCCTGAGGGTGAAAGGGTTCAATCATATTGAATATTTCCGTGTTGAAAATCAACCACAGGGGATTAAACAAGTGAGGTAAAGTTTAAACAATAGTTCTGCTGGCTTAGGTGAAGGGAAGTCAGAAAGCCGCGCCGGGACGCTTATAGCAGCCATGGTGAGGGTATTTGCGGATCCAGCCTCTTGAATGGGGCAATATAGTTCCTTGTTCCAGTGCCACAGAATGGATCCACCTCGAATAGCTTTGAAGCTTTATTGCTGTAAAGAGCCACTTTGCTCCCTTCGATCATCATTTATGAAATCGGACCGGATCCGAGCTGCAAATTTAGTGTTGAGAAGGGGGTCGGATCCGACTTAGCGGATCCGATGTTATAAATTCATGCTGTTAGCGATACAATTGGTTATTCCGTGTAACCTACCATATCCTGCTTCGAGATGATCCGTATGGCTCTGTAATGTAGTCTATCGGGTTATCGATCGACTTCGATTCGTATAGAGTCCCTGCCCGCATCCACAACGGGGTTTCTCTTGGGACGGGTGGCCGAAGTCGTGCGTATCCACTGTGTGGGGTACCCCAGAATCTGGGGAAACCTCCGCAGTGAGGGGGTTGCATTATTTAATGGGCACGAGCTTGTCACTTTATTTTGTAACTTTATCACCTCTCCCCATCATCCTTTCCCCAGAAACTCATCATGCCTACAGAATATTCTGATATTGAAAAGCCCAGTTCCACGGCCCTCGAGCATGGGGAAGACACGCCGCTCGGGTCAACAGCGGATGGAAAGGCCGAAGGGGTATCAGGGCAGGTATACTCGGAGGAAATGGAGAAGCGGGTCCTCCGCAAAATGGATATCCGCCTGATCCCAATGCTTGCGGCGCTGTATCTCCTTGCGTTCCTCGATCGCGGAAACATTGGAAATGCGAGGATCGAAGGAATGTTAGCTGATTTGAATATGACGGATCGGGAGTATAGTTGGTGCTGTATGTTTTGAAGCCTACATGACCATGTTCGGCAAGCTAAGTGTAATCAGTGACCGTGTTCTTCTTCACCTATGTGGCATTCGAACTCCCAAGCAATCTGTTGTTGAAGAAGCTGAAGCCCTCCCGCCTGTTGCCTGTACTAATGTTTGCTTGGGGCACTGTTATGGTAAGCAATTTTCATTTACCCTGCCTGACATGTCCCAATAGAATCGGAAGAACTAACCCCCATGCGCCTGTAGACATTGATGGGGATTGTCAAGAGCTACCATGGCCTTTTGACTGCTCGTTTATTCCTTGGTGTTGCTGGTGGGCTTTCCTTTGTCTTCAGAATACTGGGTCAAACTCTAATGAATCCCTTCTGAATCATAGAGGCTGGTCTTTATCCTGGTATCGCATACTACATTACGCTCTGGTATCCTCGTCACCGCGCACAATTTCGCCAGGCACTCTTCTTCAGTGCCGCTAGCATTGCTGGCGCTTTCTCTGGGCTGCTTGCATATGGTATTGCTGTAGGTGTTCACAGGCAGCTCTGTATTATATCACCCATTAAAATTTTGCTAGAAAATGGACGGAGTTGGTGGCTATGCAGGTTGGCGCTGGATTTTTATCCTTGAAGGTCTGCTCACTGTTGTGGTGGCCGTGATTGCACCTTTAGCCATCCATGACTTCCCCGAGACTGCGAAATTCCTTACTGATGACGAGCGTCAATACGTTATCTATGTTCTACGATCGCAAACTGCCGTGGAAGAGTCCTCTCGTGATGGAGTCGTGGATGAACAATCACAATTCCGTTTTAGCTATGTTATTGACGCTTTGACTGACTGGCAGATATACGTCGGTTTGTTCAGTAAGAAATCCCCTCTGCAATTTTACCCATGCTTGTCGCTAATAAATAGCTTCTAGTGTACTGGGGTATCACCTGTCCCCTGTATGGCATTTCCTTCTTCCTTCCCTCCATTATCAGGGATCTTGGATACGCCTCGTCTACCGCGCAGCTTCTCACAGTGCCGATTTACATCGCTGCCGCAATCGTCGCCATTACCGCGGCTTGGTTTTCTGACAAGCGCAAGCAACGTTCTCCGTTTATCCTATTTTTTATGTCGCTGATCGCTATTGGCTTCATAATCGTCATTGCCTCCTCCGGCCGTGGAGTTCCTGGAGTAGTTTACTTTGGGGTCTTTGTTGCCGTTGTTGGTGGGTTCTTAAACAACGTACCCCCTTGGTGCCTGCTCTTTCCTAATTAATTCATCCTGTATAGGTATCTATCCTGCATTCCCTGGTAACGTGACATGGATCAGTGTCAATCTTGCTGGTGATTACAAACGTGCCGCTGGAATGGCCCTTCATATTGGGTTGGGTAACTTCTCCGGAGGTATGAACTGTTTCATGCCGTTCTCTGTGAAGGGAATGAACTAACCTACCCCATCTCCAGCAATGGCATCCAACTTCTATCGTGGAAGGGACGCACCCAAGTATATCCTTGGTCACGCCCTAGAGCTCGGATTCTGCGTGGCTGGTATCATCGCAGTGGTGATTCTACGACTGTCATACCAGCGCATTAACCGCAAGCGCGACCGGATGGATCTGTCCATGTATGATGCTGCCCAAATGGCGCGTATGGGCGATCGCTCGCCAATGTTCAGGTATATGCTGTAGAACTTGGGCGTCGAGTTAAGTGTCTATAAACTGCGTCAAGGCTTGTCTGGAGAGTGTGATCAAGAACCATATGTGAGAGAAGCAAACACAACTTTCAATTTGTAATTCATCCGCGACGCCTGCTATACACCTAGAAAATAAAACATCGCGTACATTTGTCCACAACACCCGTACCAGGCGAGAAGGCATAGGTGGTTCAACAGGTGAAGATTAACAAATCTGCAATATAGCGAGAAATCCTAATTTGCCGTGCAAGATTGAATCACAGACCCCAATCCTCCTTGATCAGATCGGCTGCCTTTTCTGCAACAGCATAGACGGTGCTCACAATATTTCCGCTAACATTGTTCGGGAAGATGGAAGCATCAGCGACTCGAAGTCCCTGAACTCCCTTGACTCGAAGACGCGAGTCCAAGGCGTCACCCATAGCTACTGAGCCACAGATATGATACTCCCCCATCACCAAATCCCGAACAGCCTGTTTCGCGCCATCGAGATTCTGGACGTCGATGGACGGACTAGGAATGGCCCTGGCTGAAATCGAGGGCTTAGCTGATTCCGCTTGACTGACCTTGTCTGCCCAGCGCACAAAAGCAGCCAACAACGCAACATCAGCCTCGTGAGTGATATAGTTTGGCTGGATAACTGGTGGCTTCGACGGGTCTGTAATGGAGAGTAAGCAGTGAAAAAAGGCCATAATCTTTATTCTTCACAGGCTGGCAGCCCGACTTACCAGCATTTTGGATATGGATATGGCCTCGTGAAACTGGATATTGGAGACACAGAGCAGCTGTAAACCCAGCGGGTTTGTCGGCGGGACGTGGAGGAAATATCTCGGTCTGATGCTCAACGCCATTAGCATTAGCCGTCGCTGGCACAATAATGATCTGCAGATTTGCCGAATCGTCGCTCTCTAAATGCGCTATGATCTGGTTCAATTGTTTCTCGTGGAATGCAGTAGTTGATTTTGTATTCCGGATAGATTCAATAGCCTCCGCCAACTCCTCTGGGGACATGATCTGCTTAGCAGGGAGAAAGCCCTGTGTGCTTGCGATACAGCTCAACGGCCCAGTACGGGTCTCCATGTATTGTTTCATAGCCGCTTGCATAGCCTCTGGAACCTGATGGAGGGTATCAAGGGTTATTACACCCGGTTGAACCTCCCACACCATGAGAGCCAGCGAATGATCCTGCACATTCGCGCCAACGCCACAATTCTCCACTTGACATTCAACGCCGGCGGCCCGAAGCACCTCAGGGTCCCCTATTCCGGACAGCTCCAGAATCTGGGGAGACTGGATAGTTCCCCCGCTGATTATCACCTCTCGCTTTGCAGAGATCTGGTACTCGTTTCCTTGGAAAGTGAAGCTAACGCCCGTGGCTTTAGTACCATCCAGGACCACTTTATTTACGTGAGCCTCACAAAGAAGTTTCAGATTCGATCGTAATTTGTTTGGTTCGTAGTACCCTCTTGCAGCATAACTCCGCTTGCCACGATTTGGACCCGTTCGTGCAACCGTCCCCAGAGTGTGGTAGAAGCCAATATGGTCGCCGCTCCACGCATCGTTTGGCTTCTTTAGGGTCCCTGTTACTTCTCCACAGGCGTTGATAATTTCACTCTCAATAGGCAGGTTGGAATGGTTGAAGCTCGTTTTAACAGGGCCAGTTGTGCCGTGAAATTCATTCATCAAAGGTGACGAGGCTTCAATTACCGCTGGATCCATTTGCTCCAGCATCTATCAACCCCAGTTAACATCCAATGAGGGTAGGTAAAGTCAGGTAGAGATGGATATATCCCGAGTCCATACCTGATGTTTCCTGAAATACTGTTGCATCGACTTTGCGGACCAACCATCGTCTTCTACAAGCGCCGCCCAGTCGTCGTAGTCCTGCGATGAGCCTCGGACATACATCATGTAGTTGATGCCGCTCGAGCCACCAAGAAGCTTCCCACGGGGCATGTGGTGAATCTTACCGTGATTGGCTTCTTGAGGAGCCGTATAAAAGCACCAGTCATAGTCCGAGTCCCCAAACATCTGCAGGAAGCTAGCTGGCGTGTCGACCAGCGGGTCCCCAAGGCGATATTTGCCCGCCTCAATAATCCCAACCGTTATATTAGGGTTTTCGCTAAGGCGAGCTGCGATTGCACACCCTGCCGTACCACCACCACAGATAATGAAATCGAATGCGGTGCCGGTGAACTCCTGGACGGAGCAGACGGGAGACTCGCCGTCGCTGTTAAAAGTATTCTCCGGCATGCTGAACCCAGATGACAAAAAGGAAGTGGAGGATTGGAAGCTAAATCGACAACAATAACTTAAGTTGTAGGGCTATAATATGCCTCGCCGGGGTTAACAAGCAACGGGAGACCTTATATACGCCAACTTTACGAGAAGCAGTCAGGGGTGTGTCAAAAGATCCTAACTCTTCAGGGAAAATGGGGGGGAAATGACGTTCACAAGTGATTTTCCACATCCAACCAATATCCCGAAGTGGACAGTGGGAAACTCAACAACCTTTCCTTAGACAGCGGGATCGACCTGCCATGGGAGGCCTAAAGTTACTAGGAAACGGAGAGAGCAATAAACTACCGAAATCTAACAAAAATAGGAAGTATGTACTTTGTCCGTTGCGTGTTAAAGTTTGCGGAGTTACAATCCGAGGCTGGAGGTGATATCATTGAAATAGTTCAGATAAACCTCGTGTTTATTATCTACGAGTCAATCGGGGTTATACTTCCTATATTGACTGAGTTGGTACTCATATACACCTAATATATCCTTGAAATTGTATTCTTTAAATCCCATCCATTCCACGCATACGGCAAAGCCCCCGTGGCGCTTACGGTTAAGATAGGAGTTGCCCTGGTCCTCGACGAATAATGACACGGATTGGGGCTCTTGAATTGCCTTTTTTTTATAGCCTAAAATAGCTTGGAAACTGTCCTCGTGATTAAAATGAAATACAAAAAGTATAAGGGAGATGGGGTGCCCCTCTGTGCTGTTTTTGGCTGCGGGGTGTAGTCTCTCGAAGGAATTTATCTCAACTGTCTGCGTAGGCTGATTTTCCTCTTTGACGCCCTGACTTGCAAATTCGAAAGACCTAGCTGAGATTTGATGCATCTTAGCTAACCAGCATGGCCGACGCAATTGCAAATGGTAAGAGAAGACGAATATTGAGCATTTCCGTCCCGGAATGCCGTTCTAACACCCGATATTTTCTCCGTAGCAGTCATCGTAGATGACAATGGTACTAGCTTTGCCCTGAACGGCAAGAATGTTTCCTACCGTTTCCATGTCGACGAGAGTAACGGTGATCTTCGAACGGATCATTTTGGGGGCAGCATAACAGGCCCCATTCCTGCAGACCCCGCACCGGTGGTCGATGGTTGGACAGGTATGCCCGATCGTGTGCGTCGTGAATTTCCTGACCAGGGCCGTGGTGACTTTCGAGTTCCCGCCATACGGATTCGCCAGTCGGAGGGTCACACTGTGTCAGCTCTCCAGTACCAATCCTACGAGATAGTTAAGGGAAAGCCAGAGCTGCCAGGACTGCCAGCTACCTTTGGTAATCATGGGGATGTTACAACCTTGGTGGTTCATTTATATGATAAGTATAGCCAGATTGCGGTGGACCTGGTATACTCGGTATTTCCTCTGTACGATGCCATTGTGCGGAGTGTTAGGGTTACAAACAAGGGCAATCAAGAGATTAGTATCGAAGCGCTAGCTAGCTTTAGTGTCGACTTTCCATATGAGAAGTTTGATATGATTGGCCTTCGAGGCGACTGGGCGAGAGAAGCCCATCGACAGAGGCGAAAGGTTGAGTACGGCTTACAGGGGTAAGTGATCCCGGATGTTATGATGATGATGATGATGATGATGATGATTACACCTACATTAACTTGGGGCTCCTTCAAACAGCTTCGGTAGTACAACGGGTTTCTCATCTCACCTACACAACCCTTTTGTCGCCCTGGTACATGCCTCCACCACCGAATCCCAAGGAGAGGCATGGGGATTCTCACTAGTCTACACAGGATCCTTCTCCGCGAGCGTCGAGAAAGGCTCCCAAGGCTTGACTCGCGTTCAGCTAGGTTTCCATCCCAATCAGCTGTCCTGGTCTCTGTGCCCCAATGAGACTCTTACCTCCCCAGAGTGTGTAGCAGTCTATTCCAAGGACGGTATTGGAGGCATGTCTCGCTCGTTCCATCGTCTGTACCGAAATCACCTCATGAAGAGCAAGTTCGCGACGGATAATAGACCGGTGTTGCTGAACAGCTGGGAGGGCCTATACTTTGATATTGACAAAAGAAGTATGTATCATCTCGCGGAAGAATCAGCAGCCTTGGGGGTTAAGCTGTTAGTGATGGATGACGGTTGGTTTGGAGACAAATACCCGCGCATTTCAGACACGGCCGGACTAGGAGACTGGGTACCAAATCCAGCACGGTTCCCCGAAGGTCTGGCGCCTCTAGTGAATAAAATTACCTCTCTGAAGGTCACAGGCTCGTCAACCAACCTCAGGTTTGGTATCTGGGTCGAGCCCGAGATGGTCAACCGAAACTCGACCTTGTATCAAGAACATCCTGACTGGGTACTTCACGCTGGTCAATACCCGCGCACTGAACAGCGAAACCAACTAGTGCTAAACCTGGCGCTTCCTGAAGTCCAGAATTTTATCATCGACTCTATCTCCGATATCCTCAAATGTGCAGATATCACGTATGTGAAGTGGGATCACAACCGGGGCATAGGGGAGATGCCTTCCCCAAGCACGAACCACGCGTACATGCTCGGGATGTACCATGTTTTGCATGCGTTGACATCGCGATTTCCCGACATTCTTTGGGAAGGGTGCGCCTCCGGTGGTGGTCGATTTGACCCTGGAATCCTGCAGTTTTTCCCTCAGGTTTGGACGTCCGACAACAGTGACGCCGTTGAGCGCGTCTTCATCCAATTCGGTACGAGCCTAGCCTACCCAGCGAGTGCTATGGGCGCCCATATTTCTGGTGTTCCCAACCATCAAACTGGTCGCACTATCCCGCTCGTATTTCGTGCCCATGTAGCCATGATGGGGGGCTCTTTTGGCTTGGAACTTGTTCCGGCAGATATGCAACCGGCAGAGAAGGCTGCAATCCCTGGGTTGATTGCATTGGCCGAAAAGGTCAACCCGATCATTTTGACGGGAGACATGTGGCGACTCAGCCTTCCTGAGGATTCAAACTGGCCAGCTGCTTTATTTATATCGGCAGATGGCTCACGCGCAGTCCTATTTTTCTTCCAGCTTAGTCCTTATGTCAATCATACAATGCCGCGCGTCAGATTGCAGGGATTGGACCCCCTTAGTACGTACCGTGTCGACGGTGAGGGGCCGTACACTGGGGCAATGTTGATGAATCTCGGGCTGCAGTATTCCTTCCAAACAGACTATGCGAGCAAGGTCGCTTTTTTGGAGAAAGCGAAGCAGTAGTGAACATGCAACGAGAGGATGTCGGGTAGGAACTGAAGGTTGGAGTCGAAGGATACCTTCAAGATTGGTGGGAAAAAGAATGTATCATCTATCCACTGCCCTCTTCTGGCAATCTTGCCTTGATTGAGGCTTTCCTCGAGATGTTACATGCATACTTGGTTTACATCCTCACGCAAATGTCCGCATGCTTAGCGGCGCCATAGTATCCATTCCTTGGACACCGCATAACATAATTTGACGATAATGAATAAACCTGAGCTGAGACACGAGTCAAGCAGGCCCCTGGACCTTTCGAACAAGCGATAGTCGATATTCCTGGTTCTTAGAAGATGGTTGGGAATCCTTCCACCACTACTCTGTCCTTGAATGACCTCATCGTACTCGGGTTCGTTGCTATATTACTATCTTCGGTTAACTTGTTGAAAATCCTACTGGAGCCAATTGTAACTTCTCATGTAATTGGATTCACCCTAATGTCAATAATACCATTTGACGCTTTGCTAAAACGGCCTTTCTTATCGGAGCAAAGCACAGGGTTCCAAATCCTTCAAGAAAAGGGAAGCGTGAGATATGTATGCCGGTGATGCAATTATTGTCTCCTGCTGTAGAGGTCTTCTACGTTTAATATGGGTTGAACGGTCTACACAGTATCTTCTTGGTATTTCAGAATCAGTTCGCCCTTGCCAGGGGAAACGGTTAATACCTTACTGATGCAACAGCGGGGGAGCCCTGTCTTTGTTCCGGAATTGCTTTTTTACTGGCATTGGTAAAAATGAGCAATCCATTTAATCCCCTTCTCCGTGTAGGGGTGGCCAACGCCAATGCTAGGGCTTGGGACGGATCGTTGTTTCGAGCTGAGAGGTTCTCTTAAGTGGCTTGAGTTTTATGTATTGACGGGTAACCTGCCTGCATGGTCAAATCACTCCGCCGGTTGTAACCTTTCCGAGATCTTGCTCTGCTCAACGGCCTGGACTCTGCTTCGAACTAGCTGTCGCCGAGTATGCTTACTGGGATTGGTGTTCCAGTCCAGACGATCATGGGGGCAGAACCCCAGACCTTCCCTCGGCTTCGAGACTGGAGAACTGGGAGTCCCTTGCAAGTCTCAAATCTGGAACTCTAGTCTCCAGTCTCCTTATCTGCTGAGGCTAACCCGCATTCCTAACCGCTCTATATACTTGCATCTGTCATTCTTAATTTAAAGGGGGCCTCGAACTAGAAAAGGCATTTCCCCCTCCCGCATGGAAGGGTCCATGATAATTTCATTCAACGTCCAGGATGAGGAAACCCATCCTTTTCTGGGCAGTCGTGTTGTTGTCCGGACTCGCATGTGCGACTGACATTGAAACATGCGAGATTATTCCAAGTTTACCGCAATGCGCAGTATGTTGTCCCTAAAGGGTTACGAGACACTCGAGTGGTCAACGACCCTGTGTTGATGATGGAACCCAGGAAAGCTGCGTGTCAGATATCATCAGCTTGAAAGATAATTGCACGAGCGCAATCTTGGACGCTTGCACAAGCGATTATCATGACATGACTTCGTGCTATATGAACGGCTGCGGCCTGGTTGAATATCTCTGTAAGACTCGGTTACACTTGGGACCCGAGGTGAAGCACTAATAACCCTTGATCATGCAGATGTAATGAATATTACAAACACCGTTTGCAACGTTCCCCCTCGCAGTCGTCAGTCCACTCAGATCATTGTTGGCTCTATCTTTATTCCCCTCACTTCCATCGCCATCGTCCTCCGGCTTATGGGTCGATCACCATTCTCAGAAGCATTTGGAACTGACGACTTCCTGGCGCTGATCGCGTTCGTAAGTCGTGTCAATCGGTTAGGCTTGTCCCCGAATGGCTCTGACAATTTATAGGGTTCGTCCATGGGCGACACAGCCGTGATGCTCATAGGTAAGGATTGTGCGCCAGAAGCCTCATCCTTTCTCTAAATTATATCTAGGCGCCAAAAATGGCTGGGGCGTTGATATGTGGGCTCTGAGTCAGTCTGAGATTATTCAACTCATGAAGGCTAGTATATGATTCCGGACGATTCATGCTTCGGCCCAATCTAACCTTGAATTAGTTTTTCTATATTGGCATTATGCTTTTTTATCTGTCAGCCGTTGCTACTAAACTAGCCATATTGTTCTTTTATCTCCGGATTTTCACCACGGAATGGTTCAAACGACAGGCTTATGCAATGATTGCCTTGTGCGCCGCGTATGGCCTGGCGGTGATGTTCCAAAGTGCTTTCGACTGCAGTCCACCTTCTTATTACTGGAACAGGTTCGGTGAAACGGCAAAAGGAACCTGCGTAAGCTACGTGGCCTACAGAGCCATGCCTCCTATTAATGTTGGTTTCGATGTTATGGTGCTACTGCTTCCATTACCATCGATTTTGCGACTGAACCTCCCTTGCGTGAAGAAGTTCCGAGTCACTGCGATGTTTTGTGTGGGAATCTTGTAAGGAGTCCACTCTCCCAACTTCTTCCCTACTTGGTGCCAGCGACGTTCAATCTAACATACGTTAGTATTATTATTGCCGGCGTTCTTCGCCTAACCCACCTCTATGGCTCTATCACTACATATAATGTAACCTGTATGCCCCCCGTCTCCCTATATAGTTACGCCCACTGACAAAATTCCACAGACAACGGCGGGGAGCTTTCCTACTACGGTGTTATCGAGGCTGATGTTGGTGTTATTTGTACCTGCATGCCGCCGATTGCTGTTCTGCTCAAGAGACTCTTTCCAAGATGGTCCGGTTCTTCAGTAGATCGTGGATATCAACCATTCCAGGGGAGCAGTACACCAAAAAATCAAACCCTTCGGTCGAGCCTGACGAATAGCTACATGGGGTCCCCGACAAAACCTCAATCCGGAAGTGAAGACGATATCCGTCTCATCCATGTGTCCACAGAAGATCCTCACTTACAGAAGCCAGATAAATGCTTCAGCTATAGCTAGGCTCCTCTATTCGGAGGAGCGATATGTTGAACGTATATATGGAATTCTTGGACAATTTCTATAGAAACATAGAATTAATTTAGGATACACCATTGCCATTATTTGAGACTAAAGCCGGATACCACGGGCATTGAGATTTCATGTCCCTAGCAATGAATCTTCACGCGTTTAACATGAATAGTGAGAAGGCACATAAACTGATTTGACAATTTTTATGCTCAGGCCACTCCAAATGCGGAGGCTATCCTACAACTAGAATAACTATTAAGATCGTCGGGGTACTCACAGAATGTATGTACAGTAATCCATGAGTGATGATGACTGGGATTATTTCCTTGGGTCTTAAAATGGCTCAAGGAAGTATACTCCAGTTGTTAGGGTTGGTGGTTAATTCGGTTTATTTTTACAAACCAAGCTGCACAGGCAGGAATTCATATCAAGTCACTCGTCCCTGGTTACATTTTGAGCAGTCCCGTTTGAATCCTGTGCTGACTGGGATGCGGACTAGCGGATAGTTCAAGATGTGCCTTCATCCCCAGCCTGTTTATTTACAACATGCTCTCATTCGCTGCTAATCAATAAGTTAGCAAGTAAATCCATATCTCACGTCATCAATGGAAAGCACAATCGCATCTCTAGATCCTGGTGTGGTACGGAGTACTCCGTACCTAGCTCTCTAGAAAGAGACTTTTGCCTGACCCTAAGAATAACTATTATATTATATCAATTACCTAGAAAAGACCAGGGTCAATGGTATATTTTACAGAGTACCGGGATCCCCTCGTGTTGCTCCGGAAAACAATATATAATAATACACTGGATACTTTTCCGAAACTCAGGAAGACATTCTTCAACTTTTCAAGCCGCAAAAGGGTATTCCTCTTTAATCCTGATGCTTTTACGTGCGCTCTCGCTACTTGCTCTGGCACCATGGATGGGCCTTCCCCCTGCCGCTGAAGCAAGCGCAAATTCTGGAAGCATCCAACGATTAACCCCTCTTAAAAATGCCGTGACTGCTCGCCCAAGTGCTTTGAGTGTGGAGTATTTCGAGGATGGTCCCATTACTGGTGAAACAGTCATTATGGTGCACGGATTTCCATATTCCATCGATGCCTTTGCCCCTGTCGTCCCTATCTTTGTCAAGCAAGGGTACCGGGTTATTGTCCCATACCTCCGAGGATTTGGTGGAACAAGGTTTCTTCAGCCCAATACCCCTCGCAGCGCGGAACAGGCGGCTCTGGGGTATGATATTATTGCGTTGATGGACGCCCTGCATATCGACAAAGCCATCTGTGCCGGATACGATTGGGGTACGGTGTCGGTGAATGTAGCTGCTGCTTTATGGCCAGAGCGATGCAGCCGTATGGTTGCTGCCAACAGCTATCTAATCCAGAACCGTTCCACCGCATGGGTTCCTGGTGATCCCAATTCCGAGGCCACGAAATGGTACTATTACCTATTCCTGACCCCTCGAGGCGCTGCTGGATTGGCCCAACGCCCCAAAGAGTGGACGCAGACTCTCTGGCGCAAGAATTCTATCGGGTGGAATTTCAGCGAGGAGTATCTGGATCTGACGACAACTGCCCTTTATAACCCCGACTTTGTTGATATTGCGGTTGACTTTTACCGCAATCGACTCCTATACGCACCAGGGGATCCGGCCTTCATCGACCTTGCCCACACTCTGGATAGCCAGCCACCCATTCAGGTACCTGCAGTGACTCTGGATCCTAAAAATAGTGTGGTTTTGACTCCAACCAACGGGTCGTCTACTGCGAAATTCTTCACCGGACCCAGGTGTCACTACGAGCTTCCGGGCATTGGCGAGAATATTCCCTATCAAGCACCGGAGATTTTTGCGCATGCAATCATGCAAGTTTCTCGGTTAACTGATTCATATACTGGTTGTACTGGTGTTTGATGCATCAGAGGCAGAACATATGGTTATATAATTCAATGATAGCAAACTCGTAATATCATTGCTCGGTACAGGCAGAGGTTTTTGCCCTATACATTGTAATGGCCATCGTTGTTCCTTTGAGCTGAAGCTGTTAGTCCGGCACGACAGACTGGATTCACGGTCTTAGCGTCGACTGATATCAATCTCGGTCTTCTGCCGCTTGACGAAGCTGGGGACGACTCTTCTCGAGGAGTTGGAGTGGAAGAATTGAAACCCGGTTATTTGAGGGCGTCCTTCCAAGTCTTCGTGACTTCGTTTCAATATATGTTGGAGTGCTGCACTCAGTGAATGCAACCAGCACCACCATAAAGCAGCATCACCATAAAGAAGAAGATAGCAACACGTGACTACTCTATGTATTTAAGGCTACCATTTCCTTCTAGATCTCTATACTTCCTCCAAGCATCTCTCCTTCTCTCTATTTCCTAGTTAGACCCAATTAAATTTATTTTAGTTAACTTTCTACTATTATAGTTTAACAACCTCTTATCAGGTTATGAGCCCTCCTTAAGGTTCTATTTTATACTTTATAAACCTCCAAAAACTCTTATTATACCCCTGTATTAGAGATCTGCTCCCTAATTAGATAGAGATCCTGGCAGAAATATTACCTATTACTATTATATTATATTACCTGGGTAATAGTATGTAGAAAATTTCTATAATTTAATTAAAATAGTAACTAAACCTACCCCTAGTAGATATCCTAATATTCTAGACTTACTATACCTACCTTTAATAGCTACTACCTTATTTACTAATAGCTGAAATTAAGCAATAAAACTAAAGAATAGTATATTTAACTTAAGCCTAATAATAGTATTAAAAAATAATTTAAAATTTAAAATTTAGATTTTATTTATATAAATAGAGCTAAAGCTTTATAAGATAGATAAGTTTCTTAAAAGTAATATTCCTAGACTATAACTTAATAATCTTAAGTATAAATTATAAGAACTTCTTTTATAAATAATAACTAGTTAAATATTATATTTAATAAGTAAGAAACTAGTAGAGAAACTACTAATAAATATTATTTTATATATTTTTATAGATAATTTTATATAGAAATTATAAAGAATAGTTATTAATAGTAATTAAAAATATATATATTAAATATAGAGAGAAGTTATTAAAATTAAGTATAAAAATTATATAATTATTAATAAATTTATATTAGACTTTATTTAGAAAATAAATACTTTTAATAAATTAAAAATAATTATTATATTTTATTAAATAATTACTATAATACTTTAGAAACTTAAAAAAATAATATAAATTTTATAAATTTAATCTTAAATAATCTAGATAATAATCTTATTAAAATAATTATATAGAAATATTTTTATACTATATATAATATAATAAAGAACAAGATTTAAAAGAATCTATTATCTAATATTATATCTAATATTATAATACTAGCTATAAATATACTAAATTCTTAACTAATAATAAATAATAAAAGAAGGTAATAATAATAATAAAAATATATATTATTATAGAATATAATAATTACTAGCTATATTAACTATTAATTAAAGTAATTTAAGAAACTTAGAATACTATACTTATTTTATAAGAAGAAAAAATATAATACTAAAGACTATCTATATTTAGTAATTAATAAGTAGAAAAAAAGATAAAGACTAATTTTAATACTGTCACGGGGAGCAGGCAGGCAGTAGGTGTAGCTAACAGCAGGGTGTATATTCAGGCTATCTGCGTACAGGTACAACAGGTAGGGGTCAGGTCAGGACAAGGACATAGCTCGAAGAGCTATAACAGGATTAGGGGTAATATGGCTTAAATACAGGAGTAGAGGTGGATAGTTAGGGCAGAATCTAACCAGATAGGTACATGGCTACACCGTGACAGTATCCCCTCTCTTAGGCTGAGCTCCAGCGAAGCATTCCTAGGGTCCAGGCTTTCCAGGGTAGCGGCGATGATATGCTGGTGCATTTGTCTGCTCTTGGATTTGTACAGGGCGTTGGTCAGGTAAGGGGCAGTCCTTTACATAGTGTGCCCTGTTTCCATAGCAGAAGCATTCCTTGCGCTTATATTGTCCTCCCCTGGGGGAGTATGGTGCGCGGCGGGCATGGGATAGGTCTATAGCATCTGAATCTCTTCTGGGCGCGGGGGGTGTGACTGGGCAACTAGATGGGACAGAACTAGGGAGATTCCTTGGTGCTACCAGGCTAGGATAGTGGGAACTAGATATCAGGCGAGAACAGGATACTTATAGCTAGTGTTAGTAGTAGTAGTTTTCTAGTAACTAGAGATAGTTAGTATATTCTTAAAAGTCTTAGAATAGGATAGGGTTATAAAGTAATATATTTTAGAGTTTAACTAAAATATTTTAGGTTAAGAAAGATATTAGAAAATTATTAAGTATTTCTTCTTCTAGAGCAAGGTAATAGAACTCTATAAAGTAAGTATTAAAGTCTAAGTTTCTCTATTTCTAACTATAAAGGTAGTTCTAAGTATTTTAAACTTAATTAGGGTCTTTAAATACTATTTCTAGATAGTTAAGTAGGTTAGGATAATCTAAGAACTAGAGAATATTAAGTCTTATTTTAGGCAGGATTAGTTTATAAGCCTTTCTAGTCAGATATCTTATTATATAGGTTAGTCAGGCTTTAGTAGCTAGGAAATAATCTAGATTAGTATTTATTTTACTATAGATCTATTATATAAAGTAATAAAGATTAGAATAAGTACTATTAAACTCTTATAGGTTAGGGAGTTTCTTACTAAGATAGGTACTAGAGGAAGGACTAGTAGAAATAGGTATAAATACTCTTATTATATTAGCTACTATAGCTTTAGTAAGGAGAGCATGTTTAGTAGGGGTAGGAGTAGTAGTAAGAGTAAGTATAATAAAAGTAGTAATAACCTATAATATAGTAAATATATGCTTAGACTTAATTAACTTTTATTAGATTACTTTTAATTCTTTTTTCTAGTATAGTACTACTCCCTTCTTTTTAGCTAGCTCTAGGCTAGCTTTATTAGCTTAATTTTAGAGGGCATGAATCTCCTTTTTCAGGGAATTAGTATATTTATTATAGGACCTAAGATAAATAATCTAGGTAGCAGGATTATTAGTAATACAGTTGGTGATCACCTGATGCCTGGTCCCACCTGACGCCCGATTTCACTACCACCAGTAATATTGAATATGAAGCAATTCAACTATATATAATTATTATTATCGCGTGATCTTTTAGTAGATAAATATAGTTATTATTAGGACTCTATATATAGTTTTTAATTAGTCTGAAAGTACTATAGGAGCTAGATCTCACGGCCTTAATAATTTACTATTAAAGGGGCCTCTAGGACTTCTATAAGTATTATTAGCCTGGTTTTTATAGATTTTTACTAGTATAAAGCTTTAAAGACCTTCTTTAGAGATTTCTTTACCTGTTAGAAGTTATTTTAAAGCTAGTAATCTATCTTCTTTACTAAATAAATATCCTCCTTTTATTATTTTTTTTACTCTACCTCTAGTAACTATAATTCTTATTAAAATACTTGATTTCTTTTTTACTCTTTAAGCAAGTATTATTTCTTCTCTTTAATAAGCTATTAATAGACCTTCTCTTACTCCTTTAATATCTTAGTAAGTTATATAGCTTTATTTTTTTATATTTAAAGATTATAAGCCTGCTAAATCTTTTAAGAAGAGTAAAAAATTATACTATTATTTTTAGGAGTTATAAGCTTAAACTATAAGGATTTTTTATATTAATACTTTTTTTTCTTATTTTAGAGGGCTAATTCAAGACCTTAGTAATATAATTTTAGGATAATATTCTCTATAAAAAGGTAATATATTATTAAGCTTAATTTCTTAGTATTTTTATTATATATATTAGTAATAATTTAATTTAAAAGCTTCTTAATTTTCTACTAGTTCTCTACCTATAAGATAGAGTATAAGGAATTACTTAAGAAGGGCCTAGAATTATTCTATTTATTAAATTAAACTAGAATTATTTCTAGATTTAGTAGCTATATTCCTATAGTTTACTATAAAGAAAGGATATTTTTTATTAATAAGACTTGTTTCTAGGCTAGCTAGAAAAGGTAAAAGAAGTCCTATTTAGTAATATAATTAAGGCCTATTAATTTATATAGAAAGTCCTTAAGATTCTTACTATAAGTAATAGAGAGAGGGCTAAAGATCCTAATATTAAATAATTATAGTAAATAAGTTAAATAAGATAGATATATTATTAATAAAATCTTATTAATATTATAGTAATTAATAAATTTTATAATAAGGTAAGATCTATAATTATTAAGGATAAGAAGCCTTTATTGCCTGCGTGCCTTGTCCTTAGTCTTGTGGTTAAATATATTAGTTAACTAGGTATATTCTAGCTTATTATTAGTTTAATTACTTGTAGAAGAAATAAAAAAGCAAGAATAAAGTTTAGGATTAAAGTCTTAAAATTAGGAATCTTATATATTACTAGTAAAAGCCTAGTAAATAAGACTTAGTAAAAGAGAGGTTCTATTAGTATAAATATAAGTAATTAAAGTTATCTATTTATAATTTCTATCTTATAAGTATTACTTAAGCCTTCCTTTAGTTATATATTTCTACTTTAAGAAGATCCTAAGATCTTTAACTAGTATTTTAATAAAAAATCCTTTTTTATCTATATTATAGATATCCTCTAGCTATAATTTATATTATTATATTTTCTAGCTTAATAACTTAAAATATAGAGTATATTTATATATAGAATTAGCTTATTTTCACGCAGTATTAATAACTATTATATAGGTTAAGATAAGATTATCTTAGTAATACTTTATAAAGTACCTAGGCTAGTATTTTCTAGGCTTCTTACTAGTAATTTCCTTTATAAAATTCTAAAGTATCTCATGGGATATAAAGAGGCCTTACTTAATAAGCTTATTAATATAGTTTATTAGTTCTTTTT